TCAAAGGGACAATGGCTGGCAATGTTTTCTTTTCAATGGACAAGTCAACTGGCGCTGTTTTGTGCACCATGTTGAGCTGGCTTGTTCTCTCATGTCACATAGACTTGCATGATGTTCTGATTTGCACTTAAAGCAGCCTCTGCTGTGACATTTATTTTTTCTGTGCCCACAATTGAAACATAACCTTATTTCTACAAAGAACTTCTTTCTTTTTTCCAGGGTGTCATATGTTGGGCATGCATCTCCCCAATGGCTTTCTTTGCAAAACATACAATTTGGCCCTTGTCTGCTTGGCTTTAATACTGAAGCTATTCCCTCCCCTTTGGAAAACCAGTGCTTTTCTCTCTTTGTTGTGTCTGGTGAACTGTCCATTTGCTTATCTGGTTTATCTCTCTTCAGCCATTTTCCAAGATTCTCGATTAGATCTTCCATACACCACTGCTCCCACTTATCATCAATACGAACAACATCTGGTTTGACATGGGGCAGCTTGTTTATTGTTATCATTACAAGGCTTGTAAGTGTATCTCCCTTCTTTAGTGCTTGCAGTGCATCAAAGCTCTTGCTAAGTTTCTCATAAAAACTTGATATCTTCCAGTAACTTGTACCTCGTATCACAGGCAAATTGATAATCTCATTGACATGTGCATTCACTATCATTTGAGTTTTACCATACCCTTTTGCTAATCTTTCCCAAGCTGTCTTGTAACCAACAGGGCCAGGTCTTAAATTTGAAATTCTATCTCGCACTTTTGGGCATACCATCTCTAGTAGATAGCCAAATTTCACTTCGTCTGTTACATTTTTGTTATGCACCTGTGTAATGAACATATTTTCAAACCTTACCCAATCACTTGCTGTACCATTGAATGCTGTTATTTTCAATTTTGGTAACTTTGCCTGATCAATTTGATGACTTTCTCCATCTCCATTTTCTTTTCTACGATCTCTCGCTCTGCTTTCATTTTCTGTTCCCATAATTCTTTTTCTAGCTCAAACCTTTGTCTCCTATTGTTTTTCTCAAACTTCGCTTGTTGTTCTTGAAATTCCGCTATTCTTCGCTGTTCAGTTTCCTGTTTGAATTGTGTCTCCCTAATGATATCTCTCTCTTTGTTTAGTAATTGCCTATTTTGCTGTTCTTTCAAAACATTCACTAGCCTTTCCTTCTGCTCAATCAATGGCGTATACCTTTCCTTAATGTCCTTTTTCCATTGTCTTACTTCTCTACTAGTTTCTCCCTCACTGATTTTGATATAAGGTTAATATTTTACCTTGTAAACTTTCCATTCTTTCTGAAACTACCTTGACCTCTTCAATATCATTTTCCTGAATCAGGTCATAGGTTTGCTCCGAATAAAATGTTAGCTTCGTTATTTCAATGTCAATTTCCCTCTCTAACTACACCTTCGGTCACCTCCCAGGTGTTCACAACCTCTCCTTGAGCACTAGTATTAAATAGAGACATCCTTACTTACTGGGGCCCCTTTTACTTGACTACAGTGTTAATCATGGAAGACCTTGCTATGGCTAGGCCATAAAAATAAGGTTCTCACAAACGAAAAATAATAGTTAATCTAGTCTCACCAGAAGTGTCTTGCTAGGGTCGCCACTGATATACCAATTTGTGTGATATTTAAACTCACTTTTGATTTGATTACTCAATAGCGATTCACTCTTCTCTCAGCAACCTGAAAACATATTCCAAAGCCTAAACGAGGCTAAACTAAAATGTCCAAATCTGCACAAGAACGATCATATGAAGAGGACCAGTTTTGACCTTCTTTAGGCCCTCGGGAGGCCCAATAATATTCTAAATCATCTGTTATGGAAGTCCATTGTGCAGCAACTTTGGGAAGGAGCTCAATGTGCCTGTTACTTTCAGATTAATCTGCTTCATCCATTCCTGTAGCCTCATAATCTTTTCCACCTCTGCATCTACATTCTAAAACATCCAAATACCTTTTCTCGTCCTTCCTTTCCCCTTCCTCATCAACAGCGTCATCGTTGTTCAAAAAACTAGCTGACGAGGCCAGTTCATAGTTTATTACTGCCGGTGCAGTCCTTTCATCGATGTTGTCTTCCGAATTATTACAAGCAGTTGGTTTGAAACCAACTGCCACGATTTGGGCATAGATAATGTTTCACCTTCAAATTTGACTGCTCGTTCCTTCTTCTTTCTTTTGCTTTTTTGCTCCATTTTGATACCGTAAATCCTCGAATTAGCTTCTCGGGGGCTTATCTATTTTTTATATTTTTAGATAAGGGCTTATTCAAGGGAGGAGGGGCTTATACGAAGAGGCTTATAAAATTATTCTTGAAATTAAGAAGACATTATTAAAGACCTCGTTTATTTTAGTAGGAATTTTTCTATGAGTATTCAATTGATTATTATCAAAAGTATGATTTTTTTTAGGTAATTCAATAAAACGCCAAATGGCAAAAATCATCAAATTGAAGGGGGCAATTCAAGGATCTACAGTAGTAGTGGGGGCCTAATCGAGGGGGCTTATTGACAATTTTTGTTCTAGGGTGGGGGCATATTCGAGAGGGGCTTTTTCGAGGGGGGGGGGGCAATTCGAGGATTTACAGTAATTTCGACTCATGATTTCATCGCAAAACGAAGTCATGATTTCAATGCTTTAGTCCCCTTGCTTTTAGACGAGTCGACGCACAAGTCGACGACTTGACCAACAAGTCAACGACTCGACGCATTCCCACCATCTTAACCTCATGCGTCGAGGCGTCGACCTCGTTTTGGCGAAGAGACCTTACATATCATTGTGAATTCCCGCCAAATGTAGCAAGAAGACGAGATGGAAGAAATTCGAAGCATCCTTCAGAATGCTTTGCAACGTATCGATTCAATATCAAATGTGCCCACGAATTCAACTGATACACGAACAATAGTCACGACGATGCACGCATCAACAGCAGCATCAGAACAGACTGCAGCAAGTTTTGCCCCCGTAGGCCCTAGGCCGAGTGCCTCCAGCGGTAGTAGGGCAAACACCAATGCCACAACTAGTAGTTTCCTCAGTCGAGTCTCCATAACTTAGATATCCTTGGAAATAAGTAAAGTAGGGCGACCTCGACTTCCAGTGTTTTCAAAAACTTGCCCGTGCTCAATATCTCCTGAGAATGCGAATGTCTCTCTTGCTATCTGCAAACTATTCTCAATCTCTGGTGGGATGTAATTACAGAAAAATAAATACACTTGTGCTAAAATATATAATAGCCTATCAATGTGGGTACATTGCTCCATTCGATCCAATACTGACTGTATTCTATTCCGAAGGAAGCTCTTCAAAATTTCTATGTTTTGGGATATATTTTTCATCGTGCTCTTTCGGACCTTTATTCTGACGTTTTATGCTCTGAGCAATGTCAAACGAAAAAACTTTTAGTTAATATGTTGTGAAATGTTTGCTTTTTTCAAAGCCATTTTCAAGTTATGTACCGCCAATAAACTGTTCAAATTTAGTATTTAGGTTCCAGTCCTATAACATCAAGACATCCTACAGGCCAGAAGTCTAATAACCCTGATTGTTTCTTCGATGACAGGCGCCAGAAGACAATGCCAAACACAAGACCAATGGTTGCAATGATGAACACAGCATCAAATCTCTTTAAACCAATGCCTATTCAAAATTCTATTTCATCATCGACTATGACGCTACGGAGGAGTACGAGAGAGAGCTCTAAATTTGCAGCGTTTATGGAACGCCTTCAACTCCACGTTCTTCGTGCCGAATTGCTGCTGGTATGGTATACGAGATTTTTATCACTGCTTTCACTAGCTAAGTACTTTTACAATTTGTTTTACATTTTGCTGAATTTGGATCTGGCCCTTTATGCTGGGTCTACCAATTTCTGTTGATTAAGCTACGCTCGGTAACGCCAGTTTTGAAACTGAGCTATAAACTATCCAAAGAAAACAGATCAAGGTGAAATACCTTATTCCCGAAAATTGTAATGAAATATTCTGGCCTCCAGTTAATGAGTACCTATGGAACTGGTTTAGGCCAGAGGTGAAAGGTTCTGATGTGGTGAAAGGTGGTGAAAGGCTGTGCAAGACATCCCGAGGGGCATATCTCTCCACTAAAACCTTTAAACCGATTCTCCCCGAGAAACTCCAGTTTTCTAAAAAAATGCCAAAAGAATCCTCAAAAATCTTGTTGTCTTAAAAATATATTCTGAGCCTGCGCTAGCCTCTTTTTCAAACATGACTTCCTTGATTTGAAATTTTGCATAATTTTTTGAAAAATTTGGCATACTGCAAAAGCTCAATTAAGCTTCCGGGGCTTATTTATCATTTACATTTCAGAGGGGGGGGCTTAAAAGAGGGGGCTTATTAGAGAGAGGGGGCTTATTACAAATTTGGAGCAAGAAAAGTTTTAAAAATACCCTTGGCCCTTTTTTGTAATGAAAATGTCATACAAACTTTGCTAGCAGCTTCGAAAGTTTAATAAATCAATTATAAGGTCCTCATCTTCATCAACATCACCAGGATAAATTGATAACCCTTGGATATCTTCTAAACAGATTTCGACTGACTTGCAAGTCGCACAAGTTAGTCTTTACATAGGCCGTATTTAATGCACACGATCTTATCATCATCACACCCGTCAAGAGACCCACTTCTATGTTTCACATCAAAGGCTAAAGAGAGGAGGTCTTAATAAAGAGGGGGGCTTATTTTAAGTTTTTGCTTGAAGTTTGGGGTACTTATTAAAGAGGGGGACTTAATAGAGAGGGGGCCTTAATAGAGAGGGTGGCTTAGAACTTTTACAGTAATTCCAGAATTGAGACCTGGTCACACTATGTACTTTGGGATGTGCCGCGAGCAAGGATGTACTTTTTGGACTTTTTGTTTAGCCAAGGGTATACTTTTTTGCAATTTTGGTGAAGCCAAGGTCTATCCAGAGGTATCATATTTGACAATATTGGCTTAGGGAACGGCTTACCTTTTAGAGTAGGAACGTCTTTCTGATCACCCATTTTTGTTGACAGTAAACAAGTAAATGAAAACAGATCGACCTTTCCAATTTCTAATCAACAATTTCGATATAACTGCTAACTTGAATGGCTTGGAAATGAATTTAGCCAAGGGTTTCGTTTCTCAATATTAGACCACGCCAAGAGTATCCTTTTGTAGAAATTTGCCTAGCAAACGGTACTTAATTTGCCTAGCCAATAACCGGTGCGTGTGAATGTAAATCAAGCTTTAGAGATAGCAACAACACCAAACGATACCCTGGGTACTAGAGGAGAAGCAATACAGCGTCTATCCGAGATGAAGGACAATATGAGGTAAACCTCACCCATTGTCGTTCTGATGTTTAATTGTATGGTCCAAATGATGATTTCACGTAAAAGTCGGCAGACCGTTGCTTTTTTGCTGTCTTTATCACATGCCACAATGGCAATGAGCCCAAGTCACAATCACAAAGAAAGATCATGAACTGAAACAACCCAAAATATTTTATCACTGGACAAAAGACAAATGACGAGGCAGTACTGGTGAAAATAGCATTTAAGGTATGTATAACTAAGAGTTTGTATCTGTGTGCTTTGCATAAGCAACGCATCTCGAAGGGTTCAGCCTAGGGCACACTAGCGATTTTTGTCGCCAGCGACGCCAGTTTCTATTTTATTGGGAATGTCTCAGTAACGTGAAGGACTTTTCTATACAAACCCCAAAACAAGGAGAAATTGTTGAACATTCTGTAGACATAAAGAGGAGGGTCTCCTGTGAGCATCTGAGGCTAGACATGTTCTCCGCGAAGTTATTCTTACCTTGTACAAATTAGAAGAAGCATGTAATACTTATGAAAATCACGTAACCAACTTCAATAAATTATACATGACGCATGACGAAATAATAATATAAGATCAAATTACAAGGAAATAATATGAAAAGCCACAAGCACGCAATCAGGGGCGGACTGGCTGGTCGGGCTATTCGGGCGATCGCCCGAAGGGCCGGTCGGTTAAAGGGCCGGTTGATAAAAGAGCAAAAAAATATTTTAGCTTAAAAAGTGAATGCGAGGCAAAAAAGTATACCCACGCGTTAATCTGTTTGCCTTGAATTTTCAGAGACTTTGAGGGAAAGAGTAAATATACACGCGAGTACTCCAAAACCATCAAAATTATGAATTCATTTTTGCACCGCAGCCCAAACACACTTCTTCAGGGAACATGTTATTGACATTTTGTTATATTTTCTCTTGACGGTATTTCCTTTTTGGCGACATATTATACTGTAACATCCCTGTTTCAATGCGATACATAAAGCGCCGGCAAAACGACTGGACATTTGCACTGGTTACACATTGGACATTGCTCACTTGTTCAGAGTATGGACATCAAGAAAATATTGGTTATGGCAAAACGACTGAACATTGTCCAGTGAACTTTTTCTCTTTTGAAGAATGCGGGTTGAAAAACAGGCAACAAGGCATCTCTTTACCTTTGAAAATACACTTTTCATAGCCCCAACCGTGTTATCGTATGAATTAAAGTGTATTATTGAAAAGTGGCTAGGACTGCTAGGTTCATCAAAATCAGGGGCGGATACAGAATAAAAGTTGACGGTCGCACATTAACACTGCCCAGCAGGCGGTTTAGGGGGCCTCCTTCATGCTCAAGGGCGGAGCCATGATGGGGGCCCAGCCCCCCCAGAACCAGAGCAATTAGGACTGGGGCCCTGAAACGCTCAAATTGTTCAGTCAAACATTTTTCGCTTTAAAAGGTTTTCCAAATTTTCCAGCATTCATTTCCAAATATCTTGAGATTCAGAAGTGTACACTTCCTGTTCACCGTATAGATAAAGAAAATTGGAACTCTTCCCTTTCACAACTTACAACCTCATCCACTTTCTTCCCTTGCCAGCAGTTGTGCGGCACAGTAATCTAACATAGTGTTTACAGACTTTTCGTGCCGCACAAATATGTGAAAACTTGAATTTTGATTGGTGAGATTTGGTAAAATATTTGCATAACAAAGAGCCCTGCATATTTGTGCGGCACGGGCGACATGCTTAAAAATCATACTGTTTACGGTCTAGGATGGTATTGGTTTTTTTCTATATTGAATTAAATCGTAGCATTGTGTGTGAGATCGACAAAGTTCGGTCCTGTGTTCATTATGTAAAGAGAACAGAATGTATTATCTTTAAGGAAGAAAATAAAAGATTGTGATAAACACGATTGCCTTATTTCAATGACTAAAGACTAAAACTAAATTCTGAAAATCTGACGGTCTTCCGTGCGACCTGTGCGACACCCTGAATCCGCCCCTGATCAAAATCACCGTCCTCGTGCTCTCTGGCATCGCTTTCCTTATTGTAAATAAAGCTAATCTGATCAGAAAACTCATCGTTATTAATGAAATGCCTTTTTTTACTATTGGTCGAATTGAATTTTTACGTTGTTTCCATTTCGTTCGCGGTGTTGACTAGGAAAGTTTGTTGAAGATTTGAATATGGGAAATAAATTGACGCCAAATCCAAACCATTAATCGATTGCGCGTGCGCGAACTGGACAATGTTCAGTAGAGTGGCAAAACGACTGAACAATTTCTGTATAACATCAGTGAACAAAAGAAATTTAATCCTGTCCACTGAACATTTTTGGCTGCCTTCAAAATCGACTAAACAACATTCAACATCGCTGAACAAGACTGGACAAGGTGGCAAAACGACGCAACATTTACGCTGGACATTTGTCCAGTCCATGTTCAGTGATAATGTCCAGTCGTTTTGCCGGGGCTTAAGATTTTAACCTGCTCCGATGTCTTTTTACTTACCTTTTGTTTGAAGCTGGTCATGTTTTTCCCTAAGCACAAGCTATTGCTAAATGTAATAAATTTAAAAGTCCAAAAATTAGAGTTCACTAAGCGATTTGCTCTGTGATGTGAAGTAATGAAGAGGACATACGTAGAACAAGGGAAGAGCAAAAAGACTTCAATCAAAGGTGGTGCACAGAAATTTCGTGAGGAAAAGCTGCGAGACATAAAAAAGGATTCAGCTACGATACAAAGCTTTTTTTATCAAGCAAAACAGGGGTATGGTGCCACACGATAAAATTTCAACAGGGGTGCCCGTTTTCTTTTTGGGGTCAGAAATTGACAAATCGATATTTTTGGGCTGCTGAAAATCATTGTGGTTTTCCGGAGGAATAGAAAATTATTTGTCACAAGTTGAGTGTGAAGCTTTTCCACTTTAAATATATGAAGAACAGATTACGTGGTAATTTTTCGCAGCCAAACCTAGAGTCCTTCATGTTAATGTTCTTAGAAAAACACCTGTTAGATGACATCTAGAACGATCACATTATCAACAAATAGGTTACTGTATTTAGAAAGAAAGTCAAACCAATGAGTTAAAATTTTTGTTTATTTATTATTTAGTTAGCAAATGACTTATTGAACATGTTCTGTTAACCAGCATTCATCCATGCACATCCATGCGCAATGGTCAAGAGTTTGGCCCACTCCAACTTTTTTTCAAACTCGATGGGTAACCCTTAAAAAAGAAATCTAAAATATCTACTCTTTAGAAACATGTAGGCAATCTCTAGTATTTATAACGATTTGTTCCTGAGAACATCGAAAAGAGTTAATTTCACTTAGTTTTAGCTTCGAAGGAACATGTATTGTTAGGGCATCATTTCTTGCTATCAAATGCACATAAGACTGTAAGTGACTTGAAAAAACAGTATGATTATAGTATGAAGAATCGACTAAACTATTGAATTTACTGGTTATTAAGGCTGTAGGCGGTTAGCAGAGCCAAAAAAGATGCCCTAAAATTCAAAAATCCTTCTGCACAGTGTCGCTCTTGGGCATGTCTGTGGGTCCCTTCAGGTTGTACCCTCTACACAAGAGGCTTAAGACTATTAGTTTTGGTACATGTATGTTTCAAATTTGTTAAGTTGTTCCCAAAGAATAAGTTGAGCAAAAAAAGATAAAATTTCCATCTGATGTCCTTAGATGATAAAACCAGTCAACATGATCCTACGGCCCCTAATCACGTGATATCATGGCTCCAGTCAAGGTTTTTGGCTAGCTCCGCCTCTGGAAGCTCTCATAGGCAGGCAACACGGAATTCCTTAGACAGTGCTTCCAAAACGATGATAAATAGCAAAGAGCTTAGAAAAAACTCTTGATGAATGCCAACCTTTACCTCGCAGTCCTTGTATATATTGCCAACTCTTGTACAGCTTTTAGCACACGACTTGTACGAGTGATCTGGAGCCAAAAACATGAAGATCTTTGAAGAAAAGTCTAAAAAGCCATGCTTCTGCTTGATTACTTGGTATTTTATCCTGCCTGTAAAATCTTTACTGTTTCAATGAAATTTTGAAAAACAGTTTTCAATTGACATTCTAAAATGCAGTTCTAACGTATTGCATAAGGAACAATACGTACTGCGCTTCCTGATTACCCTACTACAAGTTCCTAATATTTTTGGCCCTATCCAGTGCTGGTTTTAGTGGCGGGCAATGGCCCCAGGCCCCACGCTTATGTTAGCCAAAAGGGGCCCAACACCTAAGAAAAAGATGGAAATTGTAAAGAACAAGAGCCCCGCAGATGTTTTTGGCCCCGGGCCCGCAGTCCCTAAAACCGCCACTGGCCCTATCAAAAGGGACAACCGTCACATTATATGTTTAAAAAGGTAAAAAAGGGCTCGCTATTTCCTTAATGTTAAGTATGTATTTGTGGCTGCAGCTCACTCTTTAGAATTATTCTGGTTGAGATTGACTAAAACTCTTTTATATTTAGGCCTTTACCTAATAGTAGTTATTCAAAAGTTAATTTTTTATTTGATTTAGGAGAAACCTGGCAAAAAGTAACCCATATGCTCAAAGCATTATGGGTCACTCGGTTATTGAGGACAGTCCAAGTGAGCAACAAATGAAAGAAAACGGTAAAAAATGGAGAATCACATGCAGCTGGTTACCCAAAAGATATTTGTTGGCAATCCTAAGCTTTTTGGGATTTCTAAATCTCTATTTATTGCGAGTCAATCTCAGTGTTGCCTTAGTTGCCATGGTTTCAAATAAAACGATAACCACCTCTTTTGGTTATGTTGTTTTTACAGTAGGTTCATTTTCTTTAACTTACTTACCCCGAGTTTTTGCTTTGAAGCATTTTTTCATATGTATGTTGAAAGAAAACATTTCATGAAATTTCCTTTAAATTTGCACAGTTAGGTTTGCTATTTTCAAACTTGTAATCTAAAACCAATTCAAGGGTACAATAGATTTGTATAACCAGTGAGATGTTTTTATGCTTATAGAATTCAGATTTTGCGACTATACAGTTAAAACATTCTTTACTTGTTTAGGGGTACTGTCATCAAATTTTATAGCTTGAACCAATTCATATCATCTGATAATTTATCTTAACGAAAGCTTGAAATGGCGTTTTGTCTTCTGATCATTTCTAATTTGCTGTTTACTTGAATACAAGCTAAGTGGTCTGTAAATCTTTATACTAGGAGCCAGCAGAATTTTCTTGGAGCACGAAAGAACAAGGTACTTGTAATTTATTATTAAAAGACACTGGTAGTATGTTATTCATCAGTATGTTATTTCCAAACATCTTATTGCTCTGAATTGCAAGTAGCAACTGCGACTCTACTACACCTTTTTCTGCCCGGCGGGTTCAGTAAGTTGGTCAAACGTATATCAGGTGAGTTCCGAGAAACTCCGAGATAGGGTTGTCTGAAAGCTAAATTTCTGGGACATGGAGCTTTGAAAATAGGGTTGGTTTTTCATCAGTCAGAGGAACCACAAAAAGTGAAGGAACTTACAGATATGATGTTACAGATAATTTTTTGGCAAATCAATCGCTATTAGTTTGTACTCATTACAGACATAAGTTTAAAAAATAGAATGGTTCGTACATGAACTGGTTTCAAAAATACTTATTCAAGCTTGAGAATTCCCCGTGATAAGGGTTACAAAAGTTTTTGCAAAGTCAGAGAAAAGGGTTCATTTCATGGAACCAAGAATCACAGATTAGGGTCCCATTTCTACGTTAAGGAACACGCATGATATAGGTGGTCTTTCTGGTGTCAATTCTGAGATTGATCTAGTTAGAGAAGCTTTTACAAATCATCTAGTTACAGATGATCTAGTTAGAGATTGAACTGCAAAGTATTGCAAGAACTTTAATAATGTTGCCTACAGATTACCCTGGGTGCCAGAGCCTTAGAGAGTCAAAGGATAAAGAACGGGGAAAGGAATTGCGAAGGAATTTCCATTCTCCTTCGCATCTCCCTTCCCCCGTTCTTCATCCTTTCACCCGACAAAGGATTGAAATTTGAAACTCAAGGACTCAAGGACAGGTATGTTAATATATGTGAGTATTAATGATACCTTCTGATTCAAAAGCTGGAAATTGGGATGGATGTGGTATTGCTTGGCTGTATCTCGTGCAGATTTCCTTTGTTTTCATCATTCATTCATTTTTTGACTTGACAGGTATCATCCTGAGCTCTTTCTTTTATGGTTACATCTTCACCCAAATACCTTGTGGGTATCTTGCAGCCCGTTTTGGTGGGAAAAACCTTTTTGGTGGAGGTATTCTAATGACAGGACTGTTTACATTACTAACACCATTAGCAGCAAGAATGAGTATTAAGTTTCTCATAGCTGTTAGAGTGTTGCAAGGATTATCTCAGGTAACCTGACATTCCAAATTATTTAACTTTTGAAACTTTTTAAGTTAGAAAATATTTCTTTCGCTAGTTTTTTGTGTAATCTAGATTTTAGTGAGCTTTGATTGACAATGGCAGTATCTTATTCACATTTTCCCACTTTATCAGAGGGACCAATGTAGTCTTTTTCTTCATTTCCCAATTAACTACAGTCTAATCTTTTCTTCACAGGGCGTCACTTTTCCATGCATGCATGCGATCTGGAGCAAATGGGCTCCACCAATTGAAAGAAGCAGGCTCTCAACGATATCTTTTTCAGGTATGGCATGTTTATAGGTATACATTACTGATGACTAATGAAGACTTCAGTGGAAAGGTTTAAACGAAAGTGTTTTTTTTTAAATCTGTATATATAGATAACATAGTTTGAGTCGCGTCATCAAGGATTTGTGTAGTTCCTGATGATTTAGGGTTTCTTTGACGCTTTGTTTTGAGCTGTCAGTATTGTTTCTTTACTTTTAGGACTATTTGCTGGAACGGTTCTTGGAATGACATTTTCAGGAACGATAGCTTATAATCAAGGCTGGCCCGCTGTTTTCTACTTCTCTGGTAAAAAGTTACAACTATATTGCAATATTTAACAGTTCACGGCTTCTTATACACTGGTCAAACTACTAATTCAACTCTCAATGATCTGAGTTAAAATTCAACAGTAACTGATGTAGCAAGTTATTTTAAACTATTGAGCAAGTTATTGAGCATTCAAGCATCGATTTGAAGCTAAATCACATCAGGGCACATGAGTATGACATGATAAATGGAAAATTCTCAAATATCTCATTCGATATCATCCTTTTGCCCATGTATATTGATTATGACTTTGCAGTGAAGGAAGTCGGGATAAGCTAGAGAAATTAACGAGAGAGTATTGCGACTTGTCTAGTCGGACTATTCATCTTCGTACAACGATTTACTAACTCGTATAGTAAACCTGGGTGCTATGGCTCAAGTGCGGCACTCGACTGGCACTCATGGGCGTAGTAGATGCTACACGTTTAGGGGGCTTAGTATGGATCTTGCCCGAACTATCGCAAACTTAGAATGTTCTAAAGCGATAAACTCACAAAAAACGCGAAATTGAACGTTATATACTTCTTTCAAGGTAACAAAACAATAACAAACTGCCTATATATTCTCATCGCTCGCTCAAGAATAAGAAAAGTCGTGTTTCTAAAACTCCTTGTAGCTACACGCTCCTTCCCCGCGGTCAATTGTAAACAGTTTTTTTACACAGGAACATTGTTGCCGCACTTAAATAGAACTGCCCGAATTGAGAATGAAATGCCTTAAACTTGCCTGATATGGGGTCCTACAGCCCTCCTAGCCCCATGTCTCCTACGCTTTTGAAAATTCCCTCTCCTCGGGGGTTTTAGGAGACAGCACTTTTAATTAAGAGCAATTGCATGTTGTGATATTTGTTTATATTCTTCGCAGGTCTTGTTGCAATTATTTGGAGTGTTTTTTGGTTTTGGATGGTTACTGATTCTCCTTTCCATCATCCTACGATTACAGATATAGAACTTGATTATCTCAAACAGGAATTATCAGACGATAAGACCGAATTAAAAGTGAGTCTAACCAGTAGGCACTTCTCTCACTTATCTAAAGAACGTGTCTATTAGTTATCACGAAGCCAATATTTAAGATTTGTTTATTAATCTTTCCCTTCTCGTTAGGCCTAGTCCTTTCCTGAACCCTGCTAATTCAAACAATTCCCTACCCCTCAATTTTACGCCCTGTGTTGATAAGATTTAGAAAACATTCCCCTCCTCATTTTCACTTATTCTAAAAAAGACCGAGGTTTATGCTGTTATGAAAATGTGATTTTTTGATAAAATGAATGAATACTCATGGGCTCTGATACAGATTGAGAATTGGGGGAAGAAAATAAAAAAATATAACACACATAACAAAAGATTTTGAAAAAAGCTCTATTGTCGTGCGGAAAACGAAGGCAGATATTTTCTAAAGTCAAATAGCAGCTACCGATTACTTATTTTTCAGTTAACAACGGTTCCATGGAAAGATTTGCTCTCATCTGGTCCTGTGTGGGCAATTATAATCGCGAATTTTACAACGAACTGGGGCAATTACATACTACTTACGTCACTTCCGACTTATCTCAAGCTGGTGCTAAAGTTTGATCTACAAAAGGTACATTTCAGATAATGAGCCACTTGTTTTGTTCTTCATCTTTTCACAGAATTTGAAAATGGGTTGATTTTTCGACAGCTGTATGTCAAAAACTTCTTCTATCACCATGGTCTAATGGACCTGCTCTATTTCATTTTCTTTAATAGACACCTTGACCGGAATTCATTACGGACATCTTATCTAGCATTGATAAGAATAACATGTGTGTAACTTCTTTATTAGGCCATCTACACTTGGCTTTTTCCTTGCCAATAGAAATTATTTTTTGTCAAAATGTTTAAACTATTTACGCTGTTACAAATTACGTTTTTTCACCTCAGGCATTTAATTGATATAATGAAGCATATGTATGAGTCTTATTGGTCTTTTAGAAACACTTCGTTATTAAACTTCATATATTTTTTGCAGGCGGGGTTTCTTGCCGCACTTCCATACATGATATTGACCCTAATGATTCAGATGGGGGGACAGCTTGCAGATTATCTACGGTCTTCGGGAAGAATGTCAACCACTACTGTTAGAAAGCTTTTTACTGCAATAGGTTAGTAAACCTTTGTATCATTTTACTTATTTCTCTTACAATTTATCATGTACTCTGTTTGACCAGAACTGTTATTTTGTTAGATCAGTAAAGTTATTTTGGTATAATAGAACTATTTTTTCGTGGACCATTAATATTGTCTTGGCAGACTGCTTTGTTAGACCAGTGATATTGTTCTTGCTGCCCACTTCTATTGTTTTCGTAGACATTATTTTGTTCCACCAGTTCTGTTATTTTGATGGACCAGTACCATCATTTTGTTAAATATTATCTTGGAGACACGTTCTATTGTTTGTTAGACCGGTACTGTTGTTTTGGTACAGAAAAATCCCGCTAAAAGAACTTATTCTTTTTCTGGCAGCCTCAATAGGTTCTTAATTAAAAAGCTTTTTGATTACCTGCATCCCTCCTCTTTTCTGAACAGGGTTCATGAGCCAAGGCGTTTTTCTGATAGTCGTTGGGTACAGTACAAACAAATACATGGCCATTTTTGCTTTAGTCATGTCGGTCGGATTAGGTAGCCTTGCATGGTGTGGTTTCATTGTCAATCATCTCGATATAGCACCGCGCTATGCAAGCCTCATTTTTGGAATCAGCAACACTTTCGCTACAATTGGAGGAATTGTCAGTCCTCTTGTTGTTGGATTCGTCACTACACACGAGGTCTGTAACTTGATACCTAGACTTTGAATTCTTATGATCTTCTTGATTCACAAAGAAAGCGTTTTCTTTCAATTTCTCAGGCTATTTCAGAATTATAAAAAATCTGGAACGAGTGGCATCTCTCTTCATTTATAATGTATTAAATGCAAAATAATTCATTTTATCTTTAAATATAGTATTTTAAATATAGTATTTTATGGAAAGTCATTTTCAATACGAATCGTCAACTAATCGCATCATCTACAGTAAGACTGAGATTGAAAATAATTTAATAGATTAGTTTAAGTTGAACTGGAATGTCGAATCTCGGTGCTCAGACATGCAGATTTACATTTTTTCAAAGCAAGAAACGCAAAGAGAATTGCTTGCGATCAACTTTAGGTCAGAATCGATTGGGTAGCATGTCTCTTCTGAGCACCGAGCATGGTGTAATTGACGTTTTTTCGATGGATGACTTTATTTCTTATATTGGTATTTGTGAATCCGCCACTTGCCATGTTGATATTGTCTCGTAGCCATGTTGATATTGTCTTAATTCACTGTCTTTGAATATGTCTTTGAGATGTTGACGTTACGTAATTGAGATAATCCATAAAATTGTGGCTTGCGCTTACACTGCCTCTGAATAAAATGTTCTTCAAGTTGAGCAAGGAGTTGATATTGTTTTGATAATGGATGATATTTCTCTACCCAGACTAGAGAAGAATGGCTAATAATATTCATCATGGCAGCGGCAGTTTACGGGTTTGGAACTCTGGTTTTCTTGATTTTTGCCTCCGGTAAGAAGCAGCTGTGGGCAGATCCATCTGGGTACCAAAGTATTTCTGAAGACAACGATGATAAAGACATGTTGCTGAAAGAGGGAATCAAGGATGAGAAAGGCACCCCATCGGCTACCAATGAAACTTTTTAGATGAAGGAAGCAGAAACTCTTTTGCCAGGTGCTGTTGGCAGTTATGGTTCAGTTTCGTTGGACACATCTAAAGACTTATAAACTTGTACTTTCGAGACAGCTTTATCTCAATTTGCTTGTTCCCATTTCCAATAAGGTGCAGCTCTTTTGAACTCTCATTCTAACTAGTGTACAAGTTGTCTTCCTGCTTGTGACAAGGATGCTCTGGTAAACTTGTCAAGTGGCATGTTAGCGAGTTCAGAAACATCGAAAGACCTTCTTGGCGCAGAAGAGTATGCTGAGCGTTGCCTTCTCTATCTAGAAATGAAAGGTATTTCAAATTGAGTAGTGATTCTTTTTAAATATTTGGTTATTAACATAAGTAGGTTTTATATCATTAAAATGGCTAGGAATGGGGGATCAATACAGAATGCAAATTAATAAACGGCAGTATAATCATCCTCGTCCTAGACTTTTTTCTCAAAAAAAATAAACCGAATTTTAGGCTGTTCTGAAATTTGTGTGTGAGACATCCTTTATTTGCTGATAAATTTTTGAGATAAAAATATTTGAGGAGATTTCACGACATTGCTAAAACTTGTATTTTACAGTAGCTTAGTCTCATCTTGTTCTTTAACGCTCTTAATAATTGACAAGTTTTGAGGCTCTTGTTCTTATGAAATTGTTCTTATAAAAAAGGGTGTAGTCCATTTTCAATTCGCAAAACGCTTCCGTCTCATCGGTCAGTGCGAAAACTTTTTGGTTAAAGAGGTGAGCGAAAACTCAAGAAAAATGCCAATAAAATGAAATCAATTTCTATAAGGTATTTGCATGCAATCCTTTTGTCTACTAGCTATTAATGTTTATGAAATAAACTTCTTTGGTAATTTTTTAAGTCAGATTATTTTAGTCAAGGTCAGTTGCTTTGTCATACCTGTTGCTTTGTTATTCAAGAAATAAAAACCTTTCCTTATACTATAAAAAATCATAGATATTGCCTGTTACCAGGGAAGACAAACCAACTAGCAGCGCCCTCAACGATGGAGAAAGCAAAGGCTTCCCATCTGACTGATCATACATTAACTGATCATACACTGATTAACTAATCATACATTGATCAACTGACCAGACATTGATTAACTGATAATACACTGATTAACTAATCATACATTGATCAACTGACCAGACATTGATTAACTGATAATACACTGATTAATTGATCATACATTGATGAACTGATCAGACGTTTGCGAGGCACTGGTTGGCCTATTTTGATCCATAATTGGGTATATACACAACTGTCTATTTCTTGGGGAGAGTTTTTGTGAGGCGAAAAGCTAATGTATGATCCATAATAAAATATAAATGGTTAATCTACCCCCGAGTAAATAATTCCAATTGTCTTGATTGTGGAAACAAATAATCACTGTTCCCATTATTTGTGGGAACTAATAAACCCCCTAGTGATTTTTAGAGGAAAGGTGGTATGATGCAAGCTGAATAATTTCCTTACTCCAAGGCCACAATATTAATTTTAAATGGAATTGCATCGTTATAGCAAATAGAAAGAATACAATTCGTATTTGTAACAGTATTTGTATTTTTAAAGTAATTTTCTTTTAAATGTAAAATTTCAGTGTTTTTGTGGCCAAACTATACGCCAGTGGGGATATATCAAATTAGATATTTTCTTTTTCATTTATTGGCTCTTGTCTGTTTGTAGCTCTGAAAATTACAGTGGTGCATGCTATTATGCCTGGATTCAGGGGGTTTCTGTGGTAAGGGGATTTCTCAGAACCCAAACAGTTACTACTGGTTCCCACTTTTATATCGTGGTACATATGGCTAGATGAAAGATGATGATATCGTCCGAATGGTTGTCCACACTTGGGTCCTTAGAGTTCTCGGGACTACAGAGCCATGACAAATGGTGAACATACAGTCAATGACGGCGAAGAGGGCCAGTTAAGCTTTGTCCGAAAGTGTTATTTGATTGATGAATAATAACATTGCCAACCATCGCAGAAAACCTTCTCTCCAGAGAATACCCCAAGCACTTGCTACGGCTGGGTGATGTTGAGTTACAAAAGCATGACAAATGAATTTCTTGCATGTGTTTATATACTTTCCAACCTAAGTTGATAACGATTATTGAACGGTTCTTGACAATTTCTTTGTCAATGCTTGATAAGGAACTTGGACTTACAGTGGGAAAAAGCAATTCAAAAGCTCTTCAATTTTCGTGCTGCCTTAAAAAGACCGACAAGGTGAGTGAAATTGCTGAACTTTAATAAAACAACAACAAACGTTTTGATTATCGTCTTGCCTACTTGGAGAACCTAGCGACTTGCACATGCGACCTAATGCAGTGGCATAAGAAGTAGCATGCGTTATTCTAATTGGAAACGCAGTCAAAGAAAACCTGGGTGATGCACGCAAGTCCTTAAATCACTGTTTTTGTAGGCCATCGTCTCCACCTAGCATGCCCTTGGAATTCGTGCGACATTTAAAGATATCCTGTTTTGGTTGTTTTAACATGAGTAAATGTGTTCAATTTTGAAATTATCTTCGTTCCTTGAATTACAGTAAGCCACTGCCACATTAAAAGCTGGTGATTTTTATGAACCAAACCATATGAGTTAACTTCAGTTAACGTAGTTAATACATGTTCATAGCCAGAGCAACCTCTTTTGGGCTTCTAGTCTAGCCAAGGGTATACCTTTTTGTAATTTGGGTCCATTGGTGCTCTGACAAATTCTCGCACATGGCTAAAACTTTTTGAAAAACAAGGGATTGCACGAAGGTGCCTCATTATAACCTTCAAAAGAGATGATTGCCCTGCATAGAAGAATGGATGGAAAAGCAACTGAGGCTGATGAAAGAAATCTTTGGATGAAATATTCAAACGAATTGTAGACTTGATCTTTGTGACTTAAACAAATCTTCTTGCCTTATATTTCTTTTATATAATATCATCATTAATCGCCATTGATGTAAACTACAATCCTGGCCAAAAGAAATGGTCGCCTCGTGCTAAAAACTAGGAAATCGGAAATTGAAGACATATAAAAAAATATATCTAGTAAATTTTTATCACCGTAACTCACTCCCCACGATTGTGAAAGTCTTTCAAATCCAAAACCTCCGAATATTCAAGACCCCCGAATATTCAAGACCCCCGAATATTCAAGACCCCTGAATATGGACAAATTTCAAGTTTGGGCGTTGTACTTTACAATCCATTGTCTTAGTAGTAATAGTTTTTTCTTTTATACCCCTTACTCAGTTTTTTGGCAAATGAGGCTTAAACCCCCCCCCCCCTAGTTCACACTAGCTAACAGCAAGCCTGAACTTAAAGTGCCTGTGACATGATTTTTTTTATTCTCTTAATTGAAGCGTTGCACTGCTCTTATAGTAGATCTGAACTTTTTTTTAAATGAAAGCGTTTTGGTATTGAAATTAAGCAAAATAGTGCGGCCTAGCCAAGTCGCTTTATCATCATTCGCCGTTCTCTTGTGACGTCATGGGAGGAACTCGTTATTGTAATAATGCAAGCACTACCTTCAAAAATCTCATCCTCACTGCCACTACTTTCTCTGGAAATATCGCTCCTCTTGGACCTGCTAGATTTCCCTCATTGACTACGATACAAAAAACTCGAAGGAGGAGGCGATCGGGTCCCTCCCGTGACGTCACTGCCTACTCATTCTGAAAACCAAGATGGCGAATTTTGGCGTAGAAGATCGCCAATAACTCCTTCATTTCTCACGAAACGTAAAAACTAACCTCAGAAATGAAAATAACAGGCCTTTTTACATAAGATTAGATATATAAACCCAAAAGTACGAAAATCATGTCACAGGCACTTTAAACTAACTGGTACTGTGAAAAAGAGTCTATGACCAGGATCCTTACACTGTTATTTGTTAATATGCGTTCTGTATTCATCCTATTAATAATATTTGGACACAGCACTGCTCGAATGATCCCCCTTCCCCAGATTACTTAGCTATTCGAAATTCTTTTCATTTCTAGAGATTCTGGTTCTTACGATATACGATATTTCCATTTCAAAATTCCTAAACGGCTTTTTACGAACTTCAGAGGTGGCATTTCTGCGTGGCAATAAAGCTCTTCTTGGCGCCCTGCGAAATCTTCGATTGTCCTGCGAAATCGACTATTTTTTGGATTGGGGGGTGTCACACACCCCCCCCCCCCCCCACACCGCCCCGGTAGTTTCGCCCCTGCCTGACTTTGATTATTGTGAAATAGCCTAAAACCTTGAAAAAAGTGTTTTCTTTGTGGATCAAGAAGATTATAAGAATTTCGAGTCTAAGTAATTAGAGTTTCGCATAATATTAATAATATTAGAGTTACAGACCTCGTGTGTAGTGACAAACCCAACAACAAGAGGACCGACAATTCCTGGAATGGTAGCGAAAGTGTTGCTCATTCCAAAAAGGAGGCTTGCATAGCGCGGTGCTATATCAAGGTGATTGATAATGAAACCACTGTATGCAAGGCCATCGAATCCGACAGCCATGACTAAAGCAAAAAGGGCCAGATTTTTGCTTGTACTGTACCCAACGATTATCATAAAAAGACCTTGGGACATGAACCCTGTTCAAGATAAAAAAGGACAGGCTTTTAGACAAAATGTAATTTCTAACAAGACAGTTCCTATAAAACAAGTAAACGACTTAAAAATAGGTTTTCTAACCTATTGCAGTAAAAAGCTTTCTAACAGTAGTGGTTGACATTCTTCCAGAAGACCGTAGAAAATCTGCAAGCTGTCCCCCTATCTGAATCATTATGGTCATTATCAGGTAGGGAAGAGCGGACAGAAACCCTGCCTGCAAAAAAATATATCAAGTTTAATAACGAAGTATTTTTAAAAGACCAATAAGACTGATACATATTCTTCAACATACCAATTAAATATTTGAGCTGAAAAAACGTAATTTAGAACGTCCTTAATTAGAACAAAGCATTCAAACATAACATAAGAGTAAAGGGGGCCTTGAAAAAGGATGTTAGAGTCTCTTTGACATTATGTGATATTTCTTTGACGTCAATCTTTGGAATATGGGCTGCAGAGGTGATCTTTCGAAATTCTTCTTCAACAAGCTTAAAAACCTGAACGCATTCTGGTGTTACTGACCACAAGCCACCTCTTGTCTGTGACGCAACTATCCTTTGTGCTGATACATTATCATTTTTGGCAGCATAGAGCAATGATAATATTTCTTGAGATTGTTTGGACTTGTAGTCTGAAAATTTATAAACTTTTCTAACCAATGCATTCATGACATAGCCCGATAGGTACTGCAAAGCATCCATTTCTCGCTCTGTAATAGGTTTACTGGATGCCATTGGTGATTTCTTAGATTGAATAAAATAAGCAATCAACTTGTCTGCAAGTCGCATTGCAATCAATGTGCATACAGGGTCCTCCAGGGAAATAAGCTATTTTGTTGCATTAAGAATAACAGAGTAGTAGAATGAAGAACAAAACTTCTCAGCATTAAAATTTCTAGAAAATGAACTCCAGATTTTCTGTATTTCTTTTTCAAGAAGCTAGGATTCGTCAACAAAGCAATAGTCCCCTGCAGCTTTACATATAAAATCTGGATAGCACTCATCTTTTGAAACGTTTGCTTTGGATTTGTTAACCAGTCTGATCAATGTATCTCCTTGGAGCTGACTCTCGGCTGCTCTCGATTATTCCCTTGGTCTGGAATACTTTGTTCGCCCAGCATCACATCATGCTTTAAAAGAGAGGTCAAACAAGCCATTAAAAGAGTCCATTACCAGGCGTTTCACTGGTACAGGAGGGGATGGAAAGTGCCTTTTTGGTCGCAGTGCAATTGAGTCATATGATCCGGCGAGTAGTGAATGCTCCATACCCATGATTCTCATAGGTTTCCTTCATTTTTTATACATGTTTCTTAGAGCTTGAGGTACTCTGACATTATCACATGACGAGAATTTTTCTCCCAACTGGGCTCAACTTTATACTTGAAGGCAAACTGTGATGTAGTGCAGGCGATTCAATATTGTTCAGTGCTCATAAAATGAAAAGAAGAATGACAGAATTGTCCTTCTATGATCGATCACACTGAGTTTGGTTCACTCATGTAAATTTAGTATATAAGGTGATACGAATTCTTTCTTTTGCCCTAAATCCTTGATAGCTTCACCAGTAGCCACTTGGAAGCAGCAACGTCATCCTTGTTAGAAGTTTTTTTTTGGCTTGGTGCACATGTTCCAAAAATCTATTGCACAAAGAACTAACTTTTTACAGTGCACTGTACGGTAACAGAGTGTCATTTGAAAACAAGAGTTGCCACCATAAACTCCCTAAATTGCAGAACTTTCATCCAAATCCCAAAGTCTTTAAGATTCTGTCTTTGACAATGAAATGTCAACACCATATAGAGATTTTAATAAAAGTACCAAGATTTAATAAAAAAATCCCAAAATCTCTACCTTTACCATGAGCATTTTAAAATCTCTAAATCTTGTACACGTAGACGATGCTGGGGCTGGCTCGCCCTTTGGATTGCTTAAGGGCTTCCACCAAAAGAATTTCCCAAAAGGCACGAAGAGCACCAACTGGTTTAGATTTGCTCTTAACACAAAGACAATAGAAAACCTTGTACCCCCTTCCCAACAGTGGCGTAACGGAAGCATCTGGGGCCCTACGGAAAAAACTGAGATGGAGGCCTCTGTTAAAGGACTGCAAGAAAGTCCACTTGCTATAACAATGGCAGGATGGAAAAGTTATAATTGATCCTTGTTAGCTCGGGGGAGCTGAGTTATAAAAGGTTCAGCTGAAGAACTTAGAAAGCTTTTAAAAATAAGGTTAACTTGAGCGAAGTCTTAGAAATGTGGATACAAACATAGTTTGGGGCCCCTTTTGATCGGGGGCCTCTTTTGGTCGGGGGCCCTTGATTATCGAACTAAGTTTCACTAAACTCAATTCATAGCATGATTAACATAATTTAGTATTTAGGTTCCAGTCCTATAACATCAAGACATACTACCAGCCAGAAGTCTAATAACCCTGATTGTTTCTTCGATGACAGGCGCCAGAAGACAATGTCAAATACAAGACCAATGGTTGCAATGATCAACACAGCATCAAATCTCTTTAAACCAATGCCTATTCAAAATTCTATTTCATCATCGACTATGACGCTACGGAGGAGTATGAGAGAGAGCTCGAAATTTGCAGCGATTATGGAACGCCTTCAGCTCCACGTTCTTCGTGCCGAATTGCTGCTGGTATGGTATATGAGATTTTTATCACTGCTTTCACTAGCTAAGTACTTTTACAATTTGTTTTATATTTTGCTGAATTTGGATCTGGCCCTTTATATTCTTAAGCGGCTACTTCACCTGATCTCGACAACAATCCGCCTTTCACGATGATGTTGTCAGTTTGTATGGCGAAAGCGACATATATCAGGAAGATCATCGCGTTAATCGCAAAGAGGATGATCTTATTAATTGAGAGCTCGAAGAGCGGGCTCCAACCGAAGCGGTAATTGCACAAAATTGCGAGGAATGGGAATCTTCAGATGTGTTCCTCGAGTGCCTTTTCAACCCTATAATCATTAGCACCCCATAAGGTCTACCCAGTGGCGGATTTAAGAGGGGGCAACTAGGGGCAGTTGCCCCTCCCTCAACGAGTTGAAGCAAGTTTGGCGCCCCTTTTTTTGGAAATTGTGCGCCTCTTTTTAAGAATAAGAATAAGGTGAAAAAGTTTCTGAGACCGATAGGTTAATTTGCTTCAAGAATTACCTGAAAGTTATGTTGTTTATTCCGAAAATGTATCTGAAATTGTTGTATATAGCGTACTCTCGACACCAATTTCGAAAATTTTTCAGCGTCCCCACTACCAACTGCCCCTCCTTAAAATTTGTTCTGGATCCGTCCCTGGGTCTACCAATTTCTGTTGATTAAGCTACGCTCGGTAACGCCAGTTTTGAAACTGAGCTAGAAAAAAGCCAAAGAAAACAGATCAAGGTGAAATACCTTGTTCCCGAAAATTGTAATGAAATATTCTGGCCTCCATTTAATGAGTACCTATGGAACTCGTTTAGGCCAGAGGTGAAAAGTTCTGATGTGGTGAAAGGTGGTGAAAGGCTGTGGAAGACATCCCGAGGGGCATATCACTCTAAAACCTTTAAACCCTATTTTCCCCGAGAAACTCCAGTTTTCTAAAAAAATGCCAGAAAAATCCTCAAATATCTTGTTGTCTTAAAAATCTATTCTGAGCATGCGCTAGCCTCTTTTTTAAACGGGACTTCCTTGATTTGAAATTTAGCATAATTTTATGAAAAATTTGGCATACTGCAAAAGCTCAATTAAGCTTCCGGGGCTTATTTATCATTTACATTTCAGAGGGGGGGGGGGGCTTAAAAGAGGGGGCTTATTAGAGAGAGGGGGCTTATTACAAATTTGGAGCAAGAAAAGTTTTAAAAATACCCTTGGCCCTTTTTTGTTATGAAAATGTCATACAAACTTTGCTAGCAGCTTCGAAAGTTTAATAAATCAATTATAAGGTCCTCATCTTCATAAACATCACCAGAATAAATTGATAACCCTTGGATAAATTCAAAACAAATTTAGACTGACTTGTAAGTCGCACAAGTTAGTCTTTACATAGGCCGTATTTAATGCACACGATCTTATCATCATCACACTCGTCAAAAGACCCACTTCTATGTTTCACATCATCGGCTTAAGAGAGGAGGTCTTAATAAAGAGGGGGGCTTATTTTAAGTTTTTGCTTGAAGTTGGGGGGACTTAATAGAGAGGGGGAATTAATAGAGAGGGTGGCTAAGAACTTTTACGGTAATTCCAGAATTGAGACCTGGTCACACTATGTACTTTGGGATATGCCGCGAGCTATACTTTTTGGACTTTTTGTCTAGCCAAGGGTATACATTTTTGCAATTTTGGTGAAGCCAAGGTCTATCCAGGGGTAACTTATTTGAAGATATTGGCTTGGGGAACGGCCTTTTAGAGTAGGAACGTCTTTCTGATCACCCATTTTTGTTGACAATAAACAAGTAAATGAAAACAAATCGACCTTTCCAATTTCCAATCAACAATTTCGATATAACTGCTAACTTGGATGGCTTGGAAATGAATTTAGCCAAGGGTATCGTTTCTCAATATTAGACCACGCCAAGAGTATCCTTTTGTAGAAATTTGCCTAGCCAACAGTAGCCAATAACCGGTGCGTGTAAATGTAAATCAAGCTTTAGATAGCAACAACACCAAACGATACCCTGGGTACTAGAGCCACATAAATTCCAAGGAGAAGCAATACAGCGTCTATCCGAGAAGAAGGACAATATGAGGTAAACCTCACCCATTGTCGTTCTGATGTTTAATTGTATGGTCCAAATGATGATTTCACGTAAAAGTCGGCAGACCGTTCCTTTTTTGCTGTCTTTATCACATGCCACAATGGCAATGAGCCCAAGTCACAATCACAAAAAAAGATAATGAACTGTATCAACCCAGAATATTTTATCACTGGACAGAAGACAAATGACGAGGCAGTACAGGTGAAAGCAACATTTAAGGTATGTTATAACTAAGAGGGTAACTAAGAGGTATAACTAAGCTATGTATCTGTGTGCTTTGCATAAGCAACGCATCTCGAAGGGTTCAGCCTAGGGCACACTAGCGATTTTTGTCGCCAGCGACGCCAGTTTCTATTTTATTGGGAATGTCTCAGTAACGTGTTTTCTATACAAACCCAAAAACAAGGGGAAATTGTTGAACATTCTGTAGACATAAAGAGGAGGGTCTCCTGTGAGCATCTGAGGCTAGACATGTTGTCTGTGAAGTTATTCTTACCTTGTACAAACTAGAAGAAGCACGTAATGCTTATGAAAATCACGTAACCAACTTCAATAAATTATGCATGACGCATGACGAAATAACAATATAAGATCAAATTACAAGGAAATAATATGAAAAGCCACAAGTACGCAATCGTAAAGAGTTTGGCCCACTCCAACTTTTTTTCAAACTCGATGGGTAACCCTTGAAAAAGAAATCTAAAATATCTACTCTTTAGAAACATGTAGGCAATCTCTAGTATTTATAACTTTTTGTTCCTGAGAACATCGAAAAGAGTTAATTTCACTTAGTTTTAGCTTCGCATGAACATGTATTGTTAGGGCATCATTTCTTGCTATCAAATGCACAGAAGACTGTAAGTGACTTGAAATAAAAGTATGATTATAGTATGAAGAATCGATTACACTATTGAATTTACTGGTTATTAAGGCTGTAGGCGGTTAGCTGAGCCAAAGAAGATGTCCTAAAATTCAAAAATCCTTCTGCACAGTGTCGCTCTTGGGCATGTCTGTGGGTCCCTTCAGGTTGTACCCTCTACACAAGAGACTTAAGACTATTAGTTTTGGTACATGTATGTTTCAAATTTGTTAAGTTGTTCCCAAAGAATAAGTTGAGCAAAAAAAGATAAAATTTCCATCCGATGTCTTCAGATGATAAAACCAGTCAACGTGATCCTACGGCCCCTAATCACGTGATATCATGGCTCCAGTGAAGGTTTTTGGCTAGCTCCGCCTCTGGAAGCTCTCATAGGCAGGCAACACGGAATTCCTTAGACAGTGCTTCCAAAACGATGATAAATAGCAAAGAGCTTAGAAAAAACCCTTGATGAATGCCAACCTTTACCTCGCAGTCCTTGTATGTATTGCCAACTCTTGTATAGCTTTTAGCACACGATTTGTACGAGTGATCTGGAGCCAAAGACATGAAGATCTTTGAAGAAAAGTCTAAAAAGCCATGCTTCTGCTTGATTACTTGGTATTTTATCCTGCCTGTAAAATCTCTACTGTTTCAATGAAATGTTGAAAAATAGTTTTCAATTGACGTTCTACAATACAGTTCTACAGTATTGCATAAGAGAACAATACGTACAGTGCTTCCTGATTACCCTACTTCAAGTTCCTAATATTTTTGGGCCTATCCAGTGCTGGTTTTAAGGGAGGCCATGGCCCCAGGCCCCACGCTTATGTTAGCCAAAAGGGGCCCCACACCTATGAAAAAGATGGAAATTGTAAAGAACAAGAGCCCCGCAGATGTTTTTGTCCCCGGGCCCCGCAGTCCCTAAAACCGCCACTGGCCCTATCAAAAGGGACAACCGTCACATTATATGTTTAAAAAGGTATAAAAAGGGCTTGATGTTTCCTTAATGTTAAGTATGTATTTGTGACTGCAGCTCACTCTTTAGAATTATTCTGGTTAAGATTGACTAAAACTCTTTTATATTTAGTCCTTTACCTATTAGTAGTTATTCAAAAGTTAATTTTTTATTTGATTTAGATGAAACCTGGCAAAAAGTAACCCATATTCTCAAAGCATTATGGGTCACTCGGTTATTGAGGACAGTCCAAGTGAGCAACAAATGAAAGAAAACCCTAAAAAATGGAGAATCACATGCAGCTGGCTACCCAAAAGATATCTGCTGGCAATCCTAAGCTTTTTGGGATTTCTAAATCTCTATTTATTGCGAGTCAATCTCAGTGTTGCCTTAGTTGCCATGGTTTCAAATAAAACGATAACCAACTCTTCTGGCTATGTTGTTTTTACAGTAGGTTCATTTCCTTTAACTTACTTACCCCGAGTTTTTGCTTTGAAGCTTTTTTCATATTTATGTTGAAAGAAAACATTTCACGAAATTTCCTCTAAATTTGCACAGTTAGGTTTGCTATTTCAAACTTGTAATCTAAAACAAATTCAAGGGTACAATAGATTTGTGTAACCTGTGAGATATTCTTCTGGTTATAGAATTCAGATTTTGCGATTATACAGTTAAAACAATCTTTATTGGTTTAGGAGTATTGTCATAAAATTTTGTATTTTGAACCAATTAATAACATCTGATAATTTATATTTACATAAGCTTGGTACGGTATTCTGTCTTCTCAGAATTTCTGATTTGCTGTTTACTTTAAGACAAGTTAAGTTATCTCTAAATCTCTATACTAGGAGCCAGCAGAATTTTCTTGGAGCACGAAAGAACAAGGTACTTGTAATTTATTATTAAAAGACACTTGTAGTATGATATTCAATAGTATGTTATTTCCAAACATCTTATTGCTCTGAATTGCAAGTAGCAACTGCGACTCTACTACACCTCTTTCTGCCCGGCGGGTTCAGTAATTTGATCAAACGTATATAAAGTGAGTTCCGAAAAACTCCGAGATAGGGTTGTCTGAAAGCTAAATTTCTGGGACATGGAGCTTTGAAAATAGGGTTGGTTTTTCATCAGTCAGAGGAACCACAAAAAGTGAAGAAACTTACAGATATGATGTTACAGATAATTTTTTGGCAAATCAATCGCTATTAGTTTGTACTCATTACAGACATAAGTTTAAAAAATAGAATGGTTCGTACATGAACTGGTTTCAAAAATACTTATTCAAGCCTGAGAATTCCCCGTGATAAGGCTTACAAAATTTTTTCCAAAGTCAGAGAAAAGGGTTCATTTCACGCAACCAAGAATCAGAGATTAGGGTTAGGACCAACTGATTGAGCCCGCTGGGTCTTTCTGGTGTCAATCCTGAGATTGAACTGCAAAGTATTGTAAGAACTTTATTAATGTTGCCTACAGATCAAAAATATTTCTTTCAGATAAGAAATGCTTCCGGAGTTAGATGCCTATTCCCTGAAAACGCCTAGTGGTAGATACTAAATACATAACTGTCAGGTCTTCAGGTTTTTAGACTTCTCAGGATCTATCTTGCTGATTCTTTTTAAACTTTGTATTCCAGGGAAAACACTGAAGAAAAAGTCATTTGAGCTTTTCACATTTCATATCATTCAGCAAATCACAGCTGGGTTCGCACAACCACCCCCAGTTGCACGCACACAATAACAAAATCTCAACGTTCTATATATATACTGTAAACTAATTAATCCAAAATAAACTACCAATGACGATGCTCTATTCAATTTACGTCAGTTGGCTCAAACGAAAGTGTAATTATTATAATCGAAGCAATTAGAAAATATGGTAAACAGAAAAGCTGCGTCACCAAGTCACAAGATACATTTTAAGGCTTAATTACACTAAACCAAAACCTTAATCGACTACGCAACCACGTCTTACGGCGTAAGCTGAGAATCTCACGTGTTTCTCCAATTCCGATGTGTTTTTTGCTACATGAATACGCCTGTTTAAAAATTATGAAGTATATCCATCGCGCCATATTCATTTACGAGAACGTACTGGCTAACCAGTAAGATAATCATTTTCATTCAGGTTCCATTCCGTTTTTAAGCAAAATTTTGGTTTAGAACACAAATTCTTACGGCAGGACACCTTAGTAGCTTGACAGGTATGTTTATATATGTGGGTATTAATGATATCTTCTGATTCAAAAGCTGGAAATTGGGATGGATGTAGAATTGCTTGGCTGCATCTCGTGCAGATTTCCTTTGTTTTCATTATAAATTCATTTTTTGGCTTGACAGGTATCATCCTGAGCTCTTTCTTTTATGGTTACATCTTCACCCAAATACCTTGTGGATATCTTGCAGCCCGTTTTGGTGGGAAAAACCTTTTTGGTGGGGGTATTCTAATGACAGGACTGTTTACATTACTAACACCATTAGCAGCAAGAATGAGTATTAAGTTTCTCATAGCTGTTAGAGTGTTGCAAGGATTATCTCAGGTACGCTGACATTCCAAATTATTTAACTTTTGAAACTTTTTAAGTTAGAAAGTATTTCTTTCGCTAGTTTTTTGTGTAATCTAAACTTTAGTTAGCTTTGATTGACAATGGCAGTATCCCATTCAAAATTTCCCACTTTATCAGAGGGACTAACATAGTCTGTTTCTTTATTCTCTAATTAACTACGGTCTAATCTTAACTTTACAGGGCGTCGCTTTTCCATGCATGCATGCGATTTGGAGCAGATGGGCTCCACCAATTGAAAGAAGCAGGCTCTCAACAATATCTTTTTCAGGTATGGCATGTTTATAGGTATACATTACTGATGACTAATGAAGACTTCAGTGGAAAGGTTTAAACGAAAGTGTTTTTTTTTAAATCTGTATATATAGATAACATAATTGCTGTCGCGTCATCAAGGATTCGTGTAGTTCCTGATGCTCTCTAGACTTAACTGTTAACGACATGTTTAAAAACGAGAAGCGAGAATAACAAATCATTAACAAGCGGAAAAACCAAGTAATAAGTGGAAACGGAAAGAGGGGCCAAAATGTAATTATTGTATTTGTGTTTCAACAAAAGAGTGTAGTTTTTTTGAATAAAATAAATAATAAAACATTTTTTTTGTTTGGTGTTGGTATAGATATAATTAATGAATAAAGCCAACATTTGCTACATAGGTTTTACAAATCCTGCGATTGCATGTGTGTTCATCCTATTTCTTTATTTTTCTTTTGAATTCATTAATAGCTCGAGAGCATTTTCATTTCTTGTATTCTATAGCATTCTATAATTTCCACCCTAAAAAAGAGACTGTTTCTGTAACATAGGTTTTTGTTTTAACTTTGGGTAGCTGAGTTTTTTTAGCATGTTTTAGTGCTGTTCTGCTATTGGAAAAAGATCTCCCCTGAATGTTTGGTTAAGTTTGTTAAAAGATTGCAAATTCCTATCATTAGCAATGGCATGTTATATATATGTATGGGTACTGAACTGTCCTTATGCAGTAAAGTATCTTGATCTTTATGCAGTTAAGTATCTTGATCCGTAGCTGTGTCATTATACATAAATTGTAGAGCCTTTTTGTGTATGCAATTCATCTTTTTATTCATGTTTCTATCATGTTTCATCCAAGTCAGAGAAATGTACCCAAACTGTGATGTCATAAAGGCTCTTACAATTTTTCTAAGCTTTTCTGTACTCATAAAGATGTAAGTTCTTGGAAGGGCATGCAATTTTTGGCAAGCTTTTTGCAGCGAGTGGTGATATGAACCTGAAAGTTTCATTTATCATCTAATATAGTACCCAGGAGAATTAAACGGGAGAAAATCCAATACAATATTTTTAAGGCTTTTTTATAACAACGTTTCATAGTTTTATTATTTCCATGTTGACAAGAAATGGAAGGGACTTGCAAACTTTAAGAACCATCTTGGCATAGCAGCGAATAAACAAATTTTTAAAATTTGAATGAAAGCAAATTAGATGGGGAGGAGAAACAGATTAAACGAAGTCTAGCAGTAAAGGATTAACCTTTTCCCCCAGTCTGGAAATGTCCCAGTCCGCAAATGCTGCCAAAAAGCATGAACTTCGTGAACCAACAATAAAATCTGGTTTCGGGTCTCGGATCTCCGAAAGTAGAGGTAGGAGTCCTACCTTTTACTGCAGAGAAAAATCATAAAATATCATAGCAGACAAAAAATAAAACTAGATCGAGCTCCGATTTTTGAAATTGTAAGCCAAAACATTTTTTGAGGCTAAGGCATTTGGCGGGCCGCATGAAATATTGTTGCTGGTCGAAGTTGGCCCGCGGGACGGAGTTGGGCCGCGGGACGGAGGTTAGGAACGGCTGATTTAGGGTTTGTTTAGACACTTTGTTTTGAGCTATCGGTATTGTTTCTTTACTTTTAGGACCATTTGCTGGAACGGTTCTTGGAATGACATTGTCAGGAGCGATAGCTTATAATCAAGGCTGGCCCGCTGTTTTCTACTTCTCTGGTAAAAAGAAACAACTTTATTGCAAAATTTAACAGTTCACGGCTTCTTATACACTGGTCAAACTACTAATTCAACCCACAATGATCTGAGTTAAAATTCAACAGTAAATGTTGTAACAAATTATTTTAAATTATTGAGCAAGTTATTGAGCATTCAAGCATCGAAAAAATATTTTGAAGCTAAATCACATCAAGGCACATGGATATGACATGATAAATGGAAAGTTCTCAAATATCATCAGTTGATATCATGTATATTGATTATGACTTTGCGGTAACGGAAGTGGGGATAAGATAGAGAAAATTTACAAAAGAGCGCATTGCGACTTGCCTAGTTCCTTGGACTATTCATCTTCATACAATGATTTACTAACTCGTATAGTAAACCTGGGTGCTATGGCTCAAGTGCGGCACTCGAGCGGCACTGATGGGCGTAGTAGATGCTACACGTTTAGGGGCCTTAGTACGGATCTTGCCCGAACTATCGCAAACTTAGAATGTTGTAAAGCGATAAACTCACAAAAACGCGAAATAGAACGTTATATACTTCTTTCAAGGTAACAAAACAATAACAAACTGGCTATGTACTCTCATCGCACGCTCGCTCGTAAGAATAATTAAAGTCGTGTTTCTAAAGTTCCTCGTACCCACACGCTCCTTCCCCGCGGTTAATTGTAAACAGTTTTTTTATTTTACACAGGAACATTGTTGCCTCACTTAGATAGAAATGCCTGAATTGAGAATGAAATACCTTAAACTTGCCTAATATGGGGTTTCTACAGCCCTCCTAGCCCCATGTCTCCTACGCTTATGAAAATTCCCTCTCCTCGGGGGTTTTATGAGACAGCACTTTTAATTCAGAACAATTGCATATTCTGATATTTGTTTATATTCTTCGCAGGCCTTCTTGCAATTATTTGGAGTGTTTTTTGGTTTTGGATCGTTACTGATTCCCCTTTCGATCACCCCACGATTACAGCTAAGGAAGTTGATCATCTCAAACAGGAATTATCAGACGATAAAACTGAGTCAAAAGTGAGTCTAACCAGTAGGCACTTCTCTCAGTTATCTAAAGAACGTGCCTCTCTTAGTTATCACGAAGCCAATGTTTAAGATTTGTTTATTAATCTTTCCCTTCTCATTAGGTCTAGTCTTTTCCTGAACCCTGCTAATTCAAACAATTCTTTACCCCTCACTTTTACGCCGTGTGTTGATAAGATTTAGAAAATATTCCCCTCCTCATTCTCACTGATTCTAAAAAAAGCCAAGTTTATGCTGTTATTAAAATGTGATTTTTTTGATAAAACGAATGAATACTCATGGGCTCTGATACAGATTGAGAAGTGGAAAGTAGGAAAATAAATACAACACATAACAAAAGATTTTGAAAAAAGCTTTATTGTCGTGCCGAAAACGAGGGCAGACATTCTCTAAAGTCAAATAGCAACTACCGATTACTTATTTTTCAGTTAACAACGGTCCCGTGGAAAGATTTGCTCACATCTGGTCCCGTGTGGGCAATTATGATCGCGCATTTTGCAGGGAACTGGGGCAATTTCATACTACTTACGTCACTTCCGACTTATCTCAAGCTGGTGCTAAAGTTTGATCTACAAAAGGTACATTTCAGATAATGAGCCACTTGTTTTGTTCTTCATCTTTTCACAGAATTTGAAAATGGGTTGTTTTTTCGACAGCTAATATGTCAAAAACTTCTTCTATCACCATGGTCTAATAGACCTGCTCTATTTCATTTTCTTTAATAGACACCTTGACCGGAATTCATTACGGACATCTTATCTAGCATTGATAAGAATAACATGTGTGTAACTTCTTTATTAGGCCATCTACACTTGGCTTTTTCCTTGACAATAGAAATTATTTTTTTGTCAAAATGTTTAAACTATTTACGCTGTTACAAATTACGTTTTTTCACCTCAGGCATTTAATTGATATAATGAAGCATATGTATGAGTCTTATTGGTCTTTTAGAAACACTTCGTTATTAAACTTAATATTTTTTGCAGGCGGGGTTTCTTGCCGCTCTTCCATACATGATATTGACCCTAATGATTCAGATGGGGGGACAGCTTGCAGATTATCTACGGTCCTCGGGAAGAATGTCAACCACTACTGTTAGAAAGCTTTTTACTGCAATAGGTTAGTAAACCTTTGTATCATTTTACTTATTTCTCTTACAATTTATCATGTATTCTGTTTGACCAGAACTGTTATGTTGTTAGATCAGTAAAGTTATTTTGTTATAACAGAAATATTTTTTCGTGGACCAATACTATTGTTTTGGGAGACTAGAACTATTGTTTTCGTAGACCAGTAATATTGTCTTGGTAGACTGCTTTGTTAGACCAGTGATATTGTTCTGGGTGCCCACTTCTATTGTTTTCGTCGATCAATACCATTATTTCATTACATTAGTAATGTTTTTCTGTTATTACATCAGTAATGTTATATTGTTGGACCAGTACCATTATTTTGTTAGATATTATCTTGGTAGACACGTTCTATTGTTTGTTAGACCAGTACTGTTGTTTTGGTACAGAAGAATCCCGCTTAAAGAATTTGTGCTTTTTTTGGCAGCCTCATTAGGTTCTTAATCAAAAAGCTGTTTGATTACCTGCATCACTCCTCTTTTCTGAACAGGGTTCATGAGCCAAGGCGTTTTCATGATAGTCGTTGGGTACAGTACAAGCAAATACATGGCCATTTCTGCTTTAGTCATGTCGGTCGGATTGGGTGGCCTTGCATGGTGTGGTTTCATTGTCAATCATCTCGATATAGCACCGCGCTATGCAAGCCTCCTTTTTGGAATAAGCAACACTTTCGCTACCATTCCAGGAATTGTCAGTCCTCTTGTTGTTGGATTCGTCACTACACACGAGGTCTGTAACTTGATACCTAGACTTTGAATTCTTATGATCCTCTTGATCCACAAAGAAAGCGTTTTTTATTCAATTTCTCAGGCTATTTCAGAATTATCAAAAATCTGGAACGAGTGGCATCTCTCTTCATTTATAAAGCAGGAAAGCAAAGGGAATTGCTTGCGATCAACTTTAGGTCAGAATCGATTGGGTAGCATGTCTCTTCTCAACACCGAGCATGGTGTAATGGACGTTTTTTCGATGGATGACTTTATTTCTTATATTGGTATTGGTGAATCCGCCACTTGCCATGTTGATATTGTCTCGTAGCCATGTTGATATTGTCTTAATTCACAAGAAGAAGACTTTTATAGCAAGAATGTGTCTGTGAGATGTTAACGTTACGTAATTGAGATAATCCATAAAATTGTGGCTTGCGCTTACACTGCCTCTGAATAAAATGTTCTTCAAGTTGATCAAGGAATTTTCTTGTAGAATGGACACATTTATGCACCTACATTTGCACTAAAGACACTCCAAACTTGTAGTGCCTGAATTCTTCACATGTAGTGTATTGTTTTGATAATGGATGATATTTCTCTACCCAGACTAGAGAAGAATGGCAGAAAATATTCATCATGTCAGCGGCAGTTTACGGGTTTGGAACTCTGGTTTTCTTGATTTTTGCCTCCGGTAAGAAGCAGCTGTGGGCAGATCCGTATGGGTACCAAAGTATTTCTGAAGACAACGATGATAAAGACATGTTGCTGAAAGAGGGAATTGAGGATGAGAAAGGCACCTTATCGGCTACCAATGAAACTTTGGAGAAGAAGGAAGCAGAAACTCTTTTGCCAGGTGCTGTTGGCAGTTATGGTTCAGTTTCGTTGGACACATCTAAAGACTTTTAAACTTATACTTTCGAGACAGCTTTATCTCAATTTGCTTGTTCCCATTTCCAATAAGGTGCAGCTCTTTTGAACTCTCATTCTAACTAGTGTACAAGTTGTCTTCCTGCTTGTGACAAGGCTACTCTGGTAAACTTGTCAAGTGGCATGTTAGCGAGTTCAGAAACATCGAAAGACCTTCTTGGCGCGAAGAGTATGCTGAGCGTTGCCTACTCTATCTAGAAATGAAAGGTATTTCAAATTGAATAGTGAATCTTTTCAAATATTTGGTTATTAACATAAGTAGGTTTTATAGCATTTTAATGGCTAGGAAAGGGGGATCAATACAGAATGCAAATTAATAAACGGCAGTATAACCATTCTCGTCCTAGACTTTTTTCTCAAAAAAAATAAACCGAATTTTAGGTTGTTCTGAAATTTATGTGTGAGACATCCTTTATTTGCTGGTAAATTTTTGAGATAAACATATTTGAGGAGATTTCACGACATTGCTAAAACTTGTATTTTACAGTAGCTTAGTCTCATCTTGTTCTTTAACGCTCTTAATGATTGACCAGTTGTTCTTATAGAATTGTTCTTATAAAAAAATGGTGTAGTCCACTTTCAATTCGCAAAACGCTTCCGTCTCATTGGTCAGTGCGAAAACTTTTTTATTAAAGAGGTGAGCGAAAACTCAAGAAAAATGCCAATAAAATGAAATCAATTTCTATAAGGTATTTGCATGCAATCCTTTTGTCTACTAGCTATTAATGTTTATGAAATAAACTTCTTTGGTAATTTTTTAAGTCAGATTATTTTAGTCAAGGTCAGTTGCTTTGTCATACCTGTTGCTTTGTTATTTAAGAAATAAAAACCTTTTCTTATACTATAAAAAATCATAGATATTGCCTGTTACCAAGGAAGACAAACTAACTAGCAGCGCCCTCAACGATGGAGAAAGCAAAGGCTTCCCATATGACTGATCATACATTAACTGATCATACACTGATTAACTAATCATACATTGATCAACTGACCAGACATTGATTAACTGATAATACACTGATTAACTGATCATACATTGATGAACTGATCAGACGTTTGCGAGGTTAAAGCGAATAAAAAATAATCCATTGGTGACATATTCAATAGGCAAGCGGCACTGGTTGGCCTATTTTGATCCATAATTGGGTATATACACAACTGTCTATTTCTTGGGTAGAGTTTTTGTCAGGCGAAAAGCTAATGTATGATCCATAATAAAATATAAATGGTTAATCTACCCCCGAGTAAATAATTCCATTTGTCTTGATTGTGGAAACAAATAAGCACTGTTCCCATTAATTGTGGGAACAAATAAGTGATTTTTAGAGGAAAGGTGGTATGATGCAAGCTGAATAATTTCTTTACTCCAAGGACACAAAATTTATTTTTAAATGGAATTGCATCGTTATAGCAAATAGAAAGAAAACAATTCGTATTTGTAAGAGTTTTGCATTTTTAAAGCAATTTTCTTTTAAATGTAAAATTGCAGTATTTTTGTGGCCAAACTATACGCCAGTGGGGATATATAAAATGAGATATTTTCGTTTTCATTTATTGGCTCTTGTCTGTTTGTAGCTCTGAAAATTACAGTGGTGATTGCTTATATGCCTGGATTCAGGGGGTTTCTGTGGTAAGGAGATTTCTCAGAACCCAAAAAGTTACTACTGGCTCCCACTCTCATATCGTGGTACATATGGCTAGATGAAAGATGATGGTATCGTCTGAATGGTTGTCCACGCTCGGGTCCTTAGAGTTCTCGGGACTGCAGAGCCCTGACAAATGGTGAACATGCAGTCAATGACGGCGAAGAGGGCCAGTTAAGCAAAAGAAACTAAAGTGCCTCGCCCAAATCCCGCCTTGTTTCAATTATATTTCTTGGTTGTCTTTTAGGGAGCTCCCACCTTTGGACTCTTTCTCCCATGGCAATGATGGCTTACCCCAAATGCGCGAAAGTCACAAATAAACAATTCTAAAAAGGGGGCTTCTTAACAACCTTGTGTTTATAAGATTGTCAGACGATAGTTTGCCATTCAGTCGATATTATTTCATAAGGTAGTTGTGAATAGGACGAGAGGGCATTAAATTGACGAGTGAAGATCGTTGCCTGACCCTTTGAGACTGTGAAAACCTAATTTAATGAAATTCCAATTGTTTAAGTTTTTGCAAGCAAACTGTACGATCCAACGTATCGTCATCAATGAAGCTTTGTCCAAAAGTTTTATTTGATTGATGAATAATAACATTGCCAACCATCGCCGAAAACCTTCTCTCCAGAGAATACCCCAAGCACTTGCTACGGCTGGGTGATGTTGAGTTACAAAAGCATGGCAAATGAATTTCTTGCATGTGTCTATATTCTTTCCAACCTAAGTTGATACCTAAGTTGATTACTGAACGGTTCTTGACAATTTCTTGTCAATGCTTGATAAGGAACTTGGACTTACAGTGGGAGAGAGCAATTCAATGTTCTTCAATTTTCGTGCTGCCTTAAAAAGACCGACAAGGTGAGTGAAATTGCTGAACTTTAATAAAACAACAACAAACGTTTTGATTATCGTCTTGCCTACTTGGAGAACCTAGCGACTTGCACATGCGACCTAATGCAGTGGCATAAGAAGTAGCATGCGTTAATCTAATTGGAAACGCAGTCAAAGAAAACCTGGGTGATGCACGCAAATCCTTAAATCACTGTTTTTGTAGGCCATCGTCTCCACCTAGCTTGCCCTTGGAATTCGTGCGACATTTAAAGATATCCTGTTTTGGTTGTTTTAACATGAGTAAATGTGTTCAATTTTGAAATTATCTTCGTTCTTTGAATTATAACGAGCCACTGCGACAATAAAAGCTGGTGATTTTTATGAACCAAACCATATGAGTTAACTTCAGTTAACGTAGTTAATACATGTTCATAGCCAGAGCAACCTCTTTTGGGCTTCTAGTCTAGCCAAGGGTATACCTTTTTGTAATTTGGGTCCATTTGTGCTGTGACAAATTCTCGCACATGGCTAAAACGTTTTGAAAAACAAGGGATTGCACGAGGGTGCCTCATTATAACCTTCAAAAGAGATGATTGCCCTGCATAGAAGAATGGATGGAAAAGCAACTGAGGCTGATGAAAGAAAACTTTGGATGAAATTTTCAAACGAATTGTAGACTTGATCTTTGTGACTTAAACAAATCTTCTTGCCTTTTTTTTTATATAATAGCATCATTAATCGCCATTAATGAAAACTACAATCCTGGCCAAAAGAAATGGTCGCCTCACGGTAAAAACTAGGAAATCGGCCTTTTAGAGTAACATTGTTTTTGCTACTGAAAAGGAGCCATCAGTATTTGGGAAAGTACACCTGACGAGAGAGAAAATGAAATGATGGCCGTAAGGTGGAAAATATTTCAGTTTTCCCATTAGATACAAGCGGATGAACGGAAAAACATTCCAAATTGTCCTCGCTGCTCTGATAATGAGCGGCAGCAATATCTAATTTTATATTATTTTATTTGAATATTTTCAGATTATAAGGAGTTACCAATGAGTTACCAACGAGTTACCATAATGAGTTACCATGTCAAATGGTGCTTGTCATTTGGGAATACGAAGAGTTATCATTTTCAGTAAATATAGATATCGGATTCATATATCGTACCGGATTCAAGCGTCATCGTGTGAACGAAGGCCTATCCGATATGAAGAGCGATCCGATATGAAAAGCGATCCGATATGAAAAGCGATCCGATATGAAAAGCGATCCGATATGAAATGAATCCGGTATCGTGGAGCAGGGCCTCAGCTTTGCAAATGTAGAAAGTATCCCATATGGTAACTCGTTGGTGACTCGTGGTTAATCGTAATCATGTTCCCAGTAAGGCACAATCGGCTCCTGTTATCAATAGTATACATTAGCGCATGCGTAAAATTGGATTTTTTCTTAAAAACTCAAAATGGCGAGTTTTTATTTTCTAAACATAGAAATTGAAGACATATAAAGAAAATATATCTAGTAAATTTTTATCATATATGTGTCGTTCTACAACAAAATTCCTTGCTCAACTTGAAAAACATTTTATTCCACCCTTTCCATATTTTGATTATTGCGAAATAGCCTAAAACGTTGAAAAATGTGTTTTCTTTGTGGATCAAGAAGATTATAAGAATTTCGAGTCTAAGTAATTAGAGTTTCGCATAATATTAATAATATTAGAGTTACAGACCTCGTGTGTAGTGACAAATCCAACAACAAGAGGACCGACAATTCCTGGAATGGTAGCGAAAGTGTTGCTCATTCCAAAATGGAGGCTTGCATAGCGCGGTGCTATATCAAGGTGATTGATAATGAAACCACTCCATGCAAGGCCATCGAATCCGACAGCCATGACTAAAGCAAACATGGCCATGTATTTGCTTGTACTGTACCCAACGACTATCATGAAAACACCTTGGCTCATGAACCCTGCTCAAGACAAAAACAGGATAGAGTTCAGGCTTTTAGACCAATTGTAATTTCTGACAAGACAGTTCCTATAAAACAAGTAAACGACTTGAAAATAGGTTTACTAACCTATTGCAGTAAAAAGCTTTCTAACAGTAGTGGTTGACATTCTTCCCGAAGACCGTAGAAAATCTGCAAGCTGTCTCCCTATCTGAATCATTATGGTCAGTATCAGATAGGGAAGAGCGACAATAAACCCTACCTGCAAAAAAAGTATTTTTAAAAGACCAATAAGACTCATACATATTCTTCATCATACCAATTAAATGTTTGAGCTGAAAAAACGTAATTTAGAACGTCCTTAATTAAAACAAAGCATTCAAACATAACATAAGAGTAAAGAGGGCCTTGAAAAAGGATGTTAGAGTCTCTTTGACATTATGTGATATTTCTTTGACGTCAATCTTTGGAATATGGGCTGCAGAGGTGATCTTTCGAAATTCTTCTTCAACGAGCTTAAAAACCTGAACGCATTCTGGTGTTACTGACCACAAGCCATCTCTTGTCTGTGACGCAACTACCCTTTGTGCTGATACATTATCATTTTTGGCAGCATAGAGCAATGAAAATGTTTCTTGAGATTGTTTGGACTTGTAGTCTGAAAATTTATAAACTTTTCTAACCAATGCATTCATGACATAGCCCGATAGGTACTGCAAAGCATCCATTTCTCGCTCTGTGATAGGTTTACTGGATGCCATTGGTGATTTCTTAGATTGATTAAAATAAGCAATCAACTTGTCTGCAAGTCGCATTGCAATCAATGTGCATACAGGGTCCTCCAGGGAAATAAACTATTTTGTTGCATTAAGAATAACAGAGTAGTAGAATGAAGAACAAAACTTCTCAGCATTAAAATTTCTAGAAAATGAACTCCAGATTTTCTGTATTTCTTTTTCAAGAAGCTAGGATTCGTCAACAAAGCAATAGTCCCCTGCAGCTTTACATATAAAATCTGGATAGCACTCATCTTTTGAAACGTTTGCTTTGGATTTGTTAACCAGTCTGATCAATGTATCTCCTTGGAGCTGACTCTCGGCTGCTCTCGATTATTCCCTTGGTCTGGAATACTTTGTTCGCCCAGCATCACATCATGCTTTAAAAGATAGGTCAAACAAGCCATTAAAAGAGTCCATTACCAGGCGTTTCACTGGTACAGGAGGGGATGGAAAGTGCCTTTTTGGTCGCAGTGCAATTGAGTCATATGATCCGGCGAGTAGTGAATGCTCCATACCCATGATTCTCATAGGTTTCCTTCATTTTTTATACATGTTTCTTAGAGCTTGAGGTACTCTGACATTATCACATGACGAGAATTTTTCTCCCAACTAGGCTCAACTTTATACTCGAAGGCAGTCTGTGATGTAGTGCAGGCGATTCAATATTGTTCAGTGCTCATAAAATGGAAAGAAAAATGACAGAACTTTCCTTCTATGATCGATCACACTGAGTTTGGTTCACTCATGTAAATTTAGTATTTAAGGTGCTACGAATTCTTTCTTTTGCCCTAAATCCTTGATAGCTTCACCAGTAGCCACTTGGAAGCAGCAACGTCATCCTTGTTAGAAGTTTTTTTTTGGCTTGGTGCACATGTTCCAAAAATCTATTGCACAAAGAACTAACTTTTTACAGTGCACTGTACGGTAACAGAGTGTCATTTGAAAACAAGAGTTGCCACCATAAACTCCCTAAATTGCAGAACTTTCATCCAAATCCCAAAGTCTTTAAGATTCTGTCTTTGACAATGAAATGTCAACACCATATAGAGATTTTAATAAAAGTACCAAGATTTAATAAAAAAATCCCAAAATCTCTACCTTTACCATGAGCATTTTAAAATCTCTAAATCTTGTACACGTAGACGATGCTGGGGCTGGCTCGCCCTTTGGATTGCTTAAAGGCTTCCACCAAAAGAATTTCCCAAAAGGAACGAAGAGCACCAACTGGTTTAGATTTGCTCTTAACACAAAGACAATAGAAAACCTTGTACCCCCTTCCCAACAGTGGCGTAACGGAGGCATCTGGGGCCCTACGGAAAAAACTGAGATGGAGGCCTCTGTTAAAGAACTGCAAGAAAGTCCACTTGCTATAACAATGGCAGGATTGAAAAGTTATAATTGATCCTTGTTAGCTCGGGGGAGCTGAGTTATAAAAGGTTCAGCTGAAGAACTTAGAAAGCTTTTAAAAATAAGGTTAACTTGAGCGAAGTCTTAGAAATGTGGATACAAACATAGTTTGGGGCCCCTTTTGATCGGGGGCCTCTTTTGGTCGGGGGCCCTTGATTATCGAACTAAGTTTCACTAAACTTAATTCATACCATGATTAACATAATTTAGTATTTAGGTTCCTGTCCTATAACATCAAGACATACTACCAGCCAGAAGTCTAATAACCCTGATTGTTTCTTCGATGACAGGCGCCAGAAGACAATGCCAAACACAAGACCAATGGTTGCAATGATGAACACAGCATCAAATCTCTTTAACCCAATGCCTATTCAAAATGCTATTTCATCATCCACTATGACGCTACGGAGGAGTATAAGAGGGAGCACGAAATTTGCAGCGTTTATGGAACGCCTTCAACTCCACGTTCTTCGTGCCGAATTGCTGCTGGTATGGTATATGAGATTTTTATCACTGCTTTCACTAGCTAAGTATTTTTACAATTTGTTTTACATTTTGCTGAATTTGGATGTGGCCCTTTATATTCTTAAGCGGCTACTTCACCTGATCTCGACAACAATCCGCCCTTCACGATGATGTTGTCATTTTGCATGGCGGACCCGACATATATCAGGAAGATCATCACGTTAATCGCAAAGAAGATGATCTTATTGATTGAGAGCTCGAAGAGCGGGCTCCTACCGAAGCGGTAATTGCACACAATTGCGAGGAACCGGCATCTTCAGATGTGTTCCTCGAGAGCCTTTTTAACTCTAAAATCATTAGCACCCCATAAGGTCTACCCAGTGGTGGATTTAAGGGGGGGGGACACTAGGGGCAGTTGCCCCTCCCTCAACGAGTTGAAGCAAGTTTGGCGCCCCTTTTTTTGGAAATTGTGCACCCCTTTTGAAGAACGAGAATCAGGTGAAAAAGTTTCTGAGACCGATAGGTTAATTTGCTTCAAGAATTACCTGAAAGTTATGTTGTTTATTCCAAAAATGTATCTGAAATTGTTGTATATAGCGTACTCTCGACACCAATTTCGAAAATTTTCCAGCGTCCCCATTACCAACTGCCCCTCCTTCAAATTTGTTCTGGATCCGCCCCTGGGTCTACCAATTTCTGTTGATTAAGCTACGCTCGGTAACGCCAGTTTTGAAACTGAACTAGAAAAAAGCCAAAGAAAACAGATCGAGGTGAAATACCTCATTCCCGAAAATTGTGATGAAATATTCTGGTCTCCAGTTAATGAGTACCTATGGAGCTCGTTTAGGCCAGAGGTAAAAGGTTCTGACTGTGCCCACGTGGCTGTGCAAGACATCCCGAGGGGCATATCACTCCACTAAAACCTTTAAATCCTATTTTTCCCGCGAAACTCCTGTTTTCTAAAAAAATGCCAGAAAAATCCTCAAAAATCTTGTTGTCTTAAAAATATTTTCTGAGCCTGCGCTAGCCTCTTTTTCAAACGGGACTTCCTTGATTTGAAATTTAGCATAATTTTTTGAAAAATTTGGCATACTGCAAAAGCTCAATTAAGCTTCCGGGGCTTATTTATCATTTACATTTCAGAGGGGGGGCTTAAAAGAGGGGGCTTATTAGAGAGAGGGGGCTTATTACAAATTTGGAGCAAGAAAAGTTTTAAAAATACCCTTGGCCCTTTTTTGTAATGAAAATGTCATACAAACTTTGCTAGCAGCTTCGAAAGTTTAATAAATCAATTATAAGGTCCTCATCTTCATCAACATCACCAGAATAAATTGATAACCCTTGGATATCTTCTAAACAAATTTCGACTAACTTGTAAGTCGCACAAGTTAGTCTTTACATAGGCAGTATTTAATGCACACGATCTTATCATCGTCACACCCGTCAAGAGACCCACTTCTATGTTTCACATCAAAGGCTTAAGAGAGGAGGTCTTAATAAAGAGGCTTATTTTAAATTTTTTGCTTGAAGTTGGGGGTACTTATTAAAGAGGGGGACTTAATAGAGAGGGGCCTTAATAGAGAGGGTGGCTTAGAACTTTTACAGTACTTCCAGAATAGAGACCTGGTCACACTATGTACTTTGGTATGTGCCGCGAGCAAGGATATACTTTTTGGACTTTTTGTCTAGCCAAGGGTATACTTTTTTGCAATTTTCGTGAAGCCAAGGTCTATCCAGGGGTAACGAATTTGACAATATTGGCTTAGGGAACGGTCTTTTATAGTAGGAACGTCTTTCTGATCACCCATTTTTGTTGACAGTAAACAAGTAAATGAAAACAAATCGACCTTTCCAATTTCTAATCAACAATTTCGATATAACTGCTAACTTGAATGGCTTGGAAATGAATTTAGCCAAGGGTATCGTTTCTCAATATTAGACCACGCCAAGAGTATCCTTTTGTAGAAATTTGCCTAGCCAACGGTAGCCAATAACCGGTGCGTGTAAATGTAAATCAAGCTTTAGAGATAGCAACAACACCAAACGATACCCTAGGTACTAGAGCCACATAAATTCGTTTGCGGAGTGGAGACAGGAGAGGAGAAGCAATACAGCGTCTATCCGAGAAGAAGGACAATATAAGGTTAACCTCACCCATTGTCGTTCTGATGTCTAATTGTATTGTCCAAATAATGATTTCACGTAGAAGTCGGCAGACCGTTGCTTTTTGGTAGTCTTTATCACATGTCACAATGGCAATGAGCGCATATCAGAATCACAAAGAAAGATCATGAACTGTATCAACCCAGAATATTTTATCACTGGACAGAAGGCAAATAACGAGGCAGCACGGGTGAAAAAAGCATTTAAGGTATGTTATAACTACAAGTGTGTATTTTTTGTGCTTTGTATGAGCAATGGATCTCGAAGGGTTATGAAGAGGAATTTATCTCGTTCTTTTAATGTGTTGTTTGCTCAGCCTAGAACTGATTCAGACGATTCGCTCTGACGATTCGTTCAAAAACTACCCTCCGGGTTTTTCCTTCGATAAGTTTTGTCTAAATTCGTTATACATCACAAATGCTATAGGTTACTGTCTTTTTGTATTTTCGTAGATAAAAAATTCCCATGTAAAATAAATGATCAGCGGCGGATTTAAGCAAACATGTTTGGGGGGGGGTGTTAGACCCTAATTTTGGTGTCACGCCCTTCAGTTCACTGGTAAATGATGTTCACTAGTTGTTAACTTTAAGATAAAGACGATAAGAAGCGGTGGCGTAGCCAGGGTTGGAAGATTGGTGGGACAAAGTGGAGAAAATTTTTGCTGACCAGACCCATAAGAATTTGGGAAAAAAACCCAGTTTGTAAATGCGTTTGGAAAAGCTATGGCTTTTTTACGCGACATTTTCCCTGTATACAACGTCATTTGTAGCGTTTTGTGGCTGACCATATTCTACAGCTGTCTATTTCCTCCACAATTCCACTAACGTTTATAGCCTGGATTTTGAAAAGTGATTTCCAAAAGTTGTGATCAAATATCTAAAAATGATAAACAGTATTCATATGTTTTGAACTAAGTCCGCTCTCCTTGGAACTAAATCCACGACAAGCATTTCCGAATCCAGTTTTTTGTAAGGATTGGACTGCTTTAGCATTTTAGTTTCTATTTTATTGGGAATGTCTCAGTAAAGTGAAGGACTTTTCTATACAAACCCCAAAACAAGGGGAAATTGTTGAACATTCTGTAGACATAAAGAGGAGGGTCTCCTGTGAGCATCTGAGGCTAGATATGTTCTCTGCGAAGTTATTCTTACCTTGTACAAACTAGAAGAAGCACGTAATACTTATGAAAATCACGTAACCAACTTCAATAAATTTTGCATGACGCATGACGAAATAACAATATAAGATCAAATTACAAGGAAATAATATGAAAAGCCACAAGTATGCAATCGTAAAGAGTTTGGCCCACTCCAACTTTTTTTCAAACTCGATGGGTAACCCTTGAAAAAGAAATCTAAAATATCTACTCTTTAGAAACATGTAGGCAATCTCTAGTATTTATAACGATTTGTTCCTTACAACATCGAAAAGAGTTAATTTCACTTAGTTTTAGCTTCGCGTGAACATGTATAGTTAGTAGTGGCGTGCTGGGGATGATATCGCAAGGGGGCAAATGTTCAAAATGGCGCCCCACATATCTTCCAATTTTCCTTCAAAATGTTGGAAATGTGCAGAAAAGAACAAGAGTTCGGAAGCACGCCGATCTATATCTATCTATCTGTGGGGTACTGTAAGACCTTCAAATGAGGGAAGAGGGGGTAGGCAATTACTGACAGGACGTGATAGAGAATTTTCAGATAGAGTATGTTATTCTTTGTAAAACTTAACAGTATTTTTAGTATCGTTGTAGCGGCTGTATCATCAAACTGTACAACAATAATAATCAGGAACGTCACTATTGAGGGAGGTTGGGGGTAGGGAAGGGGGGGGGAAGATCGTTCAGGAGTTTGGTGAAGGCGACCACCATCGTTGGCGGCAAAAACTTGCAAAGTAGACGTGCTAGGGATGGTCGGAAAATGCATCCAAACATGTACAACATCAATATAGACTCATGGAAAATCCTTGAGAATACCTAAAAGCTTTCTTCCAAATATGGCCCCAAGGCCGTAGCGAGACAGGCCTTGTTTGGGTTTACTCGAATTTGCCGGGTTGAAAACCATCATCCGCAATACATTGTGTCGATTCACAACATCTATTTACATATTATCATCAGACCTTCCAACCCTTTAGATCCATATATCGGAACAAGCCAAAGATATAACTCCTCACAAGACACTGTCCGAGGCGGCACCATGGTTGCCGCCGAAGGGGAAAAACTTTGAATCTTAATGCTTCCAGTTTGCTGGAAAGTGCACTTTTCGAAGCACTTTTTCAATAACGCAAGCTTTCTCTTCAAGAAGGCTGAAAGCTATTTGATGGTTTTAATCGATTTTCCGGTGTCTTTGTTAAATCTTTAAGCTTATGCAACACAATTTTCTTTAGATTGGGACATAATCTCGCCGCTTTTTCTTCCTAGAATTTCATTTCATGAAAGTATATCATAACTTCTTGCACCTTCTCAATATTTTTATGAAAAGGCGCCTTATCTGAACTTCTACCTCCAAGCCAAATTTTTTTTGACGAGCTCCTTAAAAAAAATCCCACACCCTACCTCGGTACGCCCATTGTATCTACTTTGTGTAAAAATCATTTAGATTTAGCGTGGGATCTTGAGAGGGTGTTTGACGATCGTTTCTCTGTACATCATAGTGAGTAAGGAAAAAGAAGTGGTATGTTACAAGGTGATTCTTGTTCTCTTCGAAGCGATTTATCGTGGATTTTTATACAGTGTCTGCCTTCCGTATTGTTGTATTCTTTTATGTAAATTGCCCTAGTTCTGTAGCCATTATAACGTGAAAATTCATTTTGGCGCCCAGATAATTGATCAATTGTTTGCCCCCCCCTGCCAGCACGCCGCTGAATTAGTTAGGGCATCATTTCTTGCTATCAAATGCACTGTAAGTGACTTGAAATAACAGTATGACTATAGTATGAAGAATCGATTAAATAATTGAATTTACTGGTTATTAAGGCTCTAGGCGGCTAGCAGAGCCAAAGAAAATGCCCTAAAATTCAAAAATCCTTCTGCACAGTGTCGCTCTTGGGCATGTATGTGGGTCCCTTCAGGTTGTACCCTCTACACAAGAGACTTAAGACTATTAGTTTTGGTTCATATATGTTTCAAATTTGTTTAGTTGTTCCTACCCTGGGTACCAGAGCCGCAAAAATTAAAATTAAAAAATAATGAGAGCTCTCATTATTTTTTAATTTTAATTTTTGCGGCTCTGGTACCCAGGGTAAGTTGCTCCCAAAGAATAAGTTGAGCAAAAAAAAATATAAACTTTCCATCCGATCTCCTTAGAGTCCCCTCAAAACCGGTTAACGTGATAAAACCGGTCAACATGATCCTACGGCCCCTAATAAAGTGATCTCATGCCTCTGGAAGCTCTCAGGGGCAGGCAACACGGTATTCCCTGGACAGTGTTTCCAAAACGATGATAAATAGCAAAGGGCTTACAAAAAACCCTTGATGAATGCCAACCTCTACCTCGCAAACCTCGTATGTATTGCCAACTCTGGTACAGTTTTAGCACACGACTTGTACGAGTGATTTGGAGCCAAAAACATGGAGATCTTTGAATAAAGTCCAAAAAGCCATGCTTCTGCTTGATTACTTAGTATTTTATCCTGCCTGTGAAATCTTTACTGTTTCAAAATGAATTGAATGGTTGATTAATTGTTATCAGAAATTCCTTCGATGTATTTCATCGACAAGTCTTCTTGTGGATTGGCTTAAATTTGTTCAGCTGGCAAACGTTTCATTCTGAGAGAAAAACTTAACCTGATCTTTTTTCGTCAACAACTGTAGGTTTCAATGGAATTTTGAAAAACAGTTTTCAATTGACGTTCTACAATACAGTTCTACCGTATTGCATAAGAAAACAATACGTACAGTGCTTCCTGATTACCCTACTACAAGTTCCTAATATTTTTGGCCCTATCCAGTGCTGGTTTTAAGGGGAACCACGGGCCCAGGCCCCACGCATATGTTAGCCAAAAGGGGCCCCACACCTAAGAAAAATAATGGAAATTGTAAAAAGCAAGAACCCCGCCGATGTTTTTGGCCCCGGGCCCCACAGTCCCTAAAACTGCCACTGGCCCTATCAAAAGGGACAACCGTCACATTTTATGTTTAAAAAAGTATAAAAAGGGCTTGCTATTTCCTTAATGTTAAGTATGTATTTGTGGCTGCAGCTCACTCTTTAGAATTATTCTGGTTGAGATTGACTAAAACTCTTTTATATTTAGGCCTTTACCTATTGGTAGCTATTCAAAAGTTAATTTTTTATTTGATTTAGAAGAAACCTGGCAAAAAGTAACCCATATGCTCAAAGCATTATGGGTCACTCGGTTATTGAGGACAGTCCAAGTGAGCAACAAACGAAAGAAAACTCTGAAAAATGGAGAGTCAAATGCAGCTGGTTACCCAAAAGATATCTGCTGGCAATCCTAAGCTTTTTGGGATTTCTAAATCTCTATTCATTACGAGTCAATCTCAGTGTTGCCTTAGTTGCCATGGTTTCAAATAAAACGATAACCAACTCTTCTGGCTATGTTGTTTGTACAGTAGGTTCATTTTCTCTAACTTACTTACCCCAAGTTTTTGCTTTGAAGCATTTTTTTCATATTTATGTTGAAAGAAAACTTTTCATGAAACTTCCTTTAAATTTGCACAGTTAGGTTTGCTATTTTCAAACTTGTAATCTAAAACCAATTCAAGGGTACAATAGATTTGTGTAACCTGTGAGATGTTCTTTTGCTTATAGAATTCAGATTTTGCGATTATACAGTTAAAACAATTTTTATTGGTTTAGGAGTATTGTCATAAAATTTTGCAGTTTGAACCAATAAATAATTTCTGATAATTTATGTTTACATAGGCTTGGTATGGTATTTTGTCTTCTCAGAATTTCTGATTTGCTGTTTACTTGAATACAAGCTAAGTGGTCTGTAAATCTTTTTGCTAGGAGCCAGCAGACTTTTCTTGGAACACAAAAGAACAAGGTACTTGAATTTATAATGAAAAATTGCTTGTGGTATGTTATTCACTAGTATGTTATTTCTAAACATTTTATTGCTCTGAATTGTAAGTGGCAACTGCGACATTGTTACACCTCTTTCTGGTGTCAATCCTGAGATTGAACTGCAAAGTATTGCAAAAACTTAATCAATGTTGCCTACAGATCAAAAATATTTCTTTCAGATCAGAAATGCTTCGGAGTTAGATGCCTATTCCCTAAAAACGCCTAGGGGTAGATACTAATGCTTAATACATAACTGTCAGGTCTTCAGGTTTTTGCGTATGTCTTTTGCAACGTCGGTGATTTTAAGGTCTTACGGCGTAAGCCGAAAATCTCACGTTTTTCTCCATTTCCGATATGTTTTTTGCTACATTGATTTTGATACGTCTGTTTAAATTTTAACAAAAATTTCCATCGCGCCTTATTCATTTACGAGAACGTGCTGGCTAACCAATAAAACAGGATTTTGGCAAAGGATTGAAATTTGAAACTCAAGGACATTGGTCATTGTAATTTTGTAAAAACTTCTCTAACTAGACCAAAGTTTTGATTAGCAATTCGTTTAATGAATCTTTGTAAACTCTAATGCTTTTCATTACGTAATGTTCACAATGAGTCATTTGTTTGTATTATTTACATTAAATTATCACTTTTGATTTGTTTTGAAACCAACGAATAACGCATAACAGGAATCATGATTTGTTTCTATTACCGTTTTTACGCAAAATTTTAGTTTAGAATGCAAAATCTTACGGCAGGACACCACAGTAGCTTGACAGGTATGTTAATATATGTGAGTATTAATGATACCTTCTGATTCAAAAGCTGGAAATTGGGATGGATGTGGTATTGCTTGGCTGCATCTCGTGCAGATTTCCTTTGTTTTCATCATTCATTCATTTTTTGACTTGACAGGTATCATCCTGAGCTCTTTCTTTTATGGTTACATCTTCACCCCAATACCTTCTGGATATCTTGCAGCCCGTTTTGGTGGGAAAAACCTTTTTGGTGGAGGTATTCTAATGACAGGACTGTTTACATTACTAACACCATTAGCAGCAAGAATGAGTATTAAGTTTCTCATAGCTGTTAGAGTGTTGCAAGGATTATCTCAGGTAAGCTGACATTCCAAATTATTTAACTTTTGAAACTTTTTAAGTTAGAAAATATTTCTTTCGCTAGTTTTTTGTGTAATCTAGACTTTAGTTAACTTTGATTGACAATGGCAGTATCCCATTCAAAATTTTCCACTTTATCAGAGGGACCAATGTAGTCATTTTCTTTATTCTCCAATTAACTACGGTCTAATCTTAACTTTACAGGGCATCGCTTTTCCATGCATGCATGCGATTTGGAGCAAATGGGCTCCACCAATTGAAAGAAGCAGGCTGTCAACGATATCTTTTTCAGGTATGGCATGTTTATAGGTATACATTACTGATGACTAATGAGGACTTCGGTCGAAACGTTTAAAAGAAAGTGTTTTTTTTGAAAATCTGTATATATAGATAAACATAATTGCAGTCGTGTTATCAAGGATTCGTGTAGTTCCTGATGCTCAAGCGGAAAAACCAAGTAATAAGTGGAAACGGAAAGAGGGGCCAAAATGTAATTATTGTATTTGTTTTTAAACAAAAGAGTGTAGTTTTTTTGAATAAAATAAATAATAAAACATTTTTTTTGCTTGGTGTTGGTATAAATATAATTAATAAATAAAACCAACAGTTGCTACATAGGTTTTATAAATCCTGCGATTGCATGTGTGTTCATCCCATTTCTTTATTTTTATTTTGAATTCATTTATAGCTCGAGATCTTTTTCATTCGTTGGGTGTAGCATTCCATAATTTCCATCCTAAAAAAGAGACACGTAACATAGGTTTCTGTAACTTAGGTTTTTGTTTTAACTTTTGGTAGCTGACTCCTTTTAGCATGTTTTAGTGCTGTTCTGCTATTGGAAAAAGATCTCCCCTGAATGTTTGGTTAAGTTTGTTAAAAGATTGAAAATTCCTATCATTAGCAATGGCATGTTATATATATGTATGGGTACTGAACTGTCCTTATGCAGTAAAGTATCAAATTATCTTTATGCAGTTAAGTATCTTGATCCGTAGCTGTGCCATTATACATAAATTGTAGAGCCTTTTTTCGTGTATGCGATTAATCTTTTTATTCATGCTTCTATCATGTTTCATCCAAGTCAGAGAAAAGGAACCCAAACTGTGATGTCATAAAGGCTCTTACAATTTTTCTAAGCTTTTCTGTACTCATAAAGATGTAAGTTCTTGGAAGGGGATGCAATTTTTGGCAAGCTTTTTGCAGCGAGTGGTGATATGAAACTGAAAGTTTCATTTATCATCTAATATAGTACCCAGGAGAATTAAACGGGAGAAAATCCAATACAATATTTTTAAGGCTTTTTTATAACAAATTTCATAGTTTTATTTGTTTCAATGTTGATAAGAAATGGAAGGGACTTGCAAACTTTAAGAACCATCTTGGCATAGCAGAGAATAAACAAATTTTTAAAATTTGAATGAAAGCAAATTAGATGGGGATGAGAAACAGATTAAACGAAGTCTAGCAGTAAAGGATTAGCCTGTTCCCCATTCTGGAAATGTCCCAGTCCGCAAATGCTGCCAAAAAGCATGAACTTCGTGAACTAACAATAAAATCTGGTTTCGGGTCTCGGATCTCAGAAAGTGGAGGTAGGAGTGCTAGCTTTTACTGCAGAGAAATATCATAAAATATCATAGCAGACAAAAAATAAAACTAAATCGAGCTCCGATTTTTGAAAATGTAAGCCAAAAACATTTTTGAGGCTAAGGCATTCGGCGGGCCGCATGAAATCTTGTTGCTGGTCGAAGTTGGCCCGCGGGACGGAGTTGGGCCGCGGGACGGAGGTTAGGAACGGCTGATTTAGGGTTTGTTTAGACACTTTGTTTTGAGCTATCGGTATTGTTTCTTTACTTTTAGGACCATTTGCTGGAATAGTTCTTGGAATGACATTGTCAGGAGCGATAGCTTATAACCAAGGATGGCCCGCTGTTTTCTACTTCTCTGGTAAAAAGTTACAATTTCACGGCTTCTTATACACTGGTCAAACTACTAATTCAACCCACAATGATCTGAGTTAAAATTCAACAGTAAATGTTGTAACAAGTTATTTTAAATTATTGAGCAAGTTATTGAGCATTCAAGCATCGAAAAAATATTTTGAAGCTAAATCACATCAAGGCACATGGGTATGACACGACAAATGCAAAAATCTTAAATATCTCAGTTGGTATCATCCTATTGCCCATGTATATTGATTATGACTTTGCGGTAAAGGAAGTCGGGATAAGCTAGAGAAATTAACGAGAGAGTATTGCAACTTGCCTAGTCGGACTATTCATCTTCGTACAATGATTTACTAACTCGTATAGTAAACCTGGATGCTATGGCTCAAGTGTGGAACTCGAGCAGCACTCATGGGCGTAGTAGATGCTACACGTTTAGGGGGCTTAGTACGGATCTTGCCCGAACTATCGCAAACTTAGAATGTTGTAAAGCGATAAACTCACAAAAAACGCGAAATTGAACGTTATATACTTCTTTCAAGGTAACAAAACAATAACAAACTGGCTATGTACTCTCTTCGCACGCTCGCTCGTAGGAATAATTAAAGTCGTGTTTCTAAAGTTCCTCGTACCTACACGCTCCTTCCCCGCGGTTAATTGTAAACAGTTTTTTTATTTTACACAGGAACATTGTTGTCTCACTTAGATAGAAATGCCTGAATTGAGAATGAAATGCCTTAAACTTGCCTGATATGGGGGCCTACAGCCCTCCTAGCCCCATGTCTCCTACGCTTATAAAGATTCCCTCTCCTCGGGGGTTTTATGAGACAGCACTTTTCATTCAGAACAATTGCATGTTTTGATATTTGTTTATATTCTTCGCAGGCCTTCTTGCAATTATTTGGAGTGTTTTTTGGTTTTGGATGGTTACTGATTCCCCTTTCGATCACCCCACGATTACAGATAAGGAACTTGCTTATCTCAAACAGGAATTATCAGACGATAAGACCGAGTCAAAAGTGAGTCTAACCAGTAGGCACTTCTCTCAGTTATCTAAAGAACGTGCCTCTCTTAGTTATCACGAAGCCAATGTTTAAGATTTGTTTATTAATCTTTCCCTCCTCGTTAGGTCTAGTCTTTTCCTGAACCCTGCTAATTCCCTACCCTCAATCTTACGCCCTGTTTTGATAAGATTTAGAAAATATTCCCCTCCTCATTCTCACTTATTCTAAAAAACCAAAGTTTATGCTGTTATGAAAATGTGATTTTTCGATAAAACGAATGAATACTCATGGGCTCTGATACAGATTGAGAATTGGGGGAAGAAAATAAAAAAATATAACACACATAACAAAAGATTTTGAAAAAAGCTCTATTGTCGTGCGGAAAACGAAGGCAGATATTTTCTAAAGTCAAATAGCAGCTACCGATTACTTATTTTCAGTTAACAACGGTCCCGTGGAAAGATTTGCTCTCATCTGGTCCTGTGTGGGCAATTATGATCGCGCATTTTACAGGGAACTGGGGCAATTTCATACTACTTACGTCACTTCCGACTTATCTCAAGCTGGTGCTAAAGTTTGATCTACAAAAGGTACATTTCAGATAATGAGCCACTTGTTTTCCTTCTCTTCTTTTCACAGAATTGAAAATGGGTTGATTTTTCGACAGCAAGTATGTCAAAAAATTCTTCTATCACCATGGTCTAATAGACCTGCTCTATTTCATCTTCTTTAATAGACAACTTGACCGGAATTCATTACGGACATCTTATCTAGCATCGATAAGAATAACATGTGTGTAACTTCTTTATTAGGCCATCTACACTTGGCTTTTTCCTTGCCAATAGAAATTATTTTTTTGTCAAATGGTTTAAAACATTTACGCTGTTACAAATTACGTTTTCTCACCTCAGGCATCTAATTGGTATAATGAAGAATATGTATGAGTCTTATTGGTCTTTTAAAAATACTTCGTTATTAAACTTGATATATTTTTTTGCAGGCAGGGTTTCTGTCCGCTCTTCCCTACCTGATAATGACCATAATGATTCAGATAGGGGGACAGCTTGCAGATTTTCTACGGTCTTCGGGAAGAATGTCAACCACTACTGTTAGAAAGCTTTTTACTGCAATAGGTTAGTAAACCTTTGTATCATTTTACTTATTTCTCTTATAATTTATCATGTATTCTGTTTGACCAGAGCTGTTATGTTGTTAGATCAGTAAAGTTATTTTGGTATAACAGAACTATTTTTTCGTGGACCAATACTTTGGTAGATTAGAGCTATTGTCTTGGTAGACTGCTTTGTTATACAAGTGATATTATTCTGGCTGCCTACTTCTATTTTTTTCGTAGACCAATACCATTATTTTGTTACACCAGTAATGTTATATTGTTGGACCAGTACCATTATTTTGTTAGATATTATCTTGGTAGACACGTTCTATTGTTTGTTAGAACAGTACCGTTGTTTTGGCACAGAAGAATCCCGCTAAATGAACTTTTTCATGCAGCCTCAATAGGTTTATGATCAAAAGGCTGTTTGATTACATTCATCCCTCCTCTTTTCTGAACAGGGTTCATGGGCCAAGGTGTTTTTCTGATAGTCGTTGGGTATAGTACAAGCAAATACATGGTCATTTCTGCTTTAGTCATGTCGGTCGGATTGGGTGGCCTTGCATGGTGTGGTTTCATTGTCAACCATCTCGATATAGCACCGCGCTATGCAAGCCTCATTTTTGGAATGAGCAACACTTTCGCTACCATTCCAGGAATTGTCAGTCCTCTTGTTGTTGGATTCGTCACTACACACGAGGTCTGTAACTTGATACCTAGACTTTGAATTCTTATGATCTTCTTGATTCACAAAGAAAGCGTTTTTTTTCAATTTCTCAGGCTATTTCAGAATTATAAAAAGTCTGGAACGAGTGGCATCTCTCTTCATTTATAATGTATTAAATGCAAAATAATTCATTTTATCTTTAAATATAGTATTTTAAATAAAGTATTTTATGGAAAGTCATTTTCAATACGAATCGTCAACTAATCGCATCATCTACAGTAAGACTGCGATTGAAAATAATTTGATAGATTAGTTTAAGTTGAACTGGAATGTCGAATCTCGGTGGTCAGACATGCAGATTTACATTTTTGCAAAGCAAGAAACGCATAGAGAATTGCTTGCGATCAACTTTAGGTCAGAATCGATTGGGTAGCATTTCTCTTCTCAACACCGAGCATGGTGTAATGGACGTTTTTCCGATGGATGACTTTATTTCTGGCTTTTGCAGCTTTAAAATCCAAAAAATGTTGATACAAGGCATGTTTGTCATTACATTTCATCTTTATTTGTAATTGTCGTACATCTAAACTTGGTAATGAAAGTTTTTGCAATATTCATTAATGACCTTAATGATTTGTCATGATGTAATATTCTTTTTGTTGACAGAAGTCAGCCCAGATGACAGAAGTATGTTAGACCCCCGGCCCTGGTATTGGTTAATCCGCCATGTTGATATTGTCTCGTAGCCATGTTGATATTGTCTTAATTCACAAGAAGAAGACTTTTATAGCAAGAATGTGTCTTTGAGATGTTAACATTACGTAATTGAGATAATCCATAAAATTGTGGCTTGCGCTTACACTGCCTCTGAATAAAATGCTCTTCAAGTTGATCAAGGAATTTTCTTGTAGAGCGACACATTTATGCACTTACATTTGCACTCCACACACTATGCATTTATATTGCCTGAATTCTTCACATGCAGTGTATTGTTTTTAATGGATGATATTTCTCTACCCAGACTAGAGAAGAATGGCTAATAATATTCATCCTGTCAGCGGCAGTTTGCGGGTTCGGAACCCTGGTTTTCTTGATTTTTGCCTCCGGTAAGAAGCAGCTGTGGGCAGATCCGTATGGGCACCAAAGAATTTCTGAAGACAACGATGATAAAGACATGTTGATGAAAGAGAGTGAGAAAGGCACCCCATCGGCTACCAATGAAACTTTTGAGAAGAAGGAAGCAGAAACTCTCATGCCAGGTGGTGCTGCCTGTTATGGGTCAGTTGTGAGAGACACATCTCAAGTCTAATTCTTTATGTAAACTTGTACTTTCCAGACAGCTTTATCTGAAATTGCTTGTTCCCATTTCCAATGAGTTGCAGTTTTTTCCAAACTCTCTATCAACGTAGTATACAAATTGTCCTTCTGGGGCCCTTCTGCTTGTGACAAGGCTGCTCTAGTAAACTTGTCAAGTGGCATGTTAGCGAGTTCAGAAACATCGAAAGACCTTCTTGGCGCAGAAGAGTATGCTCAGCGTTGCCTACTCTATCTAGAAATGAAAGGTATTTCAAATTGAATAGTGATTCTTTTCAAATATTTAGGTATAATATTGTAAATAGGTTTTATCCCTTTAAAATGGCTAGGAATGGGGGATGAATACAGAATGCAAATTAACAAACGGCAATATAATCATCCTGGTCCTAGTTTTTTTCTCAGAACCAATAAACCGAATTTCAGGCTGCTCTGAAATTTTTTCGAAATTATTCGATGTAGGCAGTGCAATTGCTAGCTAGTGTTCCCTAGAGGAATGTTCAGACCTTATTTGTCAACAAAGTGAATGAGAACTCCCTTATTTGCCAATAAGTTTTTGACATGAAATATTTAAGGAGATTTCACGACTTTGCTAAAACTTGTATTTTACAGTAGCTCAGACTCATCTTGTTCTTTAACGCTCTTAATAATTGACCAGTTTTGAGGCTCTTGTTCTTATGAAATTGTTCTTATAAAAAAGGGTGTAGTCCATTTTCAATTTGCAAAACGCTTCCGTCTCATCGGTCAGTGCGAAAACATTTTGGTTAAAGAGGTGAGCGAAAACTCAAGAAAAATGCTAATAGAATGAAATGCGTTCATTTCAAGAAATTTATGGTTCCATTGAACCCTTGTTTGGTTGGAGGGTTATCCCACTAAAACCCCACCTGGAATAGGGGCGTAATTGCGAAAAATGGCTTTAACATGGTTGCAGCTAAATTGATGTATAAGCATAACTATAACATTCTTAATACACACGTAACTGTCTTAAGTGTTTCGTTGACCCCTTCTTCATTTCTCTAAAAGTGCAACATGCTCACGACCCTGAACCACCTACCCCCTTGCTTCAATGGCGATTCTTTACTTCTTTACTCCTTTATTATAACGTTTAGCCGTGATTAATTTGTATCAAGTAGCATTATATGCCACAAATTATCGGAATTAAATTTCTATAAGCTATTTGCATGCAACCTTTTTGTCCAGCTAGTAATTTTTATGAAATAAACTTCTTTGGTAATTTTTTAAGTCAGATTATTTTAGTCAAGGTCAGTTGCTTTGTCATACCTGTTGCAGTGGTGCATGTTATTATGCCTGGATTCAGGGGGTTTCTGTGGTAAGGAGATTTCTCAGAACCCAAAAAAATACTACTGGTTCCCACTTTTCTATCGTGGTACATATTGCTAGATGAAAGATGATAGTATCGTCTGAATGGTTGTCCACGCTCGGGTCCTTAGAGTTCTCGGGACTGCATAGCCCTGACAAATGGTGAACATGCAGTCAATGACGGCGAAGAGGGCCAGTTAAGCAAAAGAAACTAAAGTGCCTCGCCCAAATCCCGCCTTGTTTCAATTATATTTCTTGGTTGCCTTTTAGGGTGATGGCACCTTTGGACTCTTTCTCCCATGGCGATGATGGCTTACCCCAAATGCGCGAAAGTTACAAATAAACAATTCTAAAAGGAGGGCTTCTTAACTACCTTGTGTTTATAAGATTATCAGACGATAGTAATGTCATTCGGTTGGTAGGAATTCATCAAGTTTTTCTGGTTTTGGACGATAGGTCCTCAAAGTGACGAGTGAATATTTTGGCTCTGCCTCACTTTTCGGGACTGTGAGAACCTGACTTAATGAAATCCCAGGTGTTCACATTTTTGCGAGCAAACTGTACGATCCAACGTATCGTCATCAATGAAATAAAGTCGAAATAAAGTTTTGCACCGCCAAAAGGTTATTTTCAATTGATATTATTTGATAAGGTAGTTGTGAATAGGACGAGAGGGGATTAAATTGACGAGTGAAGATCGTTGCCTGACCCTTTGAGACTGTGAAAACCTAATTTAATGAAATTCCAATTGTTCAAGTTTTTGCAAGCAAACGGCACGATCTAAAGTTTGTTCATAAAAAATGAAGCTTTGTCCGAAAGTGTTATTTGATTGATGAATAATAACATTGCCAACCATCGCAGAAAACCTTCTCTCCAGAGAATACCCCAAGCACTTGCTACGGCTGGGTGATGTTGAGTTACAAAAGCATGGCAAATGAATTTCTTGCATGTGTCTATATACTTTCCAACCTAAGTTGATACCTAAGTTGATTACTGAACGGTTCTTAACAATTTCTTTGTCAATGCTTGATAAGGAACTTGGACTTACAGTAGGAGAAAGCAATTCAAAAGTTCTTCAATGTTCGTGCTGCCTTAAAAAGACCGACAAGGTGAGTGAAATTGCTGAACTTTAATAAAACGACAACAAACGTTTTGATTATCGTAGGCCATGCTCGCACCAAACTGTGGAGGACCTAGCGACTTGCACATGCGACCTAATGCAATGGCATAAGAAGTAGCATGCGTTGATCTACTAGGAAACGCAGTCAAAGAAAACCTGGGTAATGCACGCAAGTCCCTAAATCACCGTTTTTGTAAGCACGAAAAAACCGCTACTGTCGTAGACAAAAGGAGCTCGTTTTCACCTTAGGACTCCACTGGTAACAGTCTAATAGGCAAGCGGCACTGATTGGTCAACCTTTACAGTCATGTGCTCGTGTTTCTGATTGGCCTATTTCGATCCACAACTGGGTATATATATTTCTTAGCGTAGAGTTTTCGATCTATGTTCTGACGTTTTAAACTCTGAAGAGTGTCAGACGAAAAGCTTTAGTTTACTAAATGTTTGCTTTTTTCAAAGCCATTTACAAGTTTTATACCACCAAAAGATTGTTTAGAATCTAAGTTTTTAAATATACCAATTCAACTTACGGCCTCGTTTTGGAAAATACTCAAAACTTTATTGTACGACTTTTTAAAGCTCAGGTTTTGTTTTATCACCATAATTTCAAGCTGGATGCAATTTTTCATATTTTTTGTGCGTGTATTTTAGATTTTATAGAGAAGTGAAGTTTGATAACCTGTAAGGGATATGACTACAATAATCCCTCTGGGTGAAACTTTACCCCCTTAGTCACCAATCAAGGTCAAATCCCTTATAAAATTGTCATCATAAAACCAATTTCGTAATAATGAAAACTTCTAAAAAAGACTTAAACTCGTGCTCTTTATCCGAATCTGAGGTCAAAAATTTTGTATAAAAAGGTTTGGATAATTTTTCAAAATGAGGCTGTAAGTTGAATTGATGCATTGCATGGCAGTACCGGCACCTGGAAAGAAAAAAATTTGTGTCACAAATTTGTTAGAAAATTCTGACATTTTATTGTATTGTATATAAATAATATATGTTAAAGGCAAGGGTATACTCTTTTGGACTTTTAGTCTAGCAAATTGGGACCAGCCATGGTCTCGCCAAGTGTATCATATTTGACAATTTTGGTGCTTTGACAATATTTTATTCAATATCTAATCAAATGTGGAGGATGCGATAGAAAATATTTCGGGGAAATCTCGAATTTTAGAGCTAGAATGAGAGTCCACAAGCAACAAACTCTAGATCCACGGCTTCGAAACCTATTTGTGAACAATCATATAGCACACTGTGCTATTGGTAAACGAACGTTATTTAAAGTTGCGCCACTTTTTCTGTCAACCGTCACTTTTTCTATTAAGTAAATCATTATCACCGTGACTCCCTCCCCCTATTGTGAAAATCTTTCAAATTCCATTGCTTTTATTCAAGACCCCCGAATATGAACAAATTGGAACTTTAAACAAACCCGCCAACAACTGTAGAAAATAGCGTTTTGCTACCGTTGACGTAAGATCACGTGATCAGGAGAGGGAGGTAGGAAGAGTGTAAAAAGACAGAATTTCGTTAAGGAAACTTTTGCTTGTTTGCTGTTTGAATTTCATTTGCGTGCTTGACTTTTGTTAGCACCTTGGCCAATTTCCATGTAACAGCCTGTCTTGTGATCAGCTCCTTTGTTCTGTTTTGTATAATTGTCCTAATTATCTTAATTGCTGTTGAGTAAAATATTTGTTGGCTTTTGTGAGTAATTCAGTCGTTTAATTTAGTCGCTAAGGTTTAGACGTGATTTCAGATGTTCGGATAGCCGTTGTTATTTCAAGAAGTTTGAAGCATACCAGTTTTGCCGAAGTGACCCGTTTAGTCGTTGTTGAATTAGATGAAACTATAGGAACCGTCGAGCCAAGAAATCAGAACACGCTTATTGAATTTTGTACTTTCTTTTACTGCCGAATCTGCGAACACAAGCCTGTAAAACCCTCGTAAACTCAGTGGTTTTACATTGGTGACCACGACGTGACGGGAGAAATTGGTAAAAAAGAAAGCTGGTATTTTAGAAGAAATATGTCGAATTTTAATCGTAGAAATGACTTGCTATATTTGCGTGCAACAGACGGTCGTCCAGTCTGCAACTACTGTAAAATGGTTGGACATGTTGTCAAGTACTGTCGCAGTCGCCCGTTTATTCATCCACCAAAAGATTATCGCACGAATGGATTTCCTCGTTGGTTTTCTACAAAATTTAGCCGATATAACGACGCACAATTTGAGGAAGAATTCCAGCACATCTGCAAACTAATTGAAAACTTGAAATGTATTTTACGTCAAGTAGAAGAGATAATGCACAGAAAAAGGGAAAATGTTGCGAGACAAGATAGGGGACAAAAAAGGTTTGAATTTGAAAATAATGAAATGGCACCCAATGAACAGGAAGATTGTGTCATGCCAGAACAGTCGATTTATAAAGGAGATGCAAATAGGGGAGGCAGCTATTACCAAAGAGCAGGGGAAGCAAACAAGATTGTCAGGAAACATAGCACGCCAAGCGGTACCAAACAATTTTGGAATGGAGTCACTTGAAGCAAGCGAGGACGCTTGTCCTTAAAGGGGAGAGTTATGTAAAAAGACAGAATTTCGTTAAGGAAACTTTTGCTTGTTTGCTGTTTGAATTTCATTTGCGTGCTTGACTTTTGTTAGCACCTTGGCCAATTTCCATGTAACAGCCTGTCTTGTGATCAGCTCCTTTGTTCTGTTTTGTATAATTGTCCTAATTATCTTAATTGCTGTTGAGTAAAATATTTGTTGGCTTTTGTGAGTAATTCAGTCGTTTAATTTAGTCGCTAAGGTTTAGACGTGATTTCAGATGTTCGGATAGCCGTTGTTATTTCAAGAAGTTTGAAGCATACCAGTTTTGCCGAAGTGACCCGTTTAGTCGTTGTTGAATTAGATGAAACTATAGGAACCGTCGAGCCAAGAAATCAGAACACGCTTATTGAATTTTGTACTTTCTTTTACTGCCGAATCTGCGAACACAAGCCTGTAAAACCCTCGTAAACTCAGTGGTTTTACAAGAGTTTTGAGAGTCGCCCGCGTCGAAGAAAGAGGATTCGAGTTATGCTTTGGCCATCGTTTAAAATCGTTATAGTTGGAAATGGGTTCTGCAAAATAGGTAGAGCATCCAGATTGTGTTTGAGATTGTGGCTTTCCAAGCCATTTACTTACACGAATATCTTGAACATAATAATTGCCAAGTCAGGGTGACTTAGGCCAGCATTTTCCCAACAACAACCTTTTACGGTACCCGCGAGTACATTGGGCCTTTAACCCTATCCAGACCAGGCTTTTTGAGCTGCTAGAAGACTAAGGAGGGGCTCATTCAGCTCCCCCCACTCTTAAATCGTTGTTCCTTGGTCTATGTTGATAACAACCACCAAATGACTTCATTATTATTCAAGACAATGACAAGAGTACACAAAAATGACGTTTTTATCAAAGTCACGTAAAACACGACTGAACTTTTGTACATAGAAAAATATAAAAGACCATACTTATCATGAATATAAGAGGTAACAAGGATTCCAAAAAATTATTATGAGATGAACCTGAGTTAAGTACATCAAAAGATTCCTTAGATGTTGACCTTGACCACTGTGAAAAAACACCCAGATTCCCCCAATTTATTTTTTTAAAACTATTTTTAAAAAAATCCACACTTCATATAAATAGACACTAAAAGTCAAAAAGCATCATACTAGTTGAATCTACCAATGTGGAGCCAACCCCCCCCCCCCAGTCTGGGTAGGGTTGTCTCAGTAGTAATAATTTTCTCTATGACATCCCTATTTAACCGGTCCTCTTCTCGGTCATTAATTGTATTTTCATCATTTGCCTAGGCTCAGCAGTCCTGAGAACTCTTAGGACCCGAGTGTGGACAATGCCATCATCTTTCATCCAGCCATAGGTAAGAGTGGGAACCAGTATTAACTGTTTGGGTTCTGAGAAATTCCCTTACCACAGAAACCCCCTGAATCCAGACATATTAGCATACACCACTGCAATTTTCAGAGCTACAAACAGACAAGAGCAAATAAATGAAAAAGAAAATATCTAATTTTATACATCCCCACTGGCGTATAGTTTGGCCACACAAACACTGATATTTTACATTTCATAGAGAATTGCTTTAGTAACACAAACACCATTTAAAATACGAATTTATCCTTTCTACTTGCTTTAACGATACAATTCCGTTTAAAAATAAATACTGTGTTTTGGAGGACAACTACATTAACATAACTAGAAATGAAATTATTCAGCTTGCAACATACCACCTTTCCTCTAGCAAACACTAGGGGGTTTATTAGCCCCAACAATTAATGGGGACAGCGCTTTTTCACAATTAAAAAATTTTGAAATGATTTTCTTATCTGGGGGGTCGATAAACGATTTATTTTCTATTCTTTTTAACTACCTGAATGTATCGTCAGTTAGGAGAGAGGAGAGAGGAAGCCCCCCTAGTGCATACTAACTAGCAATTGCACTGTCTACACCCTACTAATTTGGGGGGATCTTTGGGTTTGACGGTATTGTGGTATTTGCCTTTTCCTCTGTCGTTAATTCGGTAATCTTCCTCAAATTGGGCGGTACTTCGGTTATTGAAAAATTGGCGGTGAAAGGTTTTTAGTGAATTCAATGCCCAGTGTGCGGTGAAATGCTAATGATGGAACCTTGTTGCATCCATGTTAAAACCTCCGTAAAATGCCGATGTTTCCAACCTCTCTTCTTTAAATGGCGTTACCCCAGGTTGAAAAATACTGAAGTTGCAACTGCAAATGTCCATGATTTACTTTCTTATTATTTATAATTACTTTTCTCTCTTCTTTCTCCTCACAATCTTAAATGACTAATATATAAGCAGATTCGCTGGAGCCAGCTATAGAGAGGCATTTCTCGTTTTGCCCATATGTCCTATACAACATGTCATATATAAACAATAAACACGACTTCAGGTGGGAACACTTAGAATAGGTCCCCCATTTTGTCATCTTTGCTTTCCAAAACAGTACAATATTATCGAAATACATCCGTGTTTAGCTTTTGTAATACACTTTTGGTCTAAAAAGCTGCCAGGTAAACAAGATCTCTTCTTCTACAAAGTGTTTCAATGACCTAAACGGGACGCTAAGAAAGTTTTTTTTCTTTTAGAAAAATCTTCAAACTTTCTTCTGTCTTTTCTTTCCAATCCAAAATCCATCGGATTATGTTTGGGCATATCTATGTGGTCTTGTACCTTTAGCTAGATCATATTTGGCTCTTTTAATGTACAGTTTCTGCAAAGCACGGTAGAAGATAAATGTATTTTCGATTGTAGGCATAAAGCTAGATCAACATTAAAGGGCTTTATTTCCATTGATCTTTACAATTATTTTGGATTTGATTTAGCTTTCAGAATTGTAGGGCAATATCACGTAACTACTTGAATATTCTATGTGTTTTGATTTAAGAATGGAATTTGGTTACCACTTATTCACCCCAAAGTTGATTCATCAGTAATAGTGAATCTTCACTAAACATTTTTGCCACTTACATTGTTGTTGAAATGTTGTTGAAACTTTAACTGCAAGGTTAAAAATCATACTTGAATAAAGGGGAGGGGGGTGGTGCAGTCAAAAACTAACTTTCTTGTAAGTTTTGTGCAAATATAGGATAAGAAATCTGAAAATTATGAGCCGTCGAGGACTGCATTAACTGTTGAGGGATTATCTAATCTTTTGCTAGCTCATTGATCAGCCTCCGATAGCCCCCCCCCCCCCCCTATACCCCTGGGATTCATAGACAAAGTCTAAGTTCACATCTAGTAACAAAAGATGCTATCATAAATATATTTAGTGAACCTGCATACAAAAAGCTGTCTCACATTCGAGAAAAATATTACTAAGCTTCAAAGAACTAAGGGAAAAAGGCTAGCTGTATCTGTAGTGACCATTGTTTAAACGTAATTATGTCCTCCATTGTGTCTCTGTCATTAACAATTTCCATTGTCTCCGTATCCACGTAACGTAATAAACAACACATTTGTAGCGTCCCCTCGTTTTATGTGTATACGCCCTAAATTGTAGTTAGTCAGTAAATTCATCAAGACGCAGCGGACATGCAACATCGTATTAAAAATATTTGGACACATCACTGCTCAAATGATCCCCCATCTCCTGCCATTTAAGACAAAGTGATAAAACCTACTTACACGAATAACTAAATATTTGAAAATAATCACTATTTAATTCGAAATTCCCTTCATTTCTAGAGATTCTGGTTCTTCCCTCTCATCCGTTTCATTGGTAGCTGTGGAGTGCCTTTCTCATCCTTGATTCCCTCTTTCAGCAACATGTCTTTATCATCGTTGTCTTCAGAAATACTTTGGTACCCATTCGGATCAGCCCATGGCTGTTTCTTACCGGAGGCAAAAATCAAGAAAACCAGAGTTCCAAGCGCGTAAACTGCCGCTGACAGGAAGAATATTATTTGCCATTCTTCTCTAGTCTGGGTAGGGAAACATCATCCATTAACAAAACAATACACTATATGCGAAGAATTCAGGCAATATAAATGCATAGTGTGTGGAGGGCAAATGTAAGTGCATAAATGTGTGGTGTGAGTAAGTGTAAGTAAGTGCAAATGTAAGTGTAAGTGCATAAAAGTGCTACAAGAAAATTCCTTGCTCAACTTGAAGAACATTTTATTCCACCCGTTCCATATTTTGATTATTGCGAAATAGCCTAAAACGTTGAATAAAAAGTGTTTTCCTTGTGGATCAAGAAGATTATAAGAATTTCGAGTCCAAGTAATTAGAGTTACAGACCTCGTGTGCAGTGAGGAATCCAACAACAAGAGGACCGACAATTCCTGGAATTGTAGCGAAAGTGTTGCTGATTGCAAAAAGGAGGCTTGCATACCGCGGTGCTATATCAAGGTGATTGATAATGAAACCACTCCATGCAAGGCCACTGAATCCGACAGCCATCACTAAAGCCAATAGGGCCAGATGTTTGTTTGTACTGTATCCAACGACTATCATAAAAACGCTTTGGAACATGAACCCTGTTCAGAAGAGAGGAGGGATGCATGAAATCAAACTTAGCAAAGGTATAAATATTAATCGCTTCTACTTTGTGGGTTTGTCAAAGAGTAAAAAAAACTTGTTCTGGATGAAAAGACGGTGGGAGGGATTGGACAGAGTTCAGGTTTTTGGACAAGTAGTAATTTTCAACAAGGCAGTTGCTACAGAACAAGTGCACGGCTTGAAATGTCAATGCTGAAGATACACCAGTTTGTTCTGAAAATGTCTTAAGGTGAATTTGCATTAAAGTTTTTTCTCTGGATCAAAAGCACACTGTTGCGCTGTTTATGGTATTACAAAGACAATGGAACTGATTTACCAAAACAATTGCAATGGTCTATTCACACAATAGTACAGGTCTACCAAAATAATACTTCTGGTCTATGTCTACAGAAACAATCTCACAGGCTTGAATTTAGAATTGCCGCTTTTTAATTAAGAACCTATTCAGGCTGCCAGAAAAAAACCTAGGTTCTTTCAGCGGGATCCTCCTGTACCAAAACAATAGTACAGGTCTACAAAAACAATAGAATTGGTCTACCAAAACAATAGAGTTTGTCTACCCAAATAATGGTAGTGGGCTACCAAGACCATATCACTGGTCTAACAAAATAGCAATTCTGGTTTACCCAAAATGATAGTATTGGTCTACGTAAACAATAGTTCTAATTTACCAACATGATAGAATCGGTCTATCAAACAATAGTAGTGGGCTACCAAAACAAAAACACTGGTCTCACAAAATAACAGTTGTGGTCCAACAAAATTATAGCATTGGTCTACGAAAAAAATAGTTCTAATCTACCAACATGATAGAATCGGTCTACCAAACAATAGTAGTGGGCTACCAAGATAATATAACTGGTCTAACAAAATAACAGTTGTGGTCCAACAAAATTATAGCATTGGTCTACGAAAAAAATAGTTCTAATCTACCAACATGATAGAATCGGTCTACCAAACAATAGTAGTGGGCTACCAAGATAATATAACTGGTCTAACAAAATAACAGTTGTGGTCCAACAAAATTATAGCATTGGTCTACGAAAAAAATAGTTCTAATCTACCAACATGATAGAATCGGTCTACCAAACAATAGTAGTGGGCTACCAAGATAATATAACTGGTCTAACAAAATAACAGTTGTGGTCCAACAAAATTATAGCATTGGTCTACGAAAAAAATAGTTCTAATCTACCAACATGATAGAATCGGTCTACCAAACAATAGTAGTGGGCTACCAAGATAATATAACTGGTCTAACAAAATAACAGTTGTGGTCCAACAAAATTATAGCATTGGTCTACGAAAAAAATAGTTCTAATCTACCAACATGATAGAATCGGTCTACCAAACAATAGTAGTGGGCTACCAAGATAATATAACTGGTCTAACAAAATAACAGTTGTGGTCCAACAAAATTATAGCATTGGTCTACGAAAAAAATAGTTCTAATCTACCAACATGATAGAATCGGTCTACCAAACAATAGTAGTGGGCTACCAAGATAATATAACTGGTCTAACAAAATATCAATTCTGGTCTAACAAAGCAGTAGTACTGGTCTACGTAAACAATAGTTCTGTTCTACCAAAATGATAGAATCGGTCTACCACACAATAGCAGTGGGCTACCATGATAATATAACTGTTCCAACAAAACATCAGTTCTGGTCTAACAAAATTATAGCATTGGTCTACGGAAACAATAGTTCCAGTCTACCAAAATGATAGTAGTGGACTACCAAGACAATGGCACTGGTCTAACTAAATAACAATTCTGGTTTACCCAAAATGATATTATTGGTCTACGTAAACAATAGTTCTAATCTACAAACATGATAGAATCGGTCTATCAAACAATAGTAGTGGGCTACCAAAACAAAAACACTGGTCTCACAAAAATTATTGCTGGCCTACCAAAGTAATTTTACTGATCTAACAAAATCAAAGTTGAAAATGGCTTTGAAAAAAGCAAACATTTTACTTCTGACGTTTTATGCTCTGAGGAGTGTCAGACGAAAAAGCTTTTAGTTAATATGTTGTAAAATTTTTGCTTTTTTCAAAGCCATTTTCAAATTCTGTACCGCCAAGAAACTGTTGAAAATCAAAATTCTGCTCTAACAAAATACATGATTAATTGTATGATAAATACATAAAATGATACAAAAGGTTTACTAACCAAATGCAGTAAAAAGCTTTCTAACAGTAGTGGTTGACATTCTTCCCGACGACCGTAGAAAATCTGCAAGCTGTCCCCCCGTCTGAACAACTAGGGTCATTATCAGATATGGAAGAGCGGCAAGAAACCCCGCCTGCAAAAAATATATGAAGTTTAATAACGAAGTATTTTTAAAAGACCAATAAGACTTTTACATGTGCTTCCTCATACCAATTGAATGCTTGAGCTGAAAAAACGTAATTTGTAACAACGTAAATGGTATCAAAAATTTGACAAAAAGACTGGCAAGGAGAAAGCCAAGCGTAAATTGCCTAACAAAGAAGTTACACACAGGTTATTCTTATCGATGCTAGATAAGATGTCCGTAATGAAATCCGGTCAAGGTGTTTATTAAAGAAGATAAATTGGAGCAGGTTTGTTAGCCAACGGCGATAGAAGAAGTTTCTGACATACAGCTGTCGAAAAATCAACCCATTTTCAATTCTGTGAAAATATGGAGAGGAAAACAAGTCACTCATTATCTGAAATGTACCTTTTGTAGATCAAACTTTAGCATCAGCTTGAAATAAGTCGGAAGTGACGTAAGTAGTGTGTAATAGCCCCAGTTCCCTGCAAAATGCGCGATTATAATTGCCCACACGGGGACAGATGTGAGCAACTCCTTCCACGGAACTGTTGTTAACTGAAAATAAAGGAAATCGATAGCTGCCCTCATTTTTGGCACGACAATAGCGCTTTTTCAAAATCTCTTGTTAAAGCTGTTATATTTGCTTGTTTTCTTTTGCCCCTCCCCCTTCCCAACCAGTAACAAGGCCTATGAGTATTAATTCTCTTTATCAAGCCTTTTCATAACAGCATAAACTTGGGGTTTTATAAAATAAGTGAGAATGAGGAGGGGAATATTTTCTAAATCTTTTCAACACAGGGCATAACAATAAGGGGTAGGGAGATGTTCGAATTAGCAGGGTTCAGGAAAGGACTGGACCTAACGGGAAGGAAAAGATTATTTAACAAATCTTAAACATTGGCTTCGTGATAACTAAGAGAGGCACGTTCTTTAGATAACTGAGAAAAGTGACCCATGGTAAGACTCACTTTTGACTCGGTCTTATCGTCTGATAATTCCTGTTTGAGATAATCAAGTTCTATATCTGTAATCGTAGGATGATCGAAAGGAGAATCAGTAACCATCCAAAACCAAAAAACACTCCAAATAATTGTAACAAGGCCTGCGAAGAATACAAACAAATATCACAACATGCAGTTGTACTTAATTAAGAGTGCTGTCTCATAAGCCCCCGAGGAGAAGGATTTTATCAATCAATGCAGTGCCATCATAGGCGTAGGAGAGATAGGGGCAAGGAGGGCTGTAGGCCCCCCAATCAGGCAAAATTTAAGGCATTTCATGCTCAATTCAGGCAGATCTGTCTCAATGAAGCAACAAGAGATCAAGGTTGAATTTTTGTTAGGCAGTTTTTCGATGCTTGAATTCTCTTCAAAATAACTTTTTACATCAGTTACTGTTGAATTTTCAGTCAGATCATTTTGGGCTGAATTTGTAGTTTGACCACTGTATCAAAAGCTTTGAACAGTTAAATTTTGCAATAAAGTTGTAACTTTTTACCAAAGAAGTAGAAAACAGCGGGCCAGCCTTGGTTATAAGCTATCGTTCCTGACAATGTCATTCCAAGAACCGTTCCAGCAACTGGTCCTAAAAATAAAGAAACAATACAGACAAGTCGAAACAAAGCGTCTAAAGAAACTCTAAATCAGTCACACTTATCCTCCGGCCCGGGGGCCAACTCGGTCCTGCGGGTCAACTTTGGTCCGCAACAAGATTTAGTCCGGCCCACCGAATGTCTTTACCTCAAAAATATTTTTGGCTTACACTTTTAAAAATTGGAGTTCGATTTAGTTTTGTTTTTTGTCTGCTAGGATAGTTTATGATATTGCTCTGCAGTAAAAGGTAGTACACATACCTCTAATTTCTGAGATCCAAGACCCGAGAGCAGATTTTATTGTTAGTCCACGAAGTTCATGCTTTTTAGGCAGCATTTACGGACTGAGACATTTGCGTTTATCTGTTTTTCCTCTCCATCTTATTTGCTTTCGTTCAAATGTTAAAAATGAGTTCATTAGCTGCTATAACAAAAGTTTGCAAGACCCTTCCATTTCTTGTCAACATTGAAACAAATAAAACTATGGAATCTAATTATAAAAAGGCATTAGGGATATTGTCTTGGATTTTCTCCCGTTTAATTCTCATGGGTTTTTTATTAGATGATAAACTAAACTTCCAGGTACATAGCATCACTCGTTGCAAAATGCTTACCAAAAGTTGCATAACCTGTCAAAAACTTCCATATTTATGAATACAGGAAAGCTTAGAAAAATTGTAAGAGCCTTTATGATATCACAGTTACGGTACATTTCTCTGACTTGGATGAAACATGATAGAAACATGAATAAAAAGAATAATCGCACACACGAAAAGGCTCTACAATTTATTTATAATGACACAGCTTCGGATTGAGGTACTTAACTGCATAAAGATCAAGATACTTTACTGCATAAGGACAGTTCAGTACCCATACATGTACAGAACCTGCAATTGCTAATGACAGAAATTTTCATTCAATTTACAATCTTTGAGAAAATTGAAAAAATTGATTGATAGCCTTCCTTTGTCAAACAGGAAAAGCTTCGACATTAGACCCGTGCGCTGTGAGGAGGTTTTGAAAAGGTTTTCTATGTGTAAGCTCCGAAATGACTGTTCAACGGGTCCAGATCAGATACCAGTCAAGATGTTGACGCCCGTCGCTGATATTCTGGCTTTTCCATTGACTAATATTATAAACACTGCAATTGGAAAGGACGACTTTCCAACAGCATTGGAAACAGCACGCATTTGTTCTATCCCTAAAGGGAATCAAGTCACCAGTGAACGAGGTCTGAGGCCAATATCAATCCTGTTAGCATTATCCAAAGTGTATGAGAGACTAATGTTTAGACAAATGGAGAGTAACATATTGGCATACAGGAAAGGCAAATCAACCATCTTTGTTTTACAAGCAATTTGTGATGACATTTTAAAAGCCATGCAACGTGGAGAAGTAACATAATCCTGGCTGACTTTTCCAAGGCATTCGAAACAATCAAATTTCAAAACCTTTTCAAGAAATTGAGTCATTTGGGCTTCTCGAAGTACTTTTTAAAGTGAACCTTGAACTATGTCTCGAAGGGAAAGCAATTTGTTCAAATTGAAGATGAGGCATCCGATGAATTAAAAGTTAGATTCGGAGTACCTCAGGGATCCATCCTTGGGCCAGTGCTGTTCAACATATACGTAGCTGACCTCCAATCAAAAAATGAAAATGAAAATGAAAGGATATCAGTATGCTGACGATACAACATTATACTGCCATGCCAAGCCCAAAAATCTCGAATCCCTGCCAAAAACTACCAATCAATCTATTGAGCAACTAGGAGTATGGGCCAGCAACAACAATCTTGCATTGAAAAGGGAAAATACTAAGCTCACGGTACTGTCAACACAAGAAATTTCGAGGAGACATGGCCTGAAAGACAGTGAACTAGAAATTCATATTAAAGAAAAGAAGATGGAGAGAGCAGAGACATGTAAGCTATTAGGGGTAACTATAAACGAACACTTAAAATTGGAGGACCATGTTAAAACGAACACTAGCTCATGCTACGAAACCTTATCTACTCTAAAAAATTAAAGAATGTTGCCCCGTTTCGTCTAAGGAAGCAGCTCTCAGAATCAATCGTTTTAGCAAAGATTGACTATGGCAAACAGGTCTATACGCCGCTAACTGTGATGCTTCAAAAAGATCTACAGAGAGTACAGTTTGCAGCCGCATCGTTTGTTTCTGGTCACTATGTAAGGAGCAAAAAAGATATCTTGAAAATAGGATGGCTTCCTATAAAAGAGAGAAGAGATTTCAATCTCCTTAAGCAAGTTTTCAAGGAAACGTGAATTGAACTCGGAAACGTGACTTGACTATTTGCAACTGAAAATAGGAGAAAATAAGCGAGACCTGAGATCAAATGGCAACATATCGCTGGAAATAACAAAGAAAGAGAGCGGAACTTTTCAAGAAAATGCTGCTAGACTATTCAATTCCCTGCCAGAGACAATAAGAAACTGTTAAACCTATAGCACTTTTTTTTGTTAAATAAATTATTAGTTCATGGAGCTGAACGATGTAATTAATTCAAGAGACATTCCTTTTTATCTGTAAATATTTTTTAAAACAAAATTTATTTTGGGTATTGTAACTTAACAGTGAAAAGCCAACTGTATTGGATCTGTTAAATATTAAAAAAAGATCTCTTTCCGATAGCAGAACAGCATTACGCACTAAAATATGCCAAAAAACTCAGCTACCCAACGTTAAAAAATTCTTATGTTATAGAAACAGTCTCATTTTTGGATGTAAATTATGGAATACTATACCCAATGAATGGAAAAGCTCTCGAACTATAAATGAATTGAAAGAAAGATAAAGAAATGTGATGGACACACATGCAATCACAGGATTTGTTAAACTTATGTAGCAAATGTTAGTTTTATTTCTTGAATATTTTTATCCAAGCACAAACCAATTTTTATAAGGTATTGATATAATGCATTTTTCTTGCCAACTGTAAATAAATTAGTTTTAACCATAATAATGATAATTATTCAACTTTATATGCATTTCCTGGCCACCCTGCAAACCACGGTGGCAGCATTCTTAACACAAACACAATCATTGCATTTGGCCCCTCTTTAAAATACATTTCGTCATCCCTGGACTTTTCTTCAAGCGCATCAAGTCGACCGGATGAATATTAACGTCTAATCTCAAAATAGCACAATCAGGCAAAGAAAGATTCTCTGACTCAACATGGTACAAAAAGTATAAAGATACAAAAGTTAAACTACTTTGTGTTAACAAAGTTTTGGGTAGATACAATTTGCTACAGAATTCAAACTTTATTAAGTTTGTATTAATTGCATAAAAAAGATTCCGAGGCAGACTGTGAGGAACTATTAAACAAGGATATCACCAGAGCGGGATTAATGGAAGGTCCTTTCCAATACCAACTATGAAGAACAAAGGAACTTTTGACCAGATAAGATCGACAGCACAAGACCGTGAAGCTTGGAGCTTGCAGAAACATTTCAGAAATAGTTTGCAGAGCAGCAGAAACTACATGAAGCCTTCAGGACGCTACTGCAATTATGTTACATATATATAACAGATTCTCAAAAGAAATCACTTTTTTTTAAACGTTTCGACCGAAGTCTTCATTAGTCATCAGTAATGTATACCTATAAACATGCCATACCTGAAAAAGATATCGTTGACAGCCTGCTTCTTTCAATTGGTGGAGCCCATCTGCTCCAAATCGCATGCATGCATGGAAAAGTGACGCCCTGTGAAGTGAAGATTAGACTGTAGTTAATTGGGAAATGAAGAAAAAGACTACATTGGTCCCTCTGAGAAAGTGGGAAATTTTAAATGGGATACTGCCATTGTCAATAAAAGCTAACTAAAATCTAGATTACACAAAAAACTAGCGAAAGAAATATTTTCTAACTTAAAAAGTTTCAAAAGTTAAATAATTTGGAATGTCAGCTTACCTGAGATAATCCTTGCAACACTCTAACAGCTATGAGAAACTTAATACTCATTCTTGCTGCTAATGGTGTTAGTAATGTAAACAGTCCTGTCATTAGAATACCTCCACCAAAAAGGTTTTTCCCACCGAAACGGGCTGCAAGATATCCAGAAGGTATTTGGGTGATGATGTAACCATAAAAGAAAGAGCTCAGGATGATACCTGTCAAGCCAAAAAATGAATTTATAATGAAAATAAAGGAAATCTGCACGAGATGCAGCCAAGCAATACCACATCCATCCCAATTTCCAGCTTTTGAATCAGAAGGTATCATTAATACTCACATATATTAACATACCTGTCAAGCTGATAAGGTGTCCTGCCGCAAGAATTTGTGTTCTAAACTAAAATTTTGCGTAAAAACGGTAATAGAACCATAATAAAACGGTAATTCTTGTTATTCGTTATTCGATGGTTTCAAAACAAATCCAAAGTGATAATTTAATGTAAATAATACAAACTAATGACTCATTATGAACACTACATGATAAAAACAGTAGAGTTTACAAAAATCATTAAAGGAAATACTAATCAAAACTTTGGTCTAGTTAGAGAAGTTTTTACAAAATTACAATGACCAACGTCCTTCAGTTTCAAATTTCAATCCTTTGTTAGAATGAAAATAATTGTCTTACTGGTTAGCAAGCACGTTCTCGTAAATGAAAATGGCGCGATGGAAATTCTTCATAATTTTTAAACAGACGTATTCGTGTAGCAAGAAACATATCGGAAATGGAGAAAAACGTGAGATTTTCAGCTTACGCCGTAAGACCTTAAAATCACCGACGTTGCAAAAGACATACGCAAAAACCTGAAGACCTGACAGTTATGTATTAAGCATTAGTATCTACCACTAGGCGTTTTCAGGAAATAGGCATCTAACTCCGGAAGCATTTCTTATCTGAAAGAAATATTTTTGATCTGTAGGCAACATTGATTAAATTTTTGCAATAATTCTTTGCAGTTCAATCTCAGAATTGACACTAGAAAGAGGTGTGAAAAAGTCGCAGTTCCATTTGCAATTCAGAAAAGAGCAATACAATGTTTTGGAAATAACATACTATTGAATAACATACTACAAGCATTTTTTCACTATCAATTCAAGTACCTTGTTCTTTTGTGTTCCAAGAAAATTCTGCCGGCTCCTAGTGAAAAGAATTGCAGACCACTTAGCTTGTATTCAAGTAAACAGCAAATCAGAAATTCTGAGAAGACAAAATACCATACCAAGCCTATGTAAATATAAATTATCAGAAATTATTTATTGGTTCAAACTGCAAAATTTTATGACAATACTCCTAAACCAATAAAGATTGTTTTAACTGTATAATCGCAAAATCTGAATTCTATAAGCAAAAGAACATCTCACAGGTTACACAAATCTATTGTACCCTTGTATTGGTTTTAGATTACAAGTCTGAAATAGCAAACCTAACTGTGCAAATTTAGAGGAAATTTCATGAAAAGTTTTCTTTCAACATAAATATGAAAAAAATGCTTCAAAGCAAAAACTCGGGGTAAGTAAGTTAAAGAAAATGAACCTACTGTAAAAACGACATAGCCAGGAGAGTTGGTTATCGTTTTATTTGAAACCATGGCAACTAAGGCAACACTGAGATTGACTCGTAATGAATAGAGATTTAGAAATCCCAAAAAGCTTAGGATTGCCAGCAAATATCTTTTGGGTAACCAGCTGCATGTGACTCTCCATTTTTTACGGTTTTCTTTCATTTGTTGCTCACTTGGACTGTCCTCAATGACCGAGTGACGCATAATGCTTTGAGCATATGAGTTACTTTTTGCCAGATTTTTTTCTAAATCGAATAAAAGATTAACTTTCGAATAACTACTAATGAATAAAGGCCTAAATTTAAGAGAGTTTTAAGGACCAATATTTCAACATCAACCAGAATAATTGTAAATAGTGAACTGCAGCCACATATTTCACTTTATGGAAAAGTGCTTTTTATATCTTATTCTAAACATAAGAAAAGGATGGTTGCCCCTTTTGATAGGGACAAAAATATTAGGAACTTGAAGTAAGATATTCAACAAACTTCCATTAAAACTTATAGGTATTAAACAAAAGAATATCAGGTTAAGTTTTTCTTTCACAATGAAATTCAAAAATTCAAGCTATCAATAAGAAAACTTGTCGATGAAATACATCAAAGAGATTTCTGACAACAATTAATCAACCAGTCAATTCATTTTGAAACAGTGAAGATTTTACAGGCAGGATAAAATACCAAGTAATCAAGCAGAAGCATGGCTTTTTAGACTTTATTCAAAGATCTCCATGTTTTTGGCTCCAGATCACTCGTACAAGTCATGTGCTAACAGCTGTGCAAGAGTTGGCAATACATATAGCGAGGACTTCGAGGTAAAGGTTGGCGTTTATCAAGGGTCTTTTCTGAGCCCTGTGTCCGAAATGCCAAAAAATGTCTGCAAAAGATTTCTCTACAGTTTATTGTATAAAATTTCTCCACAGAAAAAATTTCTCCACTCTGAAAATTTTTGTACTTAATGTAGATGAAATTTGCAGACACAGCGCGCGTTTCCTTGTGTTGCAATTTGATGGGTTGTTTGTAAAATCAAAAATGCCGGTTCGAAACTTAAAGAATGCAGAAAAATAAGAAATGCAATGCAGTTATTAACGCACTTATAATGGGTTTATTGTAACAGAATCATGTGTACTTTTTTAGTTATGCTCAAAAGCATGTCTTAGAGAAGAAAATTGTGAGAAATTCGATGAAACTTATCGCTGCAGCCTATCCAAAACAGTTGGCGTTGCGGGTGCATAAAAATTATTGTCTTTCGTTCAAGAATTTTTCAGAGTTTATATGTCGCCCCAGGCACTTCGCCTTGATTCGGTCTTCATCTTCAATGATTGATTATTCATCAAAACATTTAGTTATTTCTCTTTTTCAGAAATAATACGTTCTTCCTAATATTTGATTTAAAAAGTCTAAGAAAATTTGAAAAATTCCCCTTCTTTCGACGTGATGTTTAAAATCTAAATCAGATTTATGGATGAATTTTGGATGAATCAGATTTCAAAGTTATCGTAGGAAAAAACTGGAGGGTAGTTTGCGAACGAATCGTCAGAGCGAATCGTCTGAATCAGTTCAAGGCTGAGCAAACAACAGTAATATACACAACACATTAAAAGAACATCTGTTGCTCATGCAAAGCACACAAATACACGCTTGTAGTTATACCATACCTTAAATGCTATTTTCATCTGTACTGCATCGTTATTTGTCTTCTGTCCAGTGATAAAATATTCTGGGTTGTTACAGTTCATGATCTTTCTTTGTGATTGTGACATGCGCTCATTGCCATTGTGACATGCGATGAAGACAACAAAAAAGCAACGGTCTGCCGACTTCTACGTGAAATCATTCTTTGGACATACAATGAAACATCAGAACGATTATGGGTAATAGACGCTGTACTGCTTCTCAACTCCTGTCTCCACTCGACACACGAATTTGTGTGGCTCTAGTACCCAGGGTATCGTTTGGTGTTGTTGCTGTCTCTGAAGCTTGATTTAGACCCCGTTTACACGAGACCGGTTCCAAAGAGATCCGCCTCCATTTGAGTTCACTTCCTCCTGTTCACAAGAGACCGCTTCCAAATAAGTTCACTTACGCGTTCTGTTCACACGAGACCTAAACTCCAAATCGTTAGTGAAAGAAAGCTCAAAACACTCGAGCCGAGGCCCTGGGTTACCGTGACAACAAAAGTGAAAAGGCACCAAATTTGCTTCGCTTTTGCTTCAGCGGGTATCAAAATTTTTGCACAATTACCATGTCGGCGTCAAACCAAAGGAAATCTACTCCGAGGGAAGCAGAGAAGAAGGTTGAAAAGACCAATTTTGTGTTGACCGATGAAGAAACAGCGTTGCTTATAAAGATCAGAATTGATTACAAGGCTGCGAAGGCCAATTTAGGCCTTGACTGGGAGACTGTGAGGATGCGGTACGAAGAAATAACAGAGAGGTTTCGTGACAGCTACCCAAAGAGTGATAATGGAGTAAGTTGCGAAGAAATTCGCAGCCAACCGGTTTTGTCGAGTTCGATGAACCTTTGGCATTGCGGTTGCGAACAAGAAACCACTGTTGACTGCTGCAGATAGTGCACATAAAACTGAAATCAAATTCAACGCTATTTGGAACGAATTTTCCATGGTTAGTGCGTACATTAGTTACGAAACATGAAACAAAGTAATAGCTAACAGATCATTTAAGATAAAGGCAAGTGAAGGCTACAAAGCAAACTTTGATTACTGCAAACCTTAAAATATTTAGCTACCAATCATTCCAAAAATCTTGCAACCCTGAAAGTGTAAAGTCATAATATACTCCCAAAATGATAGCCACAGATGCTGGTGTGAAGTGAAGTGGTAGTGAACCGTATATGTTTTCGACGATGCACTTGCTGTTTCCTTCATAGGAATACCAAGTTATAACATTGTTAATGATGTGGGCTTACTAAAGATATAAGGTTTGCTGTGTGAATCAAAGATACCCCGATCCTACTATAGAATAGTAATTGCTAACCTAGCTAACTCTTCTAAAACAATCACGTCAGGTTTGCTCGGCAAATAAGAGTATTTCATATTTCAAGGCGTTGCTTTGCTTTAATCGTACATTTGCATATTCCAAAGTTACGCTAGTTTCTATATTTGGCCATTATTATGCTAAAAGCATAATGTCATGCTAGATCTGGTCACACCAGTGTTTCCACTGTTCAAATTTTAATTTTCTTGAAAGCGAGGCTGAAATATTTCAACATTTTCTTAAAACTTTTTAAGCGGAATTTTATTTTTTTGTATATATTCTTATCAGTTTTATCCCCAAAACAAGTCATGTTGGCATGCGTCTACTAGTTTTCAATGATTAATGAATAATTCATTCATTTTCTGTTTTAAATGGCCAATCAAATGATAATGATGAGAAACATCATCATAAATAATCATCATAAATTATAAAAGTTTCATGCCTTTGGACTCTTTCTCCCATGGCAATGATGGCTTACCCAAAATGCGCAAAAGTGACAAATAAACAATTCTAAAAGGAGGGCTTCTTAACTAACTTGTGTTTATAAGATTGTCAGACGATAGTAATGCCATTCGGTTGGTAGGAATTCATAAAGTTTTTCTGGTTTAGGACGATAGGTCTTCAAAGTGACGAATGAATATCTGGGCTCTGCCTCACTCTTCGGGACTGTGAAAACCTGACTTAATGAAATCCCAGGTGTTCACATTTTTGCGAGCAAACTGTACGATCCAACGTATCGTCATCAATTAAGTTTTGTCCGAAAGTGTTATTTGATTGATGAATAATAACATTGCCAACCATCGCAGAAAACCTTCTCTCCAGAGAATACCCCAAGCACTTGCTACGGCTGGGTGATGTTGAGTTACAAAAGCATGACAAATGAATTTCTTGCATGTGTCTATATACTTTCCAACCTAAGTTGATAACGATTACTGAACGGTTCTTGACAATTTCTTTGTCAATGCTTGATAAGGAACTTGGACTTACAGTGGGAGAGAGCAATTCAAAAGTTCTTCAATTTTCGTGCTGCCTTAAAAAGACCGACAAGGTGAGTGAAATTGCTGAACTTTAATAAAACAACAACAAACGTTTTGATTATCGTAGGCCATGTTCGCTCCAAACGGTGGAGGACCTAGCGACTTGCACATGCGACCTAATGCAGTGGCATAAGAAGTAGCATGCGTTGATCTACTAGGAAACGCAGTCAAAGAAAACCTGGGTAATGCACGCAAGTCCTTAAATCACCGTTTTTGTAGGCCATAATCTCCACCTAGCTTGCCCTTGGAATTCATGCGACATTTAAAGATATCCTGTTTTGGTTGTTTTAACATGAATAAATGTGTTCAATTTTGAAATTATCTTCGTTCTTTGAATTATAACGAGCCACTGCGACAATAAAAGCTGGTTATTTTATGAACCAAACCATATCAGTTAACTTCAGTTAACGTAGTCAATATATGTTCATAGCAAGAGTAACCTCTTTTGAGCTTCTAGTCTAGCCAAGGGTATACCTTTTTGTGATTTAGATCCATTGGTGCTGTGACAAATTTTTATTCTCAACAAAGTCTTTGAAACTAGGAATTTCATCCTTACAATCCGTTTCTGTTGATAACAAACTAGTAAACGAAATAATTTTTGTAGAAATTGGTCAAGCCAAGGGAACCATTTTTGTAAAAAATTAGTCTAGCCAACGGTACCATTTTCAGTAATCTCGCGGTAGACTACTACCCAAAATTTAGTCAAGAACCTCCCTCTGCCATGCTATGATAATTGAGACATTACAACAAAATCACATGGAAGGTGGGGTGAATCTATGCCAAAACAAGATCGCAGAAATTTTTGCGAAACTCATTTTATATAAAGACACTTTCTGTAACGAGAGTTTTCAAAGCTTCTCAAAATAAGTTTGTGTTTTCGCCCAAAAAACAGCTTGTAACAAGTATACACCTGACTATACCAAGGTGCCGTCCTTCAAAGTTAGGAAAGGAGGCCGTGTTGTCTAGAAACCAAGACCTAGACCACACCAACGTCAGAACATAGACCGAAATATCTTCGCTAGGAAATATATATACCCAGTTGTGTATCGAAATAGCCAGAAACGCGAGCACATGACTGTTGAGTTTTGAATCTGTCTACATTTCTTAAGTCTTACCTGACAATGGTCTTACTATGGAGATAATGTTCGGGCAGTAATGGGCTAAAGCTACCAACCAGTCCTTTCATGAAGATTTGTATTCTACGAGCATAGCAATACATCCACGACAAATCATTGAAACGCTCTAGTCAACTCCAAATATATCGTTGCGAAGACAGCCTAGGAACCTAGAAATACCACAATGGTTGCACTAGTATAATAGATTTCACATTGGATTGGAATATCAAGAGTAAACGATTTTCAACAGCCCAGAACTCCTTTGAAAAATCAGGTATAGACAGTAAGCGACATTAATCTGTTGTTAGAACAAGAAGTGCCAAAATAACTCTCCTTGACGTAGGAATAAAGACCAAAAAAGAATAATGATTGGCTATTTAAACACATATTCTATCAGAAAAAAATTAAAAGTTCTAAAAGCTACCATCTTTAGAAATACCGATATTCCACCAATCGCTAAAACAAAATAAGATAGTAGTTTTAACATAACCGATTGCTCCATGGAAGGCTACAATTTACTCCTCCGTTATGAACGCAACAAGCACGGAGAAGAACTCTTTATTGATAAATTTTAAAGAAGGAATCCCAGTTAAAAAGATAAATAGCTAATCCTTCCCAGGAAAAATTGGAAGTGAGGTGATTGAAGTCAAACCCACAAAACAAAAATGGCTCCATTTCCATTTCATCATTTGTCAACCCCCATCGTTAAACGAGAAGTTGATTTTTAATGAAATTGAGATTAAACTTAATGAAATTTTTTTCTTTTTTCGCTCTATATTTCCTATATTCAACCTTTTGATCTCTTCTACGCCTTAGTTTGTATAACTGTTCGACTCCCTTCTTTAGAGGCTTTGGTACCAAGGGTACAGGGTCTTATGAACTTTCCAGATTCATTTTTGCGGTTGTTTTTAAACACTGCAAAGCTTTTTGGTTGGGTGCATTCAACAGATACAATCTAGATTTGCGAATTGCTCTAAATTCAATTTTCTGAGTTTCATGGACCCAGAAAAGCTGTCAGCCTCAGCATGTCGTCATTTGCTGAGGTGTACAGACGGTTGCCATTTGAAGAAAGTTGAAGAGGAGTTGAGAACTCGCGCCTTCAATGCCAGCCTCAGTGGAGAGATGAAAGGCCAAGATTATTGGAACAATGGTTTCAAGTACACTAATAGTGCTGGCACACTTTTACAGACAAACTTGTCCAGAGTCATTGCAGTACTTCTGTCATTTACGATTTCTAATGCTTTGGTCGAAAGAGTTTTTATTCAGTTGAAGCTCATTAAGAATGATCATCGCATACCGCAAAAACATGAATGTCTTCTTGCTCTTATGCAGACGAAGTACTTTTTGAAAACAAGGGATCACACGAGGCTGCCTCATTATAACCTTCAAAAGAGATGATTGCCCTGCATAGAAGAATTGAGGCAAAAGCAACTGAGGCTGTTGAAAGAAAACTTTGGATGAAATTTTCAAACGAATTGTAGACTTGATCTCTGTGACTTAAACAAATCTTCTTGCCTTATATTTATTTTATATAATATCATCATTAATCGCCATTAATGAAAACTACAATCCTGGCCAAAAGAAATGGTCGCCTCGTGCTAAAAACTAGGAAATCGGCCTTTTAGAGTAACATTGTTTTTGCTACTGGAAAGGAGCCATCAGTATTTGGGAAAGTACACCTGACGAGAGAGAAAATGAAATGATGGCCGTAAGGTGGAAAATATTTCAGTTTTCCCATTAGATGCAAGCGGATGAACAGAAAAACATTCCAAATTGTCCTCGCTGCTCTGATAATGAGCGGCAGCAATATCTAATCTAATTTTTATAATTATAAGGAGTTACCAATGACTTACCAACGAGTTACCATAATGAGTTACCATGTCAAATGGTACTTGTCATTTGGGAATACGAAGAGTTATCATTCTCAATAAATATAGATATCGGATTCATATATCGTACCGGATTCAAGCGTCATCGTGTGAACAGAAGGCCTATCCGATATGAAAAGCGATCCGATATGAAAGGCAATCCGATTTGAAAAGCGATCCGATATGAAAAGCGATCCGATATGAAAAGCGATCCGATATGAAAAGCGATCCGATATGAAAAGCGATCCGATTTGAAAAGCGATCCGATATGAAAAGCGATCCGATATGAAATTAATCCGGTATCGTGTGAGCAGGGCCTCAGCTTTGCAAATGTATAAAGTATCCCATATGGTAACTCGTTGGTGACTCGTGGTTACTCGTAATCATGTTCCCAGTAAGGCACAAGCGGCTCCTGTTATCAATAGTATACATTAGCGCATGCGGAGAATTGGATTTGTTCTTAAAAACTCAAAATGGCTAGTTTTTATTTATTAAACATATAAAAATGAAGACATATAAAGAAAATATATCTAGTAAATTTTTATCCAAAACCTCCGAATATTCAAGACCCCTGAATATTCAAGACCCCTGAATAATCAAGAACCACGAATATGGACAAATTTCAAGTTTGGGCGTTCTACTTTACAATCCATTGTCCCAGTAGTAATAGTTTTCTCTTTTATACCCCTTACTCCGTTTTTTGGCAAATGAGGCTTAACCCCCCCCCCTCCTAGTTCAAACTAGCTAACAGCAAGCCAGAACTTAAATCAATTGGTTCTTATAAAAAGAGTCTTACACTTATAAAATGACCAGGATCCATACACTGGTAATTATTAATTTGCGTTCTGCATTCATCTTACTAATAATATTAGGACACAGCACTGCTCGAATGATCCCCCATCCTCAGATCACTTATCTATTCGAAATTCCCTTCATTTCTAGAGATTCTGGTTCTTCCCTCTCATCTGTTTCATTGGTAGCTGTGGAGTGCCTTTCTCATCCTCGATTTTCTCTTTCATCAACATGTCTTTATCATCGTTGTCTTCAGAAATACTTTGGTACCCATTCGGATCAGCCCATGATTGCTTCTTACCGGAGGCAAAAATCAAGAAAACCAGAGTTCCAAGCGCGTAAACTGCGGCTACCAGGAAGAATATTATTTGCCATTCTTCTCTAGTCTGGGTAGGGAAATATCATCCATTAAAAAGCTATACACTGCATGTGATGAATTCAGGCACTACAAATTTGAAGTGTGTGTGTGTGTGGAGTGCAAATGTAAGTGCATATATGTGTCGTTCTACAACAAAATTCCTTGCTCAACTTGAAGAACATCTAATTCCACCCGTTCCTGATCTTGATTATTCCGAAATAGCCTAAAACATTGAACAAAAATGTTTTCTTTGTGGATCAAGAAAATTATAAGAATTTCGCATAATATTAATAATATTAGAGTTACAGACCTCGTGTGTAGTGACAAATCCAACAACAAGAGGACCGACAATTCCTGGAATGGTAGCGAAAGTGTTGCTCATTCCAAAAAGGAGGCTTGCATAGCGCGGTGCTATATCAAGGTGATTGATAATGAAACCACTGTATGCAAAGCCATCGAATCCGACAGCCATGACTAAAGCAAACATGGCCATGTATTTGCTTGTACTGTACCCAACGATTATCACAAAAAGACCTTGAGACATGAACCCTGTTCAAGACAAAAGAGGACAGAGTTCAGGTTTTTAGACAAATAGTAATTTCTAAGAAGAAAGTTCCTATAAAACAAGTACACGGCTTGAAAATTTTAATGCTAGAGAAATAATAGAAATAGGCTACCAAAACGAAATCACAGGTCTAACAAAGCAATAGTAGTGGTCTACCAAGACAATATTACTGGTCCAACAAAATAACAATTCTGGTCTACCAATATAATAGAGTTGGTCTACCAAAACAATAGTAGTGGGCTAGCAACACAATATTACTGGTCAACAAAAATAACAATTCTGGTCTACCAATATAATAGAGTTGGTCTACCGAAACAATAGTAGTGGGCTAGCAACACAATATTACTGGTCAACAAAAATAACAATTCTGGTCTAAAAAAAGGATAGCATTGGTCTACGAAAACAATTGTTTTAGTCTACCGAAATAATTTTACTGATCTAACAGAAAAAGTTCTGTTCTAATAAAATATATGATTAATTGTAGGATAAATACATAAAATGATACAAAGGTTTACTAACCTATTGCAGTAAAAAGCTTTCTAACAGTAGTGGTTGACATTCTTCCCGAAGACCGTAGAAAATCTGCAAGCTGTCCCCCTAACTGAATCACTATGGTCATTATGAGATAGGGAAGAGCGGACAGAAACCCTGCCTGCAAAAAAATATGAAGTTTAATAACAAAGTATTTTTAAAAGAGCAATAAGACCCATACATATGCTTCATTATACCAATTAATTGTTTGAGCTGAAAAAACGTATTTTGTAACAGCGCAAATGTTTTATAAATTTTGACAAAAAGACAATTTCAATTGGCAAGAAGTAATGCCAAGCGTAGATGGCCTAACAAAGAAGTTACCCACAGGTTATTCTTATCGATGCTAGATAAGATGTTAGTAATGAATTTCGGACAAGGTGTCCATTAAAGATGATAGAATAGAACAGGTCTATTAGACAAAGTTCTTGACATACTTGCTGTCGAAGAAAAAGCCATTTTCAAACTCTGTGAAAAGATGACGAGCAAAACAAGTGGCTCAATATCTGAAATGTACCTTTTGTAGATCAAACTTTAGCATCTGCTTGAGATAAGTCGGAAGTGACGTAAATAGTGTGATAAAGCCCCAGTTCCCTGCAAAATGCGCGATCATGATTGCCCACATAGGGACAGATGTGAGCAATTCCTTCCACGGAACCGTTGTTAACTGAAAAATAAGGAAATCGATAGCTGCTATTTGACATTAGAGAACATTTGCCCTCAGTTTTGCCACGACAAAAAAAAATTAGAACAAAGTTTTAAATTTCCTAAGCGATGTAGCCTTTTTAGCTTCGGAATCTAGGTTATTCTAAAATTTAGTGCCCCTAGAGATAAATTATTTCTGCGCATTTTTCTGTAGAAGCTTTACGTCAGTGTCTGTATTACGTAGCTGCCAAGCTGCACTTTGAGAATTCCTTATGAACATCTCGCTCATATATTAGGGGCACAAGGACCAAGATACCGGGGGGCAAGAGGGGCCAAACAAAAAGATGTATCTCGGTCTATGGGTGGGGCAAGAGTGTTTAAAGACTTGTATACAGTTGTCCTGCTATCGTGTTCAATAATGTCACTCACTGTTTTACAGCCTAGATTCTCAATCAGGGGTTTGCTAGAGGAATCAAAACTGCCATTCGTTACGATCTAGCAACTCTGTTTTGAAGCTTCTGAAGTTCTGAGATTTCACTCACTTTTGATTCGGTCTTATCGTCTGATAATTCCTGTTTGATATAAGCAAGTTCCTTATCTGTAATCGTAGGATGATCGAAAGGAGAATCAGTAACCATCCAAAACCAAAAAACACTCCAAATAATTGCAAGAAGGCCTGCGAAGAATACAAACAAAAATCACAACATGCGATTGTACTCAATTAAAAGTGCTGTCTCATAAAACCGCCGAGGAGAGGGATTTTATCAATCAATGCAGTGCCATCATAGGCGTAGGAGACATAGGGGCTAGGAGGGCTGTAGGCCCCCCAATCAGGCAAAGTGGCATTTCATTCTCAATTCGGCCAGTTCTATCTCAGTGAAGCAACAAGATTTGGGCAAGATCGTACTAAACCCCTAAACGTGTAGCATCTACTACGCCCATGAGTGCTGCTCGAGTACCACACTTGAACCATAGAATCCAGGTTTACTATACGAGTTAGTAAATCATTGTATGAAGATGGAGAGTCCGACTATGCTAGTCGCAATACTTTCTCGTTAATTTTCTCTAGCTTATCCTGCCTGACTACCACATAGCCATTTCCTTGGCCAATAACTGTAAAGACATAGCATAATTGAATTCATAATTATTTTTTCTCCCATAAGTCCTGCCAATTTTTGGTCTAACAAACACAAACCTTATCGATATGAGCATCAAATTTTGAATCTTTTTCGATCTCATCACTATGCAAGGTAACATTTTTCTCTATCTTAGTTGCAAATTCTTTGTCAATTTCAAACTGACTTATGCATTTATCTTTGTTGACGATTGTATCTAATTTGTAATAATTCATCAATATTTGTTAAGGTGACAGATATTGTATTGCCATCAGCAAATTACATAAAGTTCCCTCACTGAGGCTGTAAAAATATCGTTTAGAAAAATATTGACGAGAAGAGGTTCAAGTAACTATCCAAGGAGCACTCCATGTCCAAGGAGCTTTTATGACATTTCATTGCTCTAAATGACTCTTTACTTTCTATTAAAAAGATGTTTTGTATAATTATAAGAAAATATTTTTCTGCATCATAGGCAGGTAGTTTGCTAAATAACCATTGTGTTTATATCTTTTGATTCCTTGTTTCTTGTCTTCAATAAGTCTAAAAAGAGTGTGCTTGGAAAAAGAGTGTTTGCTATATGCGCATAATTATTTATAATTTTTTTCCAGATATGCTGAAAGCTTCTGTCCTACTGTTTATTCAAATACCTTAGAAAGTGTTGTCAGTAAACTTATTGATATAATTTTCTTCATTGAAAGAATCTTTTTTCGTACAGATAGGTAAAACTGTCGCCTTTTTCAAGAAATTTGAAAAAATCTTATAATAATGCATTTATCTATGATGATGTTCAAGAGGGGCTGCAGGATGATACCAACTGAGATATTTTGATGTTGCATTTGTCATGTCATTCCCATGTGCCTTGTTGTGATTAATCTTCACAATAATTGGTCTTTGGCTTTTTCTATTGATCTGTTTAGAGCTCGAGGTAAAAATATCTTTTTGGAAGATTTTACTTTTTTCGATGCTTGAATGCTCTTTAAAATAATTTGCTACATCAATTACTGTTGAATTTTCAGTCAGGTCATTTTGGGTTGAAATTGTAGTTTGACCACTGTATCAGAAGCTTTGATAGTGTAGGAGATAAGCAGAATGAATGCCCAAATCGTGATAAAAGCATTAAAATTTGTACAAACATACAATTTGGCATACTGAAAAAGATGGGACCGGTACCCAGTACGAGAAATGTCCTTAAGAGCTATTTTTAGAACGACTCATTGTTCCCAGACTCCTAAATTGATTATCTCTATAACTTTGTTGAAAATAAAATCAGTGACATGAAAATTAGTATAAATGCTAATCATAACACGGAAATGCGATTTAGATTCACACCCATCGTCAAAATGCCCCCAAATGCTACTTTTAGACCATGTACTCCTTCCCAGACCTCTAGCACGCTCATTTCTACAACTCCGCTGAAACAAAAATCAATAGCAAGCAACTTTATTTAGATACTAATTACAACACACTGAAAGGATCTGGATCGACAAGCATCTTCAAAATGCTCCACATGCTGTTTTTAGAATGCTTAATTGTTCCCAGAACCCTACATTGATTATTTCTATTAAACTTTGTTGAAAATGAAATCAAAGACATGAAATTTAGCAGGAATACTAATCCTAACAAGCAAGAAATTTAGAATGATTTGGATTTAGACATTTAAAGGATTTACTTCGATCTCCATAATGCTACCCGAATGCTGTTGTTGGAATGTGTAATAGTTCCCAGATCTCTAAAGAGTTCTTCTCTGGAATGTCGCTAAAAGCCAACTAAATGTTATTAATCTTGTAAAAATACTTATTTGAAAGTACGATTAACACGATCAAATTAGCCTTGATCACAAATGATTTCGCGTTGGGAAGATAGTCTTCAGTACTCAGTTTGACGGAACACTTACATAAAGGCCACTCAGTTTGTAATGAGTCGAATCTTTGCAATCACGAGGAGGTAGATGGAAGCCAATTTTTGGTAGACTTTTTTATCATCGTAATTGCTAAATTTACATGCTTTAATATATCGAAAAGCTTTGGGTAGAGTTGGCTACTGGAAAAAAATAACAGGGGATACCGATCCAACATATTCATGTAGGCATCGCGAGATACTGTATTCCATGTTTCGGTATGCACCATCTGTTTTTGATACAGTTAAGTCGTTTGCTGCTAGAGGAAGACTACTGCGTGGCAGACATGGAAGTCTTTTCCTCATAGAAGTTAAGCCTTCGAGCAGGTCATTAGTGCTAACCGACAAAGACTTTGCATTCAGGAGCAGATCGAGGTTCATTGGTGCCCAAGCACTCATCGAACTGGGTGCCCCCTCCTTTTACCAATGAACAAAGGCTAAGAGAAGGGGAAGATTCAGGAGCGTTGTGGCTAGGCGGGAAACCGGTAAATTTCCCGGTGGGTCCCTTAAAAGTGAATTTTTAGAAACCCCGGAAAATATTTAATATGAAAAAAATCCTTGACGAGAAAATTCCTCATTTACATGTAGACTCAAATTCACAGTTCAGAATTAGAGGAGGCCAGCATAAACAAACAGGCCCGCGTGAAAGAGATGCGTGAAATATGAACAATGCCGCCGAGAGGGGGACAAGGAGGGGTAAACTGCCCCAGGGCCTCGAGGTCTTCTTAAAGCTTCTTGAAGCAAGGAAGTCCAATTTAAGAACTGAATTTCAACTAAAGGGCGATACATAAATGACGTCCTCGCAGAAGAGCAGGGAGGTTTACGGATTTGGTGATGGAAGGTGACACTTAGAGAGGGGGAGGGGAGAGGGGTTTCCGACTTTGGTGATGTCATCTTGGTAAAAGTAGGATCATCTTTTTCAAGGAAAATTGCATTGAGCTATATCTATAAGGACTAGTACGTAGGTTAGTTCATAGCAACAGGTTTATCTTCAGCAGAATATGAAGATACAAGAAAATTATCTTCGAAATCTTCATCAAAACTGCTTTATGATACCTCACAACTGCCACTATCATAAATCCTATCATAACCTTTTATCGCCAATTCAATCCTTGTTTTCATGTAAAAATTGGTATCTATCCAAGAAGCGAAATGACCTACAGCCAGTGTCGTAGCCTTGAAGAAAAATTATTATGCTATTTTGACTTCCGATAGAGGGTTATATTGAGATTTTGTAGACCATCTGATGATTCAGCGACCAACTCATCGAGAATTTGGGGTGTCACACTCCGTGGTAAACGACTGCAAAAAATATTCTGAAATGTATTTCAAGTCAATTAAAAGGGCATGGCGTGCACGTAAGTACTCTGTCATGTTTGTGTTTGTGTAAAGTGTGCACTACAGCATTGGATTTGTTCCATACTTCCTGCAGTCTTAAAAGAGACTATGGATAGAGAAAAGGGGATACACCCCAACAAATATAGCAGACGAACCTTTAAAAATGATAAAAACTGGCATACTTGTCATTTTTCATAGGTGCATAATTTCCAGGTACGTACCATTTTTGGCGACCTGTGGTTTGTGATTGGCCCCGCTATGATCATTTTGTCACGGCCCTTTTCTAGGAGCCACAACGCCTCTGGGGAAGATGATATCAGGTTTGTTGATTTTGGTTTTAAAGAAAACAGGTTATAAGAATCTGGGGTGCAAGGAGGACGTTCCAAAGAGTTTGAGGTTTACAAGCTCTACTCTAGGAAGGAAAGACGAGGAAGATTCAGAATATATCTTGGGGAATCAGTAATAAAAGATCAGATCTCCTGGTAGCGAGGTGTATGGAAGTAACTGTCAAAAAGGGATTGCTTAACAATAGAGCGCCGGGGAGAATGAAGTTGCAGAGATTTGTAAGGTTGAAGTTATTGATGAGATGAAAAGTATTTTACTGTAAGGATTCAGGTTTTGTCGAGAAGGCATAAAAAAGATTTGGAAGCGCCAACCCATGTATGAGAGCAATACACCAAGAAATCATGGCATTAGACCTATCAGAGAAAATGCTGCCAATCCACCTAATAATAGTGCGTTACAAACCATACATGTGGTGTTTTGGATGACGAAGTTTTCTGCTACACAAAATCAAAAACCTTAGAGGTGCAGGAGATCACTCTGCAAATACAAAAGAAGTCAATAACATCAAAGGTTAAAGATAACTACTTATACCAAGTGCTTATACTTATCTATTAGAATTTAGAGAAATAATCAAAGAAGGTGATGGGTATGTTCTTATTAATGCAGTAGCATATCACGGATACCGTACACATTACGCCTTAGACAGAGAGTTCACAGGAAAAATGTGACTTTGTTAAGGATCATATTGACCAACAGAGGCCGAAGTCTTCTTCAAGAAGCAGAAAATATACATCAATCTGTAATAGTTTTGTCAATTTTATTTTACATTTACTAGGGAACATAACCTAAACAAGAAACAAAATATTTCGATCAATTTACATCAGCGTTGCCAGTTTGACATTTTCCACCTTATTTTCTTTTCTTGTCACCAATTTCTCAACAATGTGATGCCCCCTTTGACTGTGATGCCCTAAGCACATGCTTAGTCTGCTTAATGGTTAATACGACCCTGCATGCGTTGATACAATGGTTCGTCACCAAAGTTTGCACATTGTTGGCAGTATACAAAGGAGGGTAAGTAGAAAGTTAAGTTAAACCCATCCCCAGTTTTGATATTTCAGAACCACTGCAATGACAGGTGCGAATTAAAGCCTGTTTGGCATTGATAACATTAGAATCTAAATCAAGTTGCTTGTTATTGATTTAATTTTTAGCGAAGTTGTAAAGATTAGCGTGTTAGAGGTCTGGAAACAAGTACATAGTCTAGAAATAGCATTTGGGGGCATTTTGACGATGGGTGTGAATCTAAATCACATTACCGTGTTATAATTATCATTTATACTAATTTTCATGTCATTGACTTTGCTTTCAACAAACCTTTAGAAATAATCAATTTAGGGTTCTGGGAACAATTAAGCATTCTAAAAACAGCATTTGGAGCATTTTGAAAATGCGTTTCGATCCAGATCCTTTCAGTGCGTTGTAATTAGTAGCTAAATCTGGGAAGGAGTACATGGTCTAAAAATAGCATTTGGGGGCATTTTGACGATGGGTGTGAATCTAAATCTCATTTCCGGGTTATGATTAGCATTTATACTAATTTTCATGTCATTGATTTTATTTTCAACAAAGTTATAGAAATAATCAATTTAGGAGTCTGGGAACAGTTAAGCATCCTAAAAATAGTATTTGGGGGCATTTCTCAGACTGGGTCCAGACCCCATCTTGTTCAGCATATCAAACCATGTAGCTGTGCAGATTTTCGTGCTTTTATCAAAATTTGCACAGGATCCTCTTTTCAGAGGCCTTGGCTTCTACACAATGTACAGTTACATTTTGCAATAAAGTTTTGAATCTTTACCAAAGAAGTAGAAAACAGCGGGCCAGGCCATCGCTCCCGACAATGTCATTCCAAGAACCGTTCCAGCAACTGTTCCTAAAAATATAGAAACAATGAAGACAGGTCAAAACAAAGCGTCTAAACAATTCCAAAATCAGTCTTAATTAACCCCCCGGCCCGCAACAAGATTTCAAGTGGCGGACTAAAGCGAAAGGAATTATGCAAAAAACTCGAAAGCGCCGCTAGCATCGTACATGGGTGCGAAAGATTTTTACGGAGAGAAAGCGGAAAGGAGAGTACCAGGTACTAATAAAGGAATTAAACTGCACGACCATGAGTTTTGAGCCCCGGTAAAAGGCTCTGTATCACACTCCGTTACCTTGTGACTGGTGATTCGCATGTGACAATTGCAGGTAGCGATCGTGTTGGTATTACAACAGTTTCGCGGATAATAAAAGAGACTTGCAAATCTATATGGGAGAGCATGCAAGAGGGGGGAGGGTTATAAAGGCACCGGACACACATGATGAATGGCTCAAGATTGCTGAAGGTTTGAGATTTGTTGGGACTTTCTCAACTGCATAGGCGCGATGGACGGCAAACATGTTGTCATCCAAGCACCCCCAAGATCTGGCTCCTCCTTTTATATCTATAAAAAGACCCATAGCATCGTATTGCAAGCAGTTTGCAATCACAAATATGAATTTACTTTGGTTTCAATTGGAGATACTGGTAGGGAGAGCGATGGCAGTGTTTTTTCTGCAAGTGACATTGGTCATTCTTTAACAAATAATTTATTGAACATTCCACTCTCACGAGCTCTCCCAAACAGTACTATCGAGTTACCCTTTGTTATTGTTGAGGATGAGGCTTTCCCTTTGAGAGTAAACATGATGAAATTAAGTTAAACAAGCTTAATTTTCGAATTGCAGTTCGCACAAAACTTGTTGTATTTTGATTTTTGCTAGAGCGGTTTTCTGTTTTGGCAAAGCCTTAAGGCTGTCTACCAAACCCAAACAGGAAAGTTCATCAGCATCTTTAGCTTCTTTTGGTCGGTTTACCCTCTGCAAAGTTTGCACCAGGGCGGTGTCCAAAAATTGACAGTTTCGATGCCTCTTCGCTCTTCCTTTTTTTTACACTTGGAGAATTGAACACCATAACATCTTGTGTCTCATCTTCTTGAGAATTTTGTTCATTTGGGATTACAATGTTGCTTTCAGTTTCTCTATTCACTAGCGTGTCTCTAAGAAAAGAGAGTTGCTCGAAAAAAATTTTTTTATTACTGTTTATATTCCCGTTTTCCACTTGTTACTGGGTTTTTCCCCTTTATACTGAGTTGTTCTCTTTGCTCCTCGTTATTTAAACATGGCGCAAACAAAAAGGTTTAGCTAAAAGGCAAAAAGCACGCTAACAGAGATTTCCAATCAGAACTTGCAAGCAAGATGTGAAGAACGACCAATTTCAGATTACATCCTGAAAGATAGATATCGATTGCTTGGTCACATATTACATTTATATATCGAGAAACCAGCAGTAAAGGCGTTGATATTCTACTTTGGAAGAGCAGAAAAAAGATTCAGTGGCAGACTGCGAGAAACTATCGTAGCATGTAGCAACATTAAACAAAGATATCATTTCCAATACCAACTATCAAGAACAAAAGAGATTTTGACCAGATGAGATCGACAGAACAAGACCGTAAAGCTTGGAGCTGGCAGAAACATTATAGAAATAAATTGCAGAATAGTTGAAGCAGAAACCACATTAAACCTTCATGACGCAACTGCAATTATGTTAAATATATATGTACACATTCCTAATTCATATATATATACATGCCATACCTGAAAAAGATATCGTTGACAGCCTGCTTCTTTCAATTGGTGGAGCCCATCTGCTCCAAATCGCATGCATGCATGGAAAAGTGACGCCCTGTGAAGTGAAGATTAGACTGTAGTTAATTGGGAAATGAAGAAAAAGACTACATTGGTCCCTCTGAGAAAGTGGGAAATTTTAAATGGGATACTGCCATTGTCAATAAAAGCTAACTAAAATCTAGATTACACAAAAAACTAGCGAAAGAAATACTTTCTAACTTAAAAAGTTTCAAAAGTTAAATAATTTGGAAAGTCAGGTTACCTGAGATAATCCTTGCAACACTCTAACAGCTATGAGAAACTTAATACTCATTCTTGCTGCTAATGGTGTTAGTAATGTAAACAGTCCTGTCATTAGAATACCTCCACCAAAAAGGTTTTTCCCACCGAAACGGGCTGCAAGATATCCAGAAGGTATTTGGGTGATGATGTAACCATAGTAGAAAGAGCTCAGGATGATACCTGTCAAGCCAAAAAATGAATTTATAATGAAAATAAAGGAAATCTGCACGAGATGCAGCCAAGCAATACCACATCCATCCCAATTTCCAGCTTTTGAATCATAAGGTATCATTAATACTCACATATATTAACATACCTGTCAAGCTACTAAGGTGTCCTGCCGTCAGAATTTGTGTTCTAAACTAAAATTTTGCGTAAAATCCAAATTGATAATTTAATGTAAATACCAAAAACAAACGACTCATTGTGAATATTACGTAATGAAAAACAGTAGAGTTTACAAAGATTCATTAAATGAACTGCTTATCAAAACTTTAATCTAGTTAGAAACGTTTTTACAAAATTACAATGACCAACATCCTTAAGTTTCAAATTTCAATCTTTGTCAAAAAGAAAATGATTATCTTACTGGTTAGCCAGAACGTTCTTGTAAATGAATATGGCGCGATGGAAATACTTCATAATTTTTAAACAGACGTATTCATGTAGCAAAAAACACATCGGAAGTGGAGAAAAACGTGATATTTTCAGTTTACGCCGTAAGACCTTAATATCACCGACGTTGCAAAAGACATACGCAAAAACCTGAAGACCTGACAGTTATGTATTAAGCATTAGTATCTACCCCTAGGCGTTTTCAAGGAACAGGCATCTAACTCCGGAAGTATTTCTGATCTGTAGGCAACATTAATAAAGTTCTTGCAATAATACTTTGCATTTAAATCTCAGGATTGACACCAGAAAGAGGTGTAATAAAGTGGCAGCTGCCACTTACAATTCAGAAAGAGCAATGCAATGTTTTGGAAATAACATACTATTGAATAACATACTACAGGCATTTTTTCACAATAAATTCAAGTACCTTGTTCTTTTGTGTTCCAAGAAAAGTCTGCTGGCTCCTAGCGAAAAGATTTGCAGACCACTTAGCTTATATTCAAGTTTAAAGTAAATCAGAAATGTTGAGAAGACAAAAAGACATTTCAAGCTTTCGTTAAGATAAATTATCAGATGATATGAATTGGTTCAAGCTATAAAATTTTATGACAGTACCCCTAAACAAGTAAAGAATGTTTTAACTGTATAATCGCAAAATCTGAATTCTCACTGGTTATACATCTCACTGGTTAAACAAATCTATTGTACCCTTGAATTGGTTTTAGATTACAAGTTTGAAAATAGCAAACTGTGCAAATTTAAAGGAAATTTCATGAAATGTTTACTTTCAACATAAATATGAAAAAAATGCTTCAAAGCAAAAACTCGGGGTAAGTAAGTTAAAGAAAATGAACCTACTGTAAAAACAACATAGCCAGAAGTGCTGGTTATCGTTTTGTTTGAAACCATGGCAACTAAGGCAACACTGAGATTGACTCGTAACGAATAGAGATTTAACAATCCCAAAAAGCTTAGGATTGCCAGCAAATATCTTTTGGGTAACCAGCTGCATGTGACTCTCCATTTTTTACGGTGTTCTTTCATTTGTTGCTCACTTGGACTGTCCTCAATAACCGAGTGATCCATAATGCTTTGAGCAGATGGGTTACTTTTTGACAGGTTTTGCCTAAATATAATAAAAAATTGACTTTTGAATAACTACTAATAAGTAAAGGCTTGAATGTAAAAGAGTGTACAGACCAACATTTCAATAAAAACCAGAATAATTCTAATTAGTGAATTGCAGCCACAAATACATCCTACACATTATGGAAAGAGCAATTTCTTTTTAAATTTTCTTTAAAATATAAAACAGTTATGGTTTTCCCTTTTGATAGGGCCAGTGGCTCTTGTTTTTTACAATTTCCATCTTTTTTCTTAGGTGTGGAACCCTTTTTGGCTAACATAAGCGTGGGGCCTGGGGCCATGGCCTCCCTTAAAACCAGCACTGGATAGGGCCAAAAATATTAGGAACTTGTAGTAGCACTGTACGTATTGTTATCTTATGCAATACTGTAGAACTGTATTGTAGAACGTCAATTGAAAACTGTTTTTCGAAATTCCATTGAAACCTACAGTTGTTGAACAAAAAAAGATCAGGTTAAGTTTTTCTCTCAGAATGAAACGTTTGCAAGCTGAACAAATTTAAGCCAATCCACAAGAAGACTTGTCGATGAAATACATCGAAGGAATTTCTGATAACACTTAATCAACCAGTCAATTCATTTTGAAACAGTAAAGATTTTACAGGCAGGATAAAATACCAAGTAATCAAGCAGAAGCATGGCTTTTTAGACTTTATTCAAAGAACTCCATGTTTTTGGCTCAAGATCACTCGTACAAGTCGTGTGCTAAAGCTGTACAGTGGCGTTTCTCAGGGAGGGGGCAGGGGTTCACGGCCCCCTGGAAATTTTCATTAGCCCTTGTTTTGCCCCTCCCCCCAGTCTTTTCAAAAGTTTCAATTAAAAATTCAATGTTTTCTTCCGAAGCTGTTCAATCTTTTTTTGACTTTGTTAGTGTTGCTCTCTTTTCATTTTCCTCAATGCTATCTTTATTGCATTTATTTAACAAATTAGGGGCCCCGATAACCGTTTTGGTTGTAACCGAGGTGGAAATTTATGGATTTTTGGGAACTTTCTAATAAGTTACCAAGTAAAAACCAAGAGTTACCAAGAGCTCTGTAGTTACGAAGAAAAACTCATTCTTGACAATCATTTAAATTCTATATTTGCTATATATTATCACGAAGATCCACCTTCTTGCGGTGAGGTGCGCAGGATCAGCCCATTACCATCTCAGTATACCTTGGCAATCTACTATTGCTTATCAAAGTTGCATGACTTGAAATTTTGTATAACAGAATGATTTGCTTGATTTCATGGAGGTTGGATATAAGACATAACTACTATGGAAAATTTTACCAATCAACCTCACAAAGCTATTAGACTTTTATTTTTTAGAAGTTTAGTTCTTCTGTTGAAAACCATGTACATGGTGCATTTTTGTTAAACAGATAAAACTCACTGGAGTAACAGAACAAAGTTACTTTTAGTCATATATCAAACGGTCCTGAACCTTTAGGGCCCCCAGCAACAACTTTTCTTTGTTATTGTCCCTAGGGGACACAGCTGCTCCTTACTAGACAGGGAATTTTCTGTAACAATCTAGCAAACTGGGTAACCGAAATTTTTGAAGTGGATATGACTTCTATGATGGTTGCTCGTCAATTTAAGCCTTGGGTATATTGGTGGTTATTTAACATCCCTGTCCTAAATTCCTTGTTTATACACCACAAATAAAACTATTTGGCATAATAATAACAGCCTTGATAGAGCTGTACCAAGGACACACTTATCTATAGAGAGCTAAGAACCGGTGCCTTGTAGCCAGCTAATTTTGAGCCACCACGCCACTACATTACATTATACAAGTTCCCAAAGTAATAGCTGGCGTCTGCTCCTATAACTGAAAGTTTGGCTCCCGGAGGTAAAGGTTGGCATTCATCAAGGGTTTTTTCTAAGCCCTTTGCTATTTATCATCGCTTCGGAAGCACTGTCTAGAGGGAATTCCGTGTTGCCTGCCTATGAGAGCCTCCAGAGATGGAGCTAGCCAAAAACCTTGTATTGACAGGATCAAAGAATTGACTACGGTCAATAATGTAATTGACTACGGTAATTGTATTGACTACGGTCCATAGGATCACGTTAACCGGTTTTACCACGCCCGTTGGCCCGTAATTTGCTTGTGAAATTTGAATTCTTTTCGAATTTTTTTGATGTGAAAACCGCTGGCAAAACATGGTCTATCCATCAGAGTTTCTTCAAATTACTTAAAAATGTAGAACCGGATTTGTGAGGCTCTGGTACCCTGGGTATAAATCTGTATTCCCACCACAAAAACAAAACGACCCTTTTGAAGATTGAAATGTGTGAACAAATAAAAGAACATTCACTTTTAAACACGTAACAATAAATATGAACAGTAACAAGAAAATTTGTGATTTCTTTCTTCTTCCATTTCTTTATAAACTTTGATCTCGGAAGAGGATTTCGCTTTTGTATTTGAGCCAGTTTGGTATTGAAAGTTTCTTAACATTATGTGGTTTATAACCTTTTGTGGTTTTGCTTAAAACATCCATAAGACTGATTTTGTCTGAAATTTTGTTTGTCCAAAATGCCAAAAGTATGCCTGCAGTTTATTGTCTGAAAATCTATTCGCTGAAAATGTTTGTACTTACTGCAGGTGAATCTTGCAGTCACCGTGCGAGATTGCTTCTTCTGCTTAACAATTTGACGGGGACTTGCTTTTTTTAAAATAAAAAATGTAGGCTCGAAACTTGAAGAATACAGAAAAATAAGGCATGCAATGCAATTTTAAATGCAATTATAATTGGTTTCTTGTGCCAGAATCATGTGTACTTTTTAAATTATGCTCAAAAGCACGTTTTAGAGAAGAAAATTGTAATAAAATTGATGAAACATATCGCTCCGGCCCATCCAAAACCATGGGCGTTGCTGGTGAATAAAAACTATTCGGTCTTCAAGGCGCTACGCCTTGATTCGGTCTCCATCTTCAATGGTTAATTATTCATCAAAAAATTGAGTTATTTCTCTTTTTCAACAAAATTATACGTTTTATATGACTTAGGAAGTGAAAGAAAATTCGAAATGTTCCCTAAATAATAACAAAGTGCAGAAACCGACTGTAGAGTATGAACAATAGTGGAGTAGTAATTTGCACAACACACTAAAAGAACAAAAGCAATTCATCTTGATAACCCTTCGAGATCTGTTGCTCATGCAAAGCACACAAATACACGCTTGTAGTTATACCATACCTTTAATGCTATTTTCATCTGTACTGCCTCATTATTTGTCCTCTGTCCAGTGATAAAATATTTTGGGTTGTTACAGTTCATGATCTTTCTTTGTGATTGTGACTTGGGCTCATTGCCATTGTGGCATGTGATAAAGACAGCAAAAAAGCAACGGTCTGCCGACTTTTACGTGAATCATTATTTCGAAAATACAATGAAACATCAGAATGACAATGGGTGAGGTTTACCTTATATTGTTCTTCTTCCCAGTTAGATGCTGTACTGCTTCTCAACTCCTGTCTCCATTCCGCACACGAATTTATAAGTGGCTCTGGTACCCCGGGTATTGTTAGATGTTGCTGTCTCTAAAGCTTGATTTAAAAATCACGGGTTATTGGCTAAATTTCGGGTAGAGGTCTGCTGTTAGTACATTAAAACTTGTAACGTTGGCTAGACTAATTTTTGCGAAAATAAAACCGTTGGCTAGACCAATTTCTACAAAAAGACACTTTTTGCATATAGTCCTATATTGAGAAGCGATACAATTTGCTAAATTCATTTTCAAGCCATTCGTGTTAGCAGCTATATCAAAATTGTTGGTTTGAAATCGGAAATGTCAAGATAAAACATCAAACAAAGTAATAGCTAACAGATAATTACAGATAAAGGCAAGTGAAAATATTTAGCTACCAATCATTCCAAAAATCTTGCAACCCTGAAAGTGTAAAGTCACGATATACTCCAAAATGATAACCACAGATGCTGGTGTGAATTGTTTGCATTCGGTAGTGATAGACAACGGATCAATGGAAACAATGTTTTTTTATAGAAAATATCAAAGTTATGCCAGAGTTATGCTGAATCTCAAATTATGCTAAATGGTGATTTTTGGCGATTATTTTGTCAAAAGGATAACATTATGCTGGATCTGGTCACACCAGTGTTTCCATTTTTCAAATTTTTATTTTCTTAAAGCGAGGCTGAATTTTCTCAAAATTCCTTTAAACTCTTTAACCAGAATTTTGTATTTTTTTTGTTTATATCCTTGTTAGTTTTATCCCATAATGATACGAAACAGCTAAATAATCATCATAAATTACAAAGGTTTCACGTCAATCAAGCATCTGGCTCAGATATTACTGATCTTTGCATGATAAAATATATCATATTTATGCTAATTTTGATTTTTAGCGATTATTGATAAAATTATATAAAATGAATATAAGGCAAGAAGATTAATTTATGTCATAGAGATCAAGTCTACAATTCGGTTGTAAATTTTATCCAAAGTTTTATTTTATCAGCCTCAGTTGCTTTTCCATCAATTCTCCTATGCAGGGCAATCATCTCTTTTGAAGGTTATAATGAAGCAGCCTCGTGCGATCCCTTGTTTTCAGAAAGTACTTCGTCTGCATAAGAGCAAGAAGATATTCATGTTTTTGCGGTATGCGATGATCATTCTTAATGAGCTTCAACTGAATAAAAACTCTTTCGACCAAAGCATTAGAAAATGTAAATGACAGAAGTTCTGCAATGAATTTAGGCGAGTTTGTCTGTAAAAGTGTGCCAGCACTATTGGTGTCCTTGAAAACATTGTTCCAATAATCTTGGCATTTCATCTCTCCACTGAGGCTGGCATTGAGGGCGTGAGATCTTTACTTCGCATAAACTCTCTTCAAGGAGGCAACCTGAATACAGTGAGAGAAAATATAGGGGTATGTATGGGGGGCTCAGGCCCCCCGAATTAGCGATCTCATCGGAAATTTCGGGCTTTCGTCGGATAATTGACAAATGTTCAATGTGTCGAAAGCCCATCCAAGACACATCTAGTTTTTACAGCACGCGATTGCTGCGGCAGATCCCATCAACCGCTGTAAAATGAGCAAAATTGGCCCACAGCCCCTCCAATACTATGTTTTGGCCACAGCCAATGAAATGTCTCAACGAAGATTTTCAACATCAAATAGCTGAGCAGCACAATCTTCTAACAAATCAATCTATATCATACCGCCACGACCGGTCAAAAAAACTAGCGATTCTTCTTGCATGATTACACCATCTCTATGGATTACACCGACCTGTGATAATTATGCAAACAATTATATTCAATCCTCGTACGCAACTATGCTCTCGGTTACACAGACCCTCTACTTCCAAGTTAGGGGTCTGGAGCACAAACTAGGCAAAACTTTCTCATGTTACTTTGAAACAGGGGGTGTGTGTTCTTCCGCAATAAAGGAAGCTGGGGGTGTGCCGCAAGCAAGAGTATACTTTTTCGGACTTCTTGTCTAGCCAAGGGTATACATTTTTGCAATTGCTGTTGTTGCTGTTGTTGTATTCTTATTTTAAAATCGAAAATATAAATTTTAAGCTACACAGCCGTAACTTGTCTAATTCGATTATTTACAAAATATACAAATTAAATTAACATTTTTTAATAGTTTTTAAATGATGATTAAATGAAATTTAATCAGAGTTAATTTCACGAGGGGCTTTTGAGCTTTAACTAAATTGCATTAGATTGTTGTTATTACTATTTCGTTATGTTTTCTTGTGCCACGCTTCCTCGCTTTTTGCTTGTATCTGCTCTACTGGTTTATGGACAATGCAGGGAGTCTTTCGGTCTCCTGTGAATTTGATTTGTATAACTAGGGTAAGATGTGTGTTTCGTGGCGTTTTCATCCCCCTGGTTAATCTTGGGGTATTTAAGATTTTGGCATAGCGTGGGTCTCATCTTGCTTGGTGAAGTCACAATACAACTAGGCTGTTTCATCGTATTTTCCCAGCCCTCCCTCCCTCATTTTGTTTCTTTATGCTAAATGCCTTTTCAGTATAACTTTTGTTTTTCAGTAAATGCGTGTTGATTTTCTTTTATGGCATCGTTAAAACCACTCATACCTTTAGGCATCTTTTATGCTTCTTAGAGTTTTCGGATGCTATTAGGTAGGACTGGTGCATCGGCTATTAGTGGGGAAAAGAAGCTTTTCCTGTCCATTTCCTACCAATTATCAACCATATTTGGGGGTTATTGTGTAACTTCCCTTAGTGACCCCTATATGGTAGGTTGAGCGATTGGCGCCGATGCACCAACGGCCCAACTCGCTCTCGATGATGTGGGAACGTAGCCTCATGACTGACCTTTCTGATGTCTATGGCAGTTTTCTGAGGGAGCTTTATGCCCTTTATGTTGGATTGGTATTCCCGAGTTAGTAAATTAAACACAAATTTACAATAAAATCATTAAGTTTTGCATACGTTGCATGTACAGGTTGCCCCGTCCCAGTTTCTAATTAATCTTTTGAATTGGATCAGATTTTCTGCATATTTTATTTCCTGCGGTAAGCCATTCCAAATTTATGGTCCGAGGGACCTGAGTCTGTTTGTACCGAAAGTTGTTTGGTTGGGCCTGTAGTGCTACAAGTCTTGTGGACGACGTGAGGATCGAGCAGAGGTTCTTTGTTCGAAAATATTTTGCATGAATTCAGGATTTAACTATTTTACAGTTTTGAAAATTTCAATACAGAGGTTCCTTTGCCGATTTACATGCATTGTGCATTTTTGTGATTTGCAAAGCAGATCTCTATAAGATGAATCATGGTCAACGTAAAGGAATCGTAGGGCTCGTTCCTGTATTTTTTCGATCTTCTCCATAGATCTAGCCGAGGAGAAGAAACACACTAAAGGGCAGTAGTTAAAGTTAGGGAAAAGAAAGCTTTGGACCAATACCTTTTCTCATCAAAGCCAATGAAAGATTCAATTCTTTTGAGCACATTTAGCTGGGTTGCTGCCTTTTTACAAAGTTGGGATATGTGAATGTCAAAATTAAGTTTGTGATCTATAGTTACGCCAAGCAACTTTACTGAAGCTTCAGAATTTATAGTTTTTCCATGAATAGAAATGTCCAATGGTACTTTTTTATCCTTTCTAACTAGAATAGCATGAAATTTGTCTGGGTTAGCAATCATTTCATTCTGATTGAGCCAGGCAAGGGCGATGCTTGCTTCTTTTTCCAAGACGTTAATTAATTGAGGCAGGTGTTTTGAAAAATATGTTTAAGTGTTGTCATCTGCGTAATTCACAAGAGAAGCCTTTTTAATGAAATAAAACAGGTCATTAATGTAGAAATTGAAAAGAATAGGGCCAAGGACTGATTTTTGCGGTACCCCCGATATAACAGATTGAAAATCACTGTAAGTATCATTTGTACGAACTGCTTGTAAGCGCCTTTTTAAATAGGAGTAAATAAGGACTAGAGAACTTTCATCAAAACAATAAGCATGAAGTTTTGCAATAAGAACGTCATGCGGAATACAGTCGAAGGCCTTTGATAAATCCATCAGTACTGCTCCGACAATGTAATGCTCCGACGAGTCCATTTATTAGAACAGATGTAGCCCTATCATGTTTAAAAATATGCTTAACGTGGATATATTTCATCTCTTCAATTTTTACAGTTATGATAAAGTACATAATATTATGGACCATTAATTTTCGTTTATTTTCAAAAATCGTTAAATAGATACACTGTAGTTGATATCACTGGTTTTTACAGAGCCATGTGAAAAGCAAGAATCAAAATGCGAAAAAATTCAAAACTTCTTACCAAAGTCGCTCAGATTAAAGAGGCTATAATATAATGGTGTCAATTCATATTCTATAGAATTCCAGTCTGCAACTGTGTATGTAGTTAATTTCTTAAAGTAGTACGTCACATAATAAAGGTTAAACAGTCAAGGTGAATGGTGAACCGGCCAAGGTGAAAGGTAATAGGGCAAGGGTGAAAGGACAATATGATGATACGATGTCAGTAATTAATCAAACTACATTCAGCTAAGAGACATTTTTGGAGAACGGTACGCTTTCAAAATCGTGTTATAAATCTTCCAGTTCTGTTTGCTCAAAATATTCAATTTGTAAAACATACCTTTTTTAGATTCTGCGAAGTTGGCAGAAAAACCTTTGGACTGCGTTCCATATTTTGAAGAAGTCTTAAATACGACAAAAAATTTGTTGCTGTATGACCGGTAAGTCCTTGGCCCTTGACCACAGAAAGTTGCTTTTAAATTATAAACCTCCATGTTTTCTTCAAAAATTTTGACTGAATCATCATAACATGTCATTGTTTCGTGGATTGAAAAGATGGGAAAGTTGATTATTATTCCATTTTCAGGCTGAACAGTTATTTCGTAGATGCATTTTTTAATACTCGAGTGATTGGTAGCTGGGTGAAATTAATTTGCCATAGATGCAGCATATATTTAGGATATCATCCTATTTGATTATAGTATGTTGCCTCTTCATTATCAAAAGACTGGGTGTTGTGAATATGCTGCAGGGGATTAAAAAAAATGAACAATTCACCAAGATACCCCACGCTTCTAGATCAGTCTATAATTTATGCATTCAGCTAGATTTCCCTCTAGACGAATTCTACAGATTCTGTAGATTCTACGCTTGTCTGCAAGTGTAATGTAGCCACTAAATCCTCTACTTGTAATGGAGCCATCGGATTTGAAAACCAACAAAACCTGACTCTCTTTTGACTCCCATACTGTTTTCGGTTGGTATCCGCACAGTGTTTCTTGCAGGGTGCTGTTCTCGTAAATTTTAACTGAGTCTTCAGCACAAAAAATTCCAGTCTGGAGCAAAAACTTCTCGAAATGGATTCTTACAATCTTGCCATCAGGAACTCGGATGTGGTATCGACAAGAGACAATGCTTGGGCACTGGTCTGGATAACCGGGCGACGTAAACATTGTAGATGTTTCAGTTAAGCTATAATTGCAGGCTAAAGAAGAAAAGAGGAGTTGAAATGATGGCTCTGCAATGCTAAGAAGACTTAAGGGATAAAGAAGACAGGATCTGGGGACAAGGAATCATCAACAGAGAAGGCTCACAAAAGAATAGCCATAATAAATCAATCAGATCAAACAAGCCACAAGAAAGTTTGGGAGAACTATTTACACGTGAGATGGCAACCTGCAAAGGGCTGAAGGACTGTGGCCTCCCCTAGCGCTTTCAAAGTTGAAATTTCTAAATACTTCACATACGTTTTGCATTTTTAATTAGCTGCTTATACTTGAGCAATTTATTTGGCCGATGGAGGAATATTTGTAGACCATTTTTTTATAAACCAATTCAATTACAATCAGAAATACTACATAACTATACTCTAAAACAATATCTACTTTACAACTCAGATACGATGAATGACTACACTCGGGATAAAGCAAGCGGAGTATTATTGAAAAATTTATGGAATTTAATGAAAAATTAAAAAAAAAGGACACAACAATAGGGCAGCTATAACTGAAAATTTTCCCTACTTCGTCACCAGTGCGGTCATTTACAATTTAGAATAACATAATGCAGAAATAGAAAAATATTCCCAACTTAATTAAGGTATTGACACATTTAGACATCAAACAATACAGGACGATACCACAAGGGTGTGTACATGCACATCTCCTTTGTAGCCAAACAGGAAAAGATCAACAAAGAAACACAAAAAGGAGGAAATGGGAAAAGAAAAGAAAAAGAGGAAGGTGGGATTTGCAGCTACCTTACCAGGTCTTGAAAATAAAAACGAAAAAATGATCATGCGATTTATTAAGCAAAAGAAGTAGTGAAACCAACTCATTCTCATATAAACTGTAAATATTTAAATCGTAAAACATGGATATGTCCGATACTTTGTCAAGGAACGGGCCTCTATGTGTTGAGTGTTCATGGCAGAGCAGCAAGAAAAGGGCGGTGTCTTCTTCACCGTCATTAAACATGCACATCGGGTCGGTTGTATCATTAAAATTATGCCTAAATTAAGGTTCATTCAAATAACTAAGACTAACTTTTAGGTGGGTAAGATATCTTAACCCATCGGGATCGTGAATGCCTCCTTTCTCTTTGGGCCTTATTAGGCTTAACAGCTTGGATTTAATAATTGACAAAGAAGGTGATGGCATACCGTAAAAACCAGACCCTTTAGGCCAAAGCGAATTAGATTTCAAATTACTACACAGCAAATTAAATTTACAGTTTTTATGTATTTACAATCATGATTGAATCGTATTTTTCATTTTCTGAGCGAGGTATTACAGATATTTCAATCATACTTTTACGGCCATACTGTTCTAGATCATCGATCGATTTCGCTTTCTGTAAATCTTTTTTTTATAGGTCTTTCACTCTCTTTAATAGAAGTTCATTTTCGGCCTTCAGTTCTCCATTGGCTTTTAAAGCGTTCCCGACTTGTTTCCTGAAGGATTCATATTGTTTCGACCGGAATTGTTGGGTTTTTCAATCTCGGTAAGTTTTCGTTCGACCGAAGAAAGACGAGTGGATAATGCTCTTTCTATTTCTAAACGCCCTGATTGTTTGAGGTCAGGTCTCTACCTCTCTCGCCGGTAGCTGTTTTCCTATTTGACCCAGAAACTGAGAAGGAGAGCTCTCTGTGAACAAGAGCCTAAATTTGTGTGATTCATTGTCTGATATGAATTAATCTAGTGATATCCCTTGATTCTAACAAGCAAAATGAATTAAACAACAGATTGGATGATTTTACGTGCAGAAATGAGGTTAGTTCTCTGTTTCGTGTCTTTTCTTTGCTGTTTTTGAAGATTTCCCTATTTGACCCCTAATGGCGATTTTCCTATTTGACCCCGAGCGTGTCGATCAATCAGCTGATTTATTTCGAGAAATCTGGTAACCTCGGTGCAGGATGTTTGAAATTTGAATTGATATGAAGAAAGTATGTAATTTACTTTGCAATTTCTATTTTTTTTTAATCAAAACGATGTTTTTTGACGAGTTTTGTCTAATTGCTCCCGTAGCTATGAAGGAACCACGCTTCAAGCTAACGTAGAAGAAAAACATTGCCTTTTAACTGCTAAAATTACCGTAGTCGAATTAAAAAAGCATTTCAAAGGTAGATTGAAGCATGCCGAATCCGATTCTGTGGTTTTTTTTAAGATACCAGTCCAATTTTTGGAGTTATTAACGATTTCCCTATGTGACCCCGTTCCCTATTTGACCCCGTCCCCTAATTGACCCGAGCGCTGCCAACGCTGCTCTGTATTTATGTCATGTCCTTCCTGTCCTATAAATACCCTACTAGACTTTGTAAAGTGCAGTATTGGTTAAGTATGTTTTAAAAGAAGATCTGTAAAGTTTAGTGGCATGCTTAATACAGGGCCGGCGAAACGTATTTGAAAGTGGAGGGGCCAAAACGTCAAAGTCTTGAAAAGGTTTAGGAAAGGCCGCCACCATGGTTGGCGGCAAGAAAAAATTTAGAATTATGGTGTTTTAGGGATGGCCAGAAACTGTATCTAAAATGAATTTTGACTGAAGGTGTCGCATAGTCCCGTCAATTGTGATGTTAACTTGAAATAGAAAAGTTTTGCAAAGTTTTAGAATAACCACTATCATATATATAGCTTGTGATGTTACCTTTTTTAGATATTAAAATTACCCGAAATAAGATGAGGGAAAAAATAAATGAAACACGGATCAATAAAAAATATTAACATTGAAATATGAACATAAGAACTATCAACTAAAAATAGAAAGTTAAGCAATTTTGTACAGCTAAGATTTTACTTTGTAACATCTGATCTTAACTTTTTCGGAAATTAAGTGCTTTAGCAAAAATTTGAAAAACCTTCAAACTGGTCTTTTCAAAATGAGTTCACATATTTTCTCTTTCATAGTAGCGAATGGATTATCCAAACGATCAAGCTCTAAAGTTTTCTTGATGATATTTTTTCAGAACAAATCTGCCCATACTTTATTTGTTGTATCTTCAGAAAAGTTCTTTCCAGCTGTTTCTTTTTCTTCAACAGCTGATTACTTTCTTTTTTTAATGTTTCTGAGAAAATTTTCGTTAACAAATAGACCTTGTGTGCCAGGTTTAGGCAATGGAAAAAACGAAACTCCATCAATTTGTGCTGGCACCAAGTTATTCTGGACTAGATTTCTCGATCTATTTGCTAAGCCAAGCTGTTACTCTTTGTAAAACTTTGACAATGGCAGATTTTTTCGATCTAGTTCCCATATTCAATTTTATTATGTCTTCTATGGTAAAGACATAGCAACCAAGGTAAACACATTTAAGATAATACTAGGCGAAACATAATCATATGCTACATCTATTTTCACTTTTGCCTAAAATTTGTCTTTTGATCTGCAGAAAAGTAGGGGGCCATGCACACTAGCTTTCTGGGGTGGGTACTTATTCTGAAGCAAAAAAATTGTTAAAAAATGGCTTAGTACATCTGCCAGATCTTCAACCCTTATTAATTCCAGTCTAAATGCTTGGGCTGACTCTGCTTTATTTTTATACACAGGAGGTATTTGCCAGTTATCAAACATAGTTATATATGCAATTTTGAGACATGGGCATGCAAAGATCAAATTATGTTTTACTTAGCTATTGTTAAACTTGCTTCTAAAGCTCCTGCATTCACAAATTAGACATAAATTTTCAAACCTTATTCCATTTTGTGATCAGATAAAGGCTGTCCTTAAAAACAAGTGGAGAAAGGAAGTTGGACTGTATTTCTTCATAGGTCTACTTGTATTAAATTTCTTTTGAGAAATTAGAATGATTCTAAACCTTAAGTGATTTTCCATAAAAGAGTGGCTTTTACAGATCAAAGGACAGCAGTATGTCAGTGATAGGGGTCTAAATTTCAAACTGATAGTCAGTGAAAGAGGTATATTTATGAATCCACCATGGACAAGAATGTATGTGATATTGCAATTCAAGTGCACCCACGGGGATTGCCAATTCTTGCACATCTTTTAGCAAACAAATTGAACAAGTGATCTGGAGCCAAAAACATGGAGATCTTTGAATAAAGTCTAAAAAGCCATGCTTCTCCTTGATTACTTGGTATTTTATTCTGCCTGTAAAATCTTCACTGTTTCAAAATGAATTGACTGGTTGATCTTTGATGTATTTCACCGACAAGTCTTCTTTTGGATTGCCTTAAATTTGTTCAGCTGGCAAACGTTTCATTCTGAGAGAAAAACTTAACCTGGTCTTCTTTTGCATACTGCCTGTAGGTTTCAATGGAATTTTGAAAAACAGTATTCAATTTCATTCTACAATACAGTTCTACAGTATTGAGTAAGAGAACAATACGTACAGTGCTTCTTGATTTCTCTACAACAAGTTCCTAATACTTTTGGGCCTATCCAGTGCTGGTTTTATGGGGGGCCATGGCCCCAGGCCCCATGCTTATGTTAGCCAAAAGGGGCCCCACACCTAAGAAAAAAGATGGAAATTTTAAAGAACAAGAGCCCCGCAGATGTTTTTAGCCTTGGGACCCGCAGTCGCTAAAACCACCACTGGCACTATCAAAAGGGACAACTGTCACATTTTAAGTTTAAAAAAGGTATAAAAAGAACTTGTTATTTCCTTAATGTGAAGTATGTATTTGTGGTTGCAGCTCACTGTTTAGAATTATTCTCGTTGAGATTGAAATGTTCGTCTGTGAAACTCGTTTACATTCAGGCCTTTACTTATTAGTAGTTATTCAAAACTTAATTTTTTATTTGATTCAGGAGAAACCTGGCAAAAAGTAACCCATATGCTCAAAGCATTATAGATCACTCAAATATTAAGGACAGTCCAAGTGAGCTACAAATGAAAGAAAACCGTAAAAAATGGAGAATCACATGCAGCTGGTTACCCAAAAGATATCTGCTGGCAATCCTAAGCTTTTTGGGATTTCTAAATCTCTATTTTTTGCGAGTCAATCTCAGTGTTGCCTTAGTTGCCATGGTTTCAAATAAAACAATAACCAACTCTTCTGGCTATGTTGTTTTTACAGTAGGTTCATTTTCTTTAACTTACTTACCCCAAGTTTTTGCTTTGAAGCATTTTTTTCATATGTATGTTGAAAGAAAACATTTCATGAAATTTCCTCCAAATTTGCACAGTTAGGTTTGCTTTTTCCAAACTTTTTATCTAAAGCCAATTCAAGGGTATAACAGATTTGTGTAAACTTTGTGGTGGTCTTCTGCTTACAGAATTCAGATTTTGCATTTATGCAAATAAAACATCCTTTATTTGTTTAGGGGTACTGTCATAAAATTTTATAGTTTGAACCAATTTATATCATCTGATAATTTATCTTAACGAAAGCTTGAAATGGAGTTTTGTCTTCTGATCATTTCTGATTTATTTTAAACTTGAATACAAGCTAAGTGGTCTGTGAATCTTTTTGCTAGGAGCCAGCAGACTTTTCTTGGAACACAAAAGAACAAGGTACTTGAATTTATAGTGAAAAATTGCTTGTAGTATGTTATTCAATAGTATGTTATTTCCAAACATTTTATTGCTCTGAATTGTAAGTGGCAACTGCCACTTTATTACACCTCTTTCTGGTGTCAATCCTGAGATTGAACTGCAAAGTATTATTGCAAGAACTTTATTAATGTTGCCTACAGATCAGAAATCCTTCCGGAGTTAGATGCCTATTCCCTGAAAAAACGCCTAGTGGTAGATACTAATGCTTAATACATAACTGTCAGGTCTTCAGGTTTCTGCGTATGTCTTTTGCAACGTCGGTGATATTAAGGTCGTACGGCGTAAGCTGAAAATCTCACGTTTTTCTCCACTTCCGATGTGTTTTTTGCTACATGAATACGTCTGTTTAAAAATTATCAAGTATTTCCATCGCATCATATTCAATTTTATGAGAAGAACATGCTGGCTAACCAGTAAGACAATTATTTTCATTCCGACAAAGGATTGAAATTTGAAACTCAAGGACGTTGGTCATTGCAATTTTGTAAAAACGTCTCTAGCCAGATTAAAGTTTTGATTAGTAGTTCTTTTAATGATCCTTGTAAACTCTACTCTTTTTCATTACGCAATGTTCACAATGAGTCGTTTGTTTTTGGTATTTACATTAAATTATCACGTTGGATTTGTTTTGAAACCATCGAATAACGAATAACAAGAATTACCGTTTTATTATGGTTCTGTTACCGTTTTTACGCAAAATTTTGGTTTAGAGTGCAAAATCTTACGGCAGTACACCATAGTAGCATGACATGTATGTTAATTAATATATGTAAGCATTGATGATACCTTCTGAATTAAAAGCTGGAAATTGGGATGGATGTGGTATTGCTTGGCTGTATCTCGTGCAGATTTCCTTTGTTTTCATTAGAAATTCATTTTTTGGCTTGACAGGTATCATCCTGAGCTCTTTCTTTTATGGTTACATTATCACCCAAATACCTTCTGGATATCTTGCCGCCCGTTTTGGTGGGAAAAACCTTTTTGGTGGAGGTATTCTAATGACAGGACTGTTTACATTACTAACACCATTAGCAGCAAGAATGAGTATTAAGTTTCTCATAGCTGTTCGAGTGTTGCAAGGATTATCTCAGGTAACCTGACATTCCAAATTATTTATCTTTTGAAACTTTTTAAATCAGAAAGTATTTCTTTCGCTAGTTTTTTGTGTAATCTAGATTTTAGTTATCTTTGATGGACAATGGCAGTATCCTATTCAAATTTTCCCACTTTATCAGAGGGACCAATGTAGTCTTTTTCTTCATTTCCCAATTAACTACAGTCTAATCTTCTCTTCACAGGGCGTCACTTTTCCATGCATGCATGCGATTTGGAGCAGATGGGCTCCACCAATTGAAAGAAGCAGGCTGTCAACGATATCTTTTTCAGGTATGGCATGTATATATATATATGAATTAGGAATGTATAAATATATATTTAACATAATTGCAGTTGCGTCATGAAGGTTTAATGTGGTTTCTGCTGCAACTGCTCTGCAATTTATTTCTAAAATGTTTCTGACAGATCCAAGCTTTACGGTCTTGTGCTGTCGATCTTATCGGGTCAAAATTTCCTTTGCTTTTGGTAACTGGTATTAGAAAGGACCTCTCATTGATCTCGCTCTGGTGATATCTTTGTTTAATAGCTTCTCACAGTCTGTCTCTGAATCTTTTTTCTACTCTTCCAAAGTAGAATTTCAACGCCTTTACTGCTGGTGTCTCGATAGGTAAACGTAATATGTGACCAAACAATCGATATCTACCTTTCATGATGTAATCGGAAATTGGTCGTTCTTCACATCTTCCTTGCAAGTTCTGATTGGAAATCTCTGTTAGCGTGCTTTTCGTGTATGAAGAATTGAGTACACTTTGTAGTGGGTCGAGGGGAACGCATACATCACTATACCTATATATATATATAGATCTTCAAGAAAAACACTCTTATGTAAACGTTTTGACCGGAGTCTTCATCAGTAATACTTTACAAATCAAACAGAGCTAACATATACAAAAACAATACAATAGAATTAATACAATAGAGTTGGTACAATAAAGTGCATACAATGAGGATGTTAGAGGAAAATTGCCTATTACACTAGTTATTGTTAAAAGTGTAACTCAATGGGGGAGGGTTAGAAGAAAGCACAGGAGAAGGTGCTGCTAAAGTAGGCGGCAATGCAAGTCTCACGGGGGCTCAAATAATATGTGTTGCAGAAAAGAAGACCTGTTCAAGAAGAATAATAGATACGCAAATAACGTAAAGAAAGAAAACATTTGCTAGTGGAAGGAGAAAAAGAAAAAAAATAATAAAATGCAAAGACATAGCCTAAAATCTATGTGAAAAACTGTCGATCTTATACTGCCAGGAGCTTTCTCGCGTCCTATTCCCCCAGTAAGCCTATCTATTATACTAACCCTTATATCCTGCAGAAACCCCCGGTGTCCTTCCCCTGAAAAGTGCCTGAAAAATTCCGCCTGAGGTACTTAGGATCCCTGACTAAACTTACGATTACATGCCTTATAGTTATTAAACCTTAATCTAAAGGTCGTGTTAGTGCTACCAACATACTGCACAAACAAACATTACACTCTAACAAATACACCACATTAGACATTTGATGAACAGATAGATAAGGCACAGATAGATACATAAGTTTTACAAATCCTGCGATTGCGTGTGTGTTCATCCCATTTCTTTATCTTTCTTTTGAATTCCTTTAATAGCTCGAGAGCTTTTTCATTCGTTGGGTGTAGCATTCCATAATTTCCATCCTAAAAAAGAGTGTTTCTGTAATATAGGTTTTTTTTTAACTTTGGGTAGCTGAGTCCTTTTAGCATGTTTTAGTGCTTTTCTGCTATTGGAAAAAGATCTCCCCTGAATGTTTGGTTAAGATGGTTAATTGATTTGAGAATTCCTATCATTAGCAATTGCAGGCTCTGTACGTGTATGAGTACTGAACTGTCCTTATGCAGTAAAGTATCTTGATCTTTATGCAGTTAAGTATCTTGATCTTTATGCAGTTAAGTATCTTGATCCGTAGCTGTGCCATTATACATAAATTGTAGAGCCTTTTCGTGTATGCGATTAATCTTTTTATTCATGTTTCTATCATGTTTCATCCAAGTCAGAGAAATGTACCCAAACTGTGATATCATAAAGGCTCTAACAATTTTTCTAAGCTTTCCTGTATTCATAAAGATGTAAGTTCTTGAAAGGGCATGCAATTTTTGGCAAGCTTTTTGCAGCGAGTGGTGATATGAACCTGAAAGTTTCATTTATCAACTAATATAATTCCCAGGATAATTAAACGGGAGAAAATCCAATACAATATTTTTAAGGCTTTTTTATAACAACGTTTCATATTTTTATTTGTTTCGATGCCGACAAGAAATGGAAGGGACTTGCAAACTTTAAGAACCATCTTGGCACAGCAGCGAATAATCAAATTTTTAAAATTTGAATGAAAGCAAATTAGATGGGGAGGAGAAACAGATTAAACGAAGTTTAGCAGTAAAGGATTAACTTATATATTATATTTCTTAGCGTAGAGTTTTCGATCTATGTTCTGACGTTTTAAACTCTGAAGAGTGTCAGACGAAAAGCTTTAGTTTACTAAATGTTTGCTTTTTTCAAAGCTATTTACAAGTTTTGTACCACCAAAAGATTGTTTAAAGGATTAACCTTTGCCCGAGTCTGGAAATGTCCCATTCCGCAAATGCTGCCAAAGTAGAGGTAGGAGTACTACCTTTTACTGCAGAGAAATATCATAAAATATCATAGCAGACAAAAATAAAACTAAATCGAACTCCGATTTTTGAAAGTAAATATATCATAAGCCAAAAAGATTTTTGAGGCTAAGGCATTCGGCGGGCCCCATGAAATCTTGTTGCTGGTCGAAGTTGGCCCGCGGGACGGAGTTGGGCCGCGGGACGGAGGTTAGGAATGGCTGATTTACGGTTTTTTATTTGCTTGGTTTTGACTTGTCGGTATTGCTTTTTTATTATTAGGACCAGTTGCTGGAACGGTTCTTGGAATGACATTGTCAGGAGCGATAGCTTATAACCAAGGATGGCCCGCTGTTTTCTATTTCTCTGGTAAAAAGTTACAACTTTATTGCAAAATTTAGCAGTTCACAGCTTCTGATACACTGGTCAAACTACAAATTCAACTCACAATGATCTGACTGAAAATTCGACAGTAACTGATGTAGCAAGTTATTTTAAAGAGCATTCAAGCATCGAAAAACAAGCTCAACCTTGATCTAAAAGAAGCAAAATACAATTTATTGTGAAGTTAAATCACAACAAGACACATGGGTATGACACGATAATTGCAAAATTTTTCAATATCTCAGTTGGTATCATCCTATTGCCCATGTTTATTGATTATGACTTTGCAGTGAAGGAAGTCGGGATAAGCTAGAGAAATTAACGAGAGAGTATTGCGACTTGCCTAGTCGGACTATTCATCTTCGTACAATGATTTACTAACTCGTATAGTAAACCTGGGTGCTATGGCTCAAGTGCGGCACTCGAGCGGCACTCATGGGCGTAGTAGATGCTACACGTTTAGGGGCCTTAGTACGGATCTTGCCCGAACTATCGCAAACTTAGAATGTTCTAAAGCGATAAACCGAATTGAGAATGAAATGCCTTAAACTTGCCTGATATGGGGGCCTACAGCCCTCCTAGCCCCATGTCTCCTACGCTTATGAAAATTCCCTCTCCTCGGGGGTTTTATGAGACAGCACTTTTAATTAAGAGCAATTGCATGTTGTGATATTTGCTTATATTCTTTGCAGGCCTTGTTGCAATTATTTGGAGTGTTTTTTGGTTTTGGATGGTTACTGATTCTCCTTTCGATCATCCTACGATTACAGATAAGGAACTTGCTTATCTCAAACAGGAATTATCAGACGATAAGACCGAATCAAAAGTGAGTCGAACCAGTAGGCACTTCTCTCAGTTATCTAAAGAACGTGCCTCTTTTAGTTATCACGAAGCCAATGTTTAAGATTTGTTTATCAATCTTTCCCTCCTCGTTAGGTCTAGTCCTTTCCTGGACCTCGCTAATTCAAACAACTCCTTATCCCTCTAATTTAGGCCATGTGTTAAATAGATTTTGAAAGTATTCCCCTTTCCTCACTTACTCGATCCAGAAACTCGAGTTTATGTTGTTATGAAAATGTGACTTTTTGATAAAACGAATAAATACTCATATGTTCTGATACAGTTTGGGAAGTGGCAAGTAGGAAAAGAAATACAACACATAACGAAAGATTTTGAAAAAGCGCTATTGCCGTGCCAAAAATGAGGGCAAATATTCTCTAAAATCAAATAGCAGCTATCGATTTCCTTTTTATTTTCAGTTAACAACGGTTCCGTGGAAGGAATTGCTCTCATCTGGTCCCGTGTGGGCAATTATTGTCGCGAGTTTTACAACGAACTGGGGTCATTACATACTACTTACGTCACTTCCGACTTATCTCAAGCTGGTGCTAAAGTTTGATCTACAAAAGGTACATTTCAGATAATGAGCCACTTGTTTTGCTCTTCATCTTTTCACAGAATTTGAAAATGGTTTTTGTTTCGACAGCAAGTATGCCAAGAACGTCTGCGATCACCGTTGTCTAATAGACCTGCTCTATTTTATCGTCTTTTATAGACACCTTGTCCGGAATTCATTACGGACATCTTATCTAGCATCGATAACAATAACCTGTGTGTAACTTCTTTATTAGGCCATTTACGTTTGGCTTTTTCCTTGCCAATAGAAATTATCTTTTTGTCAAAATGTTTAAACCATTTACGCTGTTACAAATTACGTTTTTTCAGCTCAAGCCATCAATTGGTATGATGAAGCATATGTATGAGTCTTATTGGTCTTTTAAAAATACTTCGTTATTAAACTTCATATATTTTTTGCAGGCAGGGTTTCTGTCCGCTCTTCCCTACCTGATAATGACCATAATGATTCAGATGGGGGGACAGCTTGCAGATTTTCTACGGTCCTCGGGAAGAATGTCAACCACTACTGTTAGAAAGCTTTTTACTGCAATAGGTTAGTAAACCTTTGTATCATTTTATGTATTTATCCTACAATTAATCATATATTTTATTAGAACAGAACTTTTTCTGTTAGATCAGTAAAATTATTTCGGTAGACTAAAACAATTGTTTTCGTAGACCAATGCTGTCCTTTTTTTAAACCAGAACTGTTATTATTGTTGACCAGTAATATTGTGTTGCTAGCCCACTACTATTGTTTTGGTAGACCAATTCTATTATATTGGTAGACCAGAATTGTTATTTTGGTAGATCAGCAATATTGTCTTGGTAGACCAGTACTACTGCTTTGTTAGACCAGTGCTTTTATTTTGTTAGACCAGTGCTATTGTTTTGGTAGACCAGTGCTATTGTTTTGGTAGACTAGAACTATTGTTTTTGTAGACCAATACCATTATTTTGCTACAGTACTGTTATGTTGTTAGATCAGTAATATTGTCTTGGTAGACCAGTGCTATTGTTTTGCTAGACCAATGCTATTTTTTGGTGGACCAATTATATTGTTTTGGTAGGCCAATTCTATTGTTTTTGTAGACCAATACCATTATTTTGTGGACCAGTACAGTTATGTTGTTAGACCAGTAATATTGTCTTGATAGACCAGTGCTATTGTTTTGGTAGACCAGTGCTATTGTTTTGGTAGACTAGAACTATTGTTTTTGTAGACCAATACCATTATTTTGCTACAGTACTGTTATGTTGTTAGATCAGTAATATTGTCTTGGTAGACCAGTGCTATTGTTTTGCTAGACCAATGCTATTTTTTGGTGGACCAATTATATTGTTTTGGTAGGCCAATTCTATTGTTTTTGTAGACCAATACCATTATTTTGTGGACCAGTACAGTTATGTTGTTAGACCAGTAATATTGTCTTGATAGACCAGTGCTATTGTTTTGGTAGACCAGTGCTATTGTTTTGGTAGACTAGAACTATTGTTTTTGTAGACCAATACCATTATTTTGCTACAGTACTGTTATGTTGTTAGATCAGTAATATTGTCTTGGTAGATCAGTGCTATTGTTTTGCTAGACCAGTGCTATTATTTTGTTGGGCCAATGATATTGTTCTGGTTGCCCAATTCTATTGTTTTTGTCGACCAATTCTATTGTGTTTGTAGACCAATACCATTATTTTGTTAGACCATTAATATTGTTTTGGTGGACCAATTATATTGTTTTGGTAGGCCAACTCTATTCTTTTTGTAGACCAATACCATTATTTTGTTAGACCAGTACTGTTAAGTTGTTAGACAAATAATATTGTCTTGGTAGACCAGTACTACTGCTTTGCTAGACCGCTGCTATTATTTTTTTAGGTCAGTGTTATTGTTTTGTTTGCCCACTTCTATTGTTTTTGTAGACCAATTCTTCCTATTGTTTTTGTAGACTAGTAGTATTGTCTCGGTAGACCAGTGCTATTGTTTTGGTAGACTGGAACTTCTGTTTGGTAGACTAGAACTATTGTTTTCGTAGACTAGAACTATTGTTTTCGTAGACAAATTCCATTATTTTGTTTTTGTTACACCAGTAATGTTAAATTGTTGGACCAGTACCATTATTTTGTGAAATATTGTAGTACTGTTGTTTTGGTACAGAAGAATCCCGCTAAAAGAACTTATGCTTTTTCATGCAGCCTCAATAGGTTCTTGATCAAAAAGTTGTTTGATTACCTGCATCCCTCCTCTTTTTTGAACAGGGTTCATGAGCCAAGGCGTTTTCATGATAGTCGTTGGGTACAGTACAAGCAAATACATGGCCATTTCTGCTTTAGTCATGTCGGTCGGATTAGGTGGCCTTGCATGGAGTGGTTTCATTGCCAATCACCTTGATATAGCACCGCGCTATGCAAGCCTCATTTTTGGAATCAGCAACACTTTCGCTACCATTCCAGGAATTGTCGGTCCTCTTGTTGTTGGATTTGTCACTACACACGAGGTCTGTAACTCTAATCTTATTAATATTATGCGAAACTCTAATTACTTAGACTCGAAATTCTTATAATTTTCTTGATCCACAAAGAAAACACTTTTGTTCAATGTTTTAGGCTATTTCGAAATTATTAAAAATCTGGAACGTGTGGCGTCTTTCTCATCTTAGCCAGTGGCGGATTACCTATTACTTCATATGCGAATCAGTGGGAAACGGCGGCCATAGATTTCTTGGCAAGGCTGCAATGCCCACAGAAAAAAGCCACTACTCTAAAACAGGCAGGCTTCTTTATACGCTTTCCAAAATAAAATTAACCAATAAGCAAGTAGAACATGATTACAGCCAATTAAAAGCTAGAATAGAACAATAGTTAAAGTAGCATAAAAGTTAATAGAAACGATGCTCACACTGATACCCACGTGAATCAGCACGTGATATAGAGTTCATCTCTCGCACCGTATTACTATGAAGCCTATATTGCCTAAGCCCCCGGCCCAGAATCTAACCAGCCTTCAATTTTGAAGCTCAAAAATTCCTTTTGGTATCTTCTGCCAAACGTCGCGTACTTTTAGAAAACTCATTGTGATCACGCCATGCAGGCGTACGGGGTAATCAAACGCATAGGTACCTGATTAACTCGAACAATTAAGTTAAATTTTTATCCTCTTCATTTTTTTTGTATTAAATACAAAATAATTCATTTTGTCCTTAAATATAATATTTTAAAGATAGTATTTTATGGAAAGTGTTTTTTCAATGCGAATCATCAACTCATCGCATCAAAACATCAGCTACAAGAAGATTTAAATGGAAAAAAGATTTAATGGATTAGTTTAAACGCTCAAGTTGAGCTTGAATGTTCGCTGTTGTAACTCATACATGCAGATTTACATTTTTGCAAAGAAAGAGACGCATAGAGAATTGCTTGCGATCAACTTTAGGTCAGACTCGACTGGGTAGCATATCTCTTCTCAGCACCAAGCATGGTGTAATGGACGTTCTTTTGACTTAGTTGATGTAAGGAATGTTTTTCGCAAACCCATTGCTGGACATGTTTGTTATTACATTTCATCTTAATTTATGGTTGTCGTACAGCTAAACTTGGTGCTTAAAGTTTTTGCATTATTCATTAATGACCTAAATTATTTGTCATAATGTAATATTCTTTTTGTTGGCAGAAGTCAGCCCTGAAGTATGTTAGACCCCCGGCCCTGGTATTGGTGAATCCGCCACTTGCCATGTTGATATTGTCTCGTAGCCATGTTGATTTGTCTTAATTCACAAGAAGAAGACTTTATAGCAAGAATATGTCTTTGAGATGTTAACGTTACGTAATTGAGACAAACAATCCATAAAATTGTGGCTTGCGCTTACACTGCCTCTGAATAAAATGCTCTTCAAGTTGATCAAGGAATTTTCTTGTAGAGCGACACTTTTATGCACTTACATTTGCACTAAAGACACTCCAAACTTGTAGTGCCTGAATTCTTCACATGTAGTGTATAGCTTTTTAATGGATGATATTTCTCTACCCAGACTAGAGAAGAATGGCAAATAATATTCATCATGTCAGCGGCAGTTTACGGGTTTGGAACTCTGGTTTTCTTGATTTTTGCCTCCGGTAAGAAGCAGCTGTGGGCAGATCCGTATGGGCACCAAAGTACTTCTGAAGACAACGATGATAAAGACATGTTGATGAAAGAGGGTGAGAAAGGTACCCCATCGGCTACCAATGAAACTTTTGAGAAGAAGGAAGCAGAAACTCTCATGCCAGGTGCTGTTGCCAGTTATGGTTCAGTTGCGAGAGACACATCTCAAGTCTAATTCTTTATGTAAACTTGTACTTTCGAGACAGCTTTATCTCAAATTGCTTGTTCCCATTTCAAATGAGTTGCAGTTTTTTCCAAACACTCATTCAACATTGTATACAAATTGTCCTTCTGGGGCCCTTCTGCTTGTGACAAGGATGCTCTGGTAAACTTGTCAAGTGGCATGTTAGCGAGTCCAGAAACATCGAAAGACCTTCTTGGCGCGAAGAGTATGCTGAGCGTTGCCTACTCTATCTAGAAATGAAAGGTATTTCAAATTGAATAGTGATTCTTTTCAAATATTTGGTTATTAACATAAGTAGGTTTTATATCATTAAAATGGCTATGAAAGGAGGATCAATACAGAATGCAAATTAATAAACGGCAGTATAATCATCCTCGTCCTAGACATTTTTCTCAGAACTAATAAACCGAATTTTAGGCTGTTCTGAAATTTGTGTGTGAGACATCCTTTATCAGTGAGTACTGTTAGAAAACAAAGGCTTCCCATCTGACTGATCATACATTTACTGATCATACACTGATTAACTTATCATACATTGATCAACTGACCAGACATTGATTAACTGATAATACACTGATTAACTGATCATACCTTGATTAACTGACCAGACATTGATTAACTGATAATACACTGATTAACTGATCATACCTTGATTAACTGACCAGACATTGATTAACTGATAATACACTGATTAACTGATCATACACTGATTAACTAATCATACATTGCTCAACTGACCAGACATTGATTAACTGATAATACACTGATTAACTGATCATATCATACACTGATTAACTAATCATACATTGATCAACTGACCAGACATTGATTAACTGATAATACACTGATTAACTGATCAAACATTGATTAACAGATCATACATTGATTAACTGATCAGACGTTTACGAGGTTAAAGGGAATAAAAAATAATCCATTGGTGACATTTTCAATAGGCAAGCGGCACTGGTTGGCCTATTTTGATCCATAATTGGGTATATACACAACTGTCTATTTCTTGGGGAGAGTTTTTGTCAGGCGAAAAGCTAATGTATGATCCATAATAAAATATAAATGCTTTATCTACCCCCGAGTAAATAATTCCAATTGTCTTGATTGTGGAAACCAATAAGCACTGTTCCCATTAATTTTGGGAACTAATAAGTGTTTTTTAGAGGAAAGGTGGTATGATGCAAGCTGAATAATTTCCTTACTCCAAGGACACAATATTTATTTTTAAATGAAATTGCATCGTTAAAGCAAAAAGAAAGAATACAATTCGTATTTGTAAGAGTATTTGTATTTTTAAAGCAATTTTCTTTTAAATGTAAAATTTCAATGTTTTTGTGGCCAAACTATACGCCAGTGGGGATATATAAAATTAGATATTTTCTTTTTCATTTATTGGCTCTTGTCTGTTTGTAGCTCTGAAAATTACAGTGGTGATTGCTTATATGCCTGGATTCAGGGGGTTTCTGTGGTAAGGAGATTTCTCAGAACCCAAAAAGTTACTACTGGCTCCCACTCTCATATCGTGGTACATATGGCTAGATGAAAGATGATGGTATCGTCAACTAGTTGTCCACGCTCGGGTCCTTAGAGTTCTCGGGACTGCATAGCCCTGACAAATGGTGAACATACAGTCAATGACGGCCAAGAGGGCCAGTTAAGCAAAAGAAACTAAAGTGCCTCGCCCAAATCCCGCCTTGTTTCAATTATATTTCTTGGTTGTCTTTTAGGGAGCTCCCACCTTTGGACTCTTTCTCCCATGGCAATGATGGCTTACCCTAAATGCGCGAAAGTCAGAAATAAGCAATTCTAAAAGGAGCAGTGGCGGCCTGGCCCTTTCGCCTGGGGCCAGCATCAAAATGGCGCCCTCCATAACTAACACTATTGTCTTTTTCCTGACAATATTGGCGATCCAGTGGCGGTGCCATGAAATTCAAAGTGGGGGGGGGGGGCTCGAGTTAATTGCTTTATTCGACCATAAAAAACCAATATCCGGGGAGGGCCGGCGGGAGGTCGTCAGAGGCCCCTGCGAGCAAAAAATTTTTGCGACCACGCCCTTTAGATTGGCTTAAAATACATTTCAAAATATTTCTTGCAGTCATATTGTTGAACTCGTTTAAAAATTTTGCTATTTTTGAGGTATCCTTTTAGCACGTTTGATTAATTCCAGTCTTAAAATGGATTTCATTACTTTGTATCCTATCTTTGTATCGTCGAGACAAATTGGTCCTTTCACGAGAAATGAAACAATGAGACAAAATCTACTGACCCCCACATTAGCAGGTCTTTGAAGGCCAGCAGAGCCAAAGAGACTCATCGAAAATCAAAATTTTCCCTGGAAGGGGGATATGAGTCCGGACACCCTAAACACAGACTGTCCGCCAACACCCTAAACACAGTCTGTGTGCACTATGAGTGCTGTGTTCTCCACTCGAAAGAATTTAACTACGTAAGTATCCTGATAATCCTCTAAAAAATTGATTAATTTTTTCGCCCGTGCGAAAATTACAAATGTTTTGTCTGGATAACACAGTACTGAAGGGGCACAAAGACGTGCCCTTTAAGTAAGAAAGTTACAGGGGGTATGGGGGCGTGCGTCCCAATAAAAATTTTATGGCGTCCTTTTTGTCTTTGATGGCCTCCTAGAGACCTAATAACCAGACAAGTCGGTCGTATGAAACTTTTTTTGAGTTTTTGGCGCCCTAAACAAGCTTTGGCACCCCTATAAAAATGTCAGCTGGAGGGACCCTGCCCCCCCCCCCCCGGCCCCCCTGCCAGGCCGCCACTGAAAAGGACGGCTTCTTAACTACCTTGTGTTTATGCGATTGTCAGACGATAGTAATGCCATTCGGTTGGTAGGAATTCATAAAGTTTTTCTGGTTTAGGACGATAGGTCTTCAAAGTGACGAGTGAATATCTGGGCTCTGCCTCACTCTTCGGGACTGTGAGAACTTGACTTAATGAAATCCCAGGTGTTCACATTTTTGCGAGCAAACTGTACGATCCAACGTATCGTTATCAATGAAGCTTTGTCCGAAAGTGTTATTTGATTGATGAATAATAACATTGCCAACCATCGCAGAAAACCTTCTCTCCAGAGAATACCCCAAGCACTTGCTACGGCTGGGTGATGTTGAGTTACAAAAGCATGGCAAATGAATTTCTTGCATGTGTCTTTACTTTCCAACCTAAGTTGATAACGATTACTGAACGGTTCTTGACAATTTCTTTGTCAATGCTTGATAAGGAACTTGGACTTACAGTGGGAGAGAGCAATTCAAAAGTTCTTCAATGTTCGTGCTGCCTTAAAAAGACCGACAAGGTGAGTGAAATTGCTGAACTTTAATAAAACGACAACAAACGTTTTGATTATCGTAGGCCATGTTCGCACCAAACGGTGGAGGACCTAGCGACTTGCACATGTGACCTAATGCAGTGGCATAAGAAGTAGCATGCGTTGATCTACTAGGAAACGCAGTCAAAGAAAACCTGGGTAATGCACGCAAGTCCTTAAATCACCGTTTTTGTAGGCCATAATCTCCACCTAGCTTGCCCTTGGAATTCGTGCGACATTTAAAGATATCCTGTTTTGGTTGTTTTAACATGAATTAATGTGTTTAATTTTGAAATTATCTTCGTTCCTTGAATTACAGTAAGCCACTGCCACATTAAAAGCTGGTGATTTTATGAACCAAACCATATCAGTTAACTTCAATTAACGTAGTTAATATGTTAATAGGAAAAGTATACTCTTTTGGGCTTCTAGTCTAGCCAAGGGTATACCTTTAAGTAATTCAGGTCCATTGATGCTGTGACAAATTTTCATTCTCAACAAAGTCTTTGAAACTAGGAATTTCATACTGACAATCCATTTCTGTTGATAATAAACTAGTAAACGAAATAATTTTTATAAAAATTGGTCAAGTCAAGGGAAACATTTTTGTAAAAATTAGTCTAGCCAACGGTACCATTTTCAATAATCTCTCGGCAGACCCCTACCCAAAATTTAGTCAAGAACCTCCTTCTGCCATGCTATGATAATTGAGACATTGCAACAAAATCACATGGAGGTTGGGGTGAATCTATGCCAAGACAAGATCGTAAAAAATTTTTGCGAAACTCATTTTTTATAAAGACACTTTCTGTAACGAGAGTTTTCAAAGTTTCTCAAGATAAGTTTGTATTTCCGCCCAAAAAACAGCCCCTAACAAGTACTCATCCGACTATACAAAGGTGCCGTTCTTCAGAGTTAGGAAAGGAGGCCGTGTTGTCTAGAAACCAAGACCTAGACCACACTAACGTCAGAACATAGACCGAAATATCTTCGCTAGGAAATATATATACCCAGTTGTGTATTAAAATAGCCAGAAACGCGAGCACATGACTGTTGAGTTTTGAATCTATCTGTCTACATTTCTTAAGTCTTACCTGACAATGGTCTTACTATGGAGATAATGTTCGGGCAGTAATGGGCTAAAGCTACCAACCAGTCCTTTCATGAAGATTTGTATTCTACGAGCATAGCAATACATCCACGACAAGTCATTGAAACGCTCCAGTCAACTCCAGATAAATCGATGCGAAGACAGTCTAGGAACCTAGAAATACTGCAATGGTTGCACTAGGATAATAGATCTCACCTTAGATTGGAATATCAAGAGCAAACGTTTTTCAACAGCCCAGAACTCCTTTGACAAATCAGGTATAGACAGTAAGCGAGATTAATCTGTTGTTAGAACAAGAAGTGCCAAAGAAACTCTCCTTGACTTAGGAACAAAGACCAAAAAAGAATAATGATTGGCTATTTAAACACATATTCTATCAGAAACAAATTAGAAGTTCTAAAAGCTACCATCTTTAGAAATACCGATATTCCACCAATCGCTGAAACAAAATAAGATAGTAGTTTTAACATAGCCGATTGCTCTATGGAAGGCTACAATTTACTCCTCCGTTATGAACGCAACAAGCACGGAGAAGACCTGTTTATTGATAAATATTAAAGAGGGAATCCCAGTTAAAAAGATAAGTAGCTCATCCTTCCCAAAATAATTGAAAGTGAGGTGATTGAAGTCAAACCCACAAAGCAAAAGCTTTTTTTCTTTTCTCGCTCTATATTTCGCTCAGCTTTGCAAATGTAGAAAGTTTCCCATATGGTAACTCGCGGGTGACTCGTGGTTAATCGTAATCATGTTCCCAGTAAGGCACAAGCGGCTCCTGTTATCAATAGTATACATTAGCGCATGCGTAAAATTGGATTTGTTCTTAACAACTCAAAATAGCAAGTTTTGTTTTTTAAACATAGAAATTGAAAATATATAAAGAAAATATATCTAATAAATTTTTTATCACCGTAACTCACTCCCCACCCCCTGATTGTTAAAATCTTTCAAATCCAAAACCTCAGAATATTCAAGACCCCTGAATATTCAAGACCCCCGAATATTCAAGAACCCCGAATATGGACAAATTCCAAGTTTGGGCGTTCTACTTTACAATCCATTGTCTCAGTAGTAATAGTTTTCTCTTTTATACCCCTTGCTCAGTTTTTTTAAAATTAGGCTTGAAACCCCACCCCCTTGTTCACAGTAGCTAACAGCAAGTCTGAACTTAAATTAACTGGTTCTGTGAAAAAGAGTCTATGACCAGGATCCTTACACTGTTATTTGTTAATTTGCGTTCTGTATTTGTTGTGACTTGGGCGGGACATAGGTGTGTACCACAGAGAGACACATGCTTTCTAACAAGAAGATATATATATATGATTATAAGTGATTATTTATACTCAAGAGAGCGAACCTCTCTCCATGCCTCGTGCATCTAATTCTAATCAATACTGGCGACGGGAGGGCGTAATGCGAAGAGATGCCGGAAATGCCAAATATGGTAAGACCTTCTCACCATGTGTCCCGGAGCCCTGGACCAAAATGGAGGTTTTCTGTCTCCTTCGCAATAGTATTCATCTTAATAATAATATTTGAACACAGCACTGCTCGTATAATCCCCCATCTATTTAAGATAAAGAGATAAAACCTACTTACGCAAATAACTAGATATTTGAAAAGAATCACTTATTAATTCGAAATTCCCTTCATTTCTAGAGATTATGGTTCTTCCCTTTTATCCGTTTTATTGGTAGCTTATTGAAAATATTGAACTGCACCTCATTGGAAATGGGAACAAGCAAATTTAGATAAAGCTGTCTCGAAAGTACAAGTTTATAAGTCTTTAGATGTGTCCAACGAAACTGAACCATAACTGACAACAACAACTGGCATGAGAGTTTCTGCTTCCTTCTTCTCAAAAGTTTCATTGGTAGCCGATGGGGTGCCTTTCTCATCCTTGATTCCCTCTTTCATCAACATGTCTTTATCATCGTTGTCTTCAGAAATACTTTGGTGCCCATACGGATCTGCCCACAGCTGCTTCTTACCGGAGGCAAAAATCAAGAAAACCAGAGTTCCAAACCCGTAAACTGCCGCTAACAGGAAGAATATTATTTGCCATTCTTCTCTAGTCTGGGTAGAGAAATATCATCCATTAAAAAGCTATACACTGCATGTGAAGAATTCAGGCACTATAAATTTGAAGTGTGTGTGTGTATGGAGTGCAAATGTAAGTGCATATATGTGTCGCTCTACACCAAAATTCCTTGCTCAACTTGAAGAACATCTAATTCCACCCGTTCCTGATTTTGATCATTGCGAAATAGCCTAAAACGTTGAAAAAAGTGTTTTCTTTGTGGATCAAGAAAATTATAAGAATTTCGAGTCTAAGTAATTAGAGTTTCACATAATATTTATAATATTAGAGTTACAGACCTCGTGTGTAGTGACAAATCCAACAACAAGAGGACCGACAATTCCTGAAATGGTAGCGAAACTGTTGCTCATTCCAATAAGGAGGCTTGCATAGCGTGGTGCTATATCAAGGTGATTGATAATGAAACCACTCCATGCAAAGCCACCGAATCCGACAGCCATGACTAAAGCAAAAAGGGCCATATTTTTGCTTGTACTGTACCCAACGATTATCACAAAAAGTCCTTGGGACATGAACCCTGTTCAAGACAAAAAAAGGATAGAATTCAGGCTTTTAGACAAATAGTAATTTCTAACAAGGCAGTTCCTATAAATCAAGTACACGGCTTGAAAATTTTAATGATGGAGATATGATACCAAAACAAAATCACAGGTCTAACAAAGCAATAGTAGTGGTCTACCACAGGGTTGCCAACTTGGCATTTTTTAATCCAAATATGTCAATTTTGGCTTTTTTAAATGCTGTTTGGATTTGGAAAAATAGTTTGGCTTTTTGGCTTAATTTTGGCTTTTTTTTATGTCCAAGAAAATAATTTATATTCTCAATTTTCCTATTTCCATAACTTGGGGAAACGGCTTTCAAGAGGTAGGAAACCTGCACCCCTCCACCTGAATATTTCTAATAGCAACAAGACATCATTTAAAAAGCGTCGTTCAATCAACTTTCTTTGTAACAATAATATTTTTAAAACAATATAATGCAGTCTGCGCCCTGGCTAAATTATTTTTAACTGAATTTACACGATACGGCCCTCGAGGCAATCCACCAAATTAAATGAATTTGGCTTCTTAGATATTTAATTGGCTTTTTTGGCTTTTTATTGGCTTTTTTGGAGCAGAACAAATTTGGCTTATTTTGGCTCTTTTCTGACAACGATTTGGCTTAAAATTTACGCATGCGCCTGGCAACCCTGGTCTACCAAGACAATATTACTGGTCTAACGAAATAACAATTCTGGTCTACCAATATAATAGAATTGGTCTACCAAAACAATAGTAGTGGGCTAGCAACACAATACTACTGGTCAACAAAAATAACAGTTCTGGTCTAAAAAAGGATAGCATTGGTCTACGAAAACAATTGTTTTAGTCTACCGAAATAATTTTACTGATCTAACAGAAAAAGTTCTGTTCTAATAAAATATATGATTAATTGTAGGATAAATACATAAAATGATACAAAGGTTTACTAACCTATTGCAGTAAAAAGCTTTCTAACAGTAGTGGTTGACATTCTTTCCGAAGACCGTAGAAAATCTGCAAGCTGTCCCCCTATCTGAATCACTATGGTCATTATGAGATAGGGAAGAGCGGACAGAAACCCTGCCTGCAAAAATATATCAAGTTTAATAACGAAGTATGTTAAAAAGACCAATAAGACCCATACATATGCTTCATTATACCAATTAAATGTTTGAGCTGAAAAAACGTAATTTGTAACAGCGCAAATGGTTTATAAATTTTGACAAGAAGACAATTTCAATTGGCAAGAACAAAGCCAAGCGTAGATGGCCTAATAAAGAAGTTACCCACAGCTTATTCTTATCGATGCTAAATAAATGTCAGTAATGAATTCCGGACAAGGTATCTATTAAAGATGATAAAATAGAACAGGTCTATTAGACAACGGTGATAGCAGACTTTCTTGACATACTTGCTGTCGAAAAAACAATCCATTTCCAAATTCTGTGAAAAGATGAAGAACAAAACAAGTGGCTCATTATCTGAAATGTACCTTTTGTAGATCAAACTTTAGCATCAGCTTGAGATAAGTCGGAAGTGACGTAAGTAGTATGCAAAGGCCCCAGCTCCCTGCAAAATTCGCGATTATAATTGCCCACACGGGACCAGATGAGAGTAATTCCTTCCACGGAACCGTTGTTAACTGAAAAATAAGGAAATCGATATCTGCTATTTGACATCAGAGAACATTTGCCCTCAGTTTTGCTACGACAATAGAGCTTTTATCAAAATCTTTCGTTATGTGTTGTATTTTCTTTTCCTACTTTCTACTTTCCAACCTGTATCAGAGTCCATGAGTATTTATTCGTTTTATCAAAAAGTCAAATTTTCATAAAAACACAAACTCGAGTTTCTTGATCGAATAAGTGAAAATGAGGAGGGGAATATTTTCTAAATCTATTTAACACAAGGCCTAAAATAGAGGGGTAGGGAGATGTTTGAATTAGCGATGTTCGGAGAAAGGACTAAACCAAACGGAGAAGGAAAGATTAGATAACTGAGAGAAGTGATTGCTGATTATACTTCATTTCGATTATTTAAGCATGGTAGCCCATTCAACAATGCTGGTTTACAAGGGGCCATGCATCAAAACCAAAGGAAAAACTAACATAAGATAGAATAAAGTGAAAAGCTACAACAGATCCCAAAATACGCTACGCAACCCCTTCTAACCCACCTCACCCTCGCAATTTCTGATACCCTTTTACATTATTTTAAAATTAAGAACTATAATGTATACATACATATACGATAGTTAAAAACCTGAAGTAAGATATTAAAACAGAGCTGTCAAAAAAAATTAGAACAAAGTTTTAAATTTCCTAAGCGATGTAGCCTTTTTAGCTTCGGAATCTAGGTTATTCCAAACTTTAGTGTCCCTAAAGATAAATTATTTCTGCGCATTTTTCTTTAGAAGCTTTACGTCAGTGTCTGTATTACGTAGCTGCCAAGCTGCACTTTGAGAATTCCTTATGAACATCTCGCTCATATATTGGGGGCACAAGGACCGGGAGGAAAGAGGGGCCAAACAAAAAGATGTATCTTGGTCTATGGGTGGGGCAAGATTGTTTAAAGACTTGTATACAGTTGTCCTGCTATCGTGTTCAATAATGTCACTGACTGTTTTACAGCCTGGATTCTAAATCAGGGGTTTGCTAGAGGCATCAAAACTGCCATTCGTTACGATCTAGCAACTGTGTTTTGAAGCTTCTGAAGTTTTGAGATTTCACTCACTTTTGATTCGGTCTTATCGTCTGATAATTCCTGTTTGATATAAGCAAGTTCCTTATCTGTAATCGTAGGATGATCGAAAGGAGAATCAGTAGCCATCCAAAACCAAAAAACACTCCAAATAACTGCAACAAGGCCTGCGAAGAATACAAACAAAAATCACAACTTGCGATTGTACTTGATTAAAAGTGCTGTCTCATAAAACCGCCGAGGAGAGGGATTTTATCAATCAATGCAGTGCCATCATAGGCGTAGGAGACATAGGGGCTAGGAGGGCTGTAGCCCCCCCAATCAGGCAAAATGGCATTTTATTCTCAATTCGGCCAGTTTTATCTTAGTGAAGCAACAATATTTGGGCAAGATCGTACTAAACCCCTAAACGTGTAGCATCTACTACGCCCATGAGTGACGCTCGAGTACCACACTTGAACCATAGCATCCAGGTTTACTGTACGAGTTAGTAAATCATTGTATGAAGATGGAGAGTCCGACTAGGCAAGTCGCAATACTATACCAGTTTGTGTGATATATAGACTCACTTTTGATTATTCACGATTGTTTATCGCTCACGATTTAATAGTGATTCACTCTTCTCTCAGAAACCTAACAAAAATGTGCTCTAAAATCTAAACGAGGCTAAACTAAAATGTCCAAATCGGCACAATACTTTCTCGTTAATTTTCTCTAGCTTATCCTGCCTGACTTCCTTTACCACATAGCCATATCCATGGCCAATAATTGTAAAGACATAGCATAATTGAATTCATAATTATGTTTTCTCACATAAGTCCTGCCAATTTTTGGTCTAACAAACACAAACCTTATCGATATGAGCATCAAATTTTGAATCTTTATCGATCTCATCACTATGCAAGGTAACATTTTTCTCTATCTTAGTTGCCAATTCTTTGTCAATTTCAAACTGACTTATGCATTTATCTTTGTTGACGATTGTATCTAATTTGTAATAATTCATCAATATTTGTTAAGGTGACAGATATTGTATTGCCATCAGCAAATTACATAAAGTTCCCTCACTGAGGCTGTAAAAATATCGTTTAGAAAAATATTGACGAGAAGAGGTTCAAGTAACTATCCAAGGAGCACTCCATGTCCAAGGAGCTTTTATGACATTTCATTGCTCTAAATGACTCTTTGCTTTCTATTAAAAAGATGTTTTGTATAATTACAAGAGAATATTTCTCTGCACTATAGGCAGGTAGTTTGCTAAATAGCCATTGTGTTTATTTCTTTTAATTCCTTGTTTCCTGTCTTCATTAAGTCTAACAAGAGTGTGCTTGGAAAAAGAGTGTTTGCTATATGCGCATAAGTATTTATAATTTTTTTCCAGAAATGGTGAAAGCTTCTGTCCTTCTGTTTATTTAAAAACCTTAGAAAGTGTTGTCAGTAAACTTATTGATACGATTTTCTTTTTTGAAAAACTTTTCTCGTACAGATAGGTCAAACTATCGCCTTTTACGATAAATTTGAAAAAATCTTTTGATAATGCATTTATCTATGATGATGTTCAAGAGGGGCTGCAGGATGATACCAACTGAGATATTAAGAAGTTTCATTTGTCATGTCATTCCCATGTGCCTTGTTGTGATTAATCTTCACAATAATTGGTCTTTGGCTTTTTTTAGTGATTTGTTTAGAGCTCGAGGTGAAGATATCTTTTTAGAGGATTTTAATTTTTCGATGCTTGAATGCTCTTTAGAATAATTTGTTACATCAGTTACTGTTGAATTTTCACACAGGTCATTTGGGTTGAAATTGTAGTTTGACCACTGTATCAGAAGCTTTGATAGTGTAGGAGATAAGCAGGATGAATGCGCAAATCGTGATAAAAGCATTAAAATTTGTACAAACATACAATTGTGATTGCAAAGATTCGACTCATTACAAACTATGTGCCCTTTTTGTAAGTGTTCCGTCAAACTGAGTACTGAAGACTATCTTTCCCAACGAGAAATCATTTGTGATCAAGGCTAATTTGATCGTGTTAATCGTACTTTCAAATAAGTATTTTTACAAGATTAATAACATTTAGTTGGCTTTTAGCGACATTCCAGAAAAGAACTCTTTAGAGATCTGGGAACTATTACACATTCCAACAACAGCATTCGGGTAGCATTATGGAGATAGAAGTAAATCCTTTAAATGTCTAAATCCAAATCATTCTAAATTTCTTGCTTGTTAGGATTAGTATTCCTGCTAAATTTCATGTCTTTGATTTCATTTTCAACAAAGTTTAATAGAAATAATCAATTTAGGGTTCTGGGAACAATTAAGCATTCTAAAAACAGCATGTGGAGCATTTTGAAGATGCTTGTCGATCCAGATCCTTTCAGTGTGTTGTAATTAGTATCTAAATAAAGTTGCTTGCCATTGATTTTATTTTCAGCGGAGTTGTAGAAATGAGCGTGTTAAAGGTCTGGGAACGAGTACATGGTCTAAAAATAGCATTTGGGGACATTTTGACGATGGGTGTGAATCTATATCTCATTTCCGGGTTATGATTAGCATTTATACTAATTTTCATGTTATTGACTTTATTTCAACAAAGTTATAGAGATAATCAATTTAGGAGTCTGGGAGCAATTAAGCATTCTAAAAATAGCATTTTGGGCATTTCTTAGACTGGGTCCCGACTCCATCTTGTTCAGCATATCAAACTATGTAGCTGTGCAGATTTTCGTGCTTTTATCACAATTTGCACAAGATCCTCGTTTCAGAGGCCTTGGCTTCTACACAATGTACAGTTAAATTATGCAATAAAGTTTTGAATCTTTACCAAAGAAGTAGAAAACAGCGGGCCAGGCCATCGCTCCCGACAATGTCATTCCAAGAACCGTTCCAGCAACTGTTCCTAAAAATATAGAAACAATGAAGACAGGTCAAAACAAAGCGTCTAAACAATTCCAAAATCAGTCTTAATAAACCCCCCGGCCCGCAACAAAATTTCAAGTGGCGGACTAAGCGAAAGGAATTATGCAAAAACACTCGAAAGCACCGGTAGCATCGTACATGGGTGCGAAAGATTTTTACGGAGAGAAAGCGGAAAGGAGAGTACCAGGTACTAATAAAGGATTGGAAACTGCACGACCATGAGTTTTGAGCCCCGGTAAAAGGCTCTGTATCACACTCCGTTACCTTGTGACTGGTGATTCGCATGTTACATTTGCAGGTAGCTATCGTGTTGGTATTACAACAGTTTCGCGGATAATAAAAGAGACTTGCAAATCTATATGGGAGAGCATGCAAGAGGGGGGGGGAGGGTTATAAAGGCACCGGACACACATGATGAATGGCTCAAGATTGCCGAAGGTTTGAGGTTGGTTGGGACTTTCTCAACTGCATAGGCGCGATGGACGGCCAACATGTTGTCATCCAAGCACCCCCAAGATCTGGCTCCTCCTTTTATATCTATAAAAAGACCCATAGCATCGTATTGCTAGCAGTTTGCAATCACAAATATGAATTTATTTTGGTTTCAATTGGAGATACTGGTAGGGAGAGCGATGGCAGTGTTTTTCTGCAAGTGACATTGGTCATTTTTCAACAAATAATTTATTGAACATGACACTCTCACGAGCTCTCCCAAACAGTACTATCGAGTTACCCTTTGTTATTGTTGGGGATGAGGCTTTCCCTTTGAGAGTAAACATGATGAAACCCTATGCCTGTGCAGTTCTAGATGAAAGGAAACGAATCTTTAACTATCGTCTGTCGAGAGCCCGGCGAGTGATAGAAAATGCTTTTGGGATAATGGCTTCGAGGTTTCGTATATTCCGAAGGCCTATTTTAAGTTCGCCTAAAAAAGTAACCATCTTTACTAAGGCAGTCGTTGCCTTGCAAAATTTCTTGATTGCTTTGGGAAAAAGTGGCCCCTGACCCTTGCTTTCTTCTTGACCTTTCCTTTTATTTACATACTATCTTTTACTGAGTTGCATTTTTTCGTATGATTTTGATTGACGATGAATGTTTTATGGTTTTTTCATCGAACGTGACCCAGGAGTGAAAGTATCATGAATTATGAACAGAGTTGAATCGAAACACATTGAAGTAGACAGGGAATTTTGTAGAAAAAACCAGCAAACTGCCTAACCTCAGATTTCATTTCATATTCTTACTAATTCGACCATGGAGATTCCAAATCCAAGATGGGCCAAAAAAATTATCACCGGAAGTTACTGTTTTTCATGATGTCACTGAAAAAATGATAAAAATCTTTAACATTTAGCCAAGGACTTGACCTGAACTTTTCTTGCATTTTTGCACTGAATTAACTAAGCAGATTTCAAATCTGAGATGAAATGAAAAATATTTTGAGCGGAAGTCAAATTTTCTGATGACGTCATCAACTTAGAGAAAATTCATTTTGAACCTTTTTAATTGTTTTCTCGCAACTATCATTGTCAAATATTTTCCACATTCGAATAGCACACATTCAGTGCTTTTGAAAGATGTATTGAATTACTATTATGTTTACTTTTCAACGTTCTTTCATAACGTCATCATCATTTTATGACGTCATCTTCTTTCAAAGGTAATTGAATAACACGGGAAAGTATGCCTAAAAATCTTTAGCTAGTTAAAATGTCATTCAAAATTAAAATTTCGTTGTATAAAAAATGATATGGAATCCATTCATCCTTCATCACTGTCTCCTTTGCTGGAACTCCCAAAGAAATTGTAGTTCCACTCATCATCGTCTGCTTCAAGCTGATCATCGTTAATCCCCACGCCCTGGTCCTCATTGGTTACGGAATTTTTTTCGATTTTATCATTAGAGCGCTGCAGATCTTGCAGTTTTTTAGCGGAGGGTGTGCGGGGCCCTGTAAAAGATGAAAATAATTTGTGTGAAAAAGATTTTGGGAATTAGTTGGCTGACTCCAGTATTTTCTGCAGATGTTCACAGCTTTTTTAGCGTTGACGATCGAATATTTTTCTCATCAAGCCGTTAAGAAAACCAGAATATATAAAGAAATTTTGTTCTTTTAAACCACACTAATACCACCTGTACGCCAGATCATTCTTTCCATCGTATGTCTAACCAAAGCTTAAAGGCAATTTCTCTCATTTTTGGTAATGTCACCAATAGTAAATGCTTGTGTCGACCAGTATGGATCTGGTTCTAGAGCCTCTGATCACCTGTTTTTCATTGCCTTGCGAATTCTTATTCTTATCTGCACAAATGTTTTGTCACATTTCCCTTTGTATGATTATTTTTGCACAAATTTGATCGCTTTCGCGAGAATGTCTTTGCATATTTCCTGTCTCATCGTAACTCTCTCGAGCAATTTTTCCTTTCCAGAACACTCCTAACGCTTTTTAATACGTTAGCTTTCCTTATAACAAACATTACCGGTGTTGTTTCGCAGCCAATAACTGCATGAATAGCCGGGAGATTTTTGGAACTATCTAAACCCAGGGAAATAACGACTTTCAAAATTAACTTACTTCTCGTTGTCAATCTTTAAGGAATATTTCCTTGAAGGCTTTTCACACAATAAGCAGAGAACTACATTAGTGTCCTTCCGACAACTAATAAATTTTTATCGATGAGGCAAGTATGGAATATCAAGTGGTTGCCAGCCTCTTCATAGCTGCAATTAAGCAAGTATGTCGTGGAATTTTTGATTATCTTGAAGGTTTGTTGTAAGCTAGTAAAGCCTATGGATTATCTTGATCTTTGTAGACTGTCAAGTATCACTAATAGCAACAAAAACCTTGGAATGGAATATAAGATAGGTTTGGTGCGGGTATAACACTTTATCTCTGCGATAAGCCATTACAAAACTCGGTTCCTACTTGATAACTTGTCACCTTAAAGATTGACAACGAGAAGTACGTTAATTTTGGAAAGTCGTATTTTATCTGGGTTTAGATAGTTCCAAAAATCTACCGGCTATTCATGCAGTTATTGGCTGCGAAACAACACCGGTAATGTTTGTTATAAGGAAAGCTAACGTATTAAAAAGCGTTAGGAGTGTTCTGGAAAGGAAAAATTGCTCGAGAGAGTTACGATGAGACAGGAAATATGCAAAGACATTCTCGCGAAAGCGATCAAATTTGTGCAAAAATAATTATACAAAGGGAAATGTGACAAAACATTTGTGCAGATAAGAATAAGACTTCGCAAGGCAATGAAAAACAGGTAATCAGAAGCTCTAGAACCAGATCCATACTGGTTGACACAAGCATTTACTATTGGTGACATTACCAAAAATGAGAGAAATTGCCTTTAAGCTTTGGTTAGACATACGATGGAAAGAATGATCTGGCCTACAGGTGGTATTAGTGTGGTTTAAAAGAACAAAATTTCTTTATACATTCTGATTTTGAACATACATTTGATAAATGAATAAAGAAAATGGGACTGAGAGGGTATACAGAGAAAAACATTTCTTAACGGCTTGATGAGAAAAATATTCGATCGTCAACGCTAAAAAAGCTGTGAATATCTGCAGAAAATACTGGAGTCAGCCAACTAATTCCCAAAATAATTTTTACACATATTATTTTCATCTTTTACAGGACCCCGCACACCCTCCGCTAAAAATCTGCAAGATCTGCAGCGCTCTAGTGATGAAATTGAAAAAAATTCCGTAACCAATAAGGACCAGGGCGTGGAACTACAATTTCTTTGGGAGTTCCAGCAAAGGAGACAGTGATGAAGGATGAATGGATTCCATATCATTTTTTATACAACGAAATTTTAATTTTCAATGACTTTTTCAACTAGCTAAAGATTTTTATGCATTCTTTTACGTGTTATTCAATTACCTTTAAAGGAAGATGACGTCATAAAATGATGATGACGTCATTAAAGAACGTTCAAAAGTAAGCATAATAGTAATTCAATACATCTTTCAAAAGCACCGAATGTGTGCTATTCGAATGTGGAACATATTTGACAATGATAGTTGCGAGAAAACAATTAAAAAGGCTCAAAGTGAATTTTCTCTAAGTTGATGACGTCATCAAAAAATTTGACTCCCGCTCAAGATATTTTTCATTTCATCTCAGATTTGAAATTTGCTTAGTTAATTTAGTGCAAAAATGCAAGAAAAATTGAGGTCAAGTCCTTGGCTGATTTTTAAAGATTTTTTATCATTGTTTTGATGACGTCATGAAAAACAGTAACTTCCGGTGATAATTGTTTTTGGCCCATCTTGAATTCGGAATCTCCATGGTCGATTTAGTAAGAATATGAAATAAAATTTGAGGTTAGGCAGTTTGCTGGTTTTTTCTTCAAAATTCCCTGTCTAAAGAAATCGAAGCAAATTGAAGGAATCGAAGCAAATTGAAGGTATCGAAGCAAATTGAAGGAATCGAAGCAAATTGAAGGAATCGAAGCAAATTGAAGGAATCGAAGCAAATTGAAGGAATCGAAGCAAATTCAAGGAATCGAAGCAAATTGAAGGTATCGAAGCAAATTGAAGGAATCGAAGCAAATTGAAGGTATCGAAGCAAATTGAAGGAATCGAAGCAAATTGAAGGTATCGAAGCAAATTGAAGGAATCGAAGCAAATTGAAGGAATCGAAGCAAATTCAAGGAATCGAAGCAAATTGAAGGAATCGAAGCAAATTGAAGGAATCAAAGCAAATTCAAAGAATCGAAGCAAATTGAAGGAATCGAAGCAAATTCAAAGAATCGAAGCAAATTGAAGGAATCGAAGCAAATTGATGGAATCGAAGCAAATTCAAGGAATCGAAGCAAATTCAAGGAATCGAAGCAAATTGATGGAATCGAAGCAAATTCAAGGAATCGAAGCAAATTGAAGGAATCGAAGCAAATTCAAAGAATCGAAGCAAATTCAAGGAATCGAAGCAAATTCAAGGAATCGAAGCAGATTCAAGGAATCGTAGCATATTAAAGGAATCGAAGCAAATTCAAAGAATCGAATCAAATTCAAGGAATCGAAGCAGATTCAAGGAATCGAAGCAAATTCAAGGAATCGAAGCAAATTCAAGGAATCGAAGCAAATTCAAGGAACGGAAGCAAATTCAAGGAATTAAAGCAAATTGAAGGAATCGAAGGAAGATTAGAAAGAACTCTCAGATGATAGAAATTTTGAGCTCTTATTTCCTATGAACGATGAACTCACCTATGAACCATCAAGGTTGAACAAAGAAGAAAATATGAAATTTATGTTTTAAATTGCTCTTTCTTTTTGAGTTAATATACACAGTCCTCTTATATTTAATCTTCCTTTTTGTCTTTTTGAATCTTCGGAACATTTTGAACCCATTGGTAATTCTAATCCTTCAGCCAGAGGGGCGTATCTAGTACGTCTGGCCTCGAAATTGGACCCAAGAAGGATGTTTTCTACAATTGCTGATAATGGTTACTGTCCTATAAGATTAGCAGATACAGATGATAGAAGAGGTGACTGGTGTCAAGACATCTACGGAAATCAAGGTTTAGTGACAGATTCAAGAGTAGGTTCCAATAATTGACGACGCAAAGCTTGTCAGAGATAATTTTGCTGATTATTTTAAAACTGAAATAGGTGCAGTTTCCTCCAATGGGATCATATTCATCGAACATTGAACAGATTTGACCAGAAAACAGTATGTATCTTTTAATGTCTTTAGCCAACAGATAGATAGGGACAAAATGTAAACGGTATCTATGATTTGAAATGTTTAAACACAAGTTTTACAAGCTCTATTCAAAGTTAAACAAGCTTAATTTTCGAATTACAGTTCGTACAAAACTTGTTGTATTTTAATTTTTGCTAGAACATTTTTCTGTTTTGGCAAAGCCTTAAGGCTGTCTACCAAACCCAAACAGGAAAGTTCATCAGCATCTTTAGCTTCTTTTGGTCGGTTTACCCTCTGCAAAGTTTGCACCAAGGCGGTGTCCAAAATTGACAGTTTTGATGCCTCTTCGCTCTTCCTTTTTTTTACACTTGGAGAATTGAACATCATAACTACTTGTGTCTCATCGTCTTGAAAATTTTGTTCGTTTGGGATTACAATGTTGCTTTCAGCCTCTCTATTCACTAGCGTGTCTCTAAGAAAAGAGAGTTGCTCGAAAATATTGCACGAGAGAAGCTTGCCCCCTCAAGCTCCTGATCTAAGTTTATATTCCCTTTTTTTAACATTTTCGATAGTTCCTCAATTTTCGAACCGATTTCCCTCCAAGCCTGGTCTTTCATTTGTACGATCGAAGCTTGGTATTCCAGACACATGGATAATTTTGTACAGTTACAACAACTGCCTCAGAGAGGTTTTCATAGTCATCTTGTTCCTCCCCGGATGTTGGCGTTGGGGTTTGTGCTGGAGGAGGACTTGCAACATCGAATAATGGTGATGCAGATGCCAATATTTGCTGTGTTGGTGTACATCGCTGTTGCAACACATCTCTTGCTGCTGGATATAGTTCTAGATGCCTCCAAGCAGTAGAAATAGGCAATCTTGAGCTTGGTTGGTTGGTTTCTTCGTCAGTAGCTTAAAAATATTGAGGACTCGACATGCTTATTTTTTGCTGAAATTATTTTGCGTTTTTTTGTCCCTCTTATGTAATAACAAAGGCTTGTCCCCTTAAATTATCCTGGCAGCGGCCCTGTGTCGACCTGGTGAATATTAACATGCTAACCTCAAAATAGCACAATCAGGCAAAAATGATCCTCTGACACAACATGGTACAAAAAGTGTAAAGATACAAAAGTTTAACTACTTTGTGTTAACAAAGTTTTGGGTAGATACACTATGCCACAGAATTAAAACTTTATTCAGTTTCCATTAATGTAGCTGAAAGGCTGCATCGTGTATAAAGAAATATTTTTATTACTGTTTATATTCCCGTTTCCACTTGTTACTGGGCTCTTCCGCTTGTTACTGAGTTGTTCCCCTTGCTCCTCGTTATTTAAACATGGCGCAAACAAAAAGGTCTAGATGCTTTTACAGACAGCAACTGGGCCAGCTAATAGGCAAAAAGCACGCTAACAGAGATTTCCAATCAGAACTTGCAAGCAAGATGTGAAGAACGACCGATTTCATACATATATAAATGCCATACCTGAAAAAGATATCGTTGACAGCCTGCTTCTTTCAATTGGTGGAGCCCATCTGCTCCAAATCGCATGCATGCATGGAAAAGTGACGCCCTGTGAAGTGAAGATTAGACCGTAGTTAATTGGGAAATGAAAAAAAAGACTACATTGGTCCCTCTGATAAAGTGGGAAATTTTGAATGGGATACTGCCATTGTCAATCAAAGCTAACTAAAATCTAGATTACACAAAAAACAAGCGAAAGAAATACTTTCTAACTTAAAAAGTTTCAAAAGTTAAATAATTTGGAATGTCAGCTTACCTGAGATAATCCTTGCAACACTCTAACAGCTATGAGAAACTTAATACTCATTCTTGCTGCTAATGGTGTTAGTAATGTAAACAGTCCTGTCATTAGAATACCTCCACCAAAAAGGTTTTTCCCACCAAAACGGGCTGCAAGATATCCAGAAGGTATTTGGGTGATGATGTAACCATAGTAGAAAGAGCTCAGGATGATACCTGTCAAGCCAAAAAATGAATTTATAATGAAAACAAAGGAAATCTGCACGAGATGCAGCCAAGCAATACCACATCCATCCCAATTTCCAGCTTTTGAATCAGAAGGTATCATTAATACCCACATATATAAACATACCTGTCAAGCTACTGTGGTGTCCTGCCGTAAGATTTTGCATTCTAAACTAAAATTTTGCGTAAAAACGGTAATAGAACCATAATAAAACGGTAATTCTTGTTATTCGTTATTCGATGGTTTCAAAACAAATCCAACGTGATAATTTAATGTAAATACCAAAAACAAACGACTCATTGTGAACATTGCGTAATGAAAAACAGTAGAGTTCGCAAGGATCATTAAAAGAACTACTAATCAAAACTTTAATCTGGTTAGAGACGTTTTGACAAAATTGCAATGACCAACGTCCTTGAGTTTCAAATTTCAATCTTTGTCAAAAAGAAAATGGTTATTTTACTGGTTAGCCAGCACGTTCTCGTAAATTTAAATATGGGGCGTTGAAAATACTTCATATGATTTTAAACAGACGTATCAAAATTAATGTTGCAAATAAACACATCGGAAGTGGAGAAAAGATTTTCAGCTTACGCCATAAGACTCTAAGTCACCGACATTGCGAAAGAATTACGAAAATCTTAAGACTTGACAGTTATGTATTAAGAATTAATATCCACTACTAAGCGTTTTCAAGGAATAGACATCCAACTCCAGAAGCATTTCTCATCTGAAAGGGGTTTTTTATCTGTTGGCAACATTGATTAAGTTCTTGCAATACTTTGCAGTTCAATCTCAGGATTGACACCAGAAAGAGGTGTAATAAAGTCGCAGTTGCCACTTACAATTCAGAGCAATAAAATGTTTGGAAATAACATACTATTGAATAAGTTACTACAAGCAATTTTTCATTATAAATTCAAGTACCTTGTTCTTTTGTGTTCCAAGAAAAGTCTGCTGGCTCCTAGCAAAAAGATTTACAGACCACTTAGCTTGTATTCAAGTAAACAGCAAATCAGAAATTCTGAGAAGACAAAATACCATACCAAGCTTATGTAAATATAAATTATTAGAAATTATTTATTGGTTCAAACTGCAAAATTTTATGACAATACTCCTAAACCAATAAAGATTGTTTTAACTGTATAATCGCAAAATCTGAATTCTATAAGCAAAAGAACATCTCACAGGTTACACAAATCTATTGTACCCCTGAATTGATTTTAGATTACAAGTTTGAAAATAGCAAACCTAACTGTGCAAATTTAAAGGAAATTTCATGAAAAGTTTTTTTTTCAACATAAATATGAAAAAAATGCTTCAAAGCAAAAACTCGTGGTAAGTAAGTTACAGAAAATGAACATACTGTACAAACAACATAGCCAGAAGAGTTGGTTATCGTTTTGTTTGAAACCATGGCAACTAAGGCAACACTGAGATTGACTCGTAATGAATAGAGATTTAACAATCCCAAAAAGCTTAGGATTGCCAGCAAATATCTTTTGGGTAACCAGCTGCATGTGACTCTCCATTTTTTACGGTTTTCTTTCATTTGTTGCTCACTTGGACTGTCCTCAATAACCGAGTGATCCATAATGCTTTGAGCATTTGGGTTACTTTTTGCCAGGTTTTACCTAAATATAATAAAAAATCAAGTTTTGAATAACTACTAATAAGTAAAGGTTTAAATATAAAAGAGTGTAAAGACCAACATTTCAATAAAAACCAGAATAATTCTAATCAGTGAATTGCAATCACAAATACATACTACACATTTTGGAAAGAGCAATTTTATTTTCATATTTCTTTTAAAATATAAAACAGTTATGGTTTTCCCTTTTGATATGGCCAAAAATATTAGGAACTTGTAGTAGGGTAATCAGGAAGCACTGTACGTATTGTTTTCTTATGCAATACGGTAGAACTGCATTGTAGAACGTCCATTGAAAACTGTTTTTCGAAATTCCATTGAAACCTACAGTTGTTGAACAAAAAAAGATCAGGTTAAGTTTTTCTCTCAGAATGAAACGTTTGCAAGCTGAACAAATTTAAGCCAATCCACAAGAAGACTTGTCGATGAAATACATCGAAGGAATTTCTGATAACACTTAATCAACCAGTCAATTCATTTTGAAACAGTAAAGATTTTACAGGCAGGATAAAATACCAAGTAATCAAGCAGAAGCATGGCTTTTTAGACTTTATTCAAAGAACTCCATGTTTTTGGCTCAAGATCACTCGTACAAGTCGTGTGCTAAAGCTGTACAGTGGCGTTTCTCAGGGAGGGGGCAGGGGTTCACGGCCCCCTGGAAATTTTCATTAGCCCTTGTTTTGCCCCTCCCCCCAGTCTTTTCAAAAGTTTCAATTAAAAATTCAATGTTTTCTTCCGAAGCTGTTCAATCTTTTTTTGACTTTGTTAGTGTTGCTCTCTTTATTTTCCTCAAAGCTATCTTTATTGCATTTATTTAACAAACTAGGGGCCCCGATAAGCGTTTTGGTTTGTAACGGAGGTGGACATTTATGGAATTTTGGGAACTTTCTAATAAGTTACCAAGTAAAAACCAAGAGTTACCAAGATTTCTGTAGTAACCAAGAAAAACTCATTCTTGACAATCATTTAAATTCTATATTTGCTATATATTATCACGAAGATCCACCTTCTTGCGGTGAGGTGCGCAGGATCAGCCCATTACCATCTCAGTATACCTTGGCTATCTAATATTGCTTATCAAAGTTGCATGGCTTGAAATTCTGTATAACAGAATGATTTGCTTGATTTCACGGAGGTTGGATATAAGACATAACTACTATGGAAAATTTTATCAATCAACCTCACAAAGCTATTAGACTTTTATTTTTTAGAAGTTTAGTTCTTCTGTTGAAAACCATGTTCATCATCATTTTTGTTAAACAGATAAAACTCAGTGGAGTAACAGAACAAAGTTACTTTTAGTCATATAACAAACGGTCCCGAACCTTTAGGGGCCCCCAGCAACAATTTTTCTTTGTTATTATTCCTAGGGGACACAGCTGCTCCTTAAACCACTAATAAAGCTATTTGGCATAATGACAAGAGCCTTGATAGAGCTGTTCCAAGGACATACTTAGCTATGGGGAGCTAAGAACCGATGCCTTGTAGCTAGCTTATTTTGAGCCACCATGCCACTGCTTTACATTCTACTAGTTCCCAAAGTAATAGCTAGCGTTTGCTCCTATAACTGAAAGTTTGACCCCCGGGGGCATTCATCAAGGGTTTTTTCTAAGCCCTTTGCTATTTATCATCGCTTTGGAAGCACTGTCTAGGGAATTCCGTGTTGTCTGCCCATCAGAGCTTCCAGAGGCGGAGTTAGCCAAAAACCTTGTATTGACTGGATCAAAGAATTAAGGGACTACGGTCCATAGGATCACGTTAACCGATTTTACCACGCCCGTTGGCCCGTAATTTGCTTGTGAAATTTGAATTTTGTTCGAATTTTTTTGATGTAAAAACCACTGGCAAAACATGGTCTATCCATCAGAGTTGCTTCAAATTACTTAAAAATGTAGAACCGGATTTGTGAGGCTCTGGTACCCTGGGTATGCATCTGAATTCCCACCACAAAAGCATAGCGGACAAATCTTGATTGGTGTATTGCCTGGAGGATTCCCAAGAAGGGGACCTCGCCAACAACCAATCAAGATTTGTCCGCTATGCTCACCACAAAAACAAAACGACTCTTCTGAAGATTGAAATGTGTGAACAAATAAAAGAACATTCACTTTTAAACACGTGACAATAAATATGAACGGTAACAAGAAAATTTGTGATTTCTTTCTTCTTCCATTTCTTAATAAACTTTGATCTCGGAAGAGGATTTCGCTTTTGTATTTGAGCCAGTTCGTTATTGAAAGTTTCTTAACATTATGTGGTTTATAACCTTTTGTGGTTTTGCTTAAAACATCCATAAGACTGTTTTTGTCTGAAATTTTGTTTGTCCTAAATGCCAAAAGTATGCCCGCAATCTATTGTCTGAAAATCTATTCGCTGAAAATGTTTGTACTTACTGCAGGTGAATCTTGCAGTCACCGTGCGAGATTGCTTCTTCTGCTTAACAGTTTGACGGGGATTTGCTTTTTTTTTAAATAAAAAATGTAGGCTCGAAACTTGAATAATACAGAAAAATAAGACATGCAATGCAATTATAAATACAATTATAATGGGTTTCTTGTGCCAGAATCATGTGTACTTTTTAAGTTATGCTCAAAAGCATGTTTTAGAGAAGAAAATTGTAAGAAAATTGATGAAACATATCGCTCCGGCCCATCCAAAACCTTTGGCGTTGCTGGTGAATAAAAACTATTCGGTCTTCAAGGCGCTACGCCTTGATTCGGTCTCCATCCTCAATGGTTAATTATTCATGAAAAAATTGAGTTATTTCTCTTTTTCAACAAAAGACTTTTCAACAACTTGTAGTTATACCATACCTTAAATGCTATTTTCATCTGTACTGCCTCATTATTTGTCTTCTGTCCAGTGACAAAATATGGGTTGTTACAGTTCATGATCTTTCTTTGTGATTGTGACATGAGCTCATTGCCATTGTGACATGTGATAAAGACAGCCAAAAATCAACGGTCTGCCGACTTTTACGTGGAATCATTATTTGAAAAATACAATGAGACATCAGAACGACAATGGGTGAGGTTTACCTTATATTGTTCTTCTTCCCAGTTAGATGCTGTACTGCTTCTCAACTCCTGTCTCCATTCCGCACACGAATTTATAAGTGGCTCTGGTACCCCGGGTATTGTTAGATGTTGCTGTCTCTAAAGCTTGATTTAAAAATCACGGGTTATTGGCTAAATTTCGGGTAGAGGTCTGCTGTTAGTACATTAAAACTTGTAACGTTGGCTAGATTAATTTTTGCGAAAATAAAACCGTTGGCTAGACCTATTTCTACAAAAAGATCCTTTTGGCATAGTCCTATATTGAAAAACGATACAATTTGCTAAATTCATTTTCAAGCCATTCGTGTTAGCAGCTATATCAAAATTGTTGGTTTGAAATCGGAAATGTCAAGATAAAACATCAAACAAAGTAATAGCTAACAGATAATTACAGATAAAGGCAAGTGAAAATATTAAGCTACCAATCATTCCAAAAATCTTGCAACCCTGAAAGTGTAAAGTCACGATATACTCCAAAATGATAACCACAGATGCTGGTGTGAATTGTTTGCATTCGGTAGTGATAGACAACGGATCAATGGAAACAATGTTTTTTAATAGAAAATATCAAACTTATGCCAGAGTTATGATAAATTCCAAATTATGCTAAATGGTGATTTTTGGCCATTATTTTGTCAAAAGCATAACATTATGCGGGATCTGATCACACCAGTGTTTCCATTTTTCAAATTTTAACTTCCTTAAAGCGAGGCTGAAATTTTTCAAAATTCCTTGAAACTCTTTAACCGAAATTTTGTATTTTTTTTGTTTATATCCTTGTTAGTTTTATCCCATAATGATGCGAAACAGCTAAATAATTATCATAAATTACAAAAGTTTCACGTCAATCAAGCATCAGGCTCAGATTTAAGTCTTTTGAGCACATTTGGCTGGGTTGCTGCTTTTTTACAAAGTTCGGATATGTGAATGTCAAAATTAAGTTTGTGATCTATAGTTACGCCAAGCAACTTTACTGAAGCTTCAGAATTTTTAGTTTTCCCTTGGATAGAAATGTCCAATGGTACTTTTTTATTCTTTCTGACTAGAAGAGCATGAAATTTGTCTGGGTTAGCAATCATTTCATTCTGATTGAGCCAGGCAAGGGCGATGCTTGCTTCTTTTTCCAAGACGGTAATTAATTGAGGCAGGTCATTTTAAAAATATGTTAATTTGTTGTCATCTTCGTAATTTACAAGAGAAGCCTTTTTAATGAAATAAAACAGGTCATTAATGCAGAAATTGAAAAGAATAGGGCCAAGGACTGATCCTTGCAGTACCCCTGATTAAAAAGATTGAAAATCACTGTAAGTATCATTTATTCGAACTGCTTGTAAGCGCCTTTTTAAATAGGAGTAAATAAGGACTAGAGAACTTTCATCAAAACCATAAGCATGAAGTTTTGCAATAGGAAGGTCATGCGGAATACAGTCAAAGGACTTTGATAAATCCATCAGTACTGCTCCGACAATGTAATCATTGTCCAATTTGAGTTTCCAGTCTTCAAGCATTTTGATTACGATATGCTGTAGGCAGCAATAAAAGCCTTCCTGTAGGCAGCAACGAAAGCGGACAGGGTTTTATCGAGATGAGGACTAATTTGATCTTTGTCTTATCTTGGAAAAAGTGTTAAGCACACTAGCTGGACGGAAATTTTTGTCTACTGTTCGAACAGGTTTGCCTTTGTCAAGAGATGTGACTGCAGCCCACCTTCCAAGGTCTGGAAATCTACTGTTTTTCATACTGGTAACGAGAGTTTTCAAAATTTCTTATAATAAATTTGTGTATCTGGTGAAAAACCGGGCACATGACCCGATTAAAGTGTTATTACAAGTATTCACCTGAGTCACGAGGTGATGACGTCATAAAAATCTATTTTATAGTTTTGAATTTTGATCCTATAGCTTGAAAAAGAATCATGATATACCTCCAAATATGCAAAATCAGTTTAAGGCATTACAAATTGGCTAAGATATGCCCTCATAAGCAAAGGCTCCTTCCCTATCGAAAACCTCTGTGATTTGGTCTTGGTTCATAACTTTATGAACCAGGCATGAAAAAAAAGTACCCTGGGTACCAGATTCACTATATATAAAATAAAAGAGTGAGTCTGGTACCCAGGGTAGAAAAACAGTAATCCGTAGCAAACTCGAATTAGCAAAATGCATTGGCCATATCTCACGCAATTTCAAATTAGGCTAACTGATTATTATTATTATTAACATAACATATTTAGAGGCAACTTATTCTGTTTTTTAAGATTGTGTGGTCAAATTTAAGATATTCTAAAAAGTTTTTGATGACGTCACACTTCGGTACTCTGTATATACGCTGTGGTTATTATCAGATCAGACAAATGAAAGATAGGTACATTGAACGTTGTTTCCAGGTGATATTTTAAAAGTAAGCCAGCAAAAGCAAGATAATAGTTATCTATGAAGCGATTATATCCAGCTACTAAGATAAAAGTTATGCACTTGATGGCTTGTGTGTCGTATTGTTTCGCCTTTCTTGCCGCATTGTATGTTCCTAAGTAAAACCAATCAAGCCAAAAAAGTATTTCCCTTAGTTCTTTTAGTCTTTGTATTGCGTGGTGAATAGGGTAAGTCAGTTATTTTCAAGCGAATAATACGTAGCTGCGAATCCAGAACGGGAAATCGTCAAATCAGAGGTAAATCGGACCAGGACACGATTTCCTTTGGACCGGAATTCTCTTTTCCCGGTTCCGCAAAACTTTGCTGCTGGCGTATAGCCGGATTCTGTAGCATCGAATATTTGTACCGAATCATTGCGGCATTCGCTAACGTACTGCAAATCGAATTCAGAGAAAACGATCATGACCATTTTTCGCTCTTCGACTGTGATTAGATATTCACAAGTGGCACTGCTTGGATAATGTTCCGGGAAGCCAGGAGAAGTGAATGAACCAGTCTTTGATTCGTAAGATTTGTAGCAAGCTGTAAATTGATAAAGAAAATATTTTTCTATGAAACGGAAGATATATTGGATAATAACACTGATAAAAGGTGCATAGACGTCACATCTATGACAGGGGTTTCCAACAAACGGCCCGCGGGCCAGATGTGGCCCGGGAGGACATATTCTGTGGCCTGCGCTAACAAAAGTTGTTTAACAATTTGGTATTATCCTCATGAAGTGCCGTCCCCGCTAAATCTTTATGATTCATTATTAGGCACACAGTCTCATTATTGGGCATCCTTTCTCATTATTATAAGCCGACGTTTCTATTACGAAGCTGCACAGAACAAGTCAAAGCTACAATCTAAGCATACAGAAATACATATTAAATTTTTCCACATCAACTACAAGTTAAATGTGCGATGTCAATAAACATTTTGCAAACAAAAAATGTAGCAATTCGCATTGATCACTTTTTCATGTAATTGTTTGTGTAACTTTTCATGTAATTTTTCATGTAATAATATGCCCCAGACATCCGACCTTTTCTCCATGGACAGGGCTTTCACCTGCAACCAGGCTTCACCACTGACTAAACGACGATTCCCGAATAGCTTCACCAGTAAACTTTGATACCCCAAGGTGCCCTTTCTGCAGTTCCTGTCCCCTGCCTCATTATAAAGCTTTCTGCATCTCTGTGTTGCCCGTGGGCTACCCATAGCAAACGATCTGTCATTTCCCAATGAGTCTTACCTGACTTTGGTCTTACTATATAGAGAATATTTGGAGAGTATCCCCAGTCCTCTCTTACTTCGGGCGACCTTGCTACGTAAGAAAATGTTGCAGAAAAATTGACAAGCCACACAGTGATACAGATAATTTTTGTGCTTCTTGAAATACGGCATAGCAACTCCTTTGAATGTACTGACAGTAGTTGACAATTCGGTTTACAACTGTCACAAAGGCAATTTTATAACATGAGAAATAAAGAACCCTAAATGCCCTTAAAAATTTTTACCTTTATGAGCAGTTGAATAATAGCCATAGAACCCAGAACTGGTACTTGAGGAATCCGATTTGAATATCATTGTTACTAAGCTACCTCGTGATGTCCATGTAAAGGCACCCTTCTCTCCACAGAAGCTTTTCACAAAAAAACCTTTTTCAGAAACTGTTAGTGAGTCGTTTGTGCACGATCTTCCAGGTTGCAGTGAGAATTTCTTAAAATTCAAGGAAACTGCCCTGTCATATGGAGCCAGTATGTGATAGTGACATTTCACATCGTTTGGATAGCTGCTTGGGTAGCCAGGGGAAGTAAAGTACGATAATCCATTAGATATTGTATAATTGCATGCTGCAAATAAAAAGAGTCAGTTTATCAGAATAGATGTAGCCCTATCATGTTTAAAAATATGCTTAACGTGGATATATTTCATCTCTTCAATTTTTACAGTTATGATAAAGTACATAATATTATGGATCATTAATTTTCGTTTATTTTCAAAAATCGTTAAATGGATACCCTGTAGTTGATATCACTGGTTTCTACAGAGCCATGTGAAAAGCAAAAATCAAAAGGCAAAAAAATGCAAAACTTCTTACCAAAGTGGCTCAGATTAAAGAGGCTATAATATAATGTTGTCAATTCAGATTTTATAGAATTCCAATCTGCAACTGTGTATGTAGTTACCCACAATATTCAATTTGTAAAACATACCTTTTTTAGATTCTGCGAAGTTGGCAGAAAAACCTTTGGACTGCGTTCCATATTTTGAAGAAGTCTTTAATACGACAAAAACTCTGTTGCTGTATGACCGGTAAGTCCTTGGCCATAGACCACAGAAAGTTGCTTTTAAATTATAAACCTCCATGTTTTCTTCAAAAATTTCGACTGAATCATCATAACATGTCATTGTTTCGTGGATTGAAAAGATGGGAAAGTTGATTATTATTCCGTTTTCAGGCTGAACAGTTATTTCGTAGATGCATTTTTTAATACTCGAGTGAATGCCAGGGTAGCCGGGTGAAGTGAATTTGCCAAAAGATGAAGTTATTTTGTACCAACAAGCTGAAGGAAATGGAAAAAGAAAATTAAAATTGCAAAAAGGAGCAACTAAATCATGTTTCCGCAATGTAAACTATTTTTGTACAGTTCTCAGTTTAAATGAAGCCTGTCGCGTAAACTTCCACTTACATCTTCCCACCCCACTGCTCGTAATCTTCGCCAGGGGTGCTATGAATGTTATTCAAATCTTTGATAACATGTTATCAATATAACCGCTAGATGAGAAGACATCTTGAAACAGAGATCTCTATATTCGTTCGAAAGCTTCACCTACTACATTTTGCATTTTTGAATTTCAGTAAAAACTTGCTTGTTTGAACAGTATCAATTCTATTGGAGAAACTTGGGCATTCTTCTGCCAATAAGTTTAAATGATGTGAACCTTTTTTTAGGCGATACAAAATTTGAAAGCATTTAAATATGTTTATTAAAAAATGTAGAGGGTGATGATAATTTAAAAATTCTGAACATGCACAATGGCTCAAACCTTAGAGTAAAATTAGAACAACTTTAAGAAAGTTAGGCCAAACTGCTAAACTACTAAAGAACCTATTCAAAATAAAGACAAAATCACATGTTCTTGTGCAAACGTGTTTGCTGTATCTGTAGCCAATTTCGAGAGACATTGAAATCGAAAACCTCCAGACGGGATAGTATCGGCTAAAAATCTTTCGAAAAAAATTTCGGGCGCATTTTTAATAATTTTGGACAAAACATTTTTAGACAAATATATTATGCATGTTTCAAAATTATGTGGTAAAATCAGCTGTAGATCTACTTTAATCAATTAAAAGTTACTTAAACTAACTATATAGGTATACAAAAGCTGGGGGGACGGGCATATCATATTCTTGCAACATATATTTTCAGTGTTTATAAGAAAAGGGGGTGTATTATCAAGTGCATTCCTTTATGTTTCTCTAGCATTACTAGAATCTAAATGTTTCGGACGAAAAATCTTTCAGCCAAACTTAGATTGTGGAGAATTACTGTGCCTGAAATGCGATACATTTTGCTTGATTAAAGGGTGCTGCAGCATCCCCGCCCCCGGCCCTTACGCCCCCTTTGCCTATGCTCGCCATTTATAGCTCATACACTCACGTTTTTCCACTGCGCTGTATGAAGCATGAAATGCAGCTCCTGTGGAGGATCGAAATACCACCAATGCTTGGTTATCTCTGGACTCCCAAGAGACTGGAGAGCGGCATAAATCTAGTGTTTTCTTTAGGATATTGTCTTCAAAAATTGCGATGGAGTTATTTTTGCAAGTGGACTTTTGATGTAGCAAGAAACTTGAAAAATTTATCTTCACTGCTTTGTTGATTGGAACTTTGATGTGATAGCTACAGTAAACGTAATTCGGAAAGTTGTTTGGATAGCCAGGAGAAGCAAATGTCCTTGATGCTCCGGCCAGTGTGTAGTTGCACGCTATATAAGAAATGGAGAACTTTCTCAACATAACAAGAAATGTTACCTCTCAAAAGTATCTGTTATTAAGTTATCAATTAATAAATTAGTTAAGTGGAGTCTTAAGGGATAGATCATGCTAAATAACAGATTGGAGACAAAATCACAAAGATCATTTCCATGTAGTTAAGAACAGAAGAAAACTTGCATCTCGTTTAAGTTTGACATGATAGACCCACCCTTAATAGTAATTGTAGAGTCTACCTCCTTCTGGGCTAGAGAAATACTTTAATAAACTGTCTTGAAAAATTGTGTGACTCATACTGTACTCAGCTATGAAATGCAAAACATCAACCTACAGAAGCATCTTTTATGTCCTTTGACTGGCTAAATTAAGTTAGTTTCTCCAGGCTGAATCAATGCTGAACGAGCCTAGGTAAATGGAAAAACAGAAGCAAACTTTTTTGTAGTGTAAAAGCCACCTTAAAGGATTAATCACAGCTTGAATTCTACTGTAAACATGATCAATTGTTGAATCAAGGCTCCATTTTTTATCATCAAGAATAAAATAATTGTTCTATAATTTGTTATCATGCATGCGTGCAAACGTTGAATACAGGGACGGATTTAGACGTTCGCACCGTTCGCACATGCGACAGTCAACTTCTTAACGGATGTTTTGCGTCAGTGTTTTTAGCATTTCTCAAAGGAGATATTTTTCTTGGCTTTTCCTTCCCCGACTTTGGCCCTTGATTCTCTTTAGATCAGACGCAATCACAAATAAAATCTTGGCACCACGGAGGAGCCAATCAAAAATTTCTGAAGATAAGTAAATCCAAGAGATCGAGTCATACCCGAGAAAAATCTAGAATGCGATACTGTCTAATCTTTTAGGATCCTGATTTAATAATAACAGGGGACTAATGTGGTTAGATTAGGGCTTTTCGGTGCACAGTATGTTTAGTAGCACGTTCGCACCAATTCGCACAACTTTTGTTTAAATTTACTATTTACTATCTCCCGTTCTTGAAGTCGTTGCCAGCCTTGTTCCTGTTAAAGACAGTTTCCAGTTGCGATTTACTATTTACTATCTCCCGTTCTTGAAGTCGTTGCCAGCCTTGTTCCTGTTAAAGACAGTTTCCAGTTGCGATTTACTATTTACTATCTCCCGTTCTTGAAGTCATTGCCAGCCTTGTTCCTGTTAAAGACAGTTTCCAGTTGCGACTTGTTATTTACTATCTCCCGTTCTTGAAGTCGTTGCCAGCCTTGTTCCTGTTAAAGACAGTTTCCAGTTGCGATTTACTATTTACTATCTCCCGTTCTTGAAGTCATTGCCAGTCTTGTTCCTGTTAAAGACAGTTTCCAGTTGCGATTTATTATTTACTATCTCCCGTTCTTGATGTCATTGCCAGCCTTGTTCCTGTTAAAGACAGTTTCCAGTTGCGACTTGTTATTTACTATCTCCCGTTCTTGAAGTCATTGCCAGCCTTGTTCCTGTTAAAGACAGTTTCCAGTTGCGACCTGTTATTTACTATCTCCCGTTCTTGAAGTCATTGCCAGTCTTGTTCCTGTTAAAGACAGTTTCCAGTTGCGATTTATTATTTACTATCTAAATGGCTTTGAAAAAAGGAAACATTTAGTAAACTAAAGCTTTTCGTCTGACACTCTTCAGAGTTTAAAATGTCAGAACATAGATCGAAAACTCTATGCTAGGAAATATATATACCCAGTTGTGGATCGAAATAGGCCAATCAGAAAACATACTATCTCCCGTTCTTGAAGTCATTGCCAGCCTTGTTCCTGTTAAAGACAGTTTCCAGTTGCGACCTGTTATTTACTATCTCCCGTTCTTGAAGTCATTGCCAGTCTTGTTCCTGTTAAAGACAGTTTCCAGTTGCGATTTATTATTTACTATCTAAATGGCTTTGAAAAAAGGAAACATTTAGTAAACTAAAGCTTTTCGTCTGACACTCTTCAGAGTTTAAAATGTCAGAACATAGATCGAAAACTCTATGCTAGGAAATATATATACCCAGTTGTGGATCGAAATAGGCCAATCAGAAAACATACTATCTCCCGTTCTTGAAGTCATTGCCAGCCTTGTTCCTGTTAAAGACACTTTTCTTGATGTATTAACGAGGTTGGTTCCTGTAAAAGTTTCCAGTGATAACATGGTGACGAAACTTCTTCAACATATATATTTTGGTGATGAAAAAGATTGCGTAGTGAATGTATTAACTCATACCTTTTCAAAGTCATTCAATGATTTTGCCTGCCTTTCTGTTATTTCTTTCCGGATGGTCACAGTCTTGAGCCTTATTTTTGTGCCGTCTACACGTCATATCCTCTTTCTTCCCGTCATGTTTGTCATGATTGATAATAATTTAGTGGGAAGGCTATAAATTGCATTGCTAATTTCTTGATTGAAGCTGAACAAGGGCAAATGGCAGAACTGTTAGAATTTGGCTTAGATATCGATTGGAAGTGGTGACAGAAATGACCAGGGCACGCATTGGCCAAAAAACAAGAGAAAATAGAACTGAATAAGCTTCGATTTGCCCAAGCGGAAAGAAACTCCTGGAAAAATTCGGACGAAGGATTGGAAATTTGGCATTTACTCTGTAATGTTAATTGGGAGGCTAACAAAGATGGCTCGCTAATGTAAGTTCGATTTATTTGTATATATGGATAAACTTTAGCAAAAACTTAGAAAGCAGATATTTCTTTGTCTGCTAATTGAAATTAGGCTCGTGTTCAACCATGTGCTAGAATCGTGAGACATCTCTCATCGATTTTGTTGTTTACAGTGGCTTTCCCTTTTCTAGCATTTTTATTATTAGACCAACTGTGTGTTGGCAATTGACCTGTGTGAGCTTAATGATATCAGTTTGATTTCCATAATTGCCTTGTAAGGTTCAAATGCAAGATGGAAAGCTTACAAAAAGTTAATTCAGCCACACCTTTTTTCAAGACACGCCTTTTTTTATTTGCCACGCCTATTGTGCGACAGTCGGAAAATTTTCTGGATCCGCCCCTGGTTGAATACTTCCATTTTCGACTGTATGCGTTTGATTTTCAACAACTCAGGGCCAATCAACATTGAACTGGCGCATTACAAACACAGTTTAGTTTAACCTGGGTTAATCAACTCGAGTTGTGCCAACGAAGATGTTTAGTCATTTTTGACCGGGCTTTAGTTACTTTGGCCTGGACCTTTTCTTCCACTCCCCTGTTGATGCATTACACAAGTGGGTGCTAATATATGATTGAAAAGCAGTACCTTTCGAGATTGCGCCAAATATTGCATGGAAGCCTTTATACACATTGTTGTGCTCGGAAGAAGAACGAAAGTCTACATAGATGCTGTTGCTGTACGAATGAAATTGCTTTGGTCCATTGCCACAAAACGATGCCTTGTCACTGCTGGCAAATCTGCCCCCCTCGTAAATTTTTACAGAATCATTTTGGCAATAAAGTGAAGGTCGTAAAGAGAAAACAGGAAATTCGATCTGGATTCCATGATCTACTGGTACTGTCACGTGGTATATCCATCGGGCGTTCTTTGGGTAATTCCCAGGGTAACCAGGCGAGGAAAAGTTTCCAGAATTTGCCACAAATGGTAGATGAACAGCTAAAAGAATTAAGAAATAAGAATAAGTTAAAATCGGTGGTGAAATAACTGCAATTAGTTCAGAACAGGTTGGATAGATTAAGGATATCATCCTATTTGATTTTAGTATGTTGCCTCTTCACTATCAAAAGACTGGGTATTGTGAATATACTGCAGTGAATTCAAAGAAAAATGAATAATTCACTAAGATACCCAACGCTTCTAAATCAGTATATAATTTCTGCATTCAGCTAGGTTTCCCTCTAGACGAATTCGACAGATTTTGTAGATTTGAAAAAAATTAGATCACAGTCTTACTCTCTCACAGTGAATCCTATTGCTCTTGCAAAGTGACCAATAAATGTTTGAATTGTGACTGAGAACATGGCAAGCACTAGCGGTTTGATTTCATATTATATGAATTGATACTATTTACATATCATGCTAGTGAGGCTGTCTTACCAATTCTATCCACCAACCCATCAGCGAGTTGTGATTTGATGAATCAGTGTTCCAAAGGCTAGGCTAAGGTCAAGGTCAAAGTCAAGGTCAAGGTCAAAGTCAAGGTCAAGAGGTTAAGTTCTCTCAGGTCTTAATCAGAATAATGCTGAAGTAACTCACGCTTGTCTGCAAGTGTAATGTAGCCACTAAATCCTCTACTTGTAATGGAGCCATCGGATTTGAAAACCAACAAAACCTGACTCTCTTTTGACTCCCATACTGTTTTCGGTTGGTATCCGCACAGTGTTTCTTGCAGTGCGTTGTTTTCGTAAATTTTAACTGAGTCTTCAGCACAAAAAATTCCAGCCTGGAGCAAAAACGTCTCGAAATGGATTCTTACAATCTTGCCATCAGGAACTCGGATGTGGTATCGACAAGAAACATTGCTCGGGTACTGGTCTGGATAACCGGGCGACGTAAACATTGTAGACGTTTCAGTTAAGCTATAATTGCAGACTAAAGAAGAAAAGAGGAGTTGAAATAATGGCTCTGCAATGCTAAGAAAACTTAAGGGGTAGAGAAGACAGGATCTGGGGACAAGGAATCATCAACAGAGAAGGCTCACAAAAGAATAGCCGTAATAAATCAAACATATCAAAAAAGCCACAAGAAAGTTTGGGAGAACTGTTAACACATAAGGTGGAAGGACTGTGGCCTCCACAAGCGCTTTTAAAGTTGAAATTTCTAAAAACTTCACAAATATTTTCCATTTTTAATTAACTGCTTATATTTGAGCAATTTATTTGGTCGATGGAGGAATATTTGTAGACTCTTGGTGAGACTATAGCCTAGATGCCTTTTTAAGTAAAGACGTACGGTTGCAATTTTAGCTTGCTTGTTTGCATATTTTGCCAGTATTTTCAAAAAATGACCAACTGCTAGACAATTTCTTCTCAAAATGTCTCACTGCCTTACTTGCCTTCCGTATACGGCTCCATACCGCAGAAACGCCTGATACTACTGTAATATCTACATAGGTATGCGTATGCTTATCAATACTTAATACACTTGTATAGGTTAGGGCACGAGTTAAGGCCGACTCATTATTGCTAACGTTGGCCATTAAAGTCAACAAGAATTTGAAAATTTTGAAATATCAATTTTTTGCAATTAGTTAATCAGTGAAAAACATAGAGATGCGACTCCATGCAAAATTATTCTTATTTTGAACAAATAAGAAGACCAAAATGCAAATTATCCTGCACCTGTGACATTTTCCTTGAGAGGCACACGTAAAGAGCCTCGAATAAGGCGAGCATCTTTAACTTTTTCACAAAACTTTGAAGTCAGTATGATATAATATCTACTCGTTAGAATAATGAAGACGAAAGGGGAATATTTATGGTAATATCTCTTATTCATCTTTCTTGAAGAACATCATAATAGTTTTAGATCTGCATGCACTTTGTTTTAGTATTATTACTTGTTATCTTATGCACCTAAGACTCTATGTTCGTGGATATGACTTGAGATATGTCAATTGAAAAGGGGATAACCAATGGTCAAAACAATATTCTTTTTCGGTTGACTTTAGATCACAGAATACCTATGCTTAAAACAGAATAAACAAAATAACCGCCAACGATTCGATTCAATGCAGGCCAACGAACCCAACTTTGGCCTTCACAAAGTATAAACCAAAGGAATCACAACATTTTTAGGGGAATGTAGTGACATTCCCCTAAAAATTACCAGTGACCACCACAGTTCTTCTGTTTAGATTGGTTTGAAACGGCCAGTCCATTTTATATGTAAGGCGGTCTAGCTTGTCATGACTTTCATCTCTCCCCCCTCCTCCCCCCCTCCCACCCGCAAAAAATTAGTTCGTTTGTGCCCCTGAATGAACCAATTTAAGTTTGAGCGAAGTTTGGAAATGGAGAGACTTCGATGACCTACCTGGCTCAGTTGCATTAAAAGTGGCATAAAACCCTTGAAAGCGATTGCCACTTTTTGGCGACGACTTGAAATACACATGCACCTTGTTGCTGTATGAGAGGAAAGATCTAGCTCCTTGGCCACAGTTTCTCTCTTTCAAATTGAAAGCTCCTCCAAATATTTCGTAAATATCTACTTGGTCGTGTTGATATTGGCAAGAGTTTGATGGCTGAAGAGAAAAAGTTGTAAAGTCGACTCGAATTCCCATCCCATTTGGTACTATGATCTGGTAGCTAGTTCCCTCGTTGCTTGAATAATTCGCAGGGAAACCAGGAGATGTGAAACTGCCGGAAACTGACTCCAACAAGTAATCGATGTCTGTGAAGAGAACATTTCGTTAATAATAAAGTCAAGTCATTGAAAATTACACTTAATGCCAATATCTTTAATGTTTTTAACTTAACAAAACTTCTTCAGCATTAGAAAATTAATCCATGGCAGATGCTAGCTCTTTGGGTAGATTAAATTTCTAGACCTCTATCAGATTAAATACCAAATGATAGCAACTATATAACAGTCTTCATTTGTGAGTGATGGAAGCGCGGCCCTAATCAGCCTACCAGAGCCAAATGGCCTGGACCAATGGAGTCTTTTCTATTAACCTAGACTTTTCTTTTTGGATTTCTCTTTAGGGAAAAATCTAATTTCAGCATAAAACATCTTCAAATTCTGAATTATTTTAAAAGTCATTTCATAGTTAACGCTTTTGCAATATTGTGGTTTATTAAATGACATAGTCTGACATGGTTAAAAGACGCCTAGGTTTGAAATGGTATGCTAACAATGCTTAAAAGGTATTTCACACGATTTTGCAAGAGATTTATCAAGTTATACTGGCCTGCTGTTTCCCTTGAGTCCAAGAAATGTTCTTATTATACGCCAGCTTCACTAGCTTCCTGCTATATATTCCTTCACAAGAAATTGCTATTGAAAATTTGTCACCACTATGACTTATAATGTAAAGTTTTCCATCACTTTGTCATATGAGATCTAGCCTTCACATTCTTTCGGCTAGTATCGGCTGTATCGGCTTGCCACAAATCAGTGTTGAAAAAGCCAACAAGATAAGAGACTGCACCTTAACTGAATGTATTTTGAGTAATCTGGGCTTTGTCGATATCAGAAGCGTTTAACTTTGGAAAGGCACAGGTAAGAAAAGAGCCTAGAAAATGGGTGCTTTTCCAAAAGTCTCAAAGAGACAGATTCTATGAAAAGGGCACTTTCCAGCAGCTTAGGGCCACTGGTTCCAACATCCCTGAATCAAACATGTTAATTTTGCAATCTTTGTTACAAAGTACAATATGGTAATTGCTTACATTTTCTTTCAGGTCTGTACGAAGCAATGAACCCGGATCTTGTTGTAGAACCATCTGATTTCAGCACCACCGTGACAGAATGACTCGTAGAATACCAGCTCTTTGAAGAATAGTATCCACAAAACTTATCTCTTAGAACGCCATTCTCAAATATCATAACAGCATCGTTTTCACAAGATGGACTATATTGAAGGTAAAACTTTTCGAAGTCAATTCTTACCACACTGTTATAGTCAACTTTGATGTGATATTGGCAATAAACACTGTTTGGATAGTTGTCAGGAAACTTGGGTGAAGAGAATCTTGGCGAATCAATGCTGATAGTGTAGTTACAAACTAAGAATTGAAAGCAGAAAAATTTTGTTAATTACAAAGTTTTGCTCAATTTTCAATTTTCAAAACATCAAAAAGAACAAATATATATATTTAAAGAATGTTCTGGCTTGCCTCATTTGTTACTTGCAGTAGACGAAGACAATAAGCACCCAGACACGAAATAGATTGATTTTAAATCCTTTGGCCTAATATCTTCAAATTTAGAGATGTCACCTCTTAATTATATATTTCTAATCATAGGAATCTCAGTTTAATTGGTCTAGAAGTCTAGGCAAAGCTTGTTTCTAGTTTGGTCAAAGTGAAAGTCGCCCGTTGCAAAGTGCGCATTTCTTTGGACCATTTCTATTCAGGTTTTACGTTCTTATTATGGGAGAGTCAGCCTTCGCAAGCATATTCTAGATGAGAACGTAGAAGTGCAAGGCAGTGTCATCTAAAATTTTATTCTAACGCAGATCAACCGAAATGTGTGTACGAAGATATCTGTATGAACTGACCTTCTCGATCGCCTTTATAGATAAGATTTTCACATTCATTTTGTACGACATTTTTCATAAGTGTTGAAGGTACTGAATCATCGTTCTCTGGTCATGGCACCAACTATGATTTTATCAAGATCGCTTTGCAAGGCAACAGAATGATCTTTCGATCTGATTATGAGATATAGCGCGCAGTTCAGTATAAAACATCAATGCTTGAAACAACATCTTCTATCATGTCATTGACATAAATAAGAAAATGTACTAGGTAATTTAGTGGTATGTTCAGATACCCAATAGAGTTTTAAAGTGTGTCGTCACATAAAAATTTATTTTTAGAATTTGTGACTTTTGACAACATAACCTAAAATATATAATCACCACGGCGACAAAGAGAGACATATTTTTGGATTTCTATTTCGACATCTTTTGTCCAATTGACGACTAATCCATAGCTAACAACTGACAAATTAAGTGAGACATCCCACAATCAGTTACAATCCAGGCTAGACATATCAATTTGGCATAACAGAGGAAAAAACCATTTAGAATAATCAGTTAGACAAAAGTCATTCTAGCTAGAGTGGAAACATTTAGATGTCTCTTTTTTCGCCGTGCTGATTATCTATTTAATTATCAAGCTGCGCTTTCCAATATCTGAATCCATAACCTACAAGTGAGATACCTTAATACAAAGAAAATCAGTTAAATGAGTGTAATCTGCATGCTTACAATTTGGTTAACAAGGACAATGAATCATTTTAAGTTTGCCAGCAGATTACACTCATTTTTTTAATAAGAAACAGGTTATAAGAAACGGTAGGCTCAATTTCTCGATCTGTTTACAGATCCCAACAGAGTAAGTCATTCTAGGAAAACAAAATTAGTTTATCTCTGAATGTGAGTTAACTTTTTACTTTACCTTGGAAACACATTTAAAAAATTCATTACCTAAGAAATTTGAAAGACACGTAAGAAACTTTTGATAGCTAAATGGCCAGAAAATTTAAGTAACTGCCTACCAGCGCCGGACCTTAGTTTCTTATAAAAAAAAGACGTGTACTGTTATTTTGGCTTGGTTCAAATAGTTAGGAACAAAGACCAAATTACAGTGCTATGGTGGGAATAGGTCGTGTAGATAATAGCACATTTCAAGACCTTCCATGATTTCCCTTCAGTTTATTCCTTACCAATTCAAAAATTAAAAATGTTTGTGACGTTATTGCTTTAAAGCTATATGATACTGAGACATATGTCATTTTCTTTCTTGGCGTATAAAGATGCATGTGAACCAATAACGACTTTCCAGCTACAGAATGCAAATGTAATTATCATACCTTTTTCTATTGCTTCGTAAGTTGCATAAAAATTCCTAAAGTTGCCATTTGATGGTCGAAATTTGATATACACATCGTTGCTTAATGACTGAAACGTCCGTGGTCCCCAGCCGCAAAAAACTGCCTTTTCAGTTTTATAAGAAGGCCTTGGATTATTTTCGTAAAGAACCACAGAAGCCTCGCGACAATTATTTGGCAAGCCAAGGACTTCAAAATTAATCTTGACGCTTTTGTTTTTGGGTACGTTGATTCGATAAATGCAGTTTAAACCATCAGGATACTTGTTATTGGAAGGAGATGTAAAGCTGCCCGTCGCAGATGTGAATGTTTGAAAGCAGGCTAAAGTAATAAGGAATTGTTGATTATTAACTTTAATTTTCATATTATGCTAATGCTGATAATAGTAACTCAGGGCCCACGCCAAGAAGTTCAATGTGGGGGGGGGCCAAGGCTAAGTGAAGTGGGGGGTTAAGGCTCCTTTTGTTTTACATTGCAGCTTTGAAATCATTTGCTGCGCAAAAATGTGGGATGGCCAGGGCCACCCCGGCCCCTACGGTGGCGTGGGCCCTGTAATTATGAAAAAATGTTTTCGAACAAAATCCTGATTGAAATAATGATGGCGGTGATGATGATAATGGTAAAAACTAAAATAAGCGAGAATTTGAAGCTAGAATAAACACAGCGAATATAAACATCAGGCTGATCTGTTTTCAAGATACCATAAAAGCTCTATTAAGCCCCCATCTCTTTTAAGCCTCCCCTTTACCAAGCAAAAGTTTAAAATAAGCCTCCTTTCTATTAAGCTCCTTCTTTAGCCCCTGATGTCAAACAAAGAAAACACATGCATAGGGCGGGTCACTTAAAAGGTGTGATGATGATAAGATTGTGTGCTTTGAATACAGCCCATGTGAATGTTTACTTGTGTGCCTTAGAAGTCAGTCGAAATTTGTTAAGAAAATGTCCCAGGGGATACAAATTGATTCTAGTGACTCTTAGAACGATAAGCCCCCTCTCTTTTAAGCCCCCTCTCCTTTAAGCCCCTTTTTAGGACTGAAACAATAAAACTAATAGAGTGCTATATTTCCCTTATCAATATTCACTTACATCTGTGTACTTGACTGTATCTTGCTATGAATCCTCTACCAGTGACTGACCCATCGGTTTTAAAAACAACCAATACACGGCTGCTTTTTGATATCCAATTTTCTGCGTAATTTCCGCACAGAGTTTTTCCTAGAGTCTTATTGTCGTAGACTTTAATCGAATCGTATCCACAGTATTTTCCATATTCGATATCCATTTGTTGCCAGTTCAAACGTACTACGTGTGAAAGTGGAGTGTCAATATGAAAATAGCAATTGATGTTGCTTGGATAGTTGTTAGTAGGGGAACTGAAACGACTGTATCCTGGTGAACTGAAGTAAGGAGACCCAAGACTCAGAGTGTAATTGCAAACTATAAAAGAAGAGAAGGCATACATCAATTAATTTCCCGTTTCAATTACACTCATTTTATAGCTGCAATACAATCATTTTTAAAAAGTTCTCTCTATTCCATTATATAGTTGCCACATTTTTATAATCGTGTTATTATTCGTAGGTGTATGTTACTCAAATTAATTTGACCAAACCCTTTAACCCTCCCTTTCGTAACAGCATTACTTGAGGTAGAAAAAAGTGAAAAAGGAGCAATGATGTTTGAAAGATTCTAATATTCATGTTTCCCACTACAATGTACAGAATTAAGTCTGTCTCTAACTCAAGATTTCCGTACAAATCGCTTCTGCACTAATTAAAGGCTGTTTCTAGAAACTCTGTTGTATGAGAAGTGAAAGGACTCACCAATAGTTTTCCACAAAGGCAAAGGACTCACCAATCGTTTTGTACATAGGGAAGGGACCCAATCACCGTTTTGCACAAGGGCAAAGCACTCACCAATCGTTTGGCGGAAAGAAAAATGACTCATCAATTGTTTTGCGCAAGAGGAATAACTTGGCAATCGTTTTGCACAAAGGGAAACGACTCGCCAATCGTTTTGCACATAGGCAAAATAACCTCCAATCATTTGCACAAATGGAAATAACTCATCCATCGTTTTGAACAAAGAGAAGGAACCCATCCAACGTTTTGCACGGAGGCAAAGGACTTGCTGATCGATTTACACAAAGGCAAAGGACTGATCAATCGTTTTAAACATATGGAAAGAACTCATCCATCATTTTGAACAAAGGCAAAGGACTGATCAATCGTTTTGCAGAAAGGGAAGGAACCCATCCATCGTTTTGCACGGAGGCAAAGGACTGACCCACCATTTTGAACAAAGGCAAAGGACTGATCAATCGTTTTAAACATTTGGAAAGAACTCATCCATCGTTTTGAACAAAGGGAAGGGACCCATCCAACGTTTTGCACGGAGGCAAAGGACTCGCTGATCGATTTGCACAAAGGCAAAGAACTGATCAATTGTTTTGAACAAAGGGAAGGGACCCATCCAACGTTTTGAACAAAGGGAAGGGATCCATCCAACGTTTTGCACGGAGGCAAAGGACTCGCTGATCGATTTGCACAAAGGCAAAGAACTGATCAATCGTTTTAAACATATGGAAAGAACTCATCCATCGTTTTGAACAAAGGGAAGGGACCCATCCAACGTTTTGAACAAAGGGAAGGGACCCATCAATCGTTTTGCAGAAAGGGAAGGGAACCATCCATCGTTTTGCACGGAGGCAAAGGACTCACCCATCATTTTGCACAAAGGCAAAGGACTGATCAATCGTTTTAAACATATGGAAAGAGCTCATCCATCGTTTTGAGCAAAGGGAAGGTACCCATCCATCGTTTTGCACGGAGGCAAAGGACTCACCCATCATTTTGCACAAAAGCAAAGGACTGATCAATCGTTTTAAACATATGGAAAGAACTCATCCATCGTTTTGAACAAAGGGAAGGGACCCATCCAATGTTTTGCACGGAGGCAAAGGACTCGCTGATCGATTTTCACAAAGGGAAAGGACTGATGATCAACTGTCTAACATTGTTGTATCAACTTTTACTTTTGATTTGGAACGGGCTACAGGCTTACAGTTTATTGATTCTAATACATCAGATGCACGTACAATGCCAACAAAAAGTAATAGAATACTGTTCAATTTGCGTTGTGTTTTGATACTTGTAAAGTCATCCTGAAAACATCTACTTCTGCATCCCCTCCCCTCCCTCCTCCCTTTGAAAATGTTGAGATTTAGACAAATATCATACAATCCACGAGAAGAAACGTACTTCTTAATCTCCTACGTCATTTTGTAGTTAACCAATATTTCTCATGAGGAAAGGTGGATGGCTGAATTTGCCTTTGAAAACTGACATTAGTGTACCAAGACTTTTGGCAGACATTGTATATCAGCATTTACTGCCCAAATATCTGTTTTTCTGTTTTAGTTGTTTCTTTGGGGGCTGGATTCGGCAGGACGGCCCGATGCAGCTTTAGTAAGGATGATGGCTACAATCTTATAACTAGTGCAAGCCAGTGTTGCTGTAGATGGGGGCTCAAGGGGGCTCAACCCCCTTTGTCAAAATTCAGGGAGATTTTTGGGGTTAAGCAACCTCCAAAACAGGTGAGTTCATACTTCGTTGGACAAATTCTGTGTTGGCAACCCTTTAATTTACTATAGATTTCTTATGAATGAGCAATTTCTGATCAGTCTTTTTGTGTTATTGACTAGTTTGAACGATTCCTTGACACGAGTCTTTAACAGAAATGGAAGTATTTTGGGTGTGGTAAAGGTTTAGTTATGGGTGTGGTATCTTGAATTTGTCTACAGCACAACCCCCCTTCCTAACTTTCTAGGACGGCGCCCCTGGTGTAAGCAGAATTCAAAGCTTGTCTCTATATCAGCTACATAAGGGCTACATCTTCAGCAAAAAGACGGTGCTGCCTAAGAATATAATTAGCAAAAAGGCAACTTTAGCAAAACTGTATACTGTACACACCTTTGAAAAATACTACATCCACGTATTTCATGTGGACAGTGACGTAAGAAAAATTTGAAAAAGAAGAGTTACAATCAGTTCAGGGCCACGTGAATACTTTCAGTCAAGGAATTATTTGACCATGCCAATTTCTCACATTAGAATAGTTAAAAACATCAATCTATTTTCAAAATTACGAAAAGCAGCAGTTATAATGATGCATCATAAAAAAGATTCCTTTTTTTTCCAATCGAGGAAATATATCTTCTCGGTTTAGCTACGTTTTCTACGCCCCTGCAAGCAAAATATTTTTGCCAACAAGTTATATGTTATCAAGAAAATTGCAGATAGGGCGCTTACCTTTTTCAGTAGCTGTAAAAGTTGCCTGAAACCCACTGTATCCTTTAACATTATCAGATCCTATTTGCAAGTCAATAACCACGCTGTTGCCATAGGATTGGAATATCCTTGATCCATTGCCACAAAGTTTTGCTTTAAGGGTCCCATCTTCATATATCTTTACTGACCCATAATATTTGCAAGCAACGGACTGTGGCAATGAGAAGACAATAAAATTGACTCTGATTCCTTTGTTTATTGGTACAGTAAGGCGATATCGACATGTTTGGTTAACTGGATACTTTGGATATCCAGGTGACGTGAAATTGCCAGAATGCGACAGAAAACTGTGGTGACACCCTATAAGTACGAAAGTAGACAAATAAAGATCTATTCCTGACAGGAGAATAAATTATTTCAGATTATATAAGGCTGGGAACAGAGTAGGCCCTCAAGAGGCAACAACGAGTTGGTAATTTTCAGCTGCACATGCACTTCCTGGTATGCAAAGAGGGAGCACAAGATTGCTCTGTCGAAAGCTCCTTTGCATTGGTAAGGAGAGGCAATGACGCTGGAGCACGGGGCACAGGGGGCGGATGCCCCTTTGCCCTTGCAAACTTAAGCAATTTTCTTTATTATTCTTTTGTCTTGTCCTTTTTCTTGACGCTAGGCCCCCTGTCATGAAGGTATCCTGGCTTCTCGGAGAAGAGGTGCTAAAATCTGGTTTTTTCCTCCGCAGTTCCTAGTGATAAGAGGACCAAAGAATTCTCTCGAGCAGCAAAAATCAGTATCAGATCTCCAGAAACGTTCGAGCCATCATAGACACCTATATCATAAATCGATGACGACAAAGCGCTAGGCTTACGTTGTAGCTTCAAATGTTTTTTAGGGCTCTCCAAATGTACCTGCACATTTAAAGTAAACAAACAACAATGATGCTTCTTCGTTTCCAAGAAAATGGCCTAAAGTCAATAAATGCAAATCCTTAAACATGATATACATACCAAAAGGAGACTTTGAAGGCTGAAGTGTGTTTCCTCTGCCGCCTCGAAAAGAGCACAAAAGTAAATGTAATTGATTTGAAAAAGAGATGCGTGGAAACAATTCTTAAACAACCCCGACACCCAGCTCGCTGAGTCTAATGAGGTACTAGCAACAATTACATAAAAATCGCTGTCCCCCCCCCCCCCCCCCAACAGTAAACAGTTATAATCGGTTCTATACTCGGCAGATTCGGAATTATTAGTGCTTACTCGGCAAATTTGGTGGCGGCATAAATTGAAAAATAACTGACAGTTGAAGGTATATTTTGCTATTTTCGTTTTAATTTCTATTTGAGCATTTTCGCTTTTCGGCACGCTAATATTTCAACTATTAAGGGCTTCAGCCAAAAGAACTTCCAAAAAGGAATGAAGAACACCCACTGTTTTAGGTTTGATATTAAAAACCCAGACAATAGAAACCTTTGTACCCCCTTTGTCCATGTTCTTCAAGTTCCTGTTCTTGGTTGTGCTTCTGGTGCCCCTTGTGCCCTTTTACAGTGAGCTGTAGGGCCCTCGCGAAAATTGTCTCCAATAACAATTGCAAAAAGTAGATAATGGCTAGCCACCCCAGTTCTACACCTCTGCATGTACCATTCCCCTTTCAATACAAACTACCAGCAAAAAGTCTAATAACCTTGCTTGTCCTTCTTCGATGACAGGCGCCAGATAACAATGCCAAGCACAAGACCGACAGTTGCAATGAGAAGCACAGTTACAACAGCCAATCGCTTTGATCGTGTCGAATGTTTAAGGTGAAGGATCGTCGTTGAAGCGGTATCTGCTGCTCTGCTAATATCAAGCATCTCACCTTTGTCTTCTGTACTTTCTTGTTGGCTGAAATTATTTCCCCTTTTTAGTGTCAGTTCCATTGTTTTTACAGCGTTACTTCTTAAAATCGAAGCTGCCATGAGTCTTTCGTTGTTTTTTTCCGCTTTGCAAAATGTAGACTGGTGATATACCTGTTCTAAGTCAAACAATGGTTCCAGGATTTCTCAATACACTACGCAATCTAAGCCAAACACATGCCCTAACGTCATTGTTAGACGAAACAGGAACTTCCCCGTTGAGACTGTGCCCAGTGGCGTAGTAGAACTTCATGTCACATATGATAAAGATATAGATGGGGCCTATTATAGGTTTGCGGATTTGCGGTCTGTACCCTATTTTAACGCGCGGCCTCCGGATTTTGTTATGATTTTTTTTACGGATTGCGGCTTCAGCAAAAGATGCGTCTTGCGTTGCGTCTTTCGGTGTAAATTCACAACGGTTTACGGCTTCTATGATATTCTCTCTTCTTGCGAGAGAGGCTTTGTTCCTTGTTGGCTCGAAATTACCGTTTCGTCGTGCAGTTAGGTTCAATGGTCGATTTATTCAGTAGAGCTAAATTGTAAGTTGTAGTTCTGTTTTCGAACTTTGACCCATTCATCACTAAATGTTTAGCGTCTTCAAATGTTTCACGGTATGTGAAAAATACTTGGGTACAGACAAATACAAAGATTGACACAATAGCTTGCTGTGAAACAAAGCTCGAAACTTGAGAAACAGCAACTTCTAGCAATGTATCCTTTTTTCTTATTAGTGAGTAATTGGCTTTTTGTGTCTCTGGCCGTTTTGCAACGCGGCCGCGTCTTTGCGCTTTTTTCATTGCGGATTGCGGCTTTTGGCTGATTATTGCACGGTTTGGCGGCTTTTGGACCCCCTATAATAGGCCCCCTATAGAGGCCGAAATGACCCTTGATATAACGAAGACAAGATATACGCATCTTCCTATATTTTAATGATAGAACGAATCAAAACATTAATAGTATTTATAATAAGTACAAATGATAGTGAACTAATTAACAAATATTATAATAGTCATTCATGGTGCCAGGGGGGGGCTTGGGCCCTTCTTCTTGCTAACATCGATGTGCACTCTAAACCAAAGGTCACCGTTTCTTTCTTTCCCCGACGCATTGATCCTCCCTTCCCAAATTTTTTCTAAAATTCAATAATCAATGCTTTTCTGAGAATCGTCGAATTGTCTATTCTGAGCGGTATAGTAATTTGTTAAATGTTAGTCTGGGAGATGTATTTTTAACCATTCTATAAGGCTTGATTTCAAAAACTTTCTTTTGCATCAGACCCAACCATGATGGGTCATCCTATTTCACTAAACTTGATTCTTAGCCCCCTTCCTCCCCTGGTTCGATTTCGTGGCACCGTCTCTGAATAGATAACAATCAATATTCGAACAGTTAATAGATAGTATACTTCAATGGGGCTAATTATTATTGCTCAAGCAGTTTTCGAGTTTAAGGAATGCATGATTGTTTTTTGCTAGGACTATGGCTAGTCCAATGTCTTCTTGACACTTCATCCAGATAAACTTGTCTTTTAAAGTCAGATTTGATAAATTTGGGTATCTTTCGTAAGCAAATGAGCAAATCTTACTTTAGCATACATAAAACAGGTAAGGGACTCTGGAGAAGGGGGCGAGGGATGAACCGCCCTTGTTACCTTTTGATAAGAGGGTCAAGGGGGGCTAACATGCACTTTTCATAGAAGTGCCCTTGATATCGGTCATTTGTTATTATGAAAATTCTGAATATTGCCCTTTTGAAATTGCAGGGGAGATTCTTGTGAAATTCTGACTTTAGAGCCTCATTCATAACAAATTTCTCGAAACTTGGATAAAAATTATCATCTCAAAGTAAGCCAATTTTCAAGATACCTAAAGAAGATCGAGGTAAAATGACAGTTAATAAAGAAAAAGTAGATTTTCAAGTGCCCCTTCAACTTAAGCCTGCCCTTCTTTCTCCTTGGTCGTTCTGGCGTCCCTGATAATGAGAAGAGCAACGATAATTGAACTACATTCACTTGTCGCCAAATTCAACGAAAAAGTTGTTCAAATCACTCTGGGACCTGTTTAAGTATATCTATGAAAATACAAAACTATCTGCCTCAAATTTAAAAGCATAGCAAATTGAAAATTTACGTGCTTTTTCGTCAATTCACGTGTTTCAAAATGTTTCTTGAAGAGAAAGAGCAGGATCTTTTTTTTACGATCGCATTTCAATGGTAAATACGACTCAAACAAATAAAAGTACAAATTTTGCTCAGAAATTTACAATTGATGGTAAAATCCATGCTTTCTCGTGGTTTTGCTAATTAGTATATCCAAAAGAGTGCACGAGGAAAGGCCGTATGGCAGCTGAAAAATAATTTCAGTAAATATCACTCGTAATTTCAAGCCAAAACATTGTTTGCAAAGAAAACTTTTCCATTTATTATTTCAATAATTGTTATTTCAACATGCTTAGCATTTGAGAGTATGTCTTGTGCTCCAGATCCTCAACCTGATGGAAGAGCTCTACTTCAAAATTGTGGACCTAGGAAACATAAATGTATCCACATTTGGAATTATTTGCCGAGGTGCAATTCACTCTTGCGATTGCTTACGAGATTTCCACCAAAGCAACTGGTTTTCTTAGGACATTTAGATAAAACGATAGGATTTCTCCGTAATATGTCTGAGATATCCGCGGAGTGATTTGCCTTTGTAAAGAATTAAAATTAAGAATTAAATATCAGTTGGAGAGATAAAATCCGAAATTATGATGTCTTAGACAGAATAGGAGATAAAAGGTGCCTATTGAGAGAAAAAAATAGATATCCGGAAAAAAAATGGCTCGCACAGACGATCAGACATGAGAATTTGCTAAAAGTTGCCAGAAAAGGAAGAATGAAAGGAAAACTTGTCCAGTTGAGATGAAACCTGCCTTAAAGGCAGATCACTCAGAGAAGAAGAATTAAATACTTTTTTCTTTAACATTAAAGAGAAATCTATGGTAATATTTTGGCGTTTTCATATAATACTTTCTAATGTAATGCCTGATAAAATGCTAAGATCCTTTCTGGTTAGAAACATGTATGTGAACAAAAACCTTTTTGCGAAAAACTTTTTTCTTACGCTTTTTGTACCTACACGTCATTTATAAGAAAGTTTTCTTTCAGCCCAGCCTTCAGACTTTCTTAGCTATTTCCTAATTTCAGCACTAAAACCTTTTCAACACTTGTTTAACGTAAAATCGCAAATTGTTTTCATTGATGAGCATGCGCAGTGATGTAGAAGATGAAATGCTATAGATATGCCATATTCCTCATAAAAAACCTTCAACGTCATAGCATCAACTTCAACTATCGAAGAAAACCCAGCCAACAGGGCTAAATTGGTCATTCAAAGAAAACCCAACAAACTGAAATAACTATGAAATTTTTAACCATAGGCAAATAATTTTGACACCGTCAATTTCGCTAACATCGGAATATAATAATCAATATAATTATCGGAACCATCCTCGAATGCCAGCCGAAGTTTTGCCATTCTGACATTAATGCCACGCCTGTACACCATCCATGCTCCCAAAAGACACGGGAATTTCCTGACCAGGTCTCGAGTTTCGGTGAGATATTTTTTATGGTCAATTACTGTTTTCTTCTTCGTCCTTAATCTCTGCTAAATATCTGTACAGACACTTTTCACACCTTAAAATTATCTGGTTGACACATAATTGTCACAAAAACGAAGTATATTACTGTTGCACGGCAATTTCCTTTGAAATATTGAATATCTAAATTGTTCAACTTTCTTAGGTTTCAAAGACCAACCCTGAACTTTATTTGATGAACCGACCATAACCTTCGTATCAAACACATTCTTATATAAAACGTGTATTTTCCCTGTTCGCCAGCGTGTAAAAACATTTACGCTGGTATTTATGACGTCAATTCCGGAGCCCAGGCTTCTTTACTCCAAAATTTCGAATATTTTGATGTGGCACAGGTACATCAAACATGGCGGAAGTTATCACAAATCTACACGTTTTGGTGAGTGAAAGCTTTATCGAGATTTTTTAAAAGATGTTTTTACTAAGAGTATAATGGTATGATAGTTTTCATTATAAGCTTTTTCATTTCATTTTTATGTGCCCGTGTCCTTAATTTGAGACCACTGAGAAGGGAATAATGATGGCCTAGCATGTTTATAGTCAAGATCGTAATTAACTGTTTTTTCTCTTGTATAGGTCAATCAGTAAGAGATATTTACATAAAAAGTTGTCAAACGGTTGCTGAACATCAAAAGTTTCATTCGGAGGGACATAATGGCTGTATGTTGTTTTTTTCGTTTTTAATGTCACAAGTTGTTACTGACATTCCTTTGAACCATGAAGATTAATGATCGATGTGAGAGCGTCATAATATGATTACGAGTTGTCGTTGATGCATAAGACATTTATTTCTCTGCTTAGAATTTTCGAAACTGTCAGTGACTTGGTTCATGAATAAGAATGATTGAACTAGCTAAGAAAAGAAACTAAAATATAATGATAATTGTGCGAAGATTTTTTAGTATTTATTTACTAGGGTTTTCCTACAGATTGCTCTAAACATGCATTCATTTAATCGGCTCCTGTTGTCATTATAAATAGAATAGCTGATAAAAATTGAAGTTTATTGTTTATATTATGATCTGTATTAAGTTTAATAAAATGTATGTAAGTTTGCCTAGCCTTACTTTGAAACCTCTGTTGTCAAAAAATTTTTCAAAGTCTTGTTGCATTGCTGGTTATACATCATAAGCCTGTGTGTTAGGTTGAACCTATAGATCAAGCTTGGCTACATAATTTTATCATTTCAATTAAAAAAGTAATCTCAATTAAAAATAATTTCAATTAAAATTATTTTTTTGAAAGGAATCTATCACACCAACAAAAATGGCTGGAAAGTTAGATACTCTTCCCAAGGAAGAATTGATAAAATATGTCAAAAAACAAGCAAACCAGATGAAAGATCTCAAAAGGAAAAATGAAGGTATTTGACTCGAACTCCATAAACTTTTCTTAAAACATTAAATAATTGCATTAAAAGCAAATGTTATCTTTTTCTGTTATCATTTATTTTTTGGGCACAGAAGTGATCATTTACTTTGTGTATTGAATAATGTGGAATCTTCCATCAAAATCATTTTAAAGCAACCTTTGTGCATTTGAGAGTATAAAGCATATTTTTGTTTAACAGGCCTGGTACGATTCTCTTTTGTTTGCTTTGTGAAATGCAAAAAAATTGCTCAAAATCTATTAAAATTAAAGAATGAAATGATCTAATCAGGTCTTGTTATATTCTAAACCACTCAAATGTAAAATGACTTAGTGATTTTTCTGCTGCAAATTTCAGTTTATAAGTAAGGAAAAATTATAAATGACTGGTGATTGCCTGTAAATCAGTTTACCATAAATGCTGGACCAAAACTATTCAATTTAGTTCCGGTTACAGTCACATATGTGTAAATGCTGCAAATTTTCAAGCAAATATTGATGTGACTGAGTCTACTGTAGAATTATTCCACAATCAGAATTGTTATAATTGAAACTATTATTTTTTCATAAGACTTGACTATAACAGTGAAGCACCAAAAAGAACAGATGGAAAAGTTAGAACAAGAACAAAAAGCTTGGATTTCCAGGGGAGTGTCAGCTGAATTTGAGAAGAAGGAAGAGCTGGAAAAGAAAGAAAGGGAATTGCAAATAGCAGCCCAACTTGGCCAACAAATGTTGCAAGAAAATGACAAACTTAGAAACAGATGTATTGAGTTGGAAGAAGAAAACAAATTGATGAGAGAGGTATATTGATAGAAACATGCCTGTTAAATATGAAATATATCAATAATAACATATACATATATATATTAACAAAGAATGACCCATAATGAAATTAAATTTTGGGTTGTTACTAGGAGTTTTATGAAATGTGTGTTTATTAAGTGTTGTCTCGTGATCTCTAAGTGTTTGAAGCTCAGGTTATGGCATCAAATAAGATTTATTCCAAGCTTCATCCAGTTACCATAATCTTGCTGTTTCTTCATGACATCAAGTACTGCTTTACCAAGGACAACATCACATCAACACTGAAATATGACTCATGCATCTACTATAATTCATAATATTCATAGTTGTCTCAATGACTTTATTTCCCTATTTTTTTCGTAACTGAATCAATAAATTGTGTGAACACATTAAGTTTAGGACCACAAAATTTAGCAAAACAAACCTGAAGTTATATTTTTCTTGTTTGTTTAACCTGGTACAAGTTTTAGTTACTTTTAAACCAACTCAATCTAAAAAAATGTGTTTTACAGGAAATGAGTATTGAAATTGCTCGGTTAGATGGAGAGAAAGAGACAGTAGATCAAACATTGGTAATGGTGCAGTCTGAGTACAAGCAAGCTAAAATGGAAGCTCAGGTAAGAAATACAGAAGTAAATTAAGTTTTAAGCTCAGTTTAAGCTCAGTTTTAATCTTTTTTGCATACATTGACTAAAGTTCACTATTACTAAACAGGCACAAAAATTAAAGGGATGTTTGTACATTTGCTTTAATTGAATCAAATATTATTGAATCATGTTAGTCAAGTGCCCTATATCCTCACTAGTGCATTTGATGGGAAGCTTCTTTTCAGGGTATGGTCATTTATAACACAGCATTTCTGCAGGGCGATCATTTGAATTTGTAGAGCCACATATACATTCTTTACCAATAGTTATGCAAGTAGAACTGGCTTTTAAGGGATTAAGAATGAATTTAATAGAATCAATTATACTGATGACCTCATATGAAGGCATAAATATTAGAAAAAAATAAAGTTTTTGCATGAAAAATAAAAGCCATATATGGGTATTTGTAATTTGAGGTGAGTTGTTTCAACATTTGTCAGACTGTTCCATTCTGTGTTTTGATGTTTGGAAATAGTTTCAGCATGGGTAACTGTAAACCTTTAGTTCATAGGCAAATTTCAAATTTTCAAAGATTATTGAGACAGTTTTACTTTCTTTTATTTACTATTTTCTGTTGTTTTATCAGATTGCCTTAACAAAAATCATTGTTTTTATTTGTGTATTCAATGCTAATTTGTGTATTTGTGTTATTTGTGTATAAGCACAAAAATTGCTACACCTGCACATTGTTAAGGAGCTGTAACAGTGCCCATTGTTGAAAATCTATTGATTATCTATTTTGAATACAGTTTCTAGTATTTCAAATAATAATATACTTATTTCATAGCAACTGAAAGATGCCTTAGAATTGGCAGCTGCAGATCATGATAAGGAACATGAAAGATGGGAGGAAGAAACCCAAAAACTGAAGGAAGCTATAATGGTAAATTGGGATTGATGGTGTCTTGATGCTGCTTCTTTCAATAAATATGTTTTTACATTTTTTCGAAAAACCGGATTGGGTTTTTTCAAAGATATTTTAACTGGGTAATAGGAAACCCCTGTGAATCTAGCAGCAGCAATTTATAACTTTGATTAATTTTGAGCTTTTGGATCAGTAAATGGTGTAATTCTTGTCACTGACAGTCAAAAGAAAACCTCTAAATTGAATGTTTGCTTGGGCTCATAACTCCTCTCAACCTTGACACAGCTGATAGAAAGCAGACTTAACACAGGCAACAAGCTTTGCATTGCCCAACAATGTAGTAAAACGTCTTGTCATTGCTCAAATTCTCTCAAATGTTTGGTATTGAGTAAGAAGAAGAAAAAAAGAATCAAATAGTTTTGGAAAGGGAAGATGGGTTGTCAGATCTTATAAGAGAGGCAAACAATGGCACAATTGCTGTTTGCATGTTTTACAAAGATTTATAATGTGAAGATGCTGCTTTGCTGGATAATTGAAAGCAATCTTCTCTGTATCTGAGTTCTAGAAGTATTTGTAGAGCATAGTTGGTACATTCAAGTTTTTGAATGCACAAAAATTCGAGATACATATATATATGTATTTAACAGGTCATGGTGAAATGACTCATTTGGCAGCGTTAAAGTTGTAGCTTCTAACCTCTGTTATCATTTTTCTAACTATTTTTTAATCATTATTTTTGCTATGAGAAGGAAATGATATCGTTTTCATTTATTATGAAATTTGGATTCTATTGATGAGCTCAGAGTAACTTTTGTAATTAAGTCAGTTTATTTCATCCTAAAGGAGCTGCAAAAAGGTACTTTTAGTGGAACATCAGCTGAGACCAGCCACAGCAATTCAGAACTGAACGAAATTAATAAGGTAAGAATTGTTTCAATGTGACAATTAAATGTTGCTTGAAGAATTAATTATTGTTTGTGAGCCAATATCAGTGAATCAGGCCGATGTTTGCAATATGTCATTTTGTAAAAAGCTTGAATTTATGCACAGACAATACCAAGGGCTTTATGGAAATGATTGTTTTCAAAACAAAGTCAGTTTTTAATTTCTGTTCACGAGACCCTATATCTGTATGAATACATGGATAAATTTTGTTCGTGTAGTGCACTCAAAATTTATTGGAAACAAATATTGAAATATTAGAAATTACATTCAACAAATTTTATTTGAAAAGTATTAAAGCATTTCCATCTTCCACCAAAGGCCTTGCAGACAAAGATTGATGAGCTGCAAGAGCAGCTTGACTCATTTGCAAAGCAGGAATGTGCCGCTGGGGAAACCATTGCCGAAAATCAGGTAATTGTTGGAGAAGTATACATCTGAAAAGTCCTGGATAGCTATAAATGATCAACAGGCATGTGGATGTTTTACATGAATCCCAACTATAGCAGTTATATATTGGGTGGCTGTATTAATCATCCTATTCAAGAAAAAACATGCCTAAGGATTCTCTTTAGTGTTTAAAGCTTCAGCTAACGAAATGCTGTGTACTGTGGTAAAATATACCATACTTAAACCATGCAAACTCAGATGTTACTGCTACAAAATTTCCACCTGAAGTCTAGAAAATATTTTTCAAAATTTCAAAGTAAACAAGACAAACATCTAATGGAGACCTATACAGATTTTACCAACCAAAATAAGAATTTTCAAACTCTTCATCTAACACCATTTTTGAGATAAAATCAGAGTGCCAACAGAATAGAACATGAAATGTAGTGTTAATTTGAAGAGTTTTAAAATCTCAGTTATCTTCTTTATCTCAATGTACTCTCTCCATGTTTGCTTGACTTACCTGTGCCATAATATAACTAGTTTGTTTTATTTTGTACCGTTGTACTTGATTTATGATGTTCTTCACATTTTGTAGGTTTTGGTCAACATTCCTATTATCTCAGATGTGATGTCATGATTTAATTTTGGCAATTATTGTTTTACTCAGGAACTTAGGACAAAATTGGAGGCAGACAGTGTGGAAATGAAGGCACAGAATGAGTCACTTAATTTTTTAAGAAAGAAATGTGATGAACTTGGTGCCAAAAATGAGGTAAGTTTTAAGAAGTGATTTTGAGGAACAAATTACTATATTTATTGCATTTCATTTTACCATATAGCTTATTATTATTGATTATCTCTTATATTGTTTATTGTATCTCATTTTGTCATATTATATCCAGTTATTTATTTAAGTTTTGTATTAAATTGTATCGCATTTCATTGCATTGTTTTGTATTGTATTGTTTTTTTGTTTTCGTGGTATGACGTAGTACTTTCCTTTTAAAGGAACTTCATCAATATGTGAATATGCTCAGTACAGAAAGAAACGAAAGCAACACATATTCAAAGGTAACTCTTGCCTACTGCATCATCCAATATAAGTTGGTATCCAGTAACATGAATAGTTCTGTTTAAATCATGATATCTAACCTTAAGGTTTTCACAGTTATATTGTAATATGTCAAGTATTTGTGCGTTGAAATAAATCCTTATTGATCTCTTTCCTTATCTTGATATTTGACCTATTCCTTTTCAGCAACTTGATGAGGAAATAAAAAAGCTGAAGGAAGAGAAAGACAAGATGGCACGGTCAGTAAAAACGGCCAAAGGGAAGCTGGAGAAGGCTGCCACTCATGAAGAGGTAGGAGCCACGAATCGTAAATTCTCTTATTTATAACTAGGCTTATTGGTATGATCATTAATGGTTATATGCAGAAATCACCTAAATCCAAATATATCTTAATATCTTAATGGACTAAGTCTGGCTGTATACATTTCAGATCAAGGTTTTTTTATGAGCCAGTATAGATGATTGATTATCTTTTACTGCTAATTCGAGATCTTCTAGAACGTCTACTCTAATGATAAATGATGATAATGAAGAATAATGAAGCATTCGTTTACTCTGTTAACATGGTCTTAGTTTCAGACTTCCCTCTTTCAGTTATAAGTTTTTCGATCTCTTTCAGAACGTTTATGCATTTCGTAGTGATAGATGAAGAAGGAGACTAGAAAATGCATTCAACGGCCATAGAATATTGATTTCAAAAGTATGAGATAAGAACCAGGTTCTATTCCCACACCAATAGGGGACATAAAGAAGTACCTACATCTTTATCATTTTGAAGGCCTTATATTAATATATTGTTTTCGTATCATGCTTCCAAGTTCTCTGACCTATCGCACTGCAAGAACTAAATCCTCATTGATAAAGAAGTTGATCTTGTTAAAATGAATGACAGGGGATAATCAATGCAAATTTATGCGTATTTCTACCCATAATAGGAGCTAAAAGCCCAATTGAATTCCTTTCTGACTGAGAAAAGTGAGCTTCAGTTGATGGTGAAGAACTTGCAGCGTGAAAAGAAAACAATAATGCAGTCGAATAAAGTGAGTGCTTTTTTATTCAAAAAGGAATATTACATCTACTAGTGGATCTAGGTTATTTTAGGGCTGCCGTTTGACTTTATTTCCAGCTAATGATATACAAGAATTTACTGACGTTAACATTTTATGAAGCCAATCGCTACGTATATTTTTGTCAGAAAAATCAGTTCCTTATTTTTCATTTTTACTGTCCATTAAAAGATAGAATTATTCTCTACAAAATGTTTTCATGCACTAAATTATGTCTTTTAGTCAATAATATTGAATGTTTGCCAAATTATACTTTTTTGGACTTGGTCAATGAAGATGCCCTTTAAATCATTTCAGCCAAATTTAACTTTCTCGGATAATTGAAATGTACCTGATTATTCCAAATTGTCTTATTTTTTTGTCGTTTCTAGTTCTGTATAGCTTTCGCATCCCCTAGCTTTATTTGAAATGCCTATACACATTTCTTCTTGTTAGCTTGCTCTTTATTGAATCAAGAATTTATCGTTTAGATCAATTTTGGTGCTTAATATTGATAATTGATGGGTGGCCTTAGTGTTCATCTCCTCCCGAACACTAATCGATCTCCGCCATTTTTTTTTGGCTTTTTCAATACCTAATCATCAATCACTCATCGTCAATCACTCATCGTCGATCACTCATCGGCAATCACTCATCGTCAATCATTCATCGTCAATCACTCATCATCAATCTCTCATCAATATCACTTTACGCTAATCATTAATCACTTACCAATATCTATATTACAATCCCCTAACTCACTACATTCAAATTTTAGCTAATCTTGGTACATTGCCAAACACTTGCAAACTTAAGTTGTAGTCTTGCATTCCTCGCAGAAATTTTTATGCTTCAATCAATTACTTTATTTTACTTTAAAATTATATAATTGTAATATGTGACGATTGTAATGTGTGCGAGACAAGCTAAATGATTCATAAATGATGACATATTGAATGAATAATGAATTAAAATTAATATCAACCTTAAATTCTACTAATGATTTTATGATGCATATGCTTTAAAAATATAAAAATGGGTTGATTTTTAGAAACTGAAAGAGAAGATGAAAATGAATTCTGGTAGGCGGCCGTCATTGGAAGAAATGAATGGAGACCAGGTCCGTGATTGGGCACTGTTCTTCGTAGCCATAACAACTTAGCCTCTTTTTCTTTACATTCAACACAGGGCTTTTTTAACTAGATCTGTGAACACATCGAAATGATAGGGTCCCCTTGCAAACAGTAAAATGCAATTTAAATGCATCTTGATGCAGTCTATTATTCCATTTCGCAATGCAACGCCATATTGGTCATCATCACTCTCTTACACTACAACGAATCTCAATTTTATGCAACATCACATACACACAGAGCTTTTAAAACAGTATGACATACATAGCACTTCAGTGGAAATCCTTACCACAATGTATACATTCAACAACATTTACACACATTGCATATGAATGCGACGAAACACAAATCGCCACATTATTATGCAACCGATATTCTTTCATGTAGTGAATACACTGTTGAACTCAATGTGAATTACAACGCTTGCATGGGCAGTGACGCACAAAGACTCGTTCACCTCAGTTTGAAGAGCATTTCTATAGATTGAAATTCAACTCACCTGGGGATCGTACCGATCTGTGTCATCCATCTTACTGATACAAAACACACCATACAGCACGACACGACACATTTGTACCTGGTGCAGCTATGCACAAGTGTACGTTATATATTACAAGCAATGCAATTTTGTTCTTTTGAAGTGAATATATTTCACCTCAATACAATAGAATACAGTACAAGACAATACAATACAATTCACTTTGTCGTTATTTGAAATGAATTCTGTTTTAATGTTTGTTGCATTTTGGTGTAGTAAGGTTTGCTGTTTTGTATTGTTAGTGATTGTTAGTGCGCTTTACATGTTGTATTTATCAATGTGGTTTATCTACACTCTAACAACTTTTTTTCTCTCATTAAGATCAGTTTACGCGAGTCAGACTTTTAGACCAATGCTTGACAAATTTTCTAATTTGAACTTGCTGTTTACCTTCATTTTTGTCACATTTTTAAATAATTTTTTACCAGAATTTGCAAGTAGAGAACGAAGAATTGAGAAAAGAAATAAATTCTTTGAAAATGAAACTTGAGATTGAAGAAGGAGAAATTGGCAGTTTAGAAAACGTGGTCAAGGTAAGATGCAAGTGCTAGGTCGAGTCCTTTCTAATTGACTGGAAGAGGTGAATAAAACTCCAGGTAGTTACTTCGTCATTGTCGAATTTTTTTGTTCATTTGTTCCCAAAGTATTTATTTAGAACCAAATTGATTACCAAAGGTATTTTAGACACGTACATCAGACACGTACGTACATTATTTTGAGTGAGTTAATTTTCCCTGTTGTACTTTGATTATTTGAGTATGTTAATTTTCCCTGTTCCCTGTTGCATTTTGTGATACTTTGATAAAAATAAATCGTTTTAAAATAAATATTTTAATGATTGAATATTTAAATGAAAAATAATATTTCTTCTAATATCATAAACTTTAAAATTATTTATATCATCTAATGTGCAACTTAAATTTGTTATTACAAATGTTGAATTTCTGTGGTCCTTCAATTGGCGAATATATAAACAAGCAAATTAATTGATAATTTTCTGTAACATTTTCATAAAGAAACTATTTTCTGTAAATTCAAAATGATTTTCCAAAAGGATTTGACGAAACAAAAAGTTGACATGATCAAAGAGTTTGAAATCATTAAGGAACGGCTGATTGATACAGAAAAAGATCTGACGAAAAGAGAATTAGAAAATGAGGTAATTATTCTGTTAAAATTTAAATTCATCTACATAATATCTTAGAATTAATAGTCAGCTGGACATAAAATTTAATAAATTGAATAATACTATACTCTAAACGCATTTAATGAATACAATGGAATATAAGTTAAAACGATTTTGGAGTTATTTTCTCCCTCTATTTCGTAAATTGGACGTCTGGATTATTTAAAGGTAGCTAATTTTGGTTAAATTAAAATTTGTTTAATTTTCGGAATAAAAAGTTAAACTCTTTGGCTCTTATATCATAATATTTAAATTTAACTCATTTTTTAAACTAGATCTTAATATTAATTTCATTTTACTTTTAAAAACAGCTTATTTTGATATTACTGTATTTTCATTCGTTAAGGAGATGGGAAATGTAAAGTCAAAGCTAAAAGCCGTTCGAAGCTAAAAATCATAACAATTTCAGGGAGAAAACACCTTTTTGTAGATTGTAATAGCAAAACGTCAAACGAGTTGATGAACTTCCTCGCTAGCACTTCATTGTTTGCTAGCAGCAAGTATTTTTCTTCTTGTGAGAGTACCGTTCGGGTTATGATGCTTCAAAGTGATCGACAGATACTAAAGGATCTTAAACCTTCTTTCAGTCAAAAATTGACCAATCAGTGAGGGTGACTCCGCTCACACGCTTATCGATTGACTAATAATGATTGACTGCTGGCATAACCACTTTGGTATCTTTCGATTGCCTTGGTGAATGGCAAGGGGCTGATTAGGTGGTACTTGTATACAACATGTTGGACGTGGCTTAAAACTCATCTCTCTGAAGACGTTGGCATTTTGGACACTACTGTAGATAAGGATGCATCTTGCAACTTTTAGAGTTGATGTGTGAAAAGCTTACATCGAAAGAACGCGTATACAACTTTTTATCTTTTTCACCCTCCAGGATGATAAAGCGTCGTCTTTGAAGCTTCAATCAAGAGTTGACGAACTTCTTTCTACTCTGCAGTCTCTAAACGAGGAAAAAATGGTATTTACTTTTTTTCCTTCTTCTATTTTTGTAGTGATATCATTTGGCATGAAACCGAATGAAGTAGGCAAAAATATTTTGCATTCGTTATTGAAAAAAATTTCTATGGAGTAAACGTAGATTTGAGCATATCACATACAATATACATCTTACATTTCTTTGGCTAAAAATTCTTTTCATATGAATAAATCAAGAGCAACCAAAAGAAACTTTTCCATAGTACCAAATTTTGACGTCATCAAATATCTGAAAGATCAGCGTAAAGTACCGCTTGTGCAAAAAGCGCAAAATCAGTAAATATTTGCAATAGGGTGAGATATTGCCAATGGAAGATTTCAAGTTTGCTTAGGGGTCACTGTGTATTCTTGCCTGGCTCATACAGTTATTATCCAATGCCAAATTTCAGAGGTTTGATGGGGCAAGAGTGATCGCGTGGCCATATCTCAGTCAATTTTTAACGCATTCAACCGATTTTGAACATTCTCAGAGATATTCCATCAGAGACCGAATTCGCCCAGATATCTAAATTATGAGTCGTGATTTTTTAGGTTTCGAGGATTTTTTTGTCACGAAAACATAAACTTATTCTCATCAAAAGACGAAATCGCGCTGATTTGCGGTCCCTTATAATAACCCTGATATGAAGCAGCAAAGATTTTATATGCCGGACAAAATGTTGGATCAGAACTGCTGTCCGATGAAGGGAGGTGTTTACTGCAATATACAGGGAATTTAGGGACAAATTAATTTGTTTGTTATTCGGAGGTGTCAGATGTTCGGTGTTTGGAAATGTCTGTTAATGGAAGTTTTCCCCTAACTTTAATATGGTTACTTGTTAAATTTTGTGTCAAACTTGTTGATCAGCATTTTGTTTTGTTGTCTCCTCATTAACAACAATCTGTTATTGCCTTAGCATCAGGAAAGTGAAATTGAGGAACTGTTTAAAACTCACGACGAACTTCAGGTCAAATATGACAATGAATGCCGAAGTAAAATGGTATGTTTTCGTTTTTTTAATTTGAATAGGCGAATCCAGACCAGGAATGCATAAGGTTAACAGTAAAAGATTTGATTCATTTTATTAAGTAGCACATTTTAACTTATTTTACAAGTTTATGGTCTACCTAACAGCTGTCTTTTCGTTTAGCCAGTCCTACAAAAGTTCATATTAGTAAGCTAACCTCGCTTAAAGTCTTCTTCGTTACGTCCATGATCGTCCATGAACCATGTTTTTGTGTCTGTTTTTACATGATATGCAGAGGATTGACTTTGACAAACACTGTTTAAGTCTAAAATCGCTTTTGTTCTTATATTGTACGTTTCTCTCATCTTTTTCATTCCGCTCTTTAATTGTAAGAGGAATTTCAAGTCGAGTTTCGAATCGAATCAAATGAAATCTAGGTAACCTACGTTGAGTCAAAGAAAAGATAAATTGAATTTGTTTGAAATATTTGCTGGCAACTGAAAGTGATCAAAAGTGCCTTTAAGACTCACGATGCAGTAAACCTGTCTTTAGAATGATTCAAACATTGCCTAAATTGAAGACATATTGCGTGCCCCAACCTGTCCATCGTTAACAAAGTCACATATAGAAATTCAGAGTTGGCTGAACGGCAGTATGGAAAAATATGGTTTTCCTAGTTTCCAGTTACAAAATTTTCGTGATATAATAAAATATGAAGAATTGATGTATGAAGAATGAAGAATAATATTTGTCTTGTTTTTTCATTACCTTTTCATGAATGATTTCCAATCAACTTTAAGGAAAGCGAGCAGAAAGTCAAGAACCTTGAAGAACAGTTAGAAAAGCAAGAGAAATCTCTTGAGGTTTTGAATGAAGAGGTAGGAATTTTTATAACCTTAGCTTTCTTGTTGCAGTCATCTTTTATTCATTTTTTTTACATTTACTTTTCAATGGAAATTTGTAGTATCAATGGGAAAAGTAGCACAACAAAAGTCTGCCCTATACATTTCCATTTTTATCCATGCTCTTTAGATAGACCTTCCATGGCTTTAAGAGGTTCTTATAGTGTTTATTGGATGGGTTCCTTGCAATATATTTTGGCTTGTTATCTTATCATAAAGAGGGTCTTCTTATATCACATAAAAAAAGTAGGCTTTCTATTCTTGGCCTTAACTTACGCTTTAACGAAAGGTAAAAACTTTTGAACATCTATCTATGTTTATCATATAACTTTGGAATAAAGATTTTATATGTTCAGTTCTATTAATTCTATCATCGTTGTAGATTATTTTTATTCCAAGATCTCTGTTTTCAGATTAGATGAACTAAGGATATTGTGAACTACGTAGCTTGAAATTCAGATTTATAAAAATCACACCCATCTGTATTTTAATTTACGAGCATATTATTCCTTCTTATTTGACTCTTTTGACTTCAATGAAGAAAGATTTAATTTTATCTTTCAGCTGTCACTGTTAAAGTCAGGTGGAGAGTTAAAAATTACTAGAGATGTAGAGGTCAACACTCAACAGGACTGCGCGGAAGTTTGTGAAACGTCTACTTTGAAAGCTGAGATAGCAGAAAAGTGTCAAATTATAATCGAATTGAATTCAAAAATACAGGAGATGGAGGACGAATTGGAAACTGAAAGGCAGGAAATAAAGATTTTGCAATCAAACTTTAGAGAAAAAGTTTCGTCTGTAGAAGAATTCGAAGAGAATGAAAAGCAAATTGCTAATATTAATGAAGAGAGTAAACAAGAAATGGAATTTCTTAGAGCTGAGCTGGAAGATTTGCGAAGGACCCTCTGTGAAAAGCAAAGCTTCGAGGAAGGTAATTCGGGCGTTCATTCTCTCCAGGAAGAAATCGACAGATTGAGGCTTACTTTGAATGAAAAAGAGGCAGCTATTAAATGTGTTGAAAAGGATAAATGTGAAATATTGGAAGAGTTGAGAGAATTAAAGGGTAGTTATGACTGTCTAACAGCAAAGAAAGAAGAACGCGATCATGATGCTGAAAGACTTGAAGAAGAAAAGAGAGAATTACTTGAGGAGATTGAAAAATTAAGTGAAAATGTCAAGGAAAAGGATGCTGCAATAGGCAATCTCGAGAGTGAGTTGGATGCGGTAAAAGCTAAAGAGTCTAATTTAGTAGATGAAGTAGCCAAATGGAAGGGACTGGCGGAAAAGGATGATCAGCGAAATTCAAATGAGCCCGATAAGTACAAAAAAGGTTATAAGAAGATCAAAGAAAAGTTCAACGAAGTTGGAGCGTTAAATGAGAAACTCAAGCAAGAAATTCAGGCAAAGAATGTTGAGTTAGAAGAGCTGAAAAAAGGCGTGACAGACCGAATGTCGACTTCGCAGAATTTAAATGGAGGCATGTCTGAAGAGACTGAAAATAGCAAGTATTCTGAAATCTTAAATGAAAAGATTCTATTGATAACCCAGTTGAAAGATGAGCTGAAGATGTATAAAGAGGCTAGTGGGTGTGAAGGTGCTTTAACCGAGAAAAACGAAGTGCCTGAGAAGGATGGGTCAATTGAGGGTTTAAACGCCGAGACAATGAAACAAGCAAAAAAGACCGAAGATGCTAGTCAGCTAAGCGCAGAATGTGGAGCATACGAGCAAAAGTGTTCGGGTCTGGAAGCAAAAGTAGAGCAACTCACACGGGAAAATGAAGAGGTAGAAAAAATACTGGAGAAAGTAAGAAAAGAATTAGGTAACCGTGATATGTTGTTGAGAGAATCTAAACTGGAAGGGGAGGAGTTGAGAAAGAAGGCTGACGAATTAATTAAAGTTGAAGAGCACGTAGAGAACCTGTCGAGATCGATAGATGAAGAACGAAGAAAATTCAGTCATTTAGAAGAGGAGAAACGTAAAATTGAAATTGAAAACAATGATAATTCTTTAATAATCAAAGAACTAAAAGAAAATATAAAGGAGAAAGAAAATAATATCGTAGATTTAAAAAATCGAGTCCAAGTACTTGAAGATTTAGATAAAGAAAATGATAAAAATAAGGAAAATGAATTTCTGAAAGTAAAGAAGACGATAGAGGATCTTCAAAGAAGATTGGAAGGGACTTTAAATGAAATTGAGATGCAAAAGACGGAGCTTCAAGAAAAGCAGACAAAAATTATTGACCTAGAAAACAGACTGCTAAATTTAGAGGAGCATTGCAGCTCACAACAAGTAGAATTTGATGCAGAAAAAACCCGACTAAAGCAGTGTGTGAAAGATAACGAGCTACTGCTGTCAGAAAAAGAGGAATTATCTATTAGATTATCAGAAAGAATCTCTTCACTTGAAGAAAAGGAGATTGAAATGGAGAAATATCTGAGGAATGAAACAGAGAAATTTGAATATGAATTGAAAGTATCAAAAGAAGAGGGCGATCAAGTTATAGAGTTAAAAAATGAACTTGAAATTGTTAAGTCTGCATTTGATGAGCAAGATAGAAAGATTAAAGACTATGAAGCACTTATAAAAGAAAAAGATGAGAGTTTAAGCATTGCTAAAGAGGAGCTTGCCAGTGCGAGTATTGTGTCCGAAAAAGAATCTATGGCTAATAACAGTGAAAAGGAAAAGATGGTTGCCCTTGATGAGGAGATAAGAAAGGCGCGTGAAAAAATTGGTAAGTAATCTTGGATAAAGCAATTGATAGAAAACGTTGCATGTCAGCATTTTGTGCAATTACAATTTGTCTCACACGCTACCAAAAAATGGACTGGTCATTTAATAAACATTTAAAAAAGGACATTTTTCACTTTGGGTGCACATAACTAGTCTCCCTTTCAAGGATGTGTGCAACGTCCTTTTTTTCTAATCAAGATATGAATATGTAGAAACATTTATGCCATTCCAATCTATATTGGACGTGCTTTTGTGTTAGAGGCGAAAGATCAATAATGTTTGGTCTTATCGACCCTTTGCTACAGTATTAAACAATCTTGCACAAGAGGTTCTTTACTTTCTATCTCCTCTGTATGTGCTATTCTTTTCATACTTAGGGATGGTTTTTGAAATGTTTCTTGTTCTGTTTTGCTCCCTATTCAGATTTTTACAAAGCCAGCTGCTCTGTTTCGCTATTCTAACTTTCATCAGTTCAACCTAGATCCCCCCCCCCCCGGGCTCCCCAAATATACCTTGGCAGTTTCGATTTTGCAAACGAATTTTTGGCTCAATTTCGAATTTGCTTAGAACTTTTTTGAAATGTTAGTTGAAAATGTTTGTAAATATTAAAAAATTCTTCTTTTATAAATATGTTAAAATTTGAAATTAATTGTTTTTAATAATTGTTTGATTGTTTCAGTCTCATTGGAAACCAGTAACAAACAAATGACAGACAAGGTGTCAAAATTCAAATCAGTGGCGATAAAGGCTAAAAAGGAAATCGATTCTGTGAAGGAAAAGGTAAATTGATATTCTCAAGTAGGACTTCGTGTTAGTAGGCCTTTAGTGAAGAGGCATTCGTTGAAGACAAGATAAATAATATCATAATCCCTTAAAATTTTTCTCTCCCGTGTTTGTTTTTCTGTTATCGGCATTTAATATTATCTTAATGGACTCATTGCCTTCCAATAAATTTGAGATTTATATTTAAACACTTCTGCGATTTAGACATCTAATGAAAAGCAGCAGTTGGAAGACACAATTTTGGCTCTGAAAAAGGTAAGAACGATAATTATCGCCTTTATGAGAATACTGTTGTTCATCTCCTCGCAGCATATGTAATATCTTTTCCGATTTGTCATTATCTCTGAGTTAGGATTTTTCCGATGTTTCAAGAACGGCTTGGCACTAACTCTTTGTCTTTGATTTTTTTATTCACCCCCATACTAAGGCGACTTTAAGCTGCACTCAGGCGAGTTTAAGGAATGTCCCTATCGTTAACTGTTTTTTTGCCGTAGTTATCCCTTGATTCTGTAATTGAAAACTTTGCCAAAAGCCAAAACGACATTTACTTCGGCATGTACAGTATAGTCCGGTTATAACGTACTTTAAGGGACCGGCGGATTAAGTAAGTTATATCCGAAATACGTTGTAAACAGGGTAAGGAAAAAGTGATTATAACCAAGTTGTAAACAATGTAACTAGAATTAAAAACTTTCAACTAAATTGTTATAGGCCCAGTTAGAAGTAGTCTGAAAAGCATTTCTGAATATCCAAATTTTGTTGACTGCAAAAACAATACGCTATATCCGAAAGTACGTTATAAACGAGTACGTTATAAGCGGGTTACTTTCTTAATGTTAAGTGCGGACCTTTTTCCGGGACCAAGTACAACAGTACGTTATAACCGGAAGTACGCTATAACCGAGTACGTGATGACGAGGTTATACTGTATGACTGTATTTCTAGCAGATCTGAGATATTTCAACTAATTCTACCACCTAGATGTATTTATTAGTTTTTCTAGTTGTATTGGGTTTAGCAAAAATACCTTCAGGCTGTATATCAAACTTTGATTCGCCTTTAGGATATCCAGTGTCACAAAGATGAGTTTGAAAATCAAAGCAGTGATCTTGCAAGCTTGAAGCAAAAATATGAGGTTTGTTATAGATGAATATTGTCAATTAGATTAAATCTTTTGGTATCGCTATGTCTTGATTCGTTGAAAGGAAGGCTGTATCTAAAGAAGGTCCCCAGTCAAAGCATTGCACTGCCTCTTCCACTGTTAATGTTGCACTGTCTTTTCAAGCATTTTGGTTTTAAGCATTCAGTTTTTCAACAGACGATGTCAATAAAAGCTATTAAAGTCAAAATGGCCTATGGAATTTTGGAAACCTTTGAAGTGAATTTTGATATCATACCAGACTTCATTATATGTATTTTGAATATTATTATCATCGATTATTGTCATCTGTTGCTGATATTTCAATTTCTGCACTTAGGAAGTCATGAAAGAATTGAATGAAATGACAGAAAATGCAGATAAAGAAAGCAACAGGTACTTTCTGTTATATTGCTAGGATTACAAATGTAAAGCCACTGTATTGTTGGAATGTTCAGAAAAAACTCTTTACACAAACACTGTTATATATTAATTGTTGCTAATACATTGACTGGCAATTGAATAGGGGCTGCTTAATCGTTCCATCCCCAATAGCAAGTCAAGTCACCATAGGGTTTTACCTTGAAATGATATTGCTTGTTAATTATTGAAAAAGAACGCGTAGATATAAGAGACAAGCATTGTGTATCGAGACCCAAACAACTGCGCTGGCCAATATATCTGTTTGGAGCTTTAGTGTACTTTCAACAGAGGAAGAACGAATCATGTCCTGATCTCTCCCATCACATTCGTCTAAGCTTTTTGCATTTTGGTTTTCTACCTACTTTGACCTAGGTTATTCTAGATCTTGTATTTTTTTCAGATGTTTCGAGTATGCAGAGCAGATTAAGACTTTATCAGCTGAAGTCGATGTAAGAGAAGTAGTACTTGAAAGATCCTTCTTCGAAATATTTTTTAGTGGAACCAAATTTAAAAATGGCTTTGAAAAAAGCAATTTTTTCGACATACTGAAGTTTTTCGTCTGACACTCTTCAAAGTGTAAAATGTGAGAGGAATGATTGAATATGCTAAGAATTCATCAAATTTTCAGATTTTAACGAATTTGAATCTAATTTTGAAAAGAATTTTGGAAAAAATTCAGTTTGGACATCGTATATTTTTTAGAAACTGCAAGTTTCAATTGCCTCACTTGAAAATCAGAAGGCCAGCCTCGAAGTGATCCTGAAAGAAAAGGAAGAGTCTTCTATTGCACTTGCATCACAACTGAACGAGGTAGGGCCTCGTTGTCATATTGATTTGCCAGATGTAACCGGCTTTTGACTATGCCGGTGATAAGTAACTTTAACAAATACTATGATGTATATTATACATTATTTTAGTTAATCTCTATGTTGTAAGCTTTACAACCTTTAAGTTTTATTTTTCTAAGAGTGGCTCACTTACATTGATGACAGCTACCCAATTCTAAATGGCTCGTGATTTTCTTTCGTTGTCATGTTAGAAGATCTTAAACTAAGTTGGCCTAATAGTTGCTTTGCAAAATAGTAAATGAGCAAGTCGCCATTCCATTACTGCAAAATTTCGACTCTGTTTAAGAGACCTTAATAGTGCTCTTGACATCAAATGTACGTAGCAGATAGGTTTCAACTAAGTTTTTGCAGCAATTACTCAGATCTATTTTTGCTTTTTTAATATTTCTTGTAGACATATTTCTCTGTTCCTAAATGTTAAAAAACAGTACACATAATATCCTATTTCAATAGGTAAAAGGCGAGAAAAGCAGGACGGATCAGCTTTTGATGCAAGAAAAGGAAAGTCATGAAGCAATCAAAACCTCGTTAGCTAAAACCCTGGAAGTGTTTGAAATCGCGAAGAAAGTGAGTCGAGTTATTATTCAAATCTGTCCCAGTATGCAAAGTAGATAACACGGTTGTGTCTCGTCACATAGGGCAAAACCGTACAAGCTCGACCCTCGCAACAAACAACGATCTGAGTACAAGAGGTACCAGGAAGGCATCTGTATCTTGAATCAAAAGACGAAATTTTTAGTTTGGTTATGTGTTTAGCACTTGTTGTTGTTATAAACCCGAAGTTGCCTTAATTGCAAGGTTTTAGGGATGTTTGTCTTGCAGGCTTTGTCCATTTTTATCTATTATTCATTTTGTAAACAAGAAAGTAATTGCAGACAGCATGCTTGCATTAAAATTGTTATGTTTTTGTGTAGAATGTTCATCAAATGAAGATGATTAGTTTAGAAATGGAAGACTACCAGAGAACAGTAGAATCAATGCAAGCCAAACTGGCTGATCGCGAGAATGAATGTGAAATGTCAAACAAGCAGATCAAAGAACTGCAAATACAGATCGAAGATCTAAACAAACAGATAGGTTTGTTGACTTTCTTTTGAGCTTTAACCCATAGTAAATAATTTCAGTTTCTGACGTAAATTTTCCACGTTAAGTCAAATTAATATGATAACCTATTACATGCAGTTTGTTGCTAAATACTGACTTTTTGTACCAGACATCAGTGGCGACGCCACTTCCTGCAGAGTGGGAGGGAAATGGGCAAGACCCATGAAATCATACCCGTTTTGTCCCATTCGCTGCTTTATGCCAGATGTATTTTCCCAAGGCAAATCATGAAAAATATGACCTACCATTGCCTAATACATTTTTGTAAATTTTTAGAATGATTATGTGGATCAGGATCTGGGGCGAAAGACTGAGTTTCATTAGTTTATCATAAATTATATTTTCATGTTGTTGATCTTGCTTTTTATTTTTTTTATACAGCGTCTTTAGAAGATACAAACAACAATATCAGCCAACAGATAACGAATCTTACATCACAACTACTTCAAAGAGAGGACGAATTAGCAAAACTATTGATCGAGGTTGGTTGGATAATGAAGTTTTGAAAAAAGTATTGAAATTAACGTAAAATCTACCGAATATATAGGTAGATAAAGCAAATTGAAGAGCTAGTGTATCTGTCTGTTAACATTATGTTACAAGTTGATGGTTGAGTTCTTTCAGTAAAGTTAGGTATAGATTTTCAAATGTCAAATTTTTAAACAAAAGTTAGAAAGATTAAAGTAAAAACCAAAACTTTGTTTGCAATATGAAAAAAGAGATCCGATCGATACATTAATTTCGATTTCTCCTGGTTCAATTGAAACTTTAAGTGTTAACGTTTTTCTGAATTTAAACTATTACTTTATGCTTTGCTTTTTGCAGAAACAAGAATTAGAAAGTAAAGAGAATGGGTTGAAGCAAAATATCGAGGATGTATCGAGAAAATGTGAAGAAGGGATGGTAATGTCAGTTTTTAATTTTGAAATAAACAAACTAGATTTTCCCTAAATTCATATGGTGGTTTGTTACCAAAATCAGCCGTGTTTGGCCTTACGTTTCTCGTAACTCTTGATAAATGCTAATAATCTGGTTTTTTCTTAGAAGAAACCATTGCACTGTTTTCTTAGAAGAAAGCTTTTGTACTACTTCCCTGTAAATGATATCTGTGTACTGTCCTCTTGAAGCATTTTCGTTTTATAGGTGTTTCAGAAAAGTATTTGTTTTGTTCAACTATGTTTTTTATACTTTCAGCGATCTCAAGAAAAATTAACTGACATCTGATGTATTCATTTATTATTGTTTTCTTGCACAGATGTTATTATTTTTTTAGATTCAAATATCGGAATTGACAGCAGAGAGAGAAAAGGCTTTGCTGCAGGTGATCTTCGTTTACATGTATAATCGATGCAGAAAATTACAGTTTAAACCTATTTATCGATATCAAGTTGGCATCAAATATCGTTTAGATTCCTAGGCTCCTTTAGACCCTTTGAATGGGAATCACATACTAGCCTGAAAATGCTCTTGACGTCTAAATTCTGTATACCAATATGGTAGCCATTAGTTGAATTTTAACCTGGATCCTGTACATTGAAAATCTAACTTGTGTTTATATTGTACTATGTGTCGATTTTTGTTCTAACAGCTGAAGAAAGAGAAGGATGCTCACCAGAAAGACGTACAATCTGCTGAACTGAAATTTTCTAGAGCGAGTACAGAATTAAGCTTACTGCAAGAAGCGTACAATAACTGCAAACAAGAATTCGAAAGCTACAAAATACGAGCACAGAATGTTTTGAAGCAACAGAAAATGAAGAATACCGATAATGGTGAATCCCATTCGGCTCAAGACAGATCGAGGCTCGAGGATACTTTAAATCAGTTAAAAGAGAGGCTGGTAGAAGCGAACACAAAACTAACGTCGACAACATTCGAAAATGAGGAGTTGGAAGCTGAACACGAGAAACTACAAAGAAATTACGACAAACTTGTTGAAGTTACAAACTCAAAAGAGCATGAATGGAGAAACAGGTTATCTTACTTGCAGTCATTTAAATCTCGTGATTCTGTGCTTTGGCAACTTTGTTTTTTTCTGCAAAATTCCCTTTAAAAACCGTCAAATCTGTTTGCCTTTATCTTTATAAGATTTTTGAAATCTTTTTCTGATTTTGAAATTAACGGTAAGCAATTTCAATTTGTGAAATATCTTTTCAGATTAAACTCAGATTTTTCTGCTCATACCTGAAATGAAATACAGTTACTTGATAGAAAATTGTTTTCTTTACTAACGTCAGTTTTTCTGTAACCAGGTTTGCCGAACTTCAAAAAGGATCAACAAAGCAACTTGCTGAAAATGAGGATAAAATTGCAAGCTTATCCCAAGAAAACGATTCTTTGAAAACGAAGCTCAAAGTGAGTCCAGTTTGTCATCAAAGTTGGTTTTTAAAGATATGTGTTGTTTTATGTTTTATGTATACATGTGTTGTCAAAGATTGGCAGTGGTCACTACAAACATTTTTATCGACATTAATCGATCGATCTTGACTTCAATTAAAGTAAATCAAGCGTTTGCTGCTACAGAACTTGAAGATTTGAAGTTTGCAGGGCTGAGCTGTTTAAAATTAACGCTTCTTTCCTGTAACTGATTTCAAATTAAATTTTGAAATAAAGCATAAGAATATGTTACAATTTTATCTGCAATTCATTTATTGGAAGTGCTTTAATTATACCATCGTGTTTACTCTATAAAAAAGAAATGCGAAAATAAGGAAATTTAATCTAACTTTATTCTTACAGGGTAACGAAGAGTATGAAGCAATGGCTCAAGATTACGAGAAGACAATAAAGGAATTGCAAGATCAAATACGAAAGATGCAAAAGAGTCCAAAACGAGTGAGCAGCAAAGACAAAAAGACACATGTCTCAGATGGAAGTGTGAAAGAGCATAAAGGAACACCGGAAAAATTAAAGCTGTCCTTTGAAAATACCACTGAAGGGTCAAACGGGCTTGTGGAGCGGCCTGGGGCCGAGGTATGTAAACAATAGGCCTATATGTGGGTTTTCGACAGCTTTGCTAGAATGGTGATGGCCAATGTAGCTTATTTTGGCAAAAAGTGATTCTTGGCAAAAATTGTGCCCATGTTTGAATAGTGTTAACCTAAATCGGGATGACTTGGGGTAAAGGCTTTGCGTTTGAACTATCTCTATGTTTTGACGCTCTTCTTTCAAATAAAATGTTTCTGTTTACAGGGAATGGATTCAAGTGAACTAGAAGCCATTGACAAGGTAGGCTTTTTTTCTCCACTCTTTTTGCAATCACCATTTTGCCATGGCAGCAAGGTCAAAAAGTCTTTCTAAATAAATTGGGCCAAAAGTGACAGTATGATATCTTTTCATAATTATTCTTAACCATGATATTTTATGTTAAATGCATGGCTCACTCCTTCAGGCTCACCACTTCTTTGTAGGGTCCTTGATTTTGGAACTTTTAAAATCCTTTCTCTCTGTTCTTATTTTTAATGTTTTTATTTTATTAAGTTCTAAACACAATACATTGATCGCTTCAATGTAGATACCTATAATCAACCTCTTGGCCTGCATGGTAAATGCTATTTGCTTTTGCAGTCATCATTGCCCGCCACACCAGTTTCAACAGAGGCCGTAAACATTCTAGAAAGGATTTTATCGCCGACGGAGCAGCAGACCCAAATACTATGGCCAACGTGTAAGAAAATTTAATAATTTACTGTTGCAAGGCTAGAAATATTCATTCGGCCTTTCCTCTTTCGATTTGATCGCCGACTTTTTCCCTAAAAATATTATTGTTTTTTTCCGCAGCTCCAACAGCCGCTAAGGAGGAGGGCCTGAAACTACGCTCCACGCTAGCAACAGCGGAAAAGAATGTTGAGCATCTTTCAGTTGTATGTTTGTTTTTAGGTTTTTCCACCAGTTATATAAGATTTTTGTTGATTAAATTTTCTTAGGTTGAAGACATAGTAATAAAAATTTGTCTATATCAAAATAAAATGTATGTTACGATTTCTCTCATTTTCCTGTTTGATTTGTTGGACTTCTGTTTTTTCAAATGTCGCCCTGTTTCATTGTTTATTGTTTGTATTGAATAAGTTGAAAGATGCCAAACCATCCGTTACTTGTTACGAATCCCACCTTCTAGAATGTGGCTTTACTTCCTTTCTTTCAAAGCGTTTAATGAACTTTTCTTCATAGTTACTGGCCGAGACTGAGGGGAGCAATGTTCGGTTATCTGAGCAAATAAAAGTATTAAAGACGGAAATTAGACGGTAATAACTTTCATAGTAAATAACTTCCTGAGTTCAATATTTGTTACCCGCAATATGCTTGCTCTTTATAATTCCAGACTACTAATAATTTCCGCATAATTACTCATCAAAGTGACCAGTTAATAATGATTTTCCGTTTAGTGTCATGAATACCATACTAACGAAAGACTTCAGACATTCTAATCAATTAGAATTGTTTCTTTTACCATCACTTAATGCCAATCGCAGAGAGAAAACAGGATAAGATAAGTGAGTTGGAAGCAGGGGAATAGTTTTTCGGGGGTTAGCCTTTAATCGATGTTAATCAGTCAATACCAAAGCTGAATCATTAGTCCCATTTTTTCTAGGCTGCAGATATTTGACTAACATGCTTTTCTGTTAATCAAATGCTAAGTTATCGCGATCCAGGGAACTAATCTGCTTCCATCCCTAAACCTTAGCAATCTATAAACATCATGTATACATTTGCTCTAAGCTTATCCTCTTCTCGCTTTCCTCCGCCCAGCCCCTTTGTTTGCCCCTCAGCATGTTTTATCTTTTTACTTTTTAAGTCCTTTCTAGAACCCATTTAGCACGCTTTATTCTTCCACAGCATGCAAAAAAATCAGGAACGAGAAGAAGCACTGAGCAATCTCGAGTACCTTAAAAATGTCATCATCAAAGTGAGTTGCCACTTACACGGTGCCTTAATTCTTAAGTTGTATTCTCAAATCTTTTACCCTTTATCCTTTACCGATGATTTTAGATAGAAAATTTCTTCGACTGCTAACGCATCAAAGACCTATTAGCGTTATTATGGTTTCATTTTGCAACATTCTATTCATGTAGCTTTAATCATCAGAGAAACTACTCAGGTATCCCAATATATTCTGTTCCATAAGCTGTATTAGAGTAAGTACTGGAGTTTTCTTATTGGAGACAGTGCGAGATTATGACTGAAGAACTGTAACTGTAATGTTAATGTATAGACTCAACAAAGACAAATTAAGAAATTTTAATTTTGCACAATGCTTCATTCCTCATTAACGTGATCACTATATGTCCCCAAAGTTCTCCATCTTGACAGTTTTCTGCTCCTGGTGATGTTTAAGGAGGATTCCAAAATCCTCATTCCTTTTAGCAATTTGCTCCATATTCTATAGTTCATGAAATGTGGTGCAACTGAGAGAGAGTGTATGGTCCCAGTCTTAACTACGATGCTCAAACTGAACCAAGAAGAGAAGCAGTTTATTACCGAATTTGCCAAAGGTACCCGATTTTTAAGAATACCTAAACGCAATTCATTACGACCATGGTTTTTAGTTCCCCTTTAATTTGTACTTATCCCGTCTACTTTTGACTGATGATCTCGTACAACTGATTTCATTTTGAAAACAATTATTGGCATATTTATAATTCATGAGATCGAGAGATCGAGAAGATGAGTTTCTGGCGATCGAGAGGTGTACAAAGTATAACATTGGCGAAAGATTTGCTTTGCAAAATATCTGTACCAAAAATGTGAAGTTAGGTGATGTCACGCACCTTTCTCCCTGTGCCCCTTCACTTCTTTTGGGGGCCCTACTTTGCTCTTTTTTGCTCTTTGTTTTCCCATTTATCTAAAGTTCCCAAATTTCAAACCAAACAATTTAACCGACGAAGAGCAATAAACAATGAATATTAACTCTATTTGTTTCAGGTGAAGCTGATCAGGGGGAAGATCCTTCCGGCTGGTCCAGTTATGTTTACAGGTGGACATCGTTCTCATAAAAAGCCATTCAATGCCTTTTGCGATAATAGAATAAGAATATTCTAGTAAAGGTCTATGGAACTTGTGAAACATTTCATTTTTCTTAGTTCGTTTCTTTTTTCCATAGATCATGCTTTTTACACAACCCTATTTTTAATACTCATCACTGACACAATGCATAATATTAGATTTTTAGACAAGATAGATGATTTTTGAAACATCCACTTTTACTGACTGAAAAGGGTCTTAGAAATATTTTTAGATAATCGATTCATTTTTACATCCTTTCCTTTTCTTTACAATTAGAATGCAATTATTAGTGTAGCTGATAACATTTCAGATTCAAGTGAATAACAATTCTCCCTTTAATTCAATTAAGAGTTCAATTTTTCTTTTATTTTGACTGTCCCAATTGTTGCCTCCGTTGTCATTTAGCTGTCCAGGCCCAGGGCGTGGAGTTTTTGCCATCTAGGTGTGCTTAGTTGGCAAATTTCCAAACTTGTCGGCAAATAAGGAGTGGCTCACCAATAAACTTTTTCGGCAAATTTTTTTTTCGGCAAATGGGACTTGGAAACCCCTCTTGAGCACAATAGCTAGCGACGAGCCTAGAACTGACCTCGAACAGAATTAAACCCACCCCCAAAAACACTTTAAAGGTTGGGTTTTTGTACATCTCCCTTTGGCTTAATCGACAACATTTTTTCTTTATTTATTTCGAATCTATTTATTTTACTTTGTGATCGCTTCCATATTGATAGATTAATAATTTCGTTCACAATTCCGCAGCAACCTGTTGCTTTGTATGTTAGATAAATAGTAATTGAAATATTTCATTTTTGAAATATTTATAATAATAAATAAGCCGAAATTGAATGAAAGAGTGCAGTTGTAAGATATTTTCCCTATCGGATAGTAAATTGTCATTATTAATTGTTGACGTAAATTACTGGTGACGAGAAAGTAATCAGAGGTGAATTTTTGTCTTCAGCAAGGACTCTGTGTTCAAGGGGCACTTTTTAAGCCAGTTGTGTAGTTTGATAGATTTTATATGCTTATACTTATATTTGAATAGTGGCAATTGAACAAGGAAAGGGGGCAAATGCTCCTTGAAATAACCAACCGCTTATTTCACGCCAAGATCAGCAACAGAATATACTATAAAGAAGCATGAAATATGCATCCAAATGTTTGTGCATTGCTTTTATGTTCTTTATGCTCTTTCCCCAACCCCTCCCTCCCCCAAATACCTTTTGATAATTTGCAAACAATCCAATGATTTTGCCGACCATCGCTTGCAAATTTGGGGAGGAGGTTGTGGCACTCCTATATCCCCATTATCTAGCAAAAGTTTGATTCAAGAAAAATTCAGTTTGAAAATTTTCTACCACGAAAAAAAGTGAAAATTTTCTAATCATTTGAGAATGTTGGGAATTTAAAGCCGGTTGTAGCCTAAACATAACGTTAAAAAAAATTCATCAATAACAAGTAAATATTCTGGAAAATTTGTACATCCTTTCGCTCAGGATTGTCAACATTGAGAGCTTTTGTAAAGCATCGACAGTTTTTTGATATGCCTAATCTAGATTACCTTCATTATTGCCAATGTCTTCAAAGTTGGCTACAAAAATAGCTAATGGCTGATTTATGCCAACAAATTAAATACAGTTTGCATTCGTTGTTGCACCTTTCGCTAACTGCACTTTGCATTTGTTGTTATGTTCACCTTTGACAACTGTAAATGATTTTCATTTCACAAATTGTACGGGGTTACTTCTCTCAGTTAATTTATTTAGGATTAATTTTCATCTTAAAAATTCCTTGCTCTTTCAAAGATGTGATCAAGGGTAGAATGGATTTCCCTATCATGAAACACCAGTGGAAAATTCTGTAATAGTAAAGCTTTTATCAAATTTGTGACCTGAAAGAATCATTTCAACTAGAGATGTGAATAAGTGAGTAAGTTTTTGTTGGCTTTTTTGCACAAATCCTTGACATGTCTTTAAAATTTAACTTTTAACAAGGTTGACACTAATAAGTTTCTTTTATTCACTCCTATTGATATCGAAATTTCAATATTAAATATTGTTTCGGTGTGCTTATATAATTAGGTAGAATCTATTTTTCATAGTTTGGTTTCATTTAATTTCAAGATAGCATGGAAAAGAGGAGTCAAAAACAAGAAACTTATCAAATGCATCATCTATCCCCTCACTTCTCTTTTGATCCACACCTGGATAGAAATTCCGCACTTGATTCTATCAAATTCAGCATGGCATTCAAAGAAAGTGGTACCGTCAGCATGTTTGAAAATTGTTGTATAGTAAAGGCCCCATAATTGATCCTATCGGTGCTCTGATTTTAATTTCTGTCCAATCACTAGAGGAGGTATTTTCTTCCTTATATGTCCATTTTCAGTTTTTTTACAATTTTAAAACATTTTAACAACAAGATCTTCAGAGGAGAGAGTGCCATAATGCTTGCAATCCAGATGTCACCTCGGTGGTATCACGTCACCTAGTCTTTGTTTAATTTGAAATAAATACTTGCAAGGGCAATCACTTGGAAAAGTCTTTGTCTGGGTGCGTAAACATTTTGGCTAAATTATCTGATATTGAGAGGAAAGAGCTGCTGCGTGGTTAGACAAATTCTATCTAAATCATTTGTTGTTGCGAATGCGCCACCAACGTCAGCAGCCATGTTTGTTAGGGCCCCCGTGTCCGTGTGATTTGGCGACAACAGGTTGGAACGATGCTGAAAGAACCGAGAGTATGACGTTTTGTGTTGTGTTTAGCAAACATATGTTTTAAATAATTCTGTTAGGTTTCAGAGAAATGATCTAAAGTTATGATCACTTATCAGCTCGTCGCAAGACTTGGTGCGTAGTAACGTTTGGTTTGCTCCTAGAGACAACTATTTTGGTAAGTGTCAATCAAGGCCTAAACTAGTGTCTAAAGTTGCCTATGTAGGCCTTGTTATAACATTAACGTTCAAAAAGATTGGTTTGATGTTTTAATGATTTTATTGCATAACGAAATGCATCAATGAAATCTGAGATCGAGTTACATGTTCAGAGAGCACAGAATTAAAAATTGTCGTGTTATTTCTATAATTTTCACCTAAAATTACTGATGAATGAACAATTCCACTAAAGAATTTCAAAGTGGTGTGATCCTCATTCAGTTTTGGGATGGTTAATGCTGTTGCGGCATGAAATATCAAGCCAAACTGTTTTAGTCATTAATACCAAAAACAATGCATTTTAAACAATTTAACAGGAACGACTCTTTGAATGCTTTTACAAAGTTAACTGGCTTGCGAAGTATGACCATACGTCCGATTAAAATCACCAGGGAACGATTTTATATTTAGGTATAGGCCAAATCACATTTTATATTTGCAATACGCCTAAGCAAGCAGGTTTTATCGTAATGGACCAAGGCCTTTTCTTTTTATATTTATATAGTATTCTTTTTATGCCTTCCCCAATGTCCATCCATAAACAAATTGTTTATGCCCAATATTTACATGCCTATTGCAAGCAAAGTCCATGTGATGTCTGTTTTTGGGGCTGTTATTTGATAAATTGACACCTTAGTTTAATGTAAAGGTTAGGTTTAATGCTTTAAAATTATATGCCATTTTAAGATGTACATGGCAATATGTTTATACGAGAAACTAACTAAATTGTCAGAAGACAAGAATATGTCACTATAGGTTAGCAGGTGCTTAGCAGGGGTCAAATTTTTTAAGGGAAGGGGATTGAAGGTGAAAATTTTCTACCAATTCTGAACCTTCTGAAAAGCAGAGAAATTCTATGGCAGTTCTTGATGAGATGTTGCTTTTGCTTTTGCATTATCATTTCAGGCATTATATACTTTATCGTTTTTATATTCTATTTCTCTATATTAACCCTTATTATACTGTTCTGTTCTTGCTTTGATATAGAATTCAAATCAATTGATAACTTGTAATCTTTAACAATTTGCTTACCATTCAAAATATACTTGATTTTTCTTTATTACTATTATTAGATTACATTATTCAATATTTAGGGTGCTTGGCTCGAGAACTGTACTGCGTTCCAGTTCCTGTGTTAAAACTATTGGTTATATGGACTGTAAATTACTATATGATTACCTTATTGGTTTTAATTTTTCACTAAGTTTCTAAATATAAAATGAATTCGAATGTCATTTGGGTGCAAATTACTGATCAATTTGCGAACAGAGGTTCTATTTTATTTCAAATGTTAGTATGCAGCACTACACTATCCTTGTGCTTGCATCTGCAGTTCTCTGCTGACTGATTCCTTGCTCTGCTTGCTGAGTAGGCAGCTGAAAGTCAAAGCTCTCTCAAAACAATATAATCTGATACAATTTTGAAACTTTTGTGGCCCTATGTATCACCACACCAAGTATTGGCTTTTAGCTTTTGCTTTTTGTACCAAAATACATAATCTTAGTGGACAGGTGATGCCCAAAGCAGACATGAATGCTGTAATGTGTTTGAAAGTCCTAAAAGTTCAATCATCAATGATCTAGGTGAACTCTGCCTCTCTAAGAAAGTGAACCATATGTTGAAACCTGGACTATAGCTTGAAGGGATTCCACCTGAAAGTCAAGTGACCATTAATGATGCAATAATGCCACCTAGTTTATTGGAATGATGTCTTTCAATTGTGTTTTCTCAAGTAATTTTGCCTATCCAAACAATGAAACTAATTCAGCTGGATTTTAGGTTGCATTATATAAAATGAGTTAAGTTGGATTGAACCTTGAAAATGTTGAAAGCCTGTCTCATGACTTTGTTTTGAATTAAGCTTATTAATCTAAATTGAAAGATTCTCTGCATGACCAGTTAGGACATAAGGGTAAGAAATCTGGCCCCAATGTTGTAATTTCAGTGGTGCAGAACTTAAGCATTTTAAAATACAAAACAAAACTTACTTTGGGGACACTATCCCTCTCCTCCAACTAGTATTTTAAATTTTGGTACACAATGTCTTTAGTGGCATTATGTTGATGTCAGGAAATTAAGTTGTTTTGGTTGGTTTTAGATTCAATTTTTTGTCATAACCATGGTTGCTTTATTTAAAGGTTCCACTTTAAGTTTCTAAAACTTAATTTAGATTCTTCTGAAAAATCCTGATTTTAGATCTTTGCATAAGATTTTTTTCTTTGTTTTAGATGGAAATGCCAAATATGCCTGGCAGGCTTGTTCTATTTATATATTTGCTATGGATATCAAATCTGATCCAAGCAATGGTCATCAGTGCAAAAGTCATTGTGGTAATATTTTGTATTTAATCTATGCATATTAATTTTTCAGCATCTTGTTTTAATCGTAAAATTTTCTTTGAAAAGACTGACCCAAATTTTACAGTAATGTGGTTATTATTGTCTAAATTAAACCTTGGTGTCATTTTTAGTTGTCTGAAGCCATTACTTTGGGAGCTTTGCCTTACAGCACTTTAAGGTTTTTTACATGATTTAAGAAACAACTTATTTAAGTATGAGCTGCCATAGCTGTTCAAACAGTATTGAGGTTGATGAGCTCAAAGTAAATTATAAGTTGAAAGAACAATGCCTCATTAGTTGGAAATCTTTTTTTAGAGTTTATTAATATGAATATAAAACATAGAGTCAACTTAAATTTCTGTTTTGGTTTGCTCAGGAATTCAATGCAAGTATGAAATCTATTGATGATCAAGAGGCAAAATTTGGAAGAGCGCTCCCTGAAAATGGCATGGAGGTACCCTTTTTTTATTATTGTTACAAGTCAGCTTTAAACATTCTGGCAATATGTAATTTAATTGCACTGTGTATTGTTAGCAAAATTAACTACACTTAGTAGAAATCCCTTATAATGATTTCAGAAGGAACAAGACTCATTCATATTGAAATTTTTTTCAGAAACCTCACAGCTTTGGCCCTTGGCTTCTGTAGGTTCTTATTTTGGCCATTATTTCCATGCTTTTGGGACCCTGGTGTGCCTATTTCGCTTACCCATATCTGCAAATGTTTGGCACAAATTTACAATTGAAGAATATTAAAGCCTTCCAATGCTGCATTAAGCTTATTTAAGCTTTATTAGGCCTGTGAAGTTAAGCTCTTAAAATCCCTTGTTTTCAGTTTCTCCTTATGCACTATAATGTATATTATTTAATAAGTTAATCTTTTAATATTTTGGAACTCAATTATTCTTGATTTCTTTGAATTTTATTTATTAGTGTTGAGTTTCTTTGTCTGACTGTTTATTGATTTTTAACAAAATGTTAATTTTGAATCTAATTGAAGGGCAAACATTTAGCTTTATTTGAAAGAACTATTCAGAAAGAACTATCCAGAAGAATTATATAGAAAGAACTATTTAGAAGAAGGAGAGTCCAAATGTTTTTATGAACAGGGAAACTGATAGCAATTGGGGAATTGAAGATTGAGGGTATGATAAGGATGTGATAATTAAGAAAAACAATTAAATTGAAGAGTTGCAAGGTCTTTTTATATGGAATGGCACCCCACTTTGAAGTTTCCTAGGTGCCATATCTTAGATACACCGCTGCATGTTTGGGAATGTACATGAGTGCTCATTATACCAATTCATTTTCATGTTTTTATAGGGGTTATTGCATAAGCAACTTAAGAATGAATATGGGTTATTGCATATTAAGCAATTCAAAGTCCAAATAGAATTAAGCTTTATTCGCCCTTTCTCTAGGGGTAAAGTTTTACATCTCTGTTTTAGGGCTATCTTGTTGTGGCAAAACCCCTGAATGCATGTATACCAATACAGCCACCTCCAAAGGGACTTATGCTTAGATATGTTAATTTCTTTGCTCTAATTGAAGAGTCTGGTTGCGACTACAGTCAGAAGGTAATTTGTCAATTTGTATGTAAATGAAAGTCAAGATTTTTTTCAATCTTGAAATGAATTTTTCATTTATAGAAACTATTATAGAAAGTAGTTTTTAAACTATTAAGAACATTTTTTAGGTGTCTCTGATTTACTAGAGTTCTGTTATTCATCCTTTCATAAATCAAGTTAAATTGTTTCTATTCAGTTCATTTGTACATATGTGTATAGTTTGTACTATTGGTTTGACAGCCCAGAAATCAAATTTCATTCTCTTGTTTGATACAAATAACATCCTTTAGCAACTATGCACTTATTTATGTGTCAATAAATCATATTTTTCACACATAATTCTAAAATAATTCTTTGTTCATTCATTTTTGGGCAATTTTCTTTCAAGGTGCTTATGGCTCAGAATTCAAATTACCGAGCAGCAATAATCTATGAAAAATTTTCTGATACACCTGTTGTAATGGAAGGGGGGGAAGGTAAGGCCTATTATTGCTGTGTTCATTTGTTTTAGATTCTTTTGATTGGAGCAGCAAAGATGGTACCAGACCTGTAAGACCAGTTAACCATATAAAAAGTATAAAAAATCTGAAAATGATTAAGAACACCACAACCCACCAGGAGTAAGCAAAAATAACAAGAAATTAATTGTTAATAACTAATATTTGGCAGGGTATACTTATACTTCTCCATAACCTACAAAATAAAGAAACGAATGTATGTACAGTTAAAGAAAAGTTTTAATATGTGAAACATAATTCGTGAAACATCATTCAGTGGTTGAATTGGAATGTTTCTTCTTACCTTTTTATCATCAAATCTTTTCTTCTAGCTGCAAGTAAAATCTTCATCCCTTCTGTCAACATAGGCAAAGTATGTTGTTAATCAATACCTTTTTCTTTGTTGTCGTTGTTGGTAAATATCGTTGGTAAATGTCTGGGAACCAAATATTTCAAATAAAAGGACAGAGAAAGTTATTAGAATATGATAATAATGGATAACATTCAAAAGTTTTAGCATCTTGTCATGGAATCCTTTCTAAGATTTATAATCAATTATTTATAAGTGATTATGCATGTCATTTGCATAGAATTAACAAATTAATAATGAATTTCTTGTAAAACATACTTGAAAGTGACATGGCAAATACAAGTTAGAAGTGACTGCTATTGATTTAAATCTTAAGCTTGAATTATGTTGGCTTTGCTATTACTCAGTTAAGTATTTTTGCATTTAGTGACAAACTTATAATTGATTTTAGTATCATCCATCTGATCATATATTTCAATGTGAGATAATGTACTTCATTTACTCTAGCCAATGAAGATTATGTGCTTATATTTGCAGTATTTCCTACAGATCAGGAAACTTGTAGAGGATATGATTTTGACATTGTCTTATCAAAATCGAATGTCAGCAACTCCCCTCATTTCTGGGTTTTTATTTCTTTTTCAGAGTGATGGCGAAAGTTTGAAAAATTATGACTACAAAACACAGTAAGTTTCTCATAACTTATTATCAATTGCTCGGCTCTTCCAACCAGTCAGTTCGGTCGGTCAGTCAGTCGGTCGGTCGGTTGGTATGTCGGTCAGTCAATCGGTCGGTCGGTCGATCGATCGGGTGGTCGGTCACCAATTGGAATCTTCTTATGAAATTCATTTTTTTAAAAAGGTGTGTATCTTGTTAACTTCGACTGGTTTTCTACAATTTTTCTTCAATTTGAGAACCCATTATAAAATCCAAACATATTGTATCCCATCATCTCATTATGTTCTATAAAAGGAACGAAAACAGCACTATCGAAAAAATTATACAGAAATGATGGAGCAAGTATATTTTGGTCATACTTTAACGTTAACGAAAGGGCTCGGTTTCAAAGGGGGCTATGACTCAAAGTGGACTTTAACCAGAAGGGGGCTCTTAATACTACACCTCTGGTGCTAGTTTTATTTTTTATTTTAAAGCTTGGTAATAACGGTACCCATTTTTTCTGCAGTGCACACATTTATTTGCAACCAAGCATGAAAGTTCCAATTGAACTCTACCTGATACCATTTGTGGTTGTTTTTGGCGTGTGCTTTCTTTTCATGGCGCTATTTTCGGTAGGTTCATTCATGTTCTACATAATCTTAATTGTATGATTGTAACCCCGAAGCTTTTTTGATAACCCCATATTTAACCTGATTAAGATCAATTTGTTTCTTTATTTTCGTTTCTTGGCGATCACCTCATGTCTCCTATTCCAACCACATCCTACTGCAAATCTCCACCATAATTTCAATCCCTTCTTATTGCAAATACCTTTGCTCGTAGCTTTATTTTAGATACTCAACTTTTGTTCTTTTGCACTTCCTTTTGGTCTTTCCTGATACTTACGAATGTTAACAGTGTGTTTTTCAATGACGTTTCTCCACAACGCACGAACTTGTTCATCTCGATATTCACTAAAACTGAAATTTATACACCCATTTATTATGATTGGTTGTAGTCCCAAAAACCCAGCAATGAATTTCTGGGGTAATCAAGCATGGTTAGGCACCCTGGTCGTTCACAACAAAACTTTCCTTTTGTATCTAGTTTAACTGAGAAAAATGTCCCATTATTCGAAGTTAGTCAGATTTAAGTTTTGATGGAATGTTTGTGTAAGGAATGCTTTTTGCAAATCTTTGTAGAAAATTTGTAAACATTCTGTGATAGCTTTTCTTTGAAATCAAAGCAGTTGCGATTTCGTATGATTTATAAAGTCTGATGTTATTGTCATAATCCTTTAGATTGTTAAGCATCATAAATCACATCAGATTAACAAAAATTCACCGTCACGTGTTTCAGGTTGGTCGCTATTGTCGACAAAGAAGAATCATTCGAAATTCACGACTTTCTAGAGAAAGTCTGAAGTCTATTCCAACTAAAAAGTTTAAAAAAGGTTCGTTTAAGGTGTTTTGATAACGACAATTCATGTTGTTTCCTGATTTGTAATTTGAAAATGGATGTGAAAAGGCAAACATTTTACAATATACGGAAAGCTTTTTGGTCTAACACTCCTCAGAGAATTAAACGATAGAATAAGGTTCCGAAAGAACAAGATGGAAATTATATACCCAGTTGTTCATCGAAATAGTCCAACCAGAGAAACGCGATCAAACGGCCTATACCATCCTCGGTCTTGTAGGTCTAGAAACATCAAGTGATTCTGCCATCGGACAACACCTTTTTTTAGATAGCCCATTTTAGATAGCTCAAAAGACGGCCGGTTGTCTTTTCTTATAGCAGTTTTGGAATCAATTTACATACAATCAAAAAAGCTGCTATTGTGTAGACAGAAAGAGCTCGTTTTTTCTCTTGGACTCCAGTGGTGTTTTTCCTAAATGCACGCGGTACTGATTGGGCAACTAAAGTGATCAGGTGCTTGTTTTTCTGATTAGCCTATTTCGATCCACAACTGGGTATATATTTGTTCTTTATATCTGTTCTTTTGGACCCTTATTCTGACGTTTTATACTGTGAGAAGTGTCAGAAGAGAAAGCTTTTAGTATGTGATAGAATGTTTGCTTTTTCAAAGCCATTTTCAAGTTCTGTACCGCCAAAAGATTTGAAATTTGTTACCTTCCAGCCCCCTTCTTTGAATGAAACCCTTTAAGGGACACAAGCTAACAAAAATTTACACATAAAAAATACTGCATGCTGCCCCATTTTACGATCAATTTGCCAATGTTTTTAGCGGTGCAAAAGACAGAAATTGTGTTGAGCTTTTTATCGCAAGCACAAATGCTACTGTAGACACAAATTGAAAACAGGAAGGTCTTAAGATGAAAAAATTTTGATACAAATGTTGATGTTTTTGCTAAAAGTATTCTAGAGAATGATTTTGTATCCGTCCCTGTCCATGTTTGTGATATATCTACATTTTGTCGGGCTTTGGCATTGAATTTTGTTCGTAATTTTGTTTCTTACGAATATTTCAAACGATACATACCTTTCGTTTACATGTCTGTCGGATAGTGCTGGATTCCCAGGTTATTCAAATGCCATTTGCCAAAAAGTTGGCCACCCCTCCCTCCCCGCCCCCTACCGTTATAGTAATTAGCAAAATGTTTAGATCATTTTCATGGCCTATCGTTATTACACCATCCATTTTATCTGAAGTTAACTTACTTGACAGGAGACGATTACGATATCTGTGCAATTTGCTTAGAAGAATTCGAAGTAGGAGAAAAGCTTAGAATACTGCCTTGCAGTCACGGTGAGTGAACATCTACCATATGCTATAAGATCATTTACCGGGTGTTGTATGCCTTTTTTCTTTTCAAACTTAGCTGGGAATGTCTCCATAAGATTGTTAGTGAAATTTCAAGATGTTAGTAAAAGCGGTAACAGTACCAAATGTACTTAATCATTCAAGAGTGTGACGTAAAACGTGAATCCTTTGCACGCAGTGTACTGAATAAGGCTTGGTTTTCTCCTTCTTCTTTTTCTTCTTCTTCTTTTTCTTCTTCTTTTTCTTCTTTTTTATTTTCTTCTTCTTCACCTTCTTCTTCTTCTTTTTCTTCTTTTTTATTTTCTTCTTCTTCACCTTCTTCTTCTTCTTCTTTTTCTTCTTTTTTATTTTCTTCTTCTTCTTCTTCTTCTTCTTCTATTTCTTCTTTTTTATTTTCTTCTTTTTCTTCTTCTTGTGCCATAGCATATCATACTGTAGAAGTTCATGGGTTTCCTTCAGTGTCTGTCCGATCTTTTCCATCTTTCTCTGTCTCTTGCGATATTCCAAATCTCAACATCTTTCCTCATCTTCAGCCTTTCCTTCATCCAGTCAAGCATCTTCATCTTGGTACTGGGACCACAACTTTACTCAATGACTGTGATGAAGCAGATCTTTTTTTGCTTATTCCAAAGGCAAAACGTGAGAATTCGTTGACTAAAAGGACGCTTTTCTGACTCAAAAAGACCGCCAAATGTTTACAATTTCATAACATGAAATTCCGCTGTATTGTTTTTTCGGGGGCCTTTAGGTTGCACGCTTGGATATGATATGATCGCATAGGCTTGACGATAGAAACTTCTTCCGTCGCTCCTTGGCAATGAAATGTTAGATAACGACGTCTAAGGAAATGTTTACACCGTGCGGTATATTTTCTACTACAGTACTCACGCCACGAATTTGAAAGTGGGGGGCTAAGGCTAGAAAAAGTAGGGGGCCAAGGCTTCTTTCCCCTTTTCCTGCAGCTTTAAAACTACTTATTTCGCAAAAAGTTGGGGGCATGGTCACAAAAGGTTTTATGACCTGTGAACTGTGTGTTTTGAATGTTTTATGACCTGTGAACATGTGAACGTGATATCTAGGCGGTCTTTATCTGAACAATATTCTGTCATGAATGAAAAGCCTTTCTCTATGCAAAATAGGACAATTTTACAAGGTTACCCAAACATTGCCCTTTTTCTAACCGCCTACCTGTTTTAAGAGTACCGGAAGTGCATTTAGTGTCAAGGAACCATGCACATTTGACACTTTGGATAAAAAATAATGGTAGAGAAATTACGGGTAAACGAGATGAGATGGATCACTGGTGACTGATTTACCTCTGACCTTAGCAAAAGGAAACAGTATTCTTTAATGGCATTTAATTATTTGTTTACAGAGTGGCCTTTGGTATACCTAAAGCCCCTTTCCTAGGCTCTCTCTTGTTTATAATATATCTTGACGTTTTCAAGGAAAGTTATGAGTGAAGGTGATGCACATGTGGCTCTTACATGAGACAACATGAGAAAATTAGTTCAAAGGGGACAACATGAATTTTACAACATCTCAGAATGGACGAGACCAAACAAACTAAACCCCAACCCAAAAAAACCTAAATACATGGTCATGGAACATACGATTAGAATTAACAAAAGTAAGGCAGCTCATATAATGATACTTTCTGGTTTTGAAATAAAGAAACTGAAAACACTTTTTCGTTTTTTGCAGTTTACCATTGCAAATGTGTCGATCCTTGGTTAACTGGTGGCAAAAAGTCATGCCCTGTTTGTAATCGTCCAGTTTTGGTAGCTAAGAAATCACAGCGACAAGAGCAGTCAACATCGTCGGGCGGCTCAGTCACGATCGATAGCCATCCTCCAACTGACGACGAGGCAAGTAGACACGATACTGATGAAGAGGTGAATGAAAGGACCCCGCTAATAGCTGCTGCGCCTCGCGGGCGGCAGAGTAGTACAAACTTGAGTGTATAAATTTACAGCTTTAAGTTTATAATAAACAAGCTATATAGTACCAGCTTTTCACTTCAAATGCCCGATCTGCTTGGAGTTTAGGTGAAGGCTGTTATGTGCTGTTGCTGTTCATTTAGTTTTGCTATGCACAAATTCTGTCGACTTTTTAAAGACCTAGATTCAAAGACTTTATCCTTAGTATTTCATATGGCAAAGATATAAGGCTAAAAACATTACTTTTTTTCTCTGCTCGCATAGACTGCGGTCAGTATACATTTTTGAAAAATTTGGGGACAACCAAGTCTAATGCTTAAGTTTTATGTACTTTGGGAATTGAAAAGTTACAAATAAAAAAAATTGATTCAAAGTAAAAGTGTGGTCCTCCTGTATTGCCCGAAGAGAGAGTTTTTAGTTTTCAATCTTTGAACTGTTTTGCAAAATTTTGATACTGCATTTTGGCATGTTTAAAATCTGTGATTCCTAGTAAATTTTTAAAAAGCCAAATAAAGGACCAGTTTTATTGTCAATAACCTTTCAAGCGAAAGGAGATAATTACTGCTCTCTTAAGAGTTATTTATGTTCTCCAATGCTCACATTTAAATCAGTGTGCCTCTATGCAGAGTCAGAAACACATTACGGTCGCATGGCCACTGACCGGAGGAAGGTCCAACAAAAACAATAGAAACTCCTATAGCTCACCCAAGCCACGCCCACTTTCTTTTGTTTTGTGAGGAAGGTTTGCCTTCTGGGATGTTTTTGTGAACAAAATTTTCTGGACTCTCTATGGTAACTAAAAAGTTCATTGTGGAACAACACAGTGTGTCCTCTAATCCACCAAAATTATTTGAGTTTTTCGTTTGGCTTAACAACTTTACTTTTTAAGGAATCTGCTTTTTTAGCGTAATTTAATGTTATCTGTAAATTTTTTGCTCACTAGCCGTTTTTTTAAACTTGCTGATCCTTGAATTCCATGGTATTAAGTTCCAGGAACGGACCATTCACAAAGAATGCTTGCCTCGATTTTGCGAAATTGCTCCCTTTTCGTGACGCCATATTTTCAAGGCTGTTTACAATGCAAGGCTTGCGCCCTATTCTGCTCACATAATTTGTGGAATCCCCCTTACTGCGTCATATTTTGCTTCCCAACACCTGCACGCTCCTTTGCACCCACCACGCTTAAAACTGGTCTCTGATGCAATATTGTATCATCTAATAGTGAAATTGTCATAGATCAGATACAACTTCAGCAAATTCTCACGTTCACCTGCCTAGAAATGATGCAATACGTCTATCCGTGACTTTAAACGCTTATTAATGTGAATTTACCACTTGACTCTTTTTCTACACTTGTACTTGAAGTTCTACTGTGTGTCATCCCACCTCCATGCAATCGATTTCTCCAATGATGCTATTCCAATAAATAGCGTAAGAATATCTTTTTCAAAATCTAACACATCTAAATGCCTGTCATTACTAAAAGAAAGTTAATTGATGGTCGGTATAAGCTTAACATGTTTATAATTTGCAAAGAACCCTCTAAATAAAACTTATGTATCATAGTTATATTATCAAAGAAAGAGAATTTCGTTGAAATGATTCTGTAATTAATTATAAAGTAAAATCAGTTTATTGTATCATTTTATCGATTGCTTAACCGTACACAATATTGTTACCTTAAGCTCTTAGCAAAACAGATAACGTATTTTACGACGCTAGTTTTGATAAAACAGCTTTTAGCTAAGTGATTTAAGTCCAAGTGTGATCATTTATTACATTCGCGTTAATGAGCTAAGCTCTATTTCTCGCCTGTGATATCCAAGCAGTAGTGATACTTTGTGTTGTCTTGTACTTTGTGTTGTCTTGAGTTCAAAGAATTTCCTTGAGCGAGAATCCTATGGATTGACGCCTTGAGATCTAAGTGCAGAATTATATCCTTTCTTGTTTTCATTCATAATTGATCGAAATCCGAAACCAGATTCTTAATCCGTAATTAGATCGAAATCCAGAAACAGGCCTTTTTGAATTCAAAAATGCTGAGATAAATGCTTTGTGCTAATTGAATTGTTAACCTCGCATGATTCCTTATCATAGTTGATATACGTTGATATTGATCATAGTATCATAGTTGATATACGTTGATATTTATCATAGTATCATAGTTGATATACGATCTAGTTGAACAATGTAATGCAACCTTGAACATCCGTTAGGAAATTAGTGATGCGTTAGGATTAATGATTCAAGAGATTCTAGTTTCGCAAAGTATCCCTTTATTTGATTCAAATATTGTTTAATCAATATGTCGTCCTATTTTGTAATACAATTTGTAAATACTAATGCCAATAAAGATACTTAATTGTTTACTGGTTTCTTGTTTTTTTACAATGATAGTTCTACCTTGTGCGATTCATATCTCTATCGTACTAAGTTTCGACATTTTGTAGAACAAAATCCGTTTAGATTCGTGGTAACAATACATTTCAAAGTAAAAGCCCAAAGGTTTTTTCTTGTTATGAACAAAGTGTTTTGAGCTAAGCCATGATCAGTACTGATGACCTTTGCTTTTTGCTGTAGATACTTCTATACTTTATAAAAATGTCGTGGTAAAAGTTCTAAGAAAGTCGAACATATGTGGCCGGAAGATGATCACCCCTAGAAATACTCGACAAGTGTCCAGGTAACAATAATATATGTAGTTAGCAGTACATAATTAAATGTTCAGGTAGTCTACACTCGGACTAGTGTTAGGGTGGCCACGTCATGCCCAAAATACATTGACCCAAAGGGAAATCGTAGAACCAGGTCAGAGATAGGGGGTTGATCTGAATGAAATATGTTATTGCTGTGAATGAAGCTTTTGCTTGGGGCTAAACCGATGTCAAAAATCTTACAAGCTGGTTACTGACGGGACTGGTAGGGTTTCCACTTCGTGGTTACTCATTGTTTCTCGTGGTTTTCTTGTGGTTTTCTTGTTTTTCCAGAGTCCTCTTCATTTGTAACACCGAGCTATTCTTTTTAAGTGCAGACCCAAAACATAAAATGTTGCTTGCCCTCCTTTTACCAAAGCTCAAGGCTTTGTATTGCTATTTCTTCAACATACAACGCTATACTTTCAATTTTAATCTCTTGTGTGTTGCCTGTGCTTTGGACGATAGGTCCATTGTTTCAGTTCTGTTCCGTTTCTTCTAGTTTTCCCCTTCAAATGATTTGCTGTTATCCTCAAAAATAGAAATGTGACCATTAATTGTGTCAAGTTCCATGATCGCAAGTTTTTTTCTTTAGCTGTTATATTTCGCTTTGGTTTCTGTCTCTCCGCTCTTTTACTTTATTCTTAGAAGGCGTTCTTTTATTGATAATCATTTAGTAACTGAACTTTTGCCAATCTGTTCACTTCCGTATTCTACTCAGCATGCTTTTCTCATTGACGGTTTCTTCAGATCGATCTTGTCATATGATAGTTATGGTGCTTTCAATCGTTCTTTGTTTGAATTTCTTAGAACTGTTTCCTTTATTTCCATTTTCACAATCTTTCCTTTACTTTTCAAACTGTTTAGTCAGTTCATACTCGGTATTATTCTACATTTTGGTGATCTTTTCACTTTCTAGCCGGTTCACATTCAATGTTATAACATTATTCTAAAAAGATATTTCATCAACTAATTTAATCTTCTTAGAATAATTTGCTTGGAGTTGAAAGTTTAACGTCTTCATTAAACACCTTACTGCTTTGGTAAACACATTTTGCTACTTTTGAGTAACCATGCAAAAGAACTTGATCTAAAATTTAACAAAATTTCCTTTTCTTTGGATATCTCTTGATCATTCCCCTCTATTTGATCTCTAGTTTTGTAACTGAAATCTTCAAGGATAATTATGTGCTATTCTTCACATACGTCTTTACAATCTGCCATTCAATCTTGTTATATATTTTTTGCAGTTTTACAATCGTTTATCTGCTTTTCTGTGGGGTATAAGTCAATCCGGTCTTTAATTTTACATTGTCTGTCACAAAATCACAGTCCATGGTAAATCAGTTTACAATTCGAAACATCTTCTAACTCATGTTAAGCCTTCTTCTGCCCAGCATCCGTTTGTTCTGGCATTTGTTACTTGCGTTTGAAATGCTTGCCAAATGCTAAAAATACAAGAACCCTGTACTCATTCATTTTTGTACTGCGAAAAATACCCCAACATCTTGGGATTTATCAGGAACTTCGGGTCACTTGACCTACTGTAAATGCTCGAAGGAGTGTCTCAAAATTTTCGATTTTTTATGGGGCGTGCGTAGTTTTATTTTGTCTGCACATCAATAGAAACGCTTGGTAATGTTAAATGGTTATCACAATTTACTTCTGTTGATAGTGCAGTGGTTATTATGATTTTTTTAGTGTGCAGAAAACACAGAGCTAAAAAGAGACAATGTTGCTTGACCAATGAGGTGACTCACCCCCTTGGTAGTGACAAACATTGTTACGGTTCGACATAGTCACTATATATATATATCATTACCCTGGTTCCAAAGCCTCATTAGAAGAACGGGGTCAAACAGTGGAAGTCCTTAAGAGGAAAAGGTGAGAAAATAATTTTTGTGTTCGTCTCTCCTCCCCTTCTTTTACGGCTTTCCACTGTTCGACTCCACTCTTCTAATGTTCGACATGGCTCTGGCACCCAGACAAGCAGATCTTATGCAACAAAAAGAGCAGATAGATGGTTAGAAAAGCAGATTGATCTAAGTTTTATTGAAAATAAATAGCTTGTTTTCTGCTCAATAAAGCCCGATATAAATGCCAACAATATATGTTTCTTTGTCGTCGCCATATCTATCCTCAGTACCATCTTCCGGCTCTGGCTCTCTAAGGGAATCTCCTTTTACGTCACCTATGTTGTGGAATCCCGATGTTGTCGGCGCATGCGCTTCTATTCTGTCAGTTTACAACAACAGTTGTTCGTTGGAAGGTAGGCGAATTGTTGGCTGTGTTAGCCGAAGGAGACGTTTTAGTCAGACGAAGAAATCTTGAGATATCTCATCAATCCTTGCATGATAAGTTAGGAATTTACTATAGAAGTTTGAAATATATATTTAGCTGCAGATATAAGCTTTTTCGCAGTCATTCTATTGACTCCTTTGCGAGAAATCAAGGGGGCAAACGAAGACTAGCCAACGGAAGAAAATGGCGACTACTGCTACCGCTCAGGCTCCAGGCCCGCAAATGAAACAAAGGTAAATATTTGGCAGGAAATTTGGGTATCTTTTGTGCTTAGCCTGTTATAGCCATGTAAGTCTCCCATTTTATGATATGTTTATAAAACAACGGTTACGCATGAAAGTTACCACAATAGTAAAACAGAATGCGAATGGAGAGGGAAGGTTGTCCTGCCAATGTCAGGGGCACAAAAGAGTGACTGACACTTGCACTCTGTATGTCTTGATAATGTGCTAAACATTTTTCTGAACTATTTTTCAAATTATTTTATGCAAAATTGCTCATTTTGTCAATTCTTCTCTGACAGCGCTGTTTAAATATATTATATCGACAGTTTTCATAATTTTGTCTGGAAAAGGTTTAAAAGTGAGGTTAGGCCTTTGTAGTTCTGTGCAAGCGGTTCGGTACTTAGATACTTACTTTTTATTGTAAGCCATTTATCAAACCTGATTTGATTATTAGTTCTTCCGTTACATCTTTTGAAATCTTGTAGATAATCCAATTTTTCTATGCAAGCACATACGTACACTGGATGCTAGCTTTGATTGAAGATAAGAATAATTGTTATGAACCCAAATATTATATATATATGTAGTCATTGGAAATTATTACATGGGCTAAATTCACAGCAAAAAGTATTTTAAAACAGCTTTTGAAAAGAAGAAAGTCAATGAAAAACTTAGTGCCAGAAAATTGAATGAATACCATACAAAGATTCACTCAAGTGTAACAGTTTGAGCTGTTAAGAATAGAATTTAGTTCAGTATTATAGCTAAAAAGTCAATCATCTTATAATTCATGATTAAAACAATTGGTAAAAAGCAAGCTGTTAAGTAATTATGTCATTAATTATGTCCATGCTTCTTGTTTTATTGATTTTTTTGCTTTTACCAGTGAGGTCTATCATCACAAATATTGTTTGGGCTAAGTAAAATGTGGAATCAACTGAAATAAAGTCCCTTTTGAAACAACCTTTGTAAGCAAAAATGCTAAGGTTTTGTTCACCATGCAAAGTTGTACTTGAAAGCAAATGTTTACAGGGGTTCCTTGTGAACCTTCTTTGTTCTTTCTTCAAGGGTATTAGTATCTTGAACTGTATAGATTTCAGATAAATATAAAAAAACTGATTAATTCTGTCCAATATGAAAGCTTCTAGCTCACCAAAAAGTGAAGGTTCTTCTTATTTTTTTATTTATTTCTTTTTTTAGAGAAACTTCCCTCTAAAGCTTATTTAAAAACATCAAATAACAATTCTGCTTTGACATGTTGTGTTATTGCCTTCGCATGCCTTGGCAGTTACATCATTTGAATAAATTAATTTCTCAAAGTGGTCAGTCTCCTTTTCAAAACAGCTTACACAGCTCTACTATCATGAAAACAATAAATAATATTTCAAAGAAGCTTTGAACAAAGCAAGCACTTTGAAACAAGCTACTAAGGCTTTCTGTCTAACACTTCTCAGAGTAAAACTGTGAGAAAATGGATCAAAAAACTCTATGCTTTCACAAAGTTGATCTAGAATCTGTATAAGTTGTACGGGTAATAATGCTAGTTTTCATTCAAATGAAATGAATATGCCAGGTGCAAACTTTGCAAAGTTTTTTGTTTCCAGAAAGAATAGGCAGAAGTGAAACAATAAGCCCAGCCACGAACTATATAATTTATCCAGAAAGCTTCTAATCATGAGTTTAAGACAAGTATTGAAACCTTTTCATGAAAGGGCAGTTTAGTTCACAGTAATGCCTTGATGGTATTAGGGTGATCACTTAAAGAGGCATCAACGCAAAAAAATTGGCTTTCGCCAAAAAACATTTTTTGTCATTCTAGTTTGTTGTGTGAACAGCAAAGACTATCACAGAAAGGCTCAATGTTGTCTAGAATACAGAAAGAGGGTTTAATTTTGGGGGGGGGGAAAGTTTAAGCGAGCAGGGGTATGAGTGCCTGCGAGCGCGGGTCGTCTGAAGGCAGATATCAGAAGATTTTAACGGGCACATGTTTGTTGTCATGCTCCGTGAAAATTGAAAACAAACCAATTTTGAACAAACAAGGCGCAAAAAGGAGGAAAGAGTAAAAAACGTTTTCTATTCTGGACAAGCTCTTAGCAAGGTTGAGGGTTAGCAAGTAGTATAATTCTATCATACATAGGTTTAAGAACCATTATATTCATTTTATAACAGGAAAGTTTAGCATCTAATACCTAGTAGGCCTAGAAGAGGTGATTTGGGAGCAGTTCAACACTTTATTCTTGACTGATTTAGACCTTTCACAATTATTTTCTGATATCAAATGATCAATCAATTATTTGCTTATGACCAACATACTGTAAAAATACTAGGTTACCTAAAAATTCAATCATACTGGTTTCTCTCACTTGTTTCGCACAACATGTATGTGATACAAAGCATGTAAAACCATTTTTCAGTAGAAAATTTGTCCCCACTTCATATGACCAAAATTTTTTGCAATTTTTGGGGGTTGAAATTTTGCGTTGGTGCCTCTTTAAGACGATGTTGCTACCATCCAAATATCTGGTTACTAATGTTTATTATCAGATTTTTGTCTACAAAAAGCATCCAAAATTTGTATAGTGAAGATTTTTATTGATTTTTGTCATCATTTCCAGCATGTGATATAATGAAAAAGTTAAAAATGGCACAATGGTAAAATGGTAAAATAATTTCATATGGTAAAATTGTTATATAGAAAAATTTTATATATACCGTAATGCCTCAAATTAGCACCCAGGCGCTTATTTAGTTTTTGAGGCTCCAAGGTGGGCGCTCATTCGAGGGAGACACTTAATCGAGGGGCACACTTATTTAAAAAGTAAATTTGGATGCAAATTGTGTTGTCCATTGATCTTTCTTGTTGAATTGTTTTCCAATTATGTTTTTGTTGAAAATTTGATTAAGCGCCCATTTCTGAAGGTTGAAGGATTGGCCCTTATTCAAGGGTTGGGCACTTATTCAAGGGGGATGCTTTTTCAATAACTTCACCTCTAAGTTGGGCTCTTATTTAAGGGGGGCGCTCGTTCGAGACATTACGGTAATTGTCCGTGAATCTTAATTTATCCAAAAAAGAGATTATTATTGCTTTTCAGCCTACTCCAAGGATATCGTGGGGTTGTATTAAAAAGGTATCAGTTTGAAACCAATCTTCATTTCAACAAAAGGAAACATTCATGCTCAAAAATCGTGAAAAAATTATTTTGCCATTCTGTGTGCTGCCACTCAGCCACTTTTGTACAACAATTTGTACAATGTTGAAAGGGCTGAGCTGTATATGTTTTTCTGTTCATTGAATGAAAGCTTTGGTAATCCCCATTGAAATCCTCAATACATGTGATTGTGTAATCCATTCGTTTCTCAACAACCCCAGCCCTGGCATTAGCCTCCGAAAACTAATATTGGCTGTAAAGTGCAACAGTCATACATTTTGCATCAAAATCCACTCTTTTACATTCTCTCATCATATTATTTTGAGCTTGTGCTGCATATTTCCATGGTTTATCAAAGAAGACGCTCTCACTCACACGCAAAACCCCCATGCTACTAAAATTAATAAGCTAATACTGTAAATACTCTTTTAGCCCCCCTCTCAATTAAGCCCCCTTCCTTATTACCCTCCTTTTTCGGAAGGAAAAATTTAATTTATTAAGCCCACTCAATTTAGTCCTCCTCTCTTATAACACCCCCCCCCCCTTTAAGGTGCTGAGAAAAAATAGGCCCCCAGGGGCTGAAAAGAGATTTTACGGTACTTTGGGGGCTCAAGTACCAGGCATATAACTGCTGTATCTTTGTAGGAGACATCATTCACCCAAAACTTGCTTGATACTTTTCCAAAAAAACTAAATTTAAAAATATAAGAAGAAAATTTTCAATCAGAGGAACATCAGCCTCACCAGGGGTTAGTGACTGCAAATTTTTTTGTTTGAAAGGTCTTTTTGCTACCTGCTTAATCCTCCAAACATGTAATTTAATCTCTGACCGCTGTTAAATGTTAAATAGTACAACCTGAATTATTGTGACACAAATTGAGCAGGCTAAAACCAATATTTTCCAACTCCCAGCTGCCCTTGGCCTACTCCCATAATGTACTGTTTCAAAATTGCCAGTCTACTTTAAGAATTCAAAACACAGTTGACATCATGAGTAAAGCCTATTATGCATTGATTATGAATAAATTTCCATGCTAAATGTTTTGTGCAAGATAAACTCAGTCCTGTTTTGTAAATTTTAATGAAATTTAAATTTTAATAACTTTAATGAAGTTTTACTAATTAGAAATTTTTCCATCCTTAAAGCTCTGCAAAGACAAATATGACTGGAAAGGAAACAAATGATTGGAAAAGTAAACTCAGTTTACCAGAAAAAGATAGAAGAATCAAAACAGAGGTTTGTCATATATATATATAGTATTTATTTGAACTGGTGGTATTTGCTTACTCGTTTCATAACTTTGTGTTATTTTTACACAGTTAGAAACAATATAATGTTAATTATATATATGCACACACATTTTCACATCTAGTATCATATAGTGCTGACTTTAAGAATATCGGCAGGACTTCACTAAATCACCCTTTTACATATTCAAATATTCAATACAAGAGGGTTTCTAAACATAAATTGTATATATACATTTGTGTAGTTTTGAGACATAAGAGCTCCATCCTTTTTTAAGGACACACATTCCTATTGCAATGCAGTTGATGTCTTGTATTTAGGAAAAAACCAGAGGAACTTCAGCAAATTTTGACCCTCGCACTTCTGCATGTCACATGACTCTGCACTTATGCTATGATAAGTCATCAATTTGACTCCTTAGAATCAAGCTGTGCATTGATAAAAATGCTCTTGTGATTTTACATAGACCCATCCAAGAATGGTCTTGCTGCCAAAAACACTTTGTTGTGCAGTACAATTCCATCAAAACAACCTTGGCAGTACCTTTACTCTAAGAGGACCATCCCTTCACCATCCCACCCCCATAGACTGTTGAAACTTTGATCAACAATATCTGAACAAAAATTAAACAAAGGTTGGCATGATGTTTGATTAGCCAGTAGATTGTAAGAAATTGTGACAAATTTTTGAATTTCCTTGAAAGTGTGAAAAATTTTCTATTTTGTAAGTTTGATGTTATGATGTATACAGCAGTTTGCTTATTCCTAGGATGTGACAGGCACAAAAGGACATGCTTTTTGTGATTACTGTTTGAAAAGAGAGCTACTGATGGGAATATTTGAAAAAGGATATGAAACACCATCACCAATTCAAGAAGAAAGTATTCCAGTAGCCCTTGCTGGCAGGGACATCATGGCAAGGGCCAAAAATGGAACAGGAAAAACTGCAGCATATCTTGTGCCACTATTGGAAAGAATTGATATTTCAAAAGACTATATTCAAGGTTTGCTTTTCAAAACATAATCATAAATAGCAATTATTGTCAATGTTGTCATTATCTTAGCAGATTTCAGGCCAAATCACTGAATAGATGGACTACTTTGAAACACCAACCTAAAAATACAATTTTTTGACATCATGGAATTTTCGCAGTGTATCAAAGAATTTAACTTTCAAGAACTTTTAATTCACTAATCAGAGAATTGCCCTTAAAATTGCGTGAAAGTAATGTACAAGGCGCGGCATTTGACATATCTTTTGACTGCCTTAAAATAGTCTTAAAGTCAAGGAGTTTGCTGTTTTTCTTTGTTCAGTTTATATATACTTTAAATGTGGCTCTGTCACCTCCTTTCCCAAAGGTAGCAAAAAGAACAGACTCTTTCTGTTACCAAACAATCTTTTTGTTGTACAGCTGAATTATACAGCAAATGCAAGAAAATTTCCAAAATTTATTTGTTTTCCAAATAGATTGAAGTTTGTGACTATCATAACAAAAACACATCTGATGGGCAAAAAATTAATTGCAAAAAATTTAATGATGAGAGAAATTGCTTTTACAAAAATAAACCAATTAACCCTCACAAGTGTTTTGGGGTTTTGTGAATACAAACAGGGCAAATGATTAGAAATTTTTGGGAAGCAATTTTTCATTTGGATCTGTTAAGGAGATCATTTCACAGCTCATCTCAGGTTGCAAGAGGAGCGTGTAGGTGAGCCAGGCCTGATGTACTACAGTCATCATCATTATCAAACAAAGAATTTAACATTTTATTCCAGTCATAATAATCATTCATATACATCAGGGTTTTAAAATTTGAAATTTGAAAAAAATCTCATTGATTCATATCGCATCATCTGCATCTCTATTTGGAGGTGTTTGAGCTGAAGTTTGCAAATTTTGAAATATTGATTCCATGTTTTTGGATCACAATGTTCCTTTTTTTCTATAGTATAGTATTTTTCCTAAGTCTTAAACCTGTTGCTTAGTTTTTACATGATGATCTAAAATTCCTTCAGTAATACAGAAGATATCATACTGAATCAGTATGACGCAAGGCTGTTTTGACTTTTGGCTTTTTCTTACTATTGTTGATAAATGGAGCATCATGTTATTTAAATATTTGAACTAAACATGAAATTGTAGATTTAGACTTCTGGTTGATGAGATAGTTTGACCCAGTGACTTGGAATCATTGATATGTTCTTACATCCCCTGTTCAACCTATATATTCTGCAAAGATAAAAAACAATCAAGTGAAAGTTATTCTTTCATGTTTTAGCTCTTGTATTAGTTCCTACACGAGAACTGGCTCTACAAACTTCACACACCTGCAAGGAATTGAGCAAACACATGAATGTTAAAGTTATGGTGACTTTGGGAGGTGTTGGTCTGAAGGATGATATTATGAGACTTTACCAAACAGGTATGTTACCTTTTTGGCTACATTGAAGATATCTGATCAATTTGGTCAAATATTCAGCATAATGTATGGTGGATTTTCTTCATTTTAAATTGAAGACCTGGTTTTAATGATTCTAGTCAGCATTCTCTGACATTATTGCTGTCTTGATAAATTTTCACTGAATGACACACATTTTCACTGAATGAATTCTTATGTAATGTCAGATGTTGTCCTTAGTTTTGTAACCTTTTTTAGTTTAATTTGTCTTAATGGTTTTTGTTTTATTTCAGTTCATATTGTTATTGCAACACCAGGACGAATCCTTGACTTGATGAATAAAAAAGTTGCAAAAATGGACAGATGTTCCATGCTTGTTATGGATGAAGTAAGGAAACAGTTCGTTGAGTTTTTCTTTCCAATGTTGTTTGCTAATGTGCACCTCATAAAGTATTGTTTTTCCCTGCAATCTCATGACTGAAATGAATATGTAAAGATTCTGGAAGCTCTGTAATGTGTTTGGTAGAGCTTAGACACAAAGGGGAAAATGGTAAAATGGAAATAAGATGTATTATAGAATTTATCTAATAATAATGATAAAAATGATGGATTAGTTCCAGCCTATACTACAAAATGGCTCTATATCTGGAAAACTTACTTTAAAAATCAAAACAGCATTAAAAAGGTTATAGAAGAGTACCCAAAAGAATTTTGATTAAGATTAATTATACAAATTTAAGCTTTATTATCAAACTTTATTATACAAAATTGATCTACAATCTTGGATGGAACATGTTTTTAGATTTTTCACCCCCTCCCCTTACTTTCATGTTGATATGACTGATGTAAAAGGATGTGCAACCCAACTTTTGATGGGTGAATGGGGTAGAGGCTTGACAGGACATGCATGCTGCCAGGGATGTGATTTGACTTGGGGTTTGTCTCAACAGATCCATCCAAGATTGCAAATCATTTTGAAAATAAATTTTTGACAATCATTTCTATTTTACTTTCAGGCTGACAAGCTTCTCTCAATCGACTTCAAGAATGTTTTGGATAGTCTGATTGGTCACTTGCCTAGAGACAGACAAATCTTACTATATTCTGCTACATTTCCACTGTCTGTCAAAGCTTTCAAGGTATTTGTCTTATATTAATGATTACAGCTACTGTAAACAAGTCTTGATTTGAATATACCAATCTATCTTGAGATTGTGTGAAATTATAATTTCTCCCCTGTCAGGAGCATCATCTCTGTAATATGCTAAATTTTGAAAATATGATCTCCACAAAGTTGTCCAGCAATGTTTTTTGAATTGACCCCCAGTTCCATATTGGTATCAATGGCCTTCTCAACAAGAGCAAATTTCCTTAAGGCTCAGATCAATGTCCCTTTGAGAACAAATATTAATACTATGAATACCTGACATCTGAGATCATTTAAAAAGGAAATCCTGTATAAGTGACCCAAAACTGTGGTACCTGGATGTAAGCTTATTATATATGTATATATATATATAAAATTTAAAGATGTGTTGTTTTTTCAAATCATTTTTAAGTTCATTGGTTTTGAAAATATGTTCTAGATTTTCTTCTTGTCATGAAATTAATGGTGTGATGTATAGTGCAAAACTGTCAGTATCAACTAATTTCTTTACTTTCTGTTCCCGGTTCAGTGTTAAGTCATAACAAAATCACTTCCTCTTTCCAGGAAAGATACCTTACAAAGCCTTATGAAATAAACCTTATGGAAGAGCTGACATTGAAAGGCATAACTCAGGTATGTGGCTTTATATGTGCCTCTAGAAGTGAAAAAAAAGGTTTTGTTCTAAATTTTCACAGTTTTATGGAGAATAGTCCACATTAAAACATTGTCTATTTTCTTTCAGTATTATGCCTTTGTCGAGGAAAGACAAAAAGTTCATTGCCTGAATACACTGTTCTCAAAGGTATGGATCATATTTTGCTATCTATATATAGATGTGTGCTTTAAAACCCTTTATTTGTTTTCTTAGATTAAATGTCCCCCAGTGTCCGGACCTAAAATGCATGAGAATTGTTGTAGAAGTAGTTATAGAATAGTCAATCTAAGGAGAAAGCGTTTAAGGTATGTTTATCTGTGTAATCAGGTCTTTATTTTGCTTATTTATATATATATAAGTGTTAAAATACTGCACTACACAGAACATTTGTATCTAGTAAAGTATCGACACCTTGCTAATTTTTAATACGTTTAGTCTCTTACAGTATTTTAATCGCTTACAACATGAGTTTATTTGCAATACCATGTTTGTATAAATAAACAAAGGTTCATGGTTCTTATGTCAAACCCAACCCTCTTATTTTGAAATTGGAATTTGAAGATTTGTTTTGGTTTTAGTTGCAGATAAACCAGTCCATCATATTCAGTAACACAGTTCAACGTGTTGAGCTGCTTGCACGAAAGATCGCAGATCTTGGCTATTCGTGTTTCTTCATACATTCAAGGATGCAGCAAGAGCATCGAAACAGTGTTTTCCACAACTTCAGGGATGGTCAGTTTAGAAACCTTGTATGCACTGGTAAGACTAACCTTGCTTCTTGTTTGCCTGGCCTCTCGTGTTACCTGGCCTTTTGTTTTCATGGCCTCTTGTTTTCCTGCCCAAAGACAACAAATTCATTGTTAGCAAGAATTTGGGCAAACAAAGAGCAAAGAATTGTGACTCAAGTAAAAAGTAGATGATAAATTTTGAATCCGATTTGAGTATGTCTGTATGTTATTCCTAGACCTGTTTACCCGTGGTATTGACGTGCAAGCAGTGAATGTGGTAATCAATTTCGATTTCCCGAAAACTTCAGAGACCTACTTGCATCGCATTGGCCGCTCAGGGAGATTTGGCCACTTGGGTAAGTTTCTTTGAATTTGAATCCAGTCATGAATTCCTTTCTCGCACCAGAAAGTATGTTAACCACAGGCCTACAAGAAAGTTCCACAGACCGTTATGTTTCTATATTGGTCGATGGGTAAAACGGTGTTTGGTTTTTTTGTTATTTTAAGGTGATTTTACCATAGGGCACTTTTGTTTTTAGGTATTGCTATTAACCTCATTACATATGAAGATCGTTTGAACCTGTTCAAAATCGAACAAGAGCTTGGCACAGAAATCAAGCCCATCCCACCAACCATTGAAAAGAAGTTGTATGTTGCATCATTCCAAATGGAGGGCGAAGAAGAGAAGTAAGAACCAAGCTACAGTAAATATAAAGTTTTAAAGCGTAAGTGTTGATGTGTCGTTGTTGGCATTTTCGTCCGCCATTTATTTGTATTTGATAAAGGTGCTTCCCAAAGAAGTGACAAATAGCCCTCCGCTAGCCAAATAATTTCGCTGAAAAAATTTTTCTATCCAGCCGTGCAATAATTGGTTTAGTTAATTGTTTTCGGGCTTTCTTTGTCACTTTTATGTGAAGTCTCCTTGCATGTTTCAACTTGCTGTTCATGTGATCAGAAGCTTCCCCCAGTGCCCATGTCTTGGAACTGGCGCTTTTTTGATTTGAGACATAGTTATGTCATTGGTTTTGCATTGAAAACAGTTTCGTTATCTTTCCTTGCAAGAATCATTGGAATATTCTCGAGCTGTTGTTGTTGTTGTTTGGGCTATCCTGCAAATGGTTTGCGGGAGCTCTGATCACGTGAGCTATAAACATTCATAATAAACGATCCAAAGTCAGCAGGGCACTTTTGTGAAGGCGTTATTAGAAAGACGTTTCCATACTGAAAGTGTTCAATTTTTGTGTTTAGACCGACTTTGAGGTGCAGGCTTTTTTAACTTTAAGTTTTCGCTACAATATTACGGGAAACTGTCTCTCTATAAACGTCTTTGCATTCTTGTTCGCCTGCGGATGAGTCAGTCGTTTATATTATCTAGAATCATTGTAAATATATATTGAACATAATTATAGTTTACGACGCAGTTCATCTCAAAATTGCTGTTGAAATTGTACCATAGAGCTATAGGCCTTCAAAGAAGGCCTCCGTTACTCAAGATTACAAACGTACATGGAACCGAGCCTTCAAGTTTTCTTCTTTCGGTCAATTATTATTAAAGAAAACTAGTTTTTGTTTGGCCAGCTCAAGACAATTAAAATGTATCAATAACGTTTCCGTAAATGTTGAGTTTTGAACCGTAGGAAAACATTCCTAGTGCTCTTTCGAAAATTTTTAGCAACCGTGAATTCGAGGAACAGTCTCAAAATGCGTGAAGGCTCGAGTTCAATTCCTTTGATTTGTTTATTAGCCCATTCTTCCTTTAGTCTTATTTTTGTATGTCAGCGAAGGTAGCCGTGTTAACAGCATGGTAATCTGAGCTTAGCTCAGTATAGGGGGAATTATCGTTTACAGGAAAGACTGTTTCTTACTAGTGAGTGTATTATGCGTGATAAACGCATGCATAGAGTGGGTTGTAAGCGGTATCTTTAAAGGTATAATGGGCGAGTTTAATTTAGATTTTAGCTTGCGTGTAAAACATTGCTCTGCTTGCAAATGGGCCTATCGGCTTGTTGAATAGGAGGTATAGTGTTGAATAGGAGGTATATGTTGTGGGTAACAATATATGGCATTGAGAATAAGTGTGTTGCCAAAGAGGGGAGAACTTCCATTGGCCGGCCAAGCCTGATTATCAAGTGAGCAGTGTTTTACGGTGATTATTTTGCGTTTTCTACCTATTGATATGTTAAGCAGCGACCCTTGCCGGCAGTCCTGCAAACCTGAAAATTATGGGTAGTTGAGAAACACACTTTTCTGAAGGTGTGTTTGCCGGCATCTTGCGTTTTATGTAGGGCTTCAAATTGATACATAAGCCCTCATGCAAACTAGCAAAATTGGATTTTATTCAATATTTGTTAGCAGATATGAAGATTTTTGGCCAGCCTCATCCAACCCGTATTTTGAATGTAGTTGCAAAACTCCATCTCTGCGGTGGCTAGTTTATTTTTTTATAAACTAGTCTAAAATAGAGGCACAATCTACTTCGTGTGGATTCTCGCTGTAGGCCAATCCGGTCCGTATTTTGCTTCTGGCTATTACTTAGCAGTTACATTGCTGCATTATGTTGCCAGACTTGAATTTACAAGATCACAGCTCAATTCCTATGACCCAGAGGTAAAGGGGTAAAATGAGCTGTCTGAATTTTGAAAACTATTCTTTGCTGAAACAGTCGTTCTGCCAAGTGGTTTTTGCACAATTTTGCAGACGTAATGCAGTTTTGTCAAAACATCTTTGCGCTATACTCTTTGCAAACAAAATTGTACCTTTGAACAGTTTGTACAGGAGTCAATCAAGGTTCCTTGAACTGATTTTTTTGCGCGCGGCTTATGCGTTTGCGTACAATTGACAATGCGCGAGCAAATCTCTCTGCGCACAGTAAAACGAATTGGCTCCCCGAAAGCCGCATCCGTGCGTGGATTCGCGCGTTTTTGCCTTAAAAAAAGGCCCTATATATGTCATAAATTGACAGATGACCATTAAGATCGCAGTCGTCACTCGCTAAGCATCACCTTTTTGGTAAGATGCCCAAACTCGGATTTGTCGAATAAGAGCTGTCAGAGAACACTTCAGATGTATTTCTCGCTTTCAGTTTTGGCCTGTTACCCTGAAGTAATACAATGATTCAGCTTTCCCGTGCCCTTATTTCGATGCAGTTCGAACCGTTTGCCAAATCTCAAGCGAAAATCCTCTGGTTTGTTCTTTGACACTCATTGCCCTCAGGAATGTAGATGTGAACGTGAACTGACCGCTAGAGTCAAAGTTGGCTTTGACTTTGCTCTCGCTGACAACGGTAGTTCATTTCATGGTTCATTGTTCTGAGTGGTTACACTGCCCCTGTTCTTGCAGATGTCGAACCGTATTCTAATGCCTTTGTGTTTCGTTCCTGGTAAGTTGACAAAGGACGTAGAACTCTGAATATATTTACTTCATGTCATCAAAATTCAAGCAATGTAATCAAAAATCCTTCCTTCTGTCTTTCAACAGATGTTTCTTTCTGTCACCCGTTTTACCAGTCACTCGACCTTAGCCCTGAAAATTCATCTTCAACCTGTCGGCTGTTGTCGAAAACTTAAAAACCTAATAATGTGTTCCAAAGGCAGAACCATCTTTTCAACCGCTTGACTTGATGCTATGAAGTATTTCAGGTTTAAGTATTTCAAGTAGGGTTTTTCAACTGATCTCACCGTGTATCCAATCAGCTAAAACCCACAAAGCTTGTAGAAAAGTTTAACACAACGCCCCCCCCCCCCCCCCTTATGAAAGTTTTCTTTTTGCGTCCTTAATGAAATATATCTCTCGCGCCATCCCCTTCCAATTTTGCACATTTTGGTATCCTCTCTTCAGAATTTCTTAGGATTCGGAGATTTCTGCCACTCAATTTATCCTGTTTTACAACCTTGTTGAGACAGGCATCTAATGTTAAACAAAGAACGTGATGTAGCTCAAATAGTTTGTGAAAATATGGCGATTAAAGTTTATCCATCAAAAGGTTTAACTTTAATCTCAAGAAGATTAGAGCGTAAGTCCCTATTTAAATTTTCCGCTTGCTTTGTGGGTGTAGCATCGTCTTTGACTATGATAAAATTTTCGAAACGTAAACACGATCATGAAATCGAGAAAATCACTCCAACCTGAATATACCAGCAAGTTGTTTTTCTTCTCAGTATCTTCTTTTGGCATCTTTTTACGCTGATATAGCGCCATGCAAATAATGCAGTTGCACCGTTACGGTAAACCATACCATTATGCAGGTTTAGCAAGGACCCTTGCCGATGGAAAATCAAGAATGGTGGTATCTGTTACACCCTTTATTCAGCTTCTCAAAATATTTGTCATATCAAGTTGTTAGTGCCCAGCCATCTGCAGGTGATTACCAACAAAATAATACGTTTCAAAGGAGTCAAGTTCTATTTATGCACTTCACATTAGCTTTTATCAGAATTGGTCCTGCTTTCAGACAAGCTTGGACATGTTTAAAGCTAAAATATGTATCGAGGTTGAGGGGGGATAACTCCTTTGTCAGCTTAGGATCCTTTTAAAAAAGCGTATACATACGTACTTTATTTTGGTATACACGCTTTATGGCACAGCAAATTGCACTTTCTATTTTAAAAAACCGAGACTCGATTTGCCCCAGAAATATCAAGAACATTTGGGACCGTGAAGAATTAAATGAAAAAATTAGAAAAATACTCTATATGTTTTTGAATATTTTACAAAACAGAAAATTTTATCGGTAAATCAACTGTACAGCTAAAAATTTGTTGCAAATCTGTTGTGTAGTAAAATTAACCTTAGAATATGGTAGTATACAATAATAAGAACACTCGAGCGTTTGTGCTTGTGTCGCTGGTGAGGCTGAGAACCAAGCTTTTGAATTTTATTACTTGAATCAAATGGTATAGAAAGTCAAGCAGCCTCCCGAATCATCTGGTTATTTGGTCCTTAAGTAGCTTCCAGGGACAGTGTAGCAGCCCTCCAATTTTAAAAAAAGAGCAACCCTTAACTCCGATACTTTATACCACCTACTACTGAAGGAATACTTTTATGCTACACTACCTCAGAGGTGCATTCTTTCTCTTCTCGCCGCACTGTCTTATTCTACTAATAATACAAATGTGGTTCATACTTTTTATACCATGTAGTTTATACCTGTTTCATACCTTTTAGAAAACAAGAGTACTTCTTTCATATGAGAATTCGTGCCACGCAACCCACGAAAAGCTTTTTTGGAATCAACAGCGCGCCAGTTTTTAAAAGCGCGTGGTTTTTTGGCCAACTTTTGTGTTCAAATAATTGTGTGTTGAAAATTTTACCAAAAGAATCCTAAGCTTGAAACTAGCTGCCAATCCAAAAAAGATCGACGTCTTTATCCGCATGACGTCATTTCTTTATATCCACATGTGGGCTGGTTAATCGTTTCAGAATTCAGGTGTGTCACCAAATAGGAAATGTTTCGAAATCGAAACCAAATCTAGTTAGCAATCATAATTTGCTGTTTTGAAACTTTTTCAACAGATTGAAAAGATTTTTGAATTGTGTTTAGCCTATTTTCAAATACATATTACACAAAATTCGACAGTATTTTTACGATTGTGATGCGAAGTCTTGATCGGGTAGTTCAAAAACAGAGCAAAGTCGATTGAAACTTCCACCTTTTCTCCAGAAACAAATTGTTGTTCTAGAATTTTTCCCTCACTGTCAAAAAGGAAATTGATGTTCTCGAGAAATATTCTTAACCTTTCAAACATCATTCGAAGGTGTCCATATTGGGAAAGATGGGCTTGGTCAGACTGCCCTTTTCAAAATATAGGCAAAGTCAAGACGATCGTATGATTTCTGTCTCAATTTGCACATTGCGTGATCTCCAAATAAATTCTTATCTCCATGTCAAGGTTGTATGATTTACACTCATTTTTTTTATAAGAAACAGGTTATTAGAAACGGTAGGCTCAATTTTTCGAAAGTTGAGAAACAACCCTTCCTTAATTGAAAAAAGCTAAGTAAACTTTTATAATTTGCAGTTTTAATTTTCCGAGTTGACACTAGAAACAGTCTTGACATTGAATATCACTGTATATTGCAACTTGCAATTGCAACACTACACTCCACATGCAGTTTGCATTCGTTCTCAGTGAACTGCACACTAGAAGTTTCCATTCAAATATTTGTTTTGACTTCAATTTGACACTGATGCAGTTCAATGAGCTTAACTGTTAGTTTATCTCTGAATGTGGGTTAACTATTTACTTTACCTTGGAAGCACGTTTAAAAAATACATTACCTAAGAAAATTCAAAAAAATGTAAGAAACTTTTGATAGCAAAATGGCCAGAAATTTAGGAAACTGCCTACCAGCACCGGGCCTTAGTTTTTTATCAAAAAATCGGATATTTACTGTATTTTAATATGAAAAGCAACAATTACTGGTGTGATGTTCACGATAATCTGATTTCAATTTTATTTACGAAGAATGGGTACATTAAGGGGCCTGTGGGGAATGCAATCATCTATTTTCTTGGTACCTTGCTTATAATACCATCTAGCCCCTTAGCACATGTGCTGGTTTTCAATCAGTCCTTTTATGAAATAAAATTGATTAAATTAAGATTGAGCTGCAACGAAATAATTACAATGTGCTAATATTTACAAAGGATAATATAAATTTAATCATATTTTAAACAATTTAGAGATGATGCTTGCTTAGGCCATAGTCAATAGAGTATCCTTAAGTATAGGGTTAGAAACTATTCCATCTTTGCTCCCCGAAAGGGGCAGAATTTTTATCCACTTACTTATTCTATTCACAAATTCTTTTGAATGGTAGCCGTATGCAACATGCAGCAGTATAATAGAGTCTGTAAGAGGATACTATTGGGTACCAGAGCCGTTGCTGCCGTTAAATTTTTGCGGCTCTGGTACCCAGGGTAGTAAGAGGAGCACTGTGAGCTCATGGTGGAAAGGTAACAATTATTACGGCACCAACACATGGAAGGGTGTGACAACCGCTGTTTGAGACTCATTTTGAAGAAGACCCAGAACGGTTTTCCACCCCGGAATTTCGATAAGTGGACTTTTAGGGGCATCAGCTGCTGTTTGTTAAAATTGCATGACCAACCTACTAACTTCGGCTGAAACGGTGCAGCCCCAAGCAGAGCATCAATATCGACAATTTAGGGGCCAACTGTAAACATGGTTTTCAAAGAGTTTTTTGGAAAGAAACGTCTGACAACTGTTATGTAGCTTTTTGTCCTAGAAGCCTTAATTTGCCTTCTCGTGTCCTGACCTTTCCTTATACAGAACACTTGCAAGTTCTGACGTCAACATAACATGTCTGTAATATCGTCATAGGAAATCGGTATTTAGGTAAAAGCTACTAAAGCTCGTCGAGTTCCTTTTTGGTTAGGACGATAAATTTAACATCAAATTCAAAGAGGCGTGACAGTACAGTACAAAATGCTGACAGCGAAAACCTTGGCCACTGAATTGGAGCTTAGAAAATTCCTTTTTGATTTAGAGAGAAAGAATATCAGAACAAATGTTATTGGTATTTCAATCATCAAAAAATTTGGATCCTGGTGATTTCCTGCGTTAAAATAGAGCTACTTTACAAAAGAGTTCGGGATAATTCTGGATTCGTAGCTGCGTAACAAATATCTTACGCAGGAGCCAGCATAAGGTTTCACCCGGAAAAGAAATAGACGGAGAGGGAAAGATGGCGACTTCTGGCGATCAAGGGCGGCAGCACAACAACAAACTGTTATCATGGTTTCAGGAAGCTTTTTCTCATGCCACTGGACAGAGCAGAATGGTAATAGATCGAAAAGCCATCGAGAAATGCTGGAGAACTATGGAGAAAGTGGGAAAACAATGTAATACCCAGCGGTTAGGATTGAAGAACAGTCCCCCTTATCTTCTTGAAATTCTACCGGATACCTACCAGCATTTAAAATTAATCGTCAAGTATTACGAAGAACGAATGTCGATGCTCAATGACTGTGAATACTTTAGGGTTTATTTGGAAAACTTGAATAATAAATGCAAACAAGTTTTGAAGCTTTTCAGAGAGGGCAAGGAAAAGATGTATGACGATCACTCGCCTTATCGTAGGACTCTTATAAAACTGAGCTTGATTTTTAGTCACATGCTTGCCGACTTAAAAGCAATTTTTCCAAATGGACAATTTATTGGTAAAGGTTTTAGAATCACGAAGCAGGATGCTGCAGATTTCTGGAAGAGTTCGTTCGGAGAAAGGTAACTTCAATTTACTTTCCGTCGGTCACCTCCGAAAAGCGATTAGTCACACTGAACCAATTAGATATGAGTCAGTTCAGCAGACGAATGTGCATCAAACCATTCCTCATGATATTGAAATGTTGATATATTATCTATATCCTTTTAAAAATCAATACTGGACTATCAGACGAAGTGATTCGTTGCTATGAAAGTTTTCTTTTGGAAAAAGAAACCAGTTTATCTCGCCTTTTGAAAATTCAAAATAAGTTAATTGCCACTTTGAAATTGGCCTAACAACAACACGTCTTTTGTTGACAGTCAGAGGAAGTTTTTGAACGAAACCCGTGAAGCTGTAATAATAAAGAATCGGCCGATTGACAAGGGATTCTACGAAGCTGAAATTTTAGCAAACGCTGTCTGTTTTAGCCTTAGTCCTAATAATGATAAATGAAGCCGAGAAAGCAAATATGACGATTACTTTATAAGTAGCTTGGAAATCGTTTAGGGACAAACCTTGTTAAACTATGACTTCGTTATATTTAAGAATACCTAAATCGTCATAGTTGCTATCTCGATTTTGAATAGATACATTACTAAAATTGATACTTAGTAAAACAGCTGGGATACTTAATTTGGAATATATCTTTTAGGGTTATTGTACCTTGGAAATATTTTCGTGAACAGCTGCAAATGGCAAACCCAATTAAGTCTGGACTTGAAGCCATTGCCTTAAAGAGGACCATAGATTTGACAGGAAATGAACATGTTTCAATATTTGAATTTGATGTATTTAGCAGACTTTTTGCTCCATGGTCAAATATTATTCAAAACTGGAATGTGTTAGCTGTTACTCATCCGGGCTACATGGCATTTTTGACATATGATGAAGTCAAAGAACGGCTGTCTCAATTTATTGATAAACCTGGAAGGTAAGTAAAAAATGTAACTATAAAATGTTTTGGGTTTAAATCCCTGAGCTATTTAAATTCATGGTTTATTTCTGATTGTAGATTTATCTCTGAACTATTAAAATTTGTGATTTTAGTTTTTTTCTTATTCTGTTCTGTGTTAAGCTCATTTCATATTTAGGATATTGAAAAGCCACTTTTCATTTTCTAGTAGGCTAGTCAATTTTTTATTTAGATGTACATATAAATTGGTATTTTAATTTACCCAGGTTTTTTGCCAGTGAATTGTTTGAGATATTTTTTCAACCATGAAATTTCTTAGGTTGAGTTGTTATGGACGCTTTTAATATCATATGTTAAAAACAATACTGTCAACCTCTGGGGATGAAATGGTTGTTTCCACCCACTTACTGTTTAGCCTTTGTTTAGCCTTTGTTTCAAGATTTTTGCTCAAACATTTTAACAGAATATAAACATTTTTTTAAATGAGAGCTTTACATGATCTATTAACCTTTTTTGTTTATGAAATCATTCTCTGTACCATAAACCATACACAAGGAGCTAAATATTTTTTAATTCATAAAATTCAATGTTGTTGTTGGAGGTAAAGTTTCTGTGAGCTTTGTTAGGAAGCTTCGCTGCAGTAACTGAGGAGCTGAGCAAATGGTCTAGAATGTGTTGAAATTGCCAGGATTGGCTTGAAAAGTCCAACACTGTTTTCTTTGAACTTTATGGTTCAATATAATGATCATTGGCTTTTGACTCAGGAAACTGTAGTTTTCAATCTAGTAATTACAATGGGGCAGCACCCTTGCTCAAAATCATCCTTATGTCAACCTTGGCCTAATGAATAAATATATTATCTATTTATATATTGAGAGTTGAAAAAACAAACTTTTTTCATCTCTACAAGCCTGTTTGATGTGGAAATCAATCTACATGGAATTTTTCTTCCGCTCATTACATAAATCATGCTCAACATATCTACATATTGAGCACTGTACCACAGACACACAAAAGCAGATATTTCTAATATTCATATTTGCATACAATAATGATTGAACCGGTTGATGATTCCTCATTGAAATTATGAGACAAGTTCCAGCAAAATGACCAGTTTAGATATAGATATATTGTATGTTATGAGTATTATTGTAACATTTTCATGACAAAGGCCTAACAAACAAACACTGCCTTGACATGTGGGTTAACACTTCTATTGTGTCTGTAAAGATAAGGGGCTCAATAAATTGGATTGCAGACTACATTCTTATTACTTAAGCCTTTCTGATAAGTAAAATATGTTAATGACCAGATACCCCATTCTTTTGTCCTTCTAAATAGATTTAATCTTGTTTTCTTGGATCATGTCTAATGCAAGTTACTTTTTTCAGCTATGTCTTTCGGCAAAGCTGTACAAGGCTGGGTCAATGGGCCATTGGCTATGTAACAACGCAAGGAACCATTTTGCAGACAATCCCTCAAAATAAAACTCTGATGCAGGCTCTTGTTGATGGGGAGAGGGAATTATTGTGAGTATTTCTATGATATCCCCATCAATAGTTTGAGTAAGGTCAGTAAAGGAATGCATAATTGTCATCATCTCTCTTAATGGTACCTCAAAGGTTGAGACAGCAATAATGTTTGCCATTTCTTCCTTTATTGACATGAATGTTTTATTGTATTAGTGTTTGAACTGAATGTAAACATTATAATTTTTGATAACAAGTTATGTAAAGGTTGTGGTTTTTCAAGACACTGTCAATTTACCATACAACTGTAAAAGTGAAAAAGAATATCAATGCAGGTCAAGGTGAAATATCGGTTCTGGGATGAGGCTAACAAATGCCTTCACGAAATAAATATTAAATAGATAAATATTTGAAAATATCAAGTTGCATCAGAGGCTCCCCTTTTTCCAGATTTCTGGTGAAATTTGAATGAGCAATTTCTAAACAGAACTACAATCAAAAAATCTTTTTTTGCTGGAGAATTTGTCTCCTTGCTCCCTGCCCTCCTCTGGAATCCTATCGCCACGATGCCCATGTTGTCTGTCAATGTTCAGATTTATTTTGACCGGTCAGTGTCCACGCAGTGCCCAAAACGTTTGATGTATTTTGGTACTGACCTCAACATGGTAGTTTATTTTACGTTTTGACACAGCCTCCCTAGCATGTCTCTTAACCCTACTACTGTTTACTGTAATTCCAATCGTTCTTCTAAAGTTACGTAACTAGTTTTCAAACACTTCTTGAAAATCTTGCCTAATTTAAATACCATTGGTTCTTTATTTAATCGTCGTTGTCACTTAGTTGTATGTTCAAAGAGTTCTTAGTTCACGTTTTGACATGTATTCGCAAAGCGGGTCTTCGGATTAAATTGCTCAGCACTGCTTCCAATATTCTTTGATCCTTTACACAATGAGAAACACACAAATGAGATTAGAGACAAGATGTAGTTTGAGGCAAGGCATCCGTATAAAACTTCAGGAAGGAGGCTTGGCTAGGAAAAAGTTAATGATACAAAATCCTGAGCAAAGCCCATTTCAAAACATCCAAAGTGTCATTCAAGACTGCTTTTGACATCTGTAAACATAACTTCCTCATCGTTTAATGGACAACTAACCCTTCAGTTTCCGGAACGTAGTCAATCATAACCATTAACTGCCTCTTCAGTCAGTCCATTTTTTATCTATAATCATTCGCCAGTTCAAAGGCATCTTGCTTTCAAATTATTAACAAGAAGTTATAATTTCTTATTTGTTTATGGACTGGCTTATATGTAGATCATGAAAACGTTTTTTGGCACACTACTGAATCTATGAGACTTGAGTATCTGTGACAGCAAACTTTGGTTTGAAACGTCCCAACAGAAATTACCTAGGAAACATGTTTTTGGGAGCGTTTATTTTCTTGTCATAACTGGCATTCACCTTGCCAGGGATTTAAAGAAAGTGACTTAAATTAATGTTCTGGGTATCCCAAAGGGAGAGCAAAAAAAAATAATAATAATGGGTTATGAATGCCGAAATATACCTTTAACAAATAATTTAATTTTTGCTGAGCCTCGATATTTATTCAAATTTGTTATTGTGGGCCTAAGATTGTTATCGGATCATTCTTAAGTTAAACAATGTGTGGTTTTGATAATAATGGTGTAAAAATTTAATTTTTGCTACTGTTTTCCTTCATCGTGGAAACATTTTAGAGGATGAAACATACCAACTTGAAGAGTGAAGCTCAATTTTCTGCGTGAAAGCCACACCTGTCTTGTTTGCACAAAGACTCTAACAAAGAAAATATAATATCAATTTTTAGCCTGGTTAAAGTGGGAGGTTAATTGAATTATCCGGTAGACTGGTAATTTTGATATTATTCATATCTAAAATTTCAGTTTAATGTATTTAAGAGCGGTAAAAATTGCTTTGTTTGTAGTTATTTGTATCCGAATGGACGTGAGCCCAACCCAAATTTGCAAGAATATCTTACACCACGATCTCAACATGTAATCAAGGTAACGGAGGAGCAATACGAACTCTATGTTGAAATGGGATCGACCTTTCAACAATGCAAAATATGTGCTGAAAATGATAAAAACGTGAAAATAGAGCCGTGCGGTCACCTTATGTGCAACATGTGCCTAATGCAATGGCAAGAATCGGGTGGTGATGGTATGGTTTATCTTTTTATAATTCTTGACATTGGATTCCTCTATTGAAGTACCTCTCTCGTATTGTTGCACCTGACAGAGAAAACATTCTTTCTACCACTGTCTCGTCTGATTCCAATCTGCCTGATTGTACCCTTCCTTTAGTCATCCAGATCGTACCCTCCCTTTCATATTGCGTAAACCAGAGGGCTCGGTATAACAGATAATAGGTAGCGTAAGTTACAATAAACAAAACTGAACAGAATAGGCTATTAATCGCTAAAGAAATAGTTTGCAAAATCTAAGGGGTGCTCGAGCACCCTTCGCACCCCTCTGAATCCGCCCTTGAACTCTCCATGGTTTTGCACAGTATTTCTTCTTAAAAATACTCTTGATAGAAAAGAGTCTCATCTTGCACATGCCATTGGTCTTTTTATAGAAATGAAGAAGCTCTATTGAAAGAATGTCAGATTTTTAAGAATATTTTCGGGCATTTTAGCTACTTTTGCATTCTGTCTGTCCCTTTCATAATTTCATCACTGCTCACATTTGCTTTGCAAATAAAGATTAATGTTAAATATACAAGCCTTTTGATTTTGCTAGAACATGTCATTTATTAATGTTAGGATTAACTTTCCTTCTTTCTACCCGAACAATGTAAAGTACATAATTTTGGAATATGTAATAATTCGTTAAAAGGGTAAACAATCTCCCTTCCACCCACCACCCCATTTTTGCCGCTTTCTTTGAACATGATTTGTAGAATCTAATTTTACACTGACTCTCCATCTCAGTGTCATCGCATATTTTGCTTTTTCAGGATGCCCATTTTGCCGATCAGAAATAAAGGGCATCGAGCATGTTTTAATAGACCCTATGCCGCAACATAGAACTGATTCAAAGAAAAGGCCAGTTATCGAGAACCTACCTGGCCATTATTCAGACGACGAAAACGAGGTAAAAATAATTTTAGTTTTCAAACATTTATTGGAGAAAATTGTCGTCAAAATCTCTCACTCTCTTTAAGGCGGATCTCCACCAGACGATTTTTAAGAAGATCGTCAGAAAACTTTCGTTTCGTTTCGTGCTCTGTTCGTGAAAATATTATCTTAACGAATGTCAAGGCTTTTGACGATCATCACAATATTAGTTAATAGAATTCAATAAATTTTCAGACTTTTTGTCAACGTGAAATGGATTCACAGTACAGATAAATGGAAGAAAACGTCTTTCCTCAAACAGTGTTAAACCGTTTACTTTGAAGCTTAAGTTCTCAGTAAAATATGAGAGGCCATCACCATCAACGTTGCAGAGTTAGGACTCCGCAAACATTGAATAATTTCACAGGGTCTGTGTAATGATAAGGGAAAGTTAATAAATATTGAAAAAAAAATAAAAAAGGGGAACACATTAACGTAAGTAAAAATACCTAAACTCGATATTTCCTTCGTTTATTACCTTGATCATGAAAACGCTGTGGCAGTTTGGTAGCCATCATTTTTTTTGGGCATGCTGCGATACACGCTTCTACAAATAGAACAACGTTCGTCGCGCGGTTGACGATCGTCTAGTGGAGTTTGGAGATCCACCTTTATGAAACGGAATACCGACCTGTAATTTAACAAAGGGCCTAAATTTTGTATTAAGTAGTAACTTTTTCAGTTATCACCTGAGGTAATATCTTGCGTTGAAGTTGATGATATCCGTTATCACGTACACCGGATTTTTGGAGGGTTCTTTACTGTATGCGTAAGATTGACATCATAGTCAATATGTTTCTTATGGCCAGGTTTTGTTAGATTGAATCCTGGTACCTCTGCATGTGCACATTCAGATAAACTCTCCTAAGTCGGACCAGTGGATTCCAGCAGTATCTTCCCCTCGGATCTCTTCCCCTCGGATCATTCGACTTCAAATTTTTAGTACTACTTCATCTTTAGTTTTTATTGATCATCTTTCTTCCAGCATTTAAGTTTCTTTGCTCTCTCTCCCTCTCTCTAGGATCAATCATATACTAGCGAATCACGATCAAAGTTCGGCCACAGCTCGGCTGTTCCATCGTCACAGAATCCAAATTTATTATCACCTACATCACCTCCACAAACCCCAATCGCCGAGAACAGTGACCAACCCCCACCACTACCTGATCGGAAGCCAGCTACATTTAGGTTTCCACTGCCTGGTCGACGGTCTCCATTTAGTTCTCCACGTGGCTCCCCATTTACATCCCCAGCTCAATCTCCCAGAACGTCACCCTTTACCTCGCCTAAGACTTCTCCAGTAGGGTCCCCCGTTAATGTTTCTAGAAAAATGCCGCCACCACTGCCTCCTTCAGACTACCCAAATGAAAACGAGGAACCACCCGTAATTCCACCGAAGCCGTCTTTCTCAGAATTGCGGAAAACGTACCGGTCAAGACGCGTAAATAGTAATCCCCATGGAGATAGTGCAGTAAGTATACCTGAAAATCTGATAAGGAAACAGTTATCAAAATCCCATGATCCTTTACCAGTGACTAGTGTAGAAGAGGATGCAAGGATTTCTCATTCGTTGTCAGAACATTCGTCTTACTTTCATAAACCTGATTTTGCAAGCAATGACGAGATTCATGTCGCCGGTGAATGTATTGAAGATGAAAAATTGAAGGATACATCGCCACACGAGAAAGAACAATTTGACATGATTGAAGGTCTGGAAACAGACAACGTGGCTCTGGACGCACCACCAATACCTCTCCATCGTATGCCTCCAGATGGTGCTTGTAAGAAACTAGACGTTGCTAGTCAAATTGTTAACCCTAATTCTCGAAATCTCGGAGCCGTCGAAAACATTACGTCGAAGGATATATCGGATAATTCGGTGAAGCTACGGCCTGCACGAGAACCTATCCAGAACAAGATTAACAGTAAGGACTCAAAAGGAGGTTCTGCAAAGCAAAAACAAACGACGGACAAGAAAAAGGGAAGTTTGTTGGACCAAAATACCGAGTTTCGTGGAGATGAAGATGTGAAGAAGATAGTTAATAACCAAGAGATAGAGTCTTCGTTGCTTCCCACTCAATTATACGAACCTCTTTATTTGGCTGAAGAATCAGTCCCAAACCCCTTTAACCATCATGTTTTAGCTCTAAGCGAGGATAGAAGACATTCCTGTCCAGTTCCGGTAGAGCAGTGTCCAGATCAAGTAAATGATTGGAATCGAAGTGCAACTTTGGACCGGTCGAAACCAACCCGAAAAGAGAACCTTAGCGATCAACCCAATTTTAACAAGCCATTGCCCATCCCTCCAGGGAAGACATTAATGGAACTGCAGCGTCGATATTCTGAAGATAAATCGGATACAAACGGAGCAATTTGGGACAGTAATAAACAGAGCACTGAAGTTTGGAAAACAGATTTTTCGAGAGCTGACCCAGCCGTTGCTGATTCTGACCAACCTGCACCAGTTCTTCCAGTTAAGAAAAGGCAGTCAATGAAAATGAAAAAGAAGGACGACGACAAAATACAGGAAGATTTTTCTCTGAATGCCAGCTCACGTAGAGTTGATGGATCAAGAGACGGTTTTGAAAAGGACGGTGTATACTACACCCTGCCGAAAGATATCCCACCTCTTCAGGAGGTGAGTAAGGAAATTGATTTCTTTAATGAGGATGACGGGGAGAATGCGACTCCTCTTTACGAATCGCCCACCAAGGTGATAAATGCACCGATGCCTACCAATGGGGAAAATGGAACTAGTGGATGCTTAGGGTTTGAGGACGATTTCTCCAGCATGTTTCCAACGGTTAACAACACAGTGAACGATCCTTTTCACGATGATGAATTCTTTAGATTGCCACCGCAGCCAGATGCGCGGGATTCTATTGCCCCGCCACCGAGCAATCAGCCCACAAGATCAGCACGGTCAAACAAACGAGTATTAACTAGCAACGAAGCTACTACTGAAGAGAGGCTGGATTCCCTTTTTGACCAGAGAACCGGGCAAACCATTGTTGCCGGCCCCGGTAGATTCTTTCAGCCCGGACAATCTAGCAATAACGAGAGACACATTAAGTTTTACGAGGAAGATTTTAACATATTGATGGCTCAAGGTTACTCCAGGGAACAGATAACCAGGGCGTTAGTTATTGCAGACAATAACTTTGCGTTGGCACGTAGAATCTTGAAAGGTTTTGCTTCACCAGCGAAGTGACTTGCTTCATTTTAAAACTTAGGTCGGAAGTTAGTTATTGATATTTCATTGCAAATTTTATACCGTTGATTTGACTTAACAAAATAGGCTGAAATTTATTTCGAATGTCAAATTTTTGTCGGTTTGAAAGACTAGTTTCGGTTTGCTTCTATCGCCAGAAGCTTTACATGTTTACCGTACTTTTATTCATAAAACCTAATCGGATTAATTTGGTTCCTGCTAGGTAATTGCTCGAAATATATCATTGTCTCGAGTGTCATTATTTTCCGTTCTCCGGATATAAGAGCTATGAGTTATGAATCTGGAAAGGTTGTTGTAGTAAAAAATTTTGTCTGAATAGACGATTTATTGTTAATTTAATTTTTTCCTTCATGTCACTTGCTTTATCTAGGGTACAAAATTGAAACTGTTATTCCGCTTGCATCATTTTAGTTTGAACTGTTGAGTGCTAAAATCTTTTAGAGTGTTTCGGAATACTTTTAATGAACTATTTGTGTTGATGGCGAGGCGTACACAATTTAGGCTCAATTCTCCAGTCATTCCATTGGGTTTATTTAAACTGGGACAACTATTTTAGTTGTTCAAGTACTTCCCGATTTTAGTACGTTGTCGTTTGTCGAAACTTTGAGTAGGTTTAATCGAACATAAAATGCAGTTTGCGAATAATTACGATAATAATGATAATAATAATAATACCCCTTCAACTTTGCATAATTGCTATGAATAGATTATAAAACTTATATAATTGACGTCATATCTTGACCCTGTCACCCTAGAAAAATTCAAGAAAATGGCATATTTATCACAATATTAAGTTGTAAGTTAGAATTTAGGCATTGGTTGCTAAAGTGGTTATCATAGATGACCGCCTTGTTTGACATTTTCTGAACTTGTAGTTTCACAGCTGTACTTTTCAAAAACTCTGGAATATACCGTAATCTCGTTTTACACTGTAAGTTGTGTTGCTTGTCGCAACAAAACAAAGAATCTTAATGTAGCAATAGTTATGAATATTGATTTCTCGTCGTGAACAGTCTTTACACTACTGTCTCATTTTGATATACCTTAAACCTCTCGCAAAGCGTGTAGTAAGTCCCTGTTTGATTGATACGTGGTTCAATTGTAAAAACGTTTCCCTCAGAACTGTCAAGAAATAAAAGATATGAGACTGCATAAAGCCAAGATTTTTTAAGGATATTGCTTTTCCAGTCAAAAAATTCTTACCCAGAAATGAATTTAGAAACATTTAAAGATGGCCTGAATCTCGTTCAAATTATCATCTGCCTAGTTCATCTGCATTGAAATTACTTGGCATAATTGTTTTCAAGACATCTTTTCAATCTTTTTATTTGCCCTAGGAAACGCAAAATACAAATTTAGGTTTAGTAAAGTCATCAGGTCTTCTTTCTTTTAGCAGTGGCACAACCAGTGGGGATGGGTGGGTATATATCAATATCCCCTGGTAAATTCGTAGAATGGTTTGGCAATAAAAGCTCAGAAAGAGCTATATCTTCACTTCCCTACGTTGATTTACACACAGTTCAACTTGTTGAAAGCTAAAAAAAGGATTCTTTATATCTAGGTGACTTCATACCCTTTAGATTTTTTTTTATTACGCCATTAGTGTGTGGGGATTTTTAGTTATTCCGCAAGACTCAGTGAAATGAAAATGAGTGATTCATGTTAAAAACTGACAAGAAGTCTACTTGCTCAGGAGCTACTTAATGAGTACCTCTAGGTACAGTACTGGGACCAATGTTAATTTTGGTATACACCAATGACCTCACAGTAAAGGTAAAAATGTAGATTTGGCTCTTTACTGATAACCTTTATTTACATGGATCTGCATTGAAATTACTTTGCATAATTTTTTTCAAGATATCTTTTCAATCTTAACTACAGTAGAAGATGAAAAATTATGAAAGCAGACCTGGATGCCTTGGTGGGAAAAGAAATGGTTCGTGGAAACTCGTCTGGAGAAATACAAACAGGTGAAAGAAACACACACAAAAAACTGAAACAAATCAAAACATTATATTGCAAAATATCTGCATGAAATGAAAAATCAAAAAGAAGATCCCAAATACATTGGGTCATTCTCAAACTGAAGCACATATGAAAACGCATTTATTCAATGCGCGATGTGTGCAAACTAAACGGGAGCTATACCTAAACATTGCAACCAGTGGCGGCGCCAGCTAGCACAGAATAAAAGGGGTAATGGGCGCGGCCAGTGAGACCGTGCCCCTAGCGCTTTTTATTCCATTTTTAAAAGAAATATATAGACCATATTGTCAGAAAACTGGGCGGGGGGTAATTACCCTCCTTGGTCTTACCCTCCCCCTAAATACCACTCCTTGGCGCCGCCACTGGCCCCAACTTGAACATACAAATTAGAGAGCTGCCATATTTATCTCCCTTGGACCAGGGATTTATTTACCCCTCTTTTCAGAGCAAAAGCTTTGCCAGAACATAAGTAACCTCCAATTAGCTTGATTCCACTTTTAGACGATCATCTTGAAAAGAAAACCCCTACAGGCATCACGTAGCAAGAGGGCTAGGGGCTTTCGAAACTGCAAAAACTTCACAATGAATCACCATTTATGCCTCTTTTTATTCTGTAGCCCTCCCTCCACACTTTCTTAGACCCCCCTCTTTTCTCAATGCTGCGCGGTGCCTGCCAAGCCCTCTTAATAACATCTGTTTATTGACCTGCGGTGATTGATGTTAGAGAAACTTTAAAAGGTGTAGAAAAGCACAATTGTCAATGTTGTAGGAAGGATAGAATTATTGGGGCACCATTGTTTTAGAACAAAGGTAAAGAAAGAACTGTTCATTGAATACAAAGGATTTCTTGTCCCCCAAATATCCTTTGGGAGGCAGAAAAGAAAAATATTAGTAACGACTGTGTTTGATAGGCAGAACAAAAAAAGAACATTTTTTATCGTGACGGGATACAACGAAATGAATACACCCCCAAAGATTTAGGAGGGAGGCCACAAACCAAACCTGCATAATTTATTCATAGGTCACGTGGTCACACTGGCATGCCGTTATTCTTTGAAAGGCCACCATTTGCATTTGAAACTGATTCAAAAATCCAAAACGAATACTGCTTAAAACATCGTTATTTTGTCGAAAAGGAGTGATCTATTGGCCCTCTTTCAGAGCAGTATCGCAGCTAGGTGAAAGTTTTATTTCGACGAGTTAGCCGGTCGAAAGGCCACGGAATTGGTTGAAAAGAAGTGCTGCGTTGATTGCCATTGTTGTCGTCTTCTCCTACTACACGCACATCACAAATTCGAACAAGTACTCGGGGTTTCTCCATCCGCTTGAAGGAAGCTCAGATGGCGACTCTTCAAGGTAAGGCGTTTCGAAACATAATCAACACAACCTTCTTCTTTCCTTAAGAATAATGCGTAGTTTCTTGGGGAATGGGGATGGAAGGGAATGGAACCCAGATTCCGTTTTCTAGTTTCTAGGCCATTGGAAAACGGCGCGCCATTTCTTCACCAGACTCTGCAAAGGGAACGCGGATTTTTACCCAGGACTCGAATAAAAGCACGGGGTGAGAATCGGTCGAAGGCACGTTTGAAAGGCAATGAATTCAAGAGAGAAAATATAGTTTCTCCGCTGTGCTTTAATGAGTCCTTAGGATTTGCAAGTTTGTTTTCAAATTCCTACCGTATTAAACCTGGAATTATTAATCATTAATTTTTACATATAATATATTTGCGTCAAATGATTATCACACGAGAAAATGTCAAACGGTTTTGCTTAGTTATAGTTCTCCTTCACATGTCTCAAATTCACAGCTTGCAAAATTTTTAGTATAATAATTGTAATATCAAATAACTAAACTACAAGAAGAAGGTACAAGTAAGGCAAAGAAATATAGTCAATAGGTAAATCAGCTGGTAATTGATACAAAAAACAAAGCAAGGGAACTAACTGTATACAGAAAATTATTTAAAGAAGGAGCTCTAAGTGAAAAAACAATTGTAGGAGACTAATTTTAAACAGTGTCATGCAATTTAAACAGTGTCATGTAACATTTGATGGAGCTAAGCTCTGAAACTCCTTGCTAGAGGAACTTAAAATTACTCGCAACAAAAATGCCTTCAAAAGAATGATGAGAATTTACCTGATACAAAACTTTTAACCACCTAAAACCTTAATTACACTTCTCAACCCTCCCTACACCTTTACTGGTTACTTATGACCTTATTATTATTATTCTTTTCTCAATTTTCTTTACTGTTCTGTTATGTTCAATTCAAACTAAAATCTATACATAATTGTATTAAGTATGTCAAACAGGGCACGTGACTTGATAGCTCATCGTGAGTTTTTGTGTGTCCTTCAGCGTTATAAATTACCAATTGATTTTCTGATCTTACTTATTGTTCTAATTTTAAATTTCTAGTAATTGTATTTTAAATCAGTATATTGTAATTAACTTGTTTGCTTGCTGAAAAAGATTTTGAGTTTTAATTTTAATTAATATGACTATTATTGTCAGACAATCTTCCTAAACCAATATACTAGTTTTTAAAAGCTTAATACTTGAGAGTTTGCTAATATATGGGCTAGTGCAGTGAAAAATCAGTACATCTGTATAAGAGTAGCCAGGGTGCTGAGATTGGAGGGGCAAAAGCAAATTGGGCCAGAGAAAAATGCAGGTCCAAGCCTTTTGCAATGCTAGAAGATGCCCTTTTCCAAAGAGATTTTCAGTCATTGGGAGGGCAACTGCTCCATCTTGCCTCACTATGTGGCTGCACATCTGACTATGTAAAACTGATATTGAAGACTAATTCGAATTTATTTGCCTGCAAGCAGAAATGCACGAGTAAGATAGGGTAACTTATATTCATTAAAAAGTCTGAAAAATGGCAAGTTGCCTTATACTGAGTTCCCACCTACAATCACTGCCAATATTACTTGAAACACCTAACACTTTGCGCTATGCTTTTCTATTTTTCATTTATTTTCTTGCATACAACAACTTCCGCCCCATTTCCCCCCAAAACAATGTTGAAAGTATAGAAAAATATCAAACAATCCACAAGAAAAAGTGTACTCCATAACACCTTTCTTTTTTCTAAAGTAAATCAACATTGTTCCTTGGGGGAGAGGGGGATGGCTGAATTTGGCTTTGAAAACCTATGTTAGTATGTATGTGTATGTGTGATTGTATGTATGTTATGTACTCTTGGATTTGTGAAAGCAGTATATCAATATAATCATGAACTAGAATTGCATGTAAAAATGAACAAATGACATAACAATTGCTGAGAGTGATGTAAAATGATGATATTATAGTTAGCAAATAAATAGAGTACCAGAATGAAAATAAAACCGTTTGATTGTTAAAAACACAAAAACAAGAATGGAAGGAATCATTAGACACATTTAATTAGTCAATTTTTAACTTCTATCTTGATTTTGCCTGTCAAAAACAAAGGAGACCAAGTCAGGTGGTCAGGAATTGTTGCTTAACTTTCTTGTTGATATTGAGACAGTTGGAACATTTGAAACGTGGCAAGTAATCTGAAGTTATTTCTTAAATCCTGTTCTTTAGTATTCTATTGGCTTCAGGAAACCTTTTGATTGAGAATTCTTTATTGCAGATGCTGCTTCACAGCAGGAGCCCACTAAAATAAAGACAGAAGATGATTTGGAAGAAGCTCAAGCAGAAAATAAAAGCTATTTATCAACCAGAGATGGTCTTGAAACTCAGGACCCAGATGAATTGATGATAACAGATGAGTGCGAAGATTCAGAAAATATCAAACCAGATATTAAAGACAATGAATCAAGTGATGTTAAGGTAGGCTCTGGTGCCTTGTTGAATGGGTGTCTTTGCATACACCCTCCAAAGCTGTAAATTGTTTTTATGGTTTTTAAGAAAAGACTCTAAGGCTCAGGTTACTTAAGCTAAAAAGCTATATACTTATTTCTTTATTGTCAATTGGACACCAGCTTAATTATTATTTCTATTCTAGACCTGTTTATACATTCTTTTAAAACTTTCAATCATTATTTGAGGTCTCATGCCCTTGGAAAGGTATGAAGTGAAAAGTTCTTGATTTCCCAATTTCTATTGCATGCTTTTTACACCAATTTGAAATTCCTACCTTTTTTACTAAACAGAAATTAAAACTTTGATTTTTCCATATGTTTCTATCTTTGTCATTTTGTTCTTAACAATGTCTAAGAAATAGAAATTTGTTACAATTGAGTTGGAGCCCCATTTTATCAAGTTACTGCCATTTTTTTAATTTATTATGATGTGTTCTATAGGAAAAAGAAAGCTCTGAGCATGGCTCTCTTGATGCAAGCCAACAGCCACCTGATTTGTTCACTGGTACATTTCAAGAAGATTCAACAAATGCTCATGTGCTTGACAGACCACCAGAGGAAGCAGATGTTTATTTGGCAACCCCAGACAGCAAGTTTCCACAATCATCTCTGTCAGGTAGTTTAAAAGACAGAAATGATGCAGTGGCTGCAGACACATGCACTGATGTTAACAAAGTTACTTCTGATGAAACTGGGCTTAATTTGTCAGGTAAGAATCTGCATTTAATTGGTTGATTTTTTACCACTGATACCAAACTTAAGAATCTTTGGATTTGCACATTTTTAAAATCATAAATTCATTGAAGGTGGTATTGTGAAAGCAGTATGTAAGAAGGGAAAAAAATCAATATCATGTTAGCATATATATATTGATAGCAATAACAAATGATTCATTCCCAAATATTATGTAAGAAAGGTTCTTGGTGCTATAACAAATTTTTGCTTTCGTTAAAGTTTGATGTTTGAAAAATTTCACAAAAGTGGTATGCAATTAGAAAGGAAGGAGTGTTTGAAGCCATTCTTTAGATGTTAGATTGGCAAAGTGCTTGGTTTAGCTCTTGCTGTATCCATTGATGCTGCCAAGTCGATGCTATTTGTCACCATGCATGTTACTCATATGTCATCATGGTGATCGCTTGGGTATAGAATCATGGTTTTGCAGGCCTAGTTTTTGATCACCAGTCCCAAGTGTTACTGAAGAAGAATTAATGAGGAGATCACACATTTATAAATTGAATTGAATCACTAAGACTTTTTTTGATTTTTTTTCAGTAAGTTGCAAGTTAAAACATTTTTTATACTCTACTGTCTTTTGAAAGTGTTAGTGGTCCATTAAATTATTGGTATATATAAAAAAGGGCTTGTGTCATTTGCAAGCCAATGGATTTGACTGCCATGAGTCCTTTCAATTCATGTATGATTGAGCATAGGAAATGAACAATACATGTAAATCTTGCACATGGAACAATTTTTTTTCCAAAGGTTCTTTTCCAAACTCCAGAACTTTGTAAACACTGAATTATAAAACTTTTCACAGATGCTGAGGTGAAATCTAGTGTACAGGATGACAGAGAGATGCAAATATTATCTGATGCATCAGTAATCTCAACCTCACAGGAATCTCAGTCAACAGAAACTCCAGTTGTCACAATGCAGGCAATTGAGAACCAAGGAGGACAGCTTTATCAGCAACAGCCAACATATGTGCTTTTACAGACAACTGGGGACCAAGATGGCAATGGACAGCCCCAGGTATTCCTTGCTATGCAGACAGGTTCTGTATCAGGACAGGATTCACAGGTATGAATAAGAGAAATATCAAGAGAGAAAAAGAGCCACTTAGGAGGATCATTCTTTAACAAGGAAGCATAAGCATGAATTTTAATGTTTGCTGAAGCTTCAAGATTTAAATTGGCACATTGAAGAACATATAGGAGCATTCACTTCATGTACTACAGTCTATGTCTTAGAGTAGCAAGCATTTTGTTGTCCTTATTATGTTGATATCTATATCATCATATTTTTAGCAAATTAAGAAGCATTTCAACTTAAAGCTTTGGTATCTTTCTCTGAATCATTTAACTCCAAGTAAATGCTATGCTATTTATCCACGTTTTTTATAAAGGAATTTCTGAATTGATGCATAATTTTAGGCAGTGGCTGACACCTGGGAGGCAAGGGGGAGCAGTCATCCCCCCAAATTTTATAAATTGCCCCCCCCCTCACAATATTCAACCAAGTTTCCGTCCCTGAGTTTAGGCAAGCTGTGGCGAACTGGCCACTTAAAGTTTGGCCTGTTTCGGAATGTGACCATTTCGTTTCCCTTTTGAAAATCAAGAACTCATTATTTATGCAAACTTTTGAATAATTTTGAGCCCCTTGGATCCAAAGAGTGATGAAAGATTTTGAGGTAGTAAGGCTTTGTATTCAGACATACAAGGAGCTATATCTACATAGAAATGATGAGAAAACACTTTAGTTTTTTTACTCTTATTTAACGCAATCAGTCTTTGTCGGCAACTTATTTGTGAAATATTTCCACAGGCTTATATAACACTGCACCCAGTTTCTGTGGAAGGTCAGGAAATCACAGGTGCTTTGTCCACTGAAGGTCTTAATCTTCAGCAAGCAGTCTTTTCACAATCAGGTATATCTGGTGATGTATCGCTGGAGCTCAATCCTCATGTTTCCTTGGCGGATGTCAAAGGACTACAGTTGTCCTCAGTATCTGATGCTTCTTCACAGGTACTTCAAATGCTTTTGGTATTAAATTATGATTGGCACAATTGGCACAGAGCTTTGAAGTCAACAAGTAGTCACACACTTTTTCCGTTTCTATTCATATTGCTGCAAAAGTTAACAGTATAGTACAAAAGTTAACAGTATAGGGGAATGGTAGAGGGAGAGAAATTGCAAGTTTTTTTATTAGATGCGGGCAAAGGTGGTAGTATTAATCCCTAGTATTATCAAAGATTGGTCAAAAGAACATTTGAACTAGAACATTTGAAATTCTGATGCCAGTACTTGTCTACCTTATCATATTTATGTTGATTGGATTGGTTAATCTTACAGTAAAGAACCCAAGATGATGTCCCAAAATCAGAGATGAATACATAAGCTCTATACCTTTACATCAACTCTATACAAAATACAACATTCTATACATTTTTCTAGCACCTCACTACCCCAAGACCTCTCTTTTACTGTTGGTTGTTTTATAAACTGTGAACTTTGTCATACAAAACACACTTTTCCGATTTTTCTTCTCAAATTGTGAAATTTGAGAAGCAATGAATTTCAAGGACGAAATGAAACTTTTTTTGTAGATGTATATTCCTGCATCCGGCCATCTTGTTACATCCAGTGATGGAGATCCGACCGGAAGTGGTGTAATAACATACATCCAACCAGTTAATTCAATGAGTGGTGGACACACCCAAGTATTGATGGCTGTAGCAGAAGACGAATCAGAGACATTGGATAATGGTAATTCTGTCAGGATCAGGGCCAAGGAAGCGGCAACTATTGCTGGAAACCTCATTGGTGGTTAGTCAATAATTTCTTTGTTGTACGTTTGATATAAGTTTGATGTTGCCTGGTAGCTGACAAATTCATGGCTGAAATCCCTGTAACCTCTTTTAGTTTGGCTGATAATTTATTATGCAGCTTTAGCTACAAGTAATAAAATATAAATAGTATGCTTCGCTATCATGACTCGTTACCATCTATTTACATGTTCATTATGAAGTTCAATGTAAAAATTATAAACTGATTCCGTGCAAAGTTTCTATAGGTTTTTGATAAATGGTTTTCTTTACTTATAGATCTTCATTTAAAAAACAACGCTTCCAATTTTTAATGAGCTATGATTAAAATATGATATCTCTAGGAATAAACGAATTCATTGTTGATAACTTTATACAGCCAGAAATAAGTTGAAGTAATAATATTATTAGGGTGTTTTTTATGCCTGAAGAGAGCCGTTTACTTTTTAGAAAACACAGTCTCTTTTGGTTAAAAACTTATTTTGAAATAGCATATTTCTTTTGAATTGGTTAGTTCCCGTCCCCATACAACCGCCTAGCCCTCCTGCGCAAGGACAGAAGCAAGTTCAAGGCGCACAAAATGCTGTCTCAGTGGCGGCTTCTGCGCAGTCACGAAGGCGTCTCAGCAACGACCCCAGGACATGCGATGAATGCGGAAGATCGTTCAAGTATCCGTCGGATTTGAAAAAGCATCTTCAAATACACACAGGTTTGTATTTCCGTCTCTTTATCTAACTCACAAAAATTTTGTGTGGTCAGCTGCATTGGAAGTCAATAAAGTAATGTATCAAATGAAAATTAAAATGTAAAATTTAGTGATCGATTCTTGTTAAGATTCCATACCAGGAGCATGTAATAACAATTGATTTCTTTAGCAGTTGTACCCACTTCTAGTATGGCTCTGCCTTCAAAGATTGATTTGAGATTAAAGTTCTGCTAGAAACTGGGCGTCAGTTGTTTTCAAATGTGAGATGGTTCTATCTAAAGTTCAAGTATGAACAACAATACCAAGTAACACAAAAGTGCACACACTTCACTGAGATTGTCTGGTCAGCAATATTGCAAATCACCACTGCATTAATCCTTATGGTTTTCTGATTATGTTTTTATCGTAGCCTTTTTCTCGAAATCGTATCAATTTTGCTGTTATTTTACAGATATGAAGAAATTTCAGTGTGATGAATGTTGTCGATGTTTCCGAAGGCTTCACCAATTAAATGTTCATAAAAGGATACACAGTGGGGAGAAACCTTACTCATGTAACAGGTGAAATACCTTTTTTAGAATTTCTGCCATTCGACCTCTTGTACAATTACTAAAGAAATTCCCCCTTCCTGGAAACACAATAAGTTTTATCAAACTTCCAGCGAAAAGAATCAAGGAAACCAATCACTAAGCTACTAATACAGGAAGTTTGTAGGAATTCTAGCTTAGTTATCTATTTTGATGCACATCTTTTCTTGTGCATGCACAGAAAAAACTTCCTTAAATATTTTTTCAGCTCGTTATCCCGGGAAAGCTTTCCTTGTGATCCCATGCTTTATCGTCTTCTTTTCTTCAGTCCACCGAGTCATTATATTCTTAACTGAAAATCGACAATGGTTAAAGCATACCTTAAGATCTTGTATTGTTGATGAAAATTTTGTTTAAAGAAATCACAGCATTTTGATAAAACATGTCAAATACCACTGCAGTTACCTATACAGTATTTTATGAGAGGATTTATTCTTTTTAATATTTCAATTATATAGGGTACTGGTGTATTTACCTGGCTGAAAAAAGATGATTTGATTTTGATTTGACCATCATTATTATGCTGTTGTTGTCCCTATTGCTTATGTGTTTTGTTTACGTTTGCAGATGTGGCGCTCAGTTTCGACACGATTCTACCCTAACAATGCACATCCGCACTCGACACGATCATCTGAAACCTTTTTCGTGTGAAGGTTGTGGCAAGAATTTCGGCAGAATGTCGCATCTTCGAAAGCATCAACGAAATGTGTGTGGGAAAGGAACGCCCAGGTATAATTTATTTTCATGCAAGTTTTGTGATGAGGAATTTAATCGAAAGAGCGACTTGCGTCAGCACTTCCTCAATTGTGAAAAGAAGCCGGAAAAGCCAGACAAAGATGTACTTGCTCCTACCATTTATTCGTGCGATCATTGTGGCAAAGAATTTTCCAGAAATTACGATTTTAAACGTCATCAGTTATCCCATACTGATGAAAAGCCATATCCTTGCTCCCACTGTGCGAAAAATTTCAAAGAAAAATCCTCTCTTTACAAACATGTAAAAAGAATGCACTCGTCATTAGCTGGAGAAAGTTTCATTGATGGATCTCAAGATGAAAGCAACGAAACAGAGGCTGCACAGCAGGCAATAGCAACGATAACGTCATCCCATGATGCAATTGTTGCCACTTGTAACTCAAATGACATAATCGTGTCACTTGCACAGAGTATAAGCTCCTCCACAGATAGCGATACCGTCGCTACGGCGCACGCTTTAGCTCAAGCTGGGATTATCGACAACCCGGACCAAATTCTGCATGGAAGCCATACTATTGCTGCTGCTGATATTTTGAATTTTCCCGAGGTAGCTGCTGCTCTAGGGCTAAACCCAGGCAGTCAAAGTGAGCACAGGACGATGGTGGTGACACAGCCTGTTGACGCACCAAGTATGATCACAATGGACGGGGAGCACGTGCGAATGCAAGACACGGGGCTTGAAGAAGGCATTACTGATCAGCCACATATTGAAGCGTCCGATGCCAGTGCAATAAAGCAGTTTGCTTCAACTACTGTAGCTCTTCAGCTTGATACTGATGGCCTAATAATCGACACAGGTGAAAACTCCCTAAATCCTAACGACGAGCCAATGATAAATGTATCACAGGAGCAGATCTCGGCTTCAACCGCATCACATCTTCACTCTTCTAATGGTGTTCCCAGTATTAGTCAAACCATAGCTGGAGATTTACTCAAAACTGGCCTTGGAGGCATTTTATCGGGTGCTGATGCAGAGCGTGTTGCAGCCTCAGTTGGAAGTTCCCAGCGTGTTGAAATGGAAACAGAAACACGGTTTGATAACAGTAAAGAGCCGGGGGTTTTAGCAGAAAATGAAGGGGATGATTCCGACAAGGATGCAGTGTCCACTGTGAATTCTTTCGAAGCACAAGCACGGGAGATTCCAATGTCAATAGGATAGAACCGCAGTAAGGAACATGGAAACGAAAAGGTTTACCCAGCAGAATTAGAAAAGATTGAAAATATAATATCGTTAAATAACAGTCCAAGATTTCATCCGGTCCATAAGTGTACACAAAATCTGGACAGCTCTTCTACTGCCGTGCCATCAAAGATAAAACTGCTTCATCACCTGATTTATTTCTATTAAGAACTTTCGTGTAGTTTTTCTAAAGAATGCATGTATTGAAAATCTGCTTGTTTAGATTACAAATCACTCATGTGTTGTGTCAATAATTGCGATGATGTTAGACCTTCATTTCATATCATTTAACTGAATCCAGACTCGTGTTCTTCATGGGATTTTGTTGATAGTGGAAAGTCTATAGACCTTTTTTACACCTATTCACGAGAATATAAGGAAAACTTTTCGTTTTGATAATCCCATGCAAAACAATTAATACTGTGTTTCTTAAATTATTTCAAACAAATTCTTTTAACTATTTGTTATGTAGGTCTCTTATCTTTGAAATTCTCTTAACATTTCCCTATTTCAAATCCAATCTTAAAATTGAGTTTTGTAAAGAAACGTTTAATTGTAATATTTTTCATCTACCGTAATGCCTCGAATCAGCGCCCGGGCGCTTATTTAATTTTTGAGGCTTCAGGGTGGGCGCTTACTTGAGGGGGCGCTTGATGGAGGGGGCGCTTATTTCAAAAATAGATTTGGAAGTGACTAAAAAATGAATGTGTTTACAATTGAAGCATGTTATTATGATGGAAAGGCAAAAAATGAGAATGAAAACTAAAACAAACTGTGTTGGTCATTCAATATTTCTTGGTGAATTGCCTTCCAATTATGTTGTCTTCGAAAATTCGAATAAGCGCCCGTTTCTGAAGGTTGAAGGATGCGCGCTTATTTGACGGGGACGCTTATTTGAGGGGGGCGCTTGTTCGAGGTAGTACGTTACGTGTCATTTAGGCTTCTTCAGAAAATTTCATTTTCTCCGAGAAGCAAAAGTAGCAGAAAGCGAAACTTTGTGTTGTTGAAATGAAATAGAAGCAGTTCAATTTGAAATATCTGATTTTTCACAAGCTGATTTCTTTTGCCTTTAAGATTAAAGATGATGTATTATTTGTTTTTATTTTTCAATTTGGTTCTTTTCGACGAGATATGGTTTTGGGGAACCATACGAAACTGGCTTATTTGGGGGCCAAAGAAACAGATTTGCTATAGGATTTGCTCCAAAAGTGTAACCCTTTCTGCAAATTGCTTATTGCTATCTTCTCGGAAAGGTTTGAAATTTTGTTTTGATTCATAACAGCCTCCATTTTCATATCCAGAGTTTGTTTTTTATGCTAATATGCAACGAGATGCCAATAAACAAGAAGTATTCAAAAAGTAGTCTGCTGCTGGGAGCTCTTCAACCGCCACCTTTAAACTTTTTGTCGAGTAAGGTTTAAATAGTAGCTTCTTCACTTGGAGGATATTTTCGATGATCATGTAAAACCCGCAAGTATGGCTGCAAAAATGACACAACGAATCTCTTTTGCGGATTGTAGAAAAATTGGCTTTGGTACGGGCAACGACCATGTTTTCAGAGGACTGATGATATCTTTATCTTGACTCTTTAGTCTTTAGTGACACACTCCACGTAAAAGCCTTAGGTAAAGCGCTAATTGTTAGATGCTGGCTGTACGTCCATGGAAGTGCTGAAACTTTTCCCTAGCAGTAGGCTGGTTGTGGTAAAACGATTCCCGAGAATCATCTTATTCCAGAACCCCATTCGGTATGCTCCTTTTATTGCTGCGACGACAAATAGCGAGCTTTTCTACTTCATTGCTAGCAAAGCAAGGAATACGATTCAAACGTTAATAGAACGGATTGGACTGATGTTGTCAATAAATGTAGGAAACAACACCCTTTTAATTCACTATATCTGTACTATCTAACCTGTACTATTGAAGGCTGACTCTTTCTCTGACCCGCCGGCCTTGATAAGAATATTGACTTTTCGCCAAGTATTCAAAAGTCGAAAGGCTTAAATTTTTGAAACAATTCATTTCTAGAAAGGAAGTTACAAGAAGTTTTGATTTAAAGCAGCATTGTTTCTTTGTTTCGTGACAGTGTAATTTTCTGAGGTCCTCATGTTGAAACTAAAACAGCCTTTATTTAATGCCGCATGGTTGTTCTTATCACCACGGAAACTGTAATTTGAAATGAGACCGATACTGGCAAAATGACTTTTTACCAAATTCTTGAAATTTGTCAAGATGGCGAAGAAATCGGTTTCAATACATTAGGTTTCAGGTCAAAATCAGAGGGGAATTTATAAAGTTAATCTTCGTGGAAAATGTATAGAACCTTCTAGTCAACACGGTACCAAGGGGAGTTGTTATAGTGAGTTTTACATGAAGTACAAAAGCGCTCCACCGCATTCATAAACAATCGAAATATGGGCAAAGTTGTGGAATTTTATAAAAAATTAATTGAGCTTGAATATTTTATAACCCCATCACTCTGAGGCCGGTTTGCGTCGCATGTTTTTGTTTCAACAAGAACGATCCCATTTAAATGATGCACGATATTCTGCTCAGGACTTAACGACATTTAGTTTATAGCTTAAATTCAATTTGGCCTACACACGAAGAAGTATGGACCTGGAGTCGAGTAGAAATTGCTGCCTGATGATAATTTTATTGTGAGTCATTAGCTGCAGGTACGTAAACTTTTATCATACCCCAAGCAAGTTCAAAATTTTGCTCTGTTCGACTTTGGCAAGTTTGTTTGCATACGACCTGCTCAATCTAGTGGAGAAAAAGAAATTAGCTTAACGCACAGATCAGATGTTAGAGTTTTTGAAGTCATCCAGGTTTGAATTTTCGTTTGCATGGGCCCAACCGTATTGTGATTTCTCAGCACCTTTTTTAATAGATGCTAAAGACTTCATTATTTATGGATTCAACTTGAGGAAGTTTTTGTGGAAATTTAACGATAATCAAACGCCGCCATAATTACGATTAAGTGACTTCTTATATTGCTTCGCTTGCAAGTATTCGAGTTGCCGGTTATTTACTTTGTTATCCAAAATTTTAGCAATATGCGTGTCCTTTTAAAAAACACATTGTTTTATAACAGAATAAAGTAAGCCTACTTCAGTTTTAATGTCGATTTCCTTCAATAAAATGCAAGGTAGAATGATTTATTTCTTGTTGTAGCTCGTGCCTTTAGCAAGCAATTAACCTTGCTTGTACTTTAGCAGCTCTCGACGACATCTATTAGCATATGTAAATGATTTGCTATGCTTATCATGCATTTATGGCTGCAAACTAACAGGTTTTAAGAATAAGCATTCAAACACTATTAGTCTTGGCTATGCTGACAAATGGAATTGATATTTAGAAACAAAAGGATTGCCTTTGCATTTAGTTGGATAAGTAAGCAAAAAGTTCTCAACTCTGATATTATTGGTATATTTGCTGTTACAGAGACACCTTCCTTAGACCCTTTGCTCTTGAGTCTGTGATCCTAACCTGCTCACACTTAAACTTTGTTCTTGACTAGCCCTCCCTCTATTGAGCATGAGTTTGGATGAGGCTGCAGAGCATGTCAGTTTTTGACGAGATCTTGTGTCGACAGTCATTCCAGGCACATTTTCCAAATGCAATTCTCCTTTTACTAACCATATAGTGTGCAATCAGAAGTTCAATGTATTAGCACTTATAGTCAATTTGATGTGCAATTTCTTATTTTGTTGGTTTGCATCTACTGTATTCTGCAGACATCAGTGTATGTGTGTGTGTGAATTTTTCTCTACTCTACTATGCATCAAACTCTACTATGCATCCATTATCTGACAACAATTTAAAGTTTAATGTGAAGTTACAGCAGCAAGTTCTAAAAACTACAATGATGGTAAATTTAATGATAGATGGAGAAAAAAGCAGTATTCTTAAGGAGTGCTACCTAGGTAGATATATTAATAGGAAGAGAGTTACCCTACACCTACTTTATGCAGTCAGACCTGCATAGGTCAGATCTCCTCAGATTATACAAAATGATCGACTTATGCAAAATCGACTTACACATAAGTTGATATTTTTGGACTTATGCAAAGTTTGGGGAAGTTGAAATTGTTGTACGATATCAAGCATCACACCTTAAGTATGTATAGAATAGATTTTGAATATATAGAATGGAAGAATATATGTCTTCACATGCATAATGTTAATCAGATGTCTGTTCAGTATCTAAAAATATTCACTGATTTCTCTAATAAATTGTTTAAGCAACTAATAATGAATTATTAGATATTCCATTCTGCTAGTCTAAAAAGCTAAAGCCATCATAGCAGATGGGCCATCTGAAGATGCATCATTGGCTATGGCAAATCAAATTTTCCACCCCTTTTATCTCAACAGGTGGCTTGAATACCAGGCTGCTGTCCCTATCAACACTAACACCTAATTTGTTTAGTTATGTGTTCCCTTTCAAAATTGTGTCTCAAGAGAGCCATTGAGATGACAATAACTTTGTTTTGCTGCAAATTACCAACTTATGTGATGCCAATTTCATCAGGGACTTCATAAAATAATACAAATTATGAAAATATCTGACTTAATATGCAAATGAAATTCATACCTTTTATACCAAATGGCAGGGACCAAGCATCTTTGTCTTAGTTTTGGAATGTCTAACTTATGCAAGTCCTACTTAATATGTCTAATATGATAAATAAACTCAAGAAATAATGTGGATAATCTACTTGCCTTGACAGTCTCCACATTAGAATTTTACTTTTTGATATTTTTGAAATTTTATTAACAGGTCTTATATATGCTGGCTCTATGTCATGTATTATGATTTCATTTTTTAGGTGGCATAAGAAGCAAGATTTTCTGCCAAAATGCCTATAGTGACAAAAGTAAGTAGCAAGTGATGCTGATTTTGGCAAAATTTTGACCATTTAAATGTATAATTTTCACTTTTATCATTGTTATGTAAATTTTATAACTTGAGCAACTATTTATCAAATTAAGATAAAAGTTTGATTGGTTAGTATACTAATAATATTTTGTGTTTTCTTTCATTTTTAGGGGGATCATGTTTGGATCCCTAATGGTGGAACTTCAGAATTTCATGTCCCCATTGGGGCACAAGTTGTCTATCAAGAGTCTGGAAAGACAAAATTAGTAGATGATGAAGGGGAGGTAATGTATTCGCATTTGATTTTTCATATTTCGATTGTTTATGACATCATAGTGTCCCAATAGTGCCATTTTGTATTGTTTTTATTGAATCAGCTTCAAACCTCCTTTGTAGATTATAGGTTTGCTGTCTAAGCTGGTATGGCTAAATAGATTTCAAATTTGCCTTCTAGCAGTTTAAAACTTCGTAAAGATATGTGTCTTCTGATAGCACTACCATTGTATTTTTCAGTGCAAAGAAAGGTGACAAAATCTGTTTATATATCCTAGGAGCACTTATTTATTTATTTATTTATCTATCCTAGGAGCACTGGATTCATACCAAAGATGTCTCAAAACTACGACTTATGCACCAAACAAGCATTGAAGGTGTTGATGACATGGTATGTTTTTTAAAACTAGAACAAAGCTAAACAAAGACACAAATTTTGATACCATCCATAGCAGAAGCAAACAGTTTCTTTCTATTAAAGCATTTATTTCTAGCATTTCTTAACACTAAATGAGAATTGAATGACTTTGTGAATAATTGCTGGCAAGGAGAGAATGCAATTTTTTGGCAGGGATCTTGACCTACCTCCTCCATGATAATTTTGTTTAAGATTGACTATTACAACATAAGCCAAGGTGAAACATTTGCCAAAATCCTACATAATTAGCATCAATGTTGACAAAAATTATATATTGTTTCTTTTTGTTTGCAATTTCTTTGTGGGATGTTTGTTATGGTCAACATTTTCTCTAAAATGCACAGTTGCTAATTGTATCTTTATGGTTAAACAACAGGATTTTCTAGTGGATTATTTGTTGGTTTCAAGGCTTATTGATGCTAGGCTAGTCCTAATGTCAAGGGCTCTAATTTTTATTGTAGCTTTTAGTTTTTTTATCATTGGAATACTGTTATAACATAAATTAAAACTTTTCTTGTCTTTGGAAAGATCATTGGAAATTGTTTGTTTAGTTTTGTAGAACAAGTATCAGATTGTCCAACTTTTGAAACTTTAGCGTGTTTCATAAAACTTTTGCTGGGTTTCAAAGATTTGAAATCAGCAGATTATTGTACCCCTGAAAGCATTTCTAAATCATAGGCATTTTCATAGTAGAAATTCAATTAATAATAGATAGGCTTCAGGACTATGATGAGACATATGGAGATAAAGTTAAAACAATTTTCTTCATTTCTTTTCAATAACATTGCATGGTACCTCTTTTTACCAAATTAGTTCAAAATTAAATCAGAATTTTTCTTTTTTTCTTTGATAACAGCAACCACAAATTTTGTTTGTAAATGCTCTAATGAAATATTTATGATCTACAAAGTTTGATGAGATAAAAGAAGGGTCGTTTTTAAGCACGTGCTATCACCCAAGTCCCGTCAGTGCTTTCAAATTTCCTTTATTGTTTCTCATTGATTAAGTTTAACCACATCAATGAAAAGTATGAAGGCAAATAGAAATGTTTATTTATTTACAATTTATAGGCAGGTAAATTATAATGAATTCCAAGATAATCCAATTATTTTGTTCGACCAGCATACGATTATTGGTAAAACATTTTATAGGCTATTTTTCGAGAAGCCTCGTATCCCTGACCATCTCGAAAATGTGCTTTCCATCTTTTTATAAAAATTGGATGAAACTGCACTGTCGCGAACCAAGCAAAATATTTAGCTGAATTTTGAATGGATTCATCATATCATTTTTGGTCTAGTGTAGCATTGCCTTTTGAATAAAATAATCTGATGGAATAGCTATCCAAAGTTGCGAATTCTTCTACTTACCATGCAGATCGATTGCTTTCAAAATAGCGATAAGTCTCCGCGAAGGAATTTTTGTTGCCAAAAATGGGTTTGAAATCTACTTTAAAAACGATACCCAGGGATTCCTTAAACCCACTGCATTCAACCACATATTATTTGCGTATCTGTGTTATCTTTACAAAAACGTTTGGTAAAAATGTTTTTTTTATTCTGAAGAAAGGAATTTTAAGTTTGGTTTGGCTTGGCATTTGTGAGGACACATAAAAAGCGTGTTATTTTCATCTTGCAAAGAGAGAATTGTTGTCTTAAAATTATTCAACGTTAAGGGACCCCGTAATTTGATCTAGCAATCATCCAGTCTGTCCATCAAATGTTCATGCCTACCAATTAGCATCTTGAGAAAAGTGTCTTTGGTATACGTTCTGTTTGAACCCACAACCTAACATGCCTAAAATGTCTCTATGTATCTGAAGAACACCGAGACAGTTGGAGAAAAAATAGAATAATATAGAAAAATAAGAAATACTAGTGTTAAGATTAAAAAAATTTTTTAAAAGAGAAAATTGCTCAGAAACTTCTACATAGGCCATTTATTCTGGTTAATTTGAAACTCTATCGTGTTTCCTCAGACCATGTCTTTATGCTTTCATCGACGCTATATTTGTTAACCCTAGGGACGAAAACACAGCTGAAGTGACATACATTTTTAATAACTTTCAAAGTATTTGTAATCGCAAATATGTAGCACATACAAAATGCAGATATAGCATTTTGTTTGCTTATTGAATTTAATGGTATTTATTTCAGATACGCCTCGGGGATTTAAACGAAGCTGGTATTTTACATAATTTATACCGAAGATATTACAACGGCCAGATATACGTAAGTTCCTCACAAAATGGGTTTGTTTATATTTGTATACGAGTGAATTATTGAGTAGAGGTAAATGCCTTTTTTAATTTGGATATTTGATGTCAATCAAAAGAAATCCATTACAAATAGAAGCTGAGATGTATCTTGTACAGATTTCCAACACAGGAACTGATTGCTGTAGAAGCATTGGGACATTTGTATCGGAACGTGTTTTGAATTTATCACGCTTGTCCAGTCTGGCTTGTAACACTTTGAGTGGGGCGAGAAAAACCCCACACTAGGGCGAGAAAAACCCCACACTGGGGCGAGAAAAGCCCTACAATGACGCTATTAATCCTTTGCAATTTTACTGTCTCAACATAAGCAACCTACTTTTGAGCAAGTAAAATTTCCGTTTTAATAACAATCTGATGTGTTATTTTTAAATTTGTATTTTTCAATGAATATAATCACTTCTTTAAAAAAATCTTAGCTTCAACCGAGATCCGGATACTGTTTTATCATGTAGTGTTCATTCCAATTTTACTTAGCATCGTATTTCCAAATAACCCAAAAACTTTCTCTACAATTTATTGCTCAAATCTATGCTTTTTGCAAATCGTATTCATTATTCACAAATTATTCACAAAAGTTTTCATTTCTCACCTGGTCCTGATCCTAGCGGGGTCACTTGAACTTTTATATACAAGGGGGCTCATCATATATACAAGAATTTTTCTTGCGATCTGATACTTTTGGGTACTTGATTTAAAAACATACCTTTTTGATACTTATGGGTTCAACTAGCACATAACAATATCAAAAACAGAAATAAAAGAGCAGATGTGTTTAAACTTATTATTAAAGGAAACAGTCTAAATTATTATAACTAGTGATATTTTATGTGCTCAACAACAAGATCTTGTATTTTAGTGTTTTTGGATCAATATTCTTTAGCTAACAATCTTGTGTCTGTTAAATTATTTTTTGATACTTTTTTGATACTCGTGATGAATTTTGACAACAACGGATGGACCTCCTCGTATATAAAAAGTCTGAGTGATTCTCCTGGGATCCTGATTAGTATTGAGCCTCAAGCATTCCCTTGGTTTTTTGTATGGTTTAAATTTTCGTTTCTTTGTTATGAGCGGCCAACTTCCTTCCTCTGTTACGGGCTGTCTTTCCTTATTTACAATATTTTCAAAACTTTCCATCTATCCCAACAGCCAGTTCTACAAAATTGCAATTTTGATTCTCCCCATATTTGCATACCTCTCCCATCTTTTCGAGCAAAAATTTCTTTTGAACTTTTATCGATCTGAGAATAATTTAGATTCAGCTGAGAAATTTTTAGTTGTCTTAGGGCATAGTAAGCTCTATTTGTCTTTCAAAAGATCATGCACTTTTGCTTATTGTTATCATTATCCTATTCATTTTTCTGCTATTTTCTCTTACACATTTTCCTAAATTATGAAAAAGTATTAAACATCAGTTTTGAAAGTTTAATTTGTGTTCTATCTTCAGCTCAGCTACTCAATACATATTATGCAAAAGCAACACGCTTTACATAATCGATAGACTCCACCAAATATTAGCTTTGCTGATAATTAGAAAGATAGCTTTATTCTAACTTATTACGTTTAACCACTTGTTCAGCCAGCTAGGTAATATATTGAGGGCATTAACTCTAGTTTAAATAACGTTACGTCTATCTTGCCTGTACGTCATCTTCTTCTGCGTATGAGAAAAAGTTGTTTGTCATATAACTTACTTTGGATCTTCCAGATTTGTGACGAACAGTATTTGATAAACCCAAGAGATGAACTGCCATATGATTACAATGAATCAGCATTGTTCTTCCAAATACATATTTATGTTGTGTTTTGATTGAACCAAGTTGGTTCTCCATACCAGTCTGTCATTTTCTATTTCCTACGAAATCTTTGCTTTGTAAGAAAGTTGAACTCGGTATGAAAATTTTTCAATTTTGCTTCAAAATGGAACTGACGCAACATTCAGTCACCACTGTGCATTCTCCTGCGTAATCAAAATACTGATCTTATCTGAATCAAATTTGAAATTTGACTTTCGCAAAATGCTGTTGTTTTTACAAAGTTTCCACAAAATGCTGTTGTTCTTACAAGGCTTTGTTTTGAATCTTTTAAAAAGGATTTAGATTCAGCTGTACATACGGCCTAGCATCCAAAGTTATGCTCTCTGTCATATATATCTTTAAAGAACTTAAGTTTTAAAAGCAGTGCCTCATTCTGTTTCTCCAAAGAAGCGACTCTTTGCTCAAGGCATCTTATATATTCTTTCTTCCGTCGTCTGCAAATTTTCGCTGCGATTCTGTTTTTCTCTTTTATTCTCAACGCACGTGCTTCTTCGCTCTCTTCTTCGACGTTTGTTGCTGCTTTTTTCAACGATAGTTCTTCACATTCCCTCTTCTCGATTTCTGATTTTTCTTCAGTGTCAACAAAATCTGCCTTTGCACATGACGATCGTGAAAATTCATCATTGGTAAAATCACTGGACTTGCGCTCATCCGGTATTAATGTTTCTTCCGTGACTAAAAACATGTCAACTTTAGAGAAACTCTCCCCTATTTGACCTTGTATAAAATCTGGTACTCGTGATGCTTCACTGGGTCCAGTATAGCGACACATCCTATTGTCTGGCACATACATGGCCGGGCTTCGTGGTACAGGTTGTGGTACAAAACTCGGTCTATCGTGTCGTTCCCATGGTACAGTATGCCGTTGTTCGAGAGGAAATCTTCCCATTCTTACTTGCTGTGCTGGAATCGTCATTGAAAAGTTCGCATACTCAGTCTGCATACAGTCACTTTTTGTTGTGACAGGCTGCAAATACCTCGAATCCATACCTCCTTCAATTCAGTTGTGAAGCTTTTGACGATGCGTCCCTTTGCGCATGGGCATATACAAATTCATAGGCTATCAATGTTAATGACTGGCTTCGTGAAGTTTGAAATGTCAAAAGTGAATCAGACATTTTTCAGCCTACGTTTTTACCACAAAATACCTTGTGATACATCAAACTACCAATTAAGATTAATGACTGCTTGCAAAGAACGGTGAGATATAAACACACAAGCTTACCTGATATTGTAATCTTTATTTCAATGGCAATTTTGGTTTTAAATATACTTTATTGTGTAATCTAATGAAATCAATATTCTTCATCGCGTAGCCTAAATAGTTATTGTCTTAAAATTTTCTTATGCGGAGCGGTCAACACAAGGAACCATTTCCGTTTTCAAAGTACCACCCAATCGAACTTTTATTCTAAGAAAAACCACTCTTAGCTTTGTCGTGTTTTATTCACTTCTCTGGGTCCTGAAACTTTGCTATTACCCCAGATTTTTTTAGAATTTGTAATTGATGAGGAATCATAACTACTTGTTTGTCATCTCGGCTTTGATTTTATATCATAGTATTTTTGACATTGTGAATTCATCAAGCTTATGCTGGCGTGAAATATTAGTCATTCTCAGTGTTTATTGCTTGGTCTCTATTAATAGTTGCTTGTGTTTATTGTTCATTCTCGGCGCGTTGCGGTGTTTCCTATTTTCTACAATCTTATTTTACTCATTCATTTAACAACTACAATCCTTGACAAAAGTCCTTGGAACTCCCTGCGACCAATGAAAGATTTTGAAGAAATAAAGGTTTCCGGCTGTAAGATACAGAAATATCCCCCCCCCCCCAAAAAACAATGTTGGCTTAAAAGCCCATTACTTACCCTAGCTGATAAAGTGACACTGGACGAATTTCAAGCTTTGAAACTGTTGTTATTCAACATTGTTTCAAGGGGGAGAGGAGGATGCTACTGAAGTTATGCGAAATTTTAGCTTCGTGTACCAATGCTTTTGGTAAGGATTGTAGTTCGAAATCTAGACGTAGAGGAACGTCACCTTGCCATGGAAAATTAGTTTAAGCAGTCGCTGATAAGATATAGGTTTACTGGTCATTCAAAAGAAAACTGCTTGCGTATAAAATGCAACTAAAACCGCTGCTAGTAGGCCCTTTCACACGAGGCCTTTCATTTCAATCATTTCAGTGTTATTGTTCCAATCATGTTTTTACGATAAACCTCTATCTCATTAATATCATTTTTGTAGAACTGGTGGGATTAGAAACAGCAAAATAAAAGTTAGATATCTTTAATGGAAGTCAAAATTTGTCGCATTTGATAAATTTACTTTGGTACATTTTGCGTGATAAAAAACTTAACAGATTCACTAATGTTTTAAAAACATTTTTTTCTAAAATAAATATTTCCGAACCTTGTCTCCATCCCCTCAAATACTGCCTTTCTAAACCCATCCCCATCCCCATCCGACTTTTTCTCCCCTTCCTACATGCTTTCCTTTCTAAGCCCCCCTCCCTTCCCTTGGACTACCGTCCGAATTCATTTACATCCTATCAGATTCTACCAAGATCTCAACTTGCAAGTTAATATTGCGTTCTTTCAATTTTGCGGCTGATATTTTAAATAGCTGCAGACAAGAGCCCATGCATCAACCATGCTTGCAACACAGACGTATAAATATTTTCAATTTAATAGCCAAACTGAGCTAAAATGTAAAAATTATGGTAAATTACGTCGCCAAGCGTGGATTTCATGTCTCTTAATTATCCTTCTAGTAAATCTTGGTTAAGGTTGGTGAGAAATTACTTGTCTCTGCTCATGCATTATCACAATTGTCACAAGTATTCTAAAAACCACGTTTAATTTCGAGTTTTCAATCATCTTAGAAAAAGAACAATTATTACTAGTCATGTTATACCAAATTATTAAAATATAAATTAGAATTTGAAAAAAGTCTTTTAAACACCATTTTTATTATTTCTGTTTCTGCAAATTATTTCAAATGTTTTAATGCGTTGTCGGGTTTTCATACGTTGCGGATAAAGAAAGATTTTGTAATATCTTTTTTTTAATTTCTTTTTATTATAGTGTGTGCTCATCTTAGAAAGGGGGGGGGTCCTTCAATTTAAGCATTGCTTTCTGTGTAATTTTCATAAATTAAATATATTTTTCCAGAATGAGTCCTAAAAGTAATGTTGCTTACGGTTGCACTCTATGATGAAGCTTAGGCAATGTTTTGAGAAATCTTTCAATTTTAAGTTAAACATTGGGCAAATCTGTGATCAAAAATTGAAATTTCTCTAATGTAAAACAATTTAATTTTTGACTTTGATACTTTTCAAACTTTGTTCATACTTGATTGAAAATGTCCCTAGCTCTAAGCCTCGTACGTGTTGCCACGCAATATACACAGAGGACGAGGCAGGACAGTATGAACATTAACCAAAAAAATTTTCTTACACTTTCTATTCATAACAAATGAGCTAATTGTTTAAAGCTTTTTCTATTAGACATACACTGGATCGATCTTGGTAGCTGTGAATCCCTACCAGATTTACCAGATCTATGATGCAGAGTACATCAAAAAGTACCAAGGTAGAAAGATTGGCCAACTACCCCCACATATATTTGCGATTGCAGATAATGCTTATTATCACATGAAGAGAGAGGCAGATAATCAGTGTATTATAATAAGGTGAGTATTATTAACCTCCTTTGGCTTACAAAAAACGAGGCTGATTCATTTTTGTGATGATATAGAATTTTATTTATTATCCGGTGTTTTGAACAAACTTTGTTCAACTGCATGGCTGTTAAAGACCCCCCCCCCCCCTTTTTCGATTTAATATCGTTTGTTTGTAAATTCTTGGAAACTACTTAGTCAAGGCGGCAGAGACACAAATCTAGGGATATATTTTTTGCATATTTTAAGACTAATTACCATAGAATTTTGCAAAAGGCATCCCTTTTTCTTGCACGGGGTCTCACTTTTGCCTTACTCAGCAAAAGGTAGAGGGATTAGAGACTAAGAATCAGGTATATTGTTCTGTTGATCATATAGAAGCATGGGCGGGCCGTCAGTTTTCAACAAAGCAAGGATGGCCTTTGCGCCAGTACATGTGCTATATTGTGATTATGTAATCAGAAACAGTTGTTAGATTGTTTAGTGTCTTTAACTTCCAGTGGTGAAAGCGGTGCCGGTAAAACCGAATCAACAAAGCTGATCTTGCAATATCTAGCTGCCATTAGTGGTCAGCATTCTTGGATTGAACAGCAGATATTAGAGGCAAATCCTGTGATGGAAGGTAGGTCGTTATGCACGCTTTCGATTGTATTCCCACGCACTCGTTTACACCAGGCTTCACAACCATCTACATTTGAGAGTGCAACGCCAGCCTGTAGTCTTCTTGCAATGCACAACAATGTTGCATATTTTTAGTGGCATACTCCTTTCTTTTTGAAGTGATGATCAAAATCAATAATTTCTGTGCTTAAAGGATTTATGCCACCTATTTTTATTGGTCATTTTATTTATGACTAGGTTGGAAAACGGGTCAAAATTTAGGATTTTAAAGTTTTCCGTAAAAAATCTTGTTTTGAGGGAGCTATGGACGCAAATTATCACGTATCCGTGACAAACCTAGACTGGTTTACACTAGGTACGCGTAGGAGGTTGTCAATCTCAACGTCACAGCATCACGTGACATTTTTCCCGCCAAATTTTATATAGCCGTTAAGGGGGTCGTAAAAACACCTTATAGCGATAGGCAGCTATTACTTGCAAATATCAATACTTTGCATCAAATTAGATGGCAGCAGTCCTTCAAAACTCACCTTTTTTTCTTTCAAAAAGATTTTCTTTTGGACGTATACGTATTCTCTGGTTTTTTCGGGGAATGCCAGCATCCGGTGACGTTTGTTTCTTTGCCTGTTCTTTTCACCATATGAAAGATGCTTGATATATGTCTTTAAACGCGACTTTCATTCAATTTCAATGCGATTCTTTGTTTCTTTTTAGCCTTCGGAAATGCCAAAACTCTGAGAAATGACAATTCAAGTCGCTTTGGCAAATACATCGATGTTCATTTTGACAAGTCAGGTTTTATAGAAGGAGCAAAAATTGAACAATATCTTTTAGAGAAATCACGCATTGTTGCCCAGGTTAGTAATCAAAATTGCGTTCTAGCTCGATTTTTATCAAAAAAAATAAAGTTGCAGCTCCAGTTTTAATGGGTACAAAACATCTTTGCCACTCGCTAATTTCTTATGATATTTTACACTACCAGCTGATTCTTATTTGCTTGGTGCCTTGTGCTCGTTCCATTTTAATGCTTATGTTTATCAGCAAGTTATTCAAAAGTTCAAAAAGGAATTAATTACCACCTTCTGTTCCATTTTAGCAATTTTCTCTAAAGTTTTTGTGTATCATGTTCTTTTCCTTCTTCAAGGTCTTTATCCTCATTTTTCTTCTTCTTTTCTTCCTTTAGTTTCTTATTTTTTGTTTTTTGTTTTCTTCTTTGCTTCATTTTCTCTTCTTTTTTCCCTGCTTAAGTGTATTCATCTCTTTTCTTAATATCAATTTTCTTCTTTTTACTATTCAACCTGTCATACACTTTTTTTAACTCCCTTACTCTTCATTTTGTTATTCTTCTTCCTGCTTCCAATTTCTCTTCTTTGTTTTTACCTTCTTTCATCATTAGTGTTTTCTTCCCTCTTTTACATCTTCGAATTGGTTTCCCACCTCTAACTTTGTATCCTTTCAGGGCTCTTCTCTAGCTTCTTTCTTTTTTCCCACTCTTCTTTGCCTAGAATTTTAATGAGAGCTTTCAGGGCTCGTTTTTATCCACCACAGTCATACAATTAGTTACCAAAATTCAAAATGACTCTTTTTTAGTCCAAGGATGAAAGAAATTACCATATTTTTTACCAAATGCTGGTCGGAATGAGTCCGATTGAAAAAGCAAAACTAAAGCTTACAAATGCAAAGGATTACTATTATCTAACTCGTGGAAACTGTCTAAAGTGCGATGGTGTTGATGACAAAGAGAACTTTGCTGTCATTAGAGGAGCTATGAAGGTTTGTGTTTGTGAATTTTACTACATCACAGCTTAATATATTATTTTTTCAAAAATAGAACATCTTGATGCCCATTTTTGGTGATAGATTCTAATGTTCTAATCTATAATCTCCTTTTGCTGCTGCCGCTATGATCTCTCTCAGTATGGTTTAACTCTCATCTTGATTCAGCAAATGTACTATCAGAGTGTAGTGTTTATTCGATTTATAATTGTATTGTCAATCATATTATTCAATGTCATTTTATTCAATTTTTTGAAGGTTTTGTTGTTTACGGATGATGAAACTTGGTACATTTTCAAACTCCTGTCTGCGATTTTACATCTAGGAAACATAAGATTTGAAGGTATGTGTTGAGTGTTTTGACAATGACGTAATTACTGATAAGTCAATACCCAGAGCCAACATGTGCACAGATGGTCCATCATTTAGGCCAAAATTTGCTTGTTTCTTGAAAATGACCTTGGTTCAAGTCGATATTTTATTCCCATTTGTTCCTATTTTCTTTGGGATTTAACCATGTTTGAACAACTGTTTGAACAAATGGATAGGAAAATAAACCAATTCAGAAGTCCAGTGGTAATGTTTGACATGGAGATTCCAATTTACGCATGCGGCTAAGTGGCGCAAAATATGTGAACTGTACAACAATTTTGCCTGCTTTCAAACTCAGTGCAGCATCTTGCAAGTGCAACATGAGTGGGCAAATAATGGAATATTGCATTTGAGAGAATTGTTGTAAAATTTGTTGTATGGTTTGTCTAAGATTTGCTACGGATTTCCAATATGAATCCAAGCTGAATTTACCAATTTAGGACAGACCTTCCAAATCAGCGTTGTAACATTTTAACAGCTCTTTTTTTTAAACTGAGCTCTCTGGTTGTGTATACTGGCATACATTGTTTGACTGTAATTTTTTAGTTAAGTTTTTTTTCGAGGAAGATTTATCAGTTTACTCATTTCAACTCTAAGACAGACCTAAGACAGAACTTTTTTCTGTTACATATTTTTTTGCTTAAAATGATAAGATCTATCAATATCATGATGAAATGCTATTTTCCAGCCAAAGCAGAATCGAATTTGGATGCATCTCAAGTCACAAACATTGAAATGATTGAAGTTGCTGCTGAGATGCTCGAGGTATTTTTGTGAATTTGTTGAGGGGATGAAAATAAAAACATTCAACAATGAAACCACCTTCGTTCTTGTAGTCATAGACTATGCTCAATGGTAATTTTGATACATGCCAATTGCATTTTAACTACACGAAGAAGGGATTGCTAAAGGATCGTTTCAAAGACTTCAAAGAAAATCAATTTTTCAAGTCCATTTTTCAGATGATGCCAAGAACTTTCAGATGGCTATTCCAAGTCCATTCTTTTTCGTTATGTTACAATGTGACATGTTCTGGTTTTATTATTGCAACTCCTCAGAAACCTGCGAAAAATGCTAAGATGCTGGTTTATATCGAAAAATTGGCTGATTTCATTTTACATTTCTTTTGCAACTCCCATTAATGATGCACTAAGATTTTTTGAGGTCGGAAGTATTTCCGTGAAGGAATCATTAGGACAATCCCATGCAACCCGTGTATACCCATAGCCAGAAAGGGGAGGCCCTGGATGGAGAAGAGCGCTTTGAAGATACAAACACTGAGTAACTGATATATCAAAAAACGCAGCTGTGAAAAATATCATAAATTTTTGCCCATTATTCTGAGGAGGCGATCCAAAAATTTTATCTTTAAGTTAGAAAATTAAGATGCTATTTTGCTTGCTAGACAATAGGCTTGCTTTAACGAGGTCTCGTTGTGAAAAGTGTTATCTGTCTCCTTCAGGTAGCAGCAGACAAGCTGATGGAGGTGCTAACAAGCAGATCAACCTTTGCACGTGGCGAAATGATTGTGTCTCCTTTGGTTTCTAAGCAATCAGTACACGTGCGAGATGCATTTGTCAAGGGCATTTATGGCAGGATATTCGAGTGGATTGTGGGAAAAATCAACAATGCAGTTTATACACCTTTAGTAAGTGTTTCTGTTTACACCTGATGTTGCAAACAGCTTATCACTTCATCATATATTCAGCAATACTGGGCATACGTGTGTAACATATTCTGCTTAGTCCTTTCGTTCTTTCAAATCCTGTGCTTTTACAACAATTGAACATTTTGTCCAACTAATCAATCCTCTCTTCTATATTTGCAAGGTTTAAACTTATCCTTTATATCTAATTTGTCTTGTATATCCTATCACATATGGAATGCCTTGTTTGCAAAAATTGATACCATTAGAGGAAAAAATGTCAAAAGTGATAAGTTCCATTCAGCGTTCCCTAGGGTTGATAAAATGTGTTTTTGACAGTGAAGTTACATTGTCATCTATACTCATTTGACAATGAAGTTACATTCTCATCTTTATAATTTTCATGCTTAAAACTTCTATTCTTTGCTGATTTGAGGAAAGAAGGAACGTGTATATCATAGATGCTTTTAGCTATAACTTTTTACAGTTAGCGATTGCCTTAATGTTATATTATATTAGAAAACTATTGTGGCTGTCCATGTCACTGAAACGTGTTAGCTTGTTTTTGTAGAATTGGCTATGATATCGTAAGATTTATTAACAGTTCTAAAGAACGAAACATTCAGAAAGCATGTATAATATTGCTTCTGAAAATTCTTAGCCTCAGTCTTAAAGCTCCTATTAATGACTGTCTTATCTTATTCATACTATTTTCTCTTGTTATTTGTAGTTTTCTTAGTTATATGTTTTCATTTTAGCAACAACAGGCACACTTTCGACAATCGATTGGTGTTCTGGATATTTTTGGTTTTGAAAGTTTTCAAAGAAACAGGTAGCTCTTCTTTTGTAACTCTTAAAAAACCTGTTCTGATGTTTTAAATCTTTGAAAGTGTCGTTGTCAGATGAAAGCCGCAGTCCCTCACAAAGTCCCACGACATTTTTACACACGTTTGTAGGGACCATTCAAAGTTTCTTCCCATCTTTTCATTTATGCTAGAATACATCTCATTATAATCATTACCAGCCTTTCCACAACATAATACGTTAATGCAAGCAATACGAATAAAGAGAGCTTTTTTGTAGAAGTAACAGTTAATATACAATTTTTGCTTGTTTTTAGCTTCGAGCAACTGTGTATCAATTTTGCCAATGAAAATCTTCAACAGTTTTTTGTACAGCACATTTTTAAATTGGAGCAGGTAAGTTCAATCAATTAAAGATTTTCTTTATCAAACATAAAGTAACATACTATACCATACTGTACCATACAATATATACCATAACAAACAATACTACACCATATCATACCAAACGATACCAAACGATACGAAAAGATACCAAAAAATACTAAACCATACCAAACCATACCAAATCACACCAAACCATACCAAACCATACCAAGCCAAACCAAACCAAACCAAACCAAACCAAACCAAACCATACCAAACCAAACCATACCAAACCTAACCAAACCATACCAAACCAAACCAAACCAAACCATACCATACCATACCATACCATACCATACCAAACCAAACCAAATCTAACCTAACCTAACCAAACCAAACCAAACCATACCATACCATACCATACCATACCATACCATACCATACCATACCATACCATACCAAACCAAACCAAAGCAAACCAAAGCAAACCAAACCAAACCAAACCAAACCAAACCATACCAAACCACACCATTGTACTACCATACAATGATTGAAAATCAGCAGAAAAATAGCAAAGCATTATGGTCCTACCTTAAGGATTTGACACCAAAAGAAAAATCGCATGAGCCAATATTTATGAGCAGTGATGGAAAGCATATAACTGACAGTGCTCAAATCTCCAACCTTTTTAATAAGCATTTTGTAGACATTGTTGAAAAGTACATACCAGAAGTGTCAGGAAACCTTATGCCAAACTTGCAGAGGCTTAAATCCTTTATCGAATCAAAAATTAACAGATCTACTGAATTCACAATACCATTAATGACAGAGGAATATGTATTAAAGGAAATAAATGCCATGCCTAAGAAAAAGGCTGTTGGAATCGACGGGATAAGTTGTAAATTGTTAAAAGCAGCAGCTCCCGAGATTGTTCAATCTGTTACCAAGATCATGAATAAAAGTTTTACATCTGGTATCGTTCCAGACGTTTGGAAAACCGCGAAAGTCACTCCAGTACACAAGTCTGGCCCCCTCCATGATTTTGGGAACTTTCGACCAATTTCAGTCCTTCCACTGCTAAGTAAAATAATTGAAAAACATGTCCACCGTCATTTCTACAGATACCTGGACACACATGGTCTCCTTTATGTAGCTCAATCAGGCTTCAGAGCAATGCACTCATGTGAAACTGCTCTTCTCAATCTAACAACCCGATGGTTGAAGTCTATGAACGATGGCCTCATGACAGGCGTTATTCTGCTCGATTTGAGAAAAGCGTTCGATCTTGTCAATCATAAATTATTATTGGAAAAGCTAAAACTGTATAAATGCTGCGGTAAAACACTTGAATGGTTCATTTCGTATTTGAACGAACGTAAGCAAATGGTTAATTTTAAAAATAACATCTCAGATCCTGAGGTTGTGAAGTCAGGGGTACCACAAGGCTCAATTTTAGGTCCACTTTTATTCATCTTGTTCATGAATGACATACCATTAGAAATAAAGGAAGGTGGATTAGAGATGTATGCAGACGATAGCACTATATCAGTTTCTGGCAAGACTGTCAAAGAGATTGAAACAAAGTTGAACACATCTGCTAGACAAATCGCAACGTGGTGCAATGAAAACAAGATGGCTGTCAATGTAGAGAAAACAAAGTCTCTTCTGGTCACGACACAGCAAAAACGTTCGAAGCTGAAAAGAAACCAACAAGATCAAGCAATTGAGGTGAAAATGAATGAGCAGCCATTACTTCAGATTCACCAACAAAAGCTCCTTGGAGTTATTATTGACCAAGATCTTACATGGAACGATCAAGTTAAAAACGTATGCAATACTGTAAGCCGCAACCTTGCTCTATTTCGTAGGATCAAGTCTTACCTGCCATTTGATACAAGAAAATTGTTCTATCAAAACTTCATACAAGTCTATTTTGATTACGGCAGTGTGGTTTGGGGGTCTTCTACGAAGATATCCTCGCTGTTGAAGCTTCAAAAGAGAGCAGCAAGGTTGATATATGACCTTCCAGACCGTGAACATTCAGGTCCACTGTTTAAGAAACTTAAGTGGCTGCCCATTCAACGAAGAATTAACTTCAAAACAGCCATAGTAGTCTACAAGGCTCTAAATGGACTAGCTCCAAAATATATGACTGATTTGTTTACTTATCAAAATCAGATTAAACAGCGATTGACGAGAAGTTCATCACACAGACGAGAAGTTCATCAAATTTGTATGTGCCCAGATCAAAACTGAAAAAGGTTGATCAGTCAATATCAATAAAAGGAAGTAAAATATGGAATGAACTTCCACTTAACATTAGACAGTCAACATCTCTGGGAATTTTCAAGAGAAAAGTGTATCAGCATTACCTTGACGTTTCAGATAATACTTAAACTTTACTTTTAACAAAATTGTTACTAGGCTCTTTAGAAACTTAAAGGACACTTAAAAATAATAGTATTATATTCTTATTTTGTAGTTAGTAGAGAGGACCCTGGGGAAGATTAGTTATTAGGCTAACCAGGTTTATCCTCTGTAAATAAAGTTTATCATCATCATCATCATCACCAAACCATACCATACCATGCAATGAAGTCTCTTTATCTTTTCTGCAGCAAGAGTATGACCTAGAGGGTATCCGTTGGCAACACATTCAATTTACGGACAATCAAGCAACTCTTGATATGCTAGCACACAGGCCAATGAACATCATTGCCTTGATAGATGAAGAGAGCAGGTTCCCTAAGGTAAGAAAATAGCTTCCTTGGGAAATAACTTACCTTTTTCTCAAAAACCTCTTTCATACACAAGAGCTATCAAATCGTATCAGTAGTTTCATGTCTGGAGAAGTGCCCATTTTAGAGTAAAAACTCTCCTTAAACGTCCTTTACTTGTCTGAACTGCACGCTTTACAAGGCAATTTTGCTACCTTATCCTACGAGTTAGAGATGATGTACTGTTCATATAAATCAGGTATACTTTGATTTGATTTTTTATTTCCTGTTCAGTGAGAATCGTGGCTTGGAATAATTTGGGAAAAATTTGTGGGTATCTGAAATTGCCTTGAGTTTTATGGGAGATCTATTCTTGAAGCCTAAAACAAACTTTTGTGTCCTTTATATGGTACACTATACGTGAAACATTGTTAATATTGCAGGGAACAGATGAAACTATGCTAGACAAACTACGGGCTAATCATGGCAGCTGTCCTTATTTCCTCACAATGAAGTCTCAAGCTGCCAAAACATTTGGTATCGTTCATTTCGCTGGCTCTGTTTACTACGACATTCGAGGTATAGGACTTCAAGAAACACTTTTTTGTATGCTTTCAGTATGTCATAGTACTGTGTACTCTTAAAGGGGCTGGATAAGAAATACGTAAACATTGCGCAGCACGGGTCGTCCCGCGCGGTTTGGAGCTGGAGGAAGATTTCGAATTGACGGAATTTAGACATACCATCTCTGTATGGTCCTGTTCCATGAAGTTGATCAACTCGAACAGTTTTGGCCAGTAAGATAATCAAGCACGAAGTTTAATCAAAAACAATTTTGTATGTCTATTTTTAGTGACTCCTGTATCAAAGGACAACGAATCTACTTTATTGAAACTTTTTTATGATGTAAAGGGTCAAGTTCTAATCATCTGGTCCGTTTTAGCGAGAAGCATTGCCCTTTGCGTTGAAGGGCATGTATCGTGAGCCTGATTGGCTAATGCAATACTAGTACAAAGCACGAAGTCTACGATGAATTTTAACAGCAGTAAAACTTAATGCCACGAAACAATGGAACTGCACTCCAAGCATTTTTTGTATTAGCCAATTGCTAACGCGACATATGCCCTTTAAAATAAGCTACTGGCTATGCTGGTCGATCTCTTCATCAAATAAAGAATATCATTTTTGCATGTATTTGGTTTGGCATTGGTGGAAGATTTTATACTGGTTAACCCAGCAAACCCACCTGGTAACGTTTTCTTGGTTAACTGGTTTCTCGCTTGCTCATTAGAGAAGTGCCGCCTGTAAAGATTAACAGCATTACTTATGCAGCTCCTAGCAAATGCGAGCGAACCCAGTGAGGCGTGCACATCTATCTTACTTGGCCCTTGTGTATTGGTTTTTGTATCGATAATACATTCAGTATTTGTATTCATTCTTAATAACCTTTTTTATATCTTATAGGTTTCCTCGACAAGAATCGTGACACCTTTAATGCAGACCTTAACGATTTGGTTGCCACAAGCAAATGCCCCTTTTTGCTGACTTTGTTTCGAAGAGAACTGAGAATGGTAAGCCAATTTAGCTAAAGAATTTATCGAATTTTGATCGTGCACTACATGAATTTTAGTGAGAACAAATTATCCGGCATTTTTGTGTAGACAATCTCATAACAATTCAACTTTAGAAAATTTCAGGACTTGGAATTTCTATATTCATGTGAATTCTTTCTGTCTTTGTCCAATCGATACTTAACACTTTTCTTCGTATACAGGGCGACGAGACGAGAAAGAGATCACCAACTTTAGGCGCGCAGTTTAAAAAATCTCTTGACTCATTGATGGCAACCTTAAATAGCCGTCATCCTTTCTTTGTTCGTTGCATCAAACCAAACGATTTCAAAAGACCATTGGTACGTAAACCGTTATTTTTAGCCATTATTACTCAGTCTTGAATTCAAGAATTCTGTAGTTTTTTATTGCATTCCCATTTCCCAATTCATTGATGATGATACAAAGGATGTGTTGGTATACAAAAAATATCAGCTTCTCAAACGTGATACTCTGGCTATTACTGTGCTCGTCTTTCGTATGTCAGGCCAGTTAAATTATAGATAATTTACCATATCCCATAACACAGCAGTCAATCAGTAGGTATTTTTTATCAATTGACTTGTTGTTGTTGTAGATGTTTGACCGGGTGCTATGCTGTAGACAACTGAAATATTCTGGAATGATGGAAACCATCAGGTGGGTACCCTAGTCATTGCTTTACAACAACCGTCCTTTCTTACTTTCATACTTTTCATACTTTCAGACGAAAAAAGCCTGGGTCAATCAAATTCGTGCCGATGAAAATCGTGGCTTTGTTTCACGAAACTGGTTATAAGGGCAGGGACGATGACAGGAAAAAATAGGCCGGCTAATTCGATATAGTGAACTAAGCAATCAAAAATAGAAAATTTGAGAAAAAGGAAGTGTTCATGAGCAAATGGCAGCTGGAATTTCCTCGTATTATCCATGGTTGATAACGGCCCAGGGAGCAAAGCATACCTTCTAATCTTAAAAGACCTTAAGGTCTATCGATCTAAATAAGCGTAAAGGTAATGGTGAGTCCCATATTCGATGTGTTGGCGAGGGAAATTTTCATTTGAGGGCGCACATGTTGGGCCCAGTTACCTTTGCTGCCTCTAGCCTCTCATTCGCTAGTCGGTTGGAAATAGCACTGATCTCAAAAAAAGACTGGATCGAGCTTCTCCAGCCCAGCGTTGAATCCACATAGCAGCGTCCATCTTGAGACCTCGCCGTGTTGTATGAGACTAGAGTTCAATCATAATTGGTTTTAGTCCAACCGATTCAAAGTAACCGTTGAAACAAAAACTTGCAGCATTCATAAGTGGTGTTAAACATTTTTGCCGTGGTCTTAAGCTTATGTAACGGAGAATGCACTTTTCACTTATTTTCCTAGGCCTGTTTTCTTTAAGAATATTTAAGAATTTAATGATTAATGCACAATTTTAAAGCGCAGCACTGTGTGTGCACCATTTTTACAATTAACAGCCCGAAGCTTTAGACGTGAGAGGTCTCAAGATGGAGAAATTCGATCGCTTAATTGTGCTCATGTAGGAGAACACTAGGTTGTTCGATCCAGTCTGTTTTTAGATCAGTGGGAAGTAGGCGAGCCTACATATAATGGTCCAATGGCTGAGCTTAGACCGGAACCATTTTGTCCCTATGCCTCTTAATACTTACTATGACCTATCTCAGTTAGTTGCATGCATGAAAATCATGCTTACCATTATGATCAAGTTGCATTTGCCACCTGATTGATTGATCAACTTTAATCTACACTTCCTATGATAATCCATTTTTCAATGTTTCAGGATTCGACGGGCGGGATATCCTATCCGGCACGCTTTCGACGTGTTTGCCGTTCGATATCATATGTTGGTCATCGGCCTCGGTCGCATGGTTGCTGAAAACTCAAAAGAGGCTACAAAGATCATTGCACGCAATGCCATTAGTGACTCTGACTGGCAAATTGGACATACCAAAATATTTCTTAAGGTAATTTCCTATTTTTGTCTGTCTTTCCCGTTATTCACAACAATGGAAGATTAATTAGAAACCAATGCTATGAGACAGAAGTGATTTGTAGAGGTGTGTTGAATTGGCCTAAATTGAAAATGATTGATTACGCGTGAAACTCGTTACCTGATGATCACATTAAACGTGAAACTCGGAGTATTAACTTAGAACTGTCCTGTTCTCTACACAAGATAGCATGATTTTACATAACTTTTAACCTGTCGTAACACGATTCTCTTGCATTGATCCTATAGCAAGACCCTGTTTTAAAGTGGGCAATTTTCTCTTTTAGGATGCTCAAGATCAGGAACTTGAACTAAAGAGAGACAAGATAATCACAATGGGTGTAGTAATTATTCAAAAAACATTTCGCGGATATTATCAACGGAAACAGTATTTGAGTTTGAGAGAAAACACTATGAAGATCCAAAGAACTTGGAGGGCTTATGCTGCAAAAAGGAAGTACAGAAAGGTACGTGTAAATTTTACATTGTACCCTAGTTATTTACATCGAGTAATATAAAACTACAATCACTTAAAGTATAAGCACATAGCCAAGATTTTCTATATCATAAGCGGTTGTCTCGGTAGGAGTTGTTTCGGTGAGGGTTGTCTCAGATGGGGTTGTAGCCTCTTTGTCTTTTGATCCAACCAGCTATCCGCACGGACTAAACAGGCTTTTGGTATAGCCTTTGGTGCTACTGTATTGTTTTTTGTAAAGGTCAATGGGTAGCCATGCCTATCATGCTCCCATTGGCATCGTCTTTGTAGTCTTGTTCTTGTAAAATGTACTTTTTTAGACTGTGTATAAAAAAAAGATGGGGTTGGCTCAGATGATTATCTCGTTACAAACTGCAGTGTTTATCCTTAACATTATCAATGTCAAAAAAGGAGGAGTTGATTAATGTCAAAATGTTTGTCTGGCTACGGACATGGAGAGCTTCAGCATTTGTATTAACATTAAATCTGAGGGGCTACGACAGTGTATCTAAGCCAAAAAACTCCAATTTTCTACAAGAGTTGTTTTTGCAATGGTTACTATCAAGTTCAAATAGTGAGATTTTCTTCTGTAGTTTAAATCATATTCAAATATTTGTTATAGAATGTTATCATTTAATGTTCTAAAACCTTAAGTCTTTGTTCATTGTCAAGATCACTGTTACCAAATATCATTCATTAAATGATTGACTAAGTGAAGGGTAGATTTTTCCAAAGAAATGGCTGCAGACATGGACAAACAAATTTTGGACGTTCTAAGGTCTTGATTGTGAATATTTGAAAGGTTTGAAAAATTAATGATTTTTTCGCTTTCTGTGACCTCTCTTCCACAACCTTTTAAGATGCGACTTGGCTTTGAGCGTCTTCAAGCCCTGGTACGCACACGCCAGCTGCTGACGTCATACAGAGAGATGCGAAGACGCGTTGTAGTGTTCCAAGCCTGCTGCAGAGGTGTAATGGCGCGCCGTGAGTTGAAGATGAAAATGGGAGCCATTGTTACCATTCAAGCAGGTTTTAAAATGTTCTATGCAAAGAAGGAGTTACAGAAGCGAAAGAAAGAGGTAAATATTTGTTGCCAATCTGGGCGTAGTTGCTTTTGCCTGAAAATTATGCACTTAGTTCTTTGAAAAGTGCAAACTGTCATTTTTTACAGAATCCCGCTCATTTGTTTTTCTTACGCCAACTTTAATTCTTTACAAACACTTATTTTTTGCCTGCTTACAGTTAACTTTTTCAGTATTTTTGCTTGCAATTTCACAAGTCTAGATAAAAAAAATCTTTGACAACGCCTTTTTTATATTTCAACGATATTTCCTTTAATTTAAAATGTAGAACTTTAATTTAATCTTGAAAATTGCAAAAAGGCATAAATATTGATCTACTCTTAAATGGAGGCTGACGTTAGCTTGTAAGAAATTTGAAAGTATCATCTTTTTATTTTTAGCGTGTTTTGAAACTAGAAGCGGAAAGGCTGAGAAAGGAAGAAGAAAACAGACTGAGGAAAGGAATGTCTGCTGAGAAGGCGAAGAAAGAAGCAGAGAGGCTTATGAAGGTTTTTTAAACTTTTTTTCGGAAGTTCATCACAATTAAGAATGCATTTGCAAAAGGTATTAGCAATACCTGTATATCTTAAACCAGAAAAGAATATATTGTATAGTGTAGCCACGTAATATTTTATAACGTTGTTTCCAACTTTTTAGGAAGCTAAGTTCATGCAAAAAGTTGATGGATATCCAAACATTGTTTATTTTCAATACAGCTTTGTGATTCTGTGAAACCACTTCTCCGCTTTAAACCAATCGGTTAAACTAAAATTTTTCATTATCGTTTTGTCATTGATTTTTATTTTAATCTTCGAAGGAACGGTTGGCGAAAATCGAAGCCGAACAACTGCAAGAAGAGATTGTCAGAAAGGAACTTCTTGAAAGCAAGAAAATACAAATCGAAGAAGCTGAAGCAGAGGCAAAAAGAAGAAGAGAAGAAGATGTCGACGATTCTAAAATTGTAAGTTTGCTGAGATGATCACATTGCGTCGAATATGTTAAATCAGTTAAAGTTTGAACAATAGATGTGGACAAATGAGAACACGCCTCGTTTCCAGTAACGTGAAGGCAACTGAATTTTCTTTAGATACCAAAACAGCTACCGTTTTGATGCTAAACAGCATGATGATAAGAATCTCAATACAACAGAATACACTGGTTGCCCGTTGCAACTTCCGCTGCCTATAAGTCTTGCTGTCTCACCCTGTCATTTATATAGCACCAAGAATGTGATCCCATATGCTGTCCATCCATGCAGTTTTTCATGCTGTAAATCAAGAGTTGGTGAAAACCATCATGTTTGTGACTGAACTAAAATTTACAAGCAATATCAGTTAAAGGGCTGGCTAGGCACGATATAAAGGACTGTTATTTAGCAATATTTATTTGAAGCTAAGATTTATAATTGTCTTTTATTTACTCAAAATTTCCACTTTGTTTAATGCCTTATTTGTCTGAAATTCATTTTTATTGATTAACCCAGATAGTAGACTGGATGATAATTTCCTTTTCAGCTTATCGATTGTTTTGGTTTTTTAGGTCGATGAAATGTTTGGCTTCCTTCCTTCTGATGACAAACAGATGGGACAAGTCCCAACTGCATTTAAGGTGATCCAATCTAATATTTTTTATCACCTATCAAGTTTAATTATGCGTTCTTTCTTTCTTGACTATATCTATCTATTTATTTCTTCTTTAATGATTTGTGAATTTTTGTATTTACATTTCAGATGTACCCTGATGCTTAAAGTTATACTAATGCAATCCAAAACTTTTTTGTTACAGGATTTGAAAGTTTCAGATAAACAATACGGATTTTCAGACAAGGATATTATATCAGAAAACTCGGTAAGGCCTATTAAATTAAGTTAAAGTTAACTGCGAATGCTATATGCCACTCGTGCATAGATAAAGTATATGTAAGTGATGAAAGTGTCCGAATCGTGGAGTGACAGAAAGCAGTTCAGTCATTTTTTTCCTAATTGAATTATACGATCTAATTAAATAAGGTTACCGTAAGTCCTTGCTCCCCTTTGAAAGATCGTCTCCTACAACAATCGAACTTTAAATGAGCAGTCACTCCTTGAATGAGCGCCCCCTCCCTCTATGAGCGACTCATTACTCAAATAAGCGCCCACGAATTCATTGACAGGGAAAGGCCTAAAGAGAAATATCACTTTAGACTAGCACTAATCTTTTACAAGAAATGCAGCACTGGGGCTGTGCATAAAGTGTTTGTGATGTTTCCTTTGTGATTTGAAATTTTAAAAATTGATTTTAACGGACAACAACATAAATATTCCAGTTGTCTTTGAGCCTTCACTCTTTACTACTTACCCATAATCTACTAATGTGCAATTATGCATTTCTAATTTCAGGACCAAGATGACTTTTCCGAATTTAAATTCTCCAAATTCGCCGCCACTTATTTCGAAGGCCAAGCAACTGCTTATCACATAACAAAGAACCTCGATCGCCCGCTCTTAGCTCATGACAACGAGACAGATAAACTTGTATGTGCAAACCTCTTGAATAAATTTAATAAATTTTTCTTTTTCATTGTTTTCCATGACTATTTTTTACTCGGTGTCATTCTCAAGAAAAGTTAATGAGTCACAATAACACATGTCGTGTCATGAGACCACAATATTTTTAAAACTCAGAAAGAAATCTGTGAAGAACTGGATTTGAAATAAAGAATCCTGTAGAAAAATTTACCACTTACAAGAGAATTGGTGGAAGTGTTGTAAAAAGTTGATTTACACTAAATCAAATTCGAAAGTTTGTAGGCATTGGGACTTTTTGAATAAAGAAAAATTTCATCTTGCGATTTTATTTTTTTCTGGTCTTTGTTCGCCTCAGTCTGCTACAAAATGTTCTTTTGCAAAAATTTTAGATTGCTAGATATATATGTACTCATGTAAAGTGAGATTTGTTTAAATCACATTAAATTACTGAAGTAATCAAAGGTGGGCTTATGTTAATCAAACGTACAAGATGAATTATTATTAAAAAATGGAAGTTGGTAAAATTCAAATCACCAGGCAGTTGAATTATTTGACTACCTGTAGAAGAATAGATATAAGTGACATTGGAATGGTGCATTTGTCCTGAATTTTGAGTACTTTGAATCCTACAAGTCCTTATTCTGACTTGCATTTCTTTTACTTCCAGGCTGCTCTTGCAGTGTTTATAACAATTCTTCGTTTCATGGGCGATCAACCAGAACCAAAGTACAACTACTCGGCTGGCAATCACAAGGTATGCAACTCTCATCTGCTTATAAATGTCATCCGCAATATGTTTATACAGTAAATCAAGTGCATTCGGGCATTCTCCACCTAAGTTCCTTTTTATGATGCACAAGTAAGATTTGGATTCGATGCCTGAGATTCATTGGCATTTATGCCTATATGAGAATTTGCAGTACGTTGAATCAGAATTGACTCAGGAGAATCAGTCAGACCGAGAGAAGAAATGTGGATACAATAACTTTCCTACAATTAGTCTCCATCTTTTTTAAGTTTCGTTTGAAAATTTCAAAGCCGTCCAATGTTTAAATCATGCTGCATTTTAAGTGAGCAAAACTTGTCAAGAAGCTTTTAAATTTGGTTCGAAACATTTCATATAGTAAAGACTTTCTCGTTTATTTTTTGGATTTTTAGGACAACACACCAGTAATGAACAAGATATACGATACACTTGGAAGATCAGCTTCGAAGTCTGGAACGCTGTCTCATTTCAGAGAAAACGTATGCTTTATTTACAGTCCATTCGAATTTGGGCGAAATATGTCTACTGTCTTCTATGTATCTCCTCATTGAGGAAAATAGATATGTATTCAAGTAGAGCCATTAGAAATTGCATCTTTCTATGGCGTGTATTGATTTGTTATTAAAATATTACTTAACTTATTTATTAGTTAGATAAATAGAAAAGTGTTAAACAGATAGATTATTTGTGAGACAGATAATCAATCCTGTGCCTCAAGATAGACACAACGCCAGAAACACATCAAGTATTTTGCTATTCAACTGAACCTAACCACCGCATAATCATACTCTATAATCACGTGACATTAGCATGTAAATCAGATGTGTCTGTTTGTAAGGATTCTGGTAATAGTAATAGTGTTTTCTATGCATTGCAGTATCCTGTTATGAGGATTTAGTACTGCTGTATTGTGTAGTTAATTTTCCATGTTTTCATGTCTTCACAGGAGGAACCAAGTAAGATTGCAAGAAGAGAAACTTTGAGAAACCGAATCGTTTCAATGACGTTGAAGAAAAAGTCAAAAATTACCAAGGTAGACTTCTTCTGACTGATTTAAGAACCAAGAAAAAGTTTTTATTTTTGCATTGAATATACATTTGCCTATGGTTGCGTTAGGTATAACTCAAAGAAGCATATTAATGAACATAAAGCATTTTGTACTCTGCAAAAAGGATATTCAACACTTTGCAAACAATTTGAAGATATGTTTGTATCACACGAGGAATCGAGAGCTAGAAAGAATATTGAAATAAAGTTTTGGAAGTCTAGAGGAAAACCTTGTAGGCCATGCTGGGAAATAATTATTATTATTTAAATAAGGAGTGCCCATTAGCTTTATAAACATTATTTCTTGTTTAAAGTTATCTGCTCGGTAACATTTAAAAAAATGGCTAGACTTATTCTGTAGACAGGATTACTGATTTTGTTTGCATTCACAGGAAGTTGCCTCAAGATTACGCAGTGAGGACAGTATTGAAATAGTGGGCGCATTGAGGGCAGAGGATAGGCCAACGTCAAATTTAGAAAAATTGCATTTTGTCATCGGGCATGCCATTGTGAGACCGTCCTTAAGGTACTCTAATTTTTGAATAAGTGAATATTTGCTCTCTTGATAGGATAATAAAGTTTTTATTCCTAGTGAGCGAGACAAATTTGGATCAACCAAATGTAGATAGTAAATTAGATGATAGAATTTTGATTCATTACAAGATATGCAAATCTAGAACTTTTAAGGATTTTTTAACAACGCTGCCAATGCAGTAGGGGTGGGATATTTAAAATTAGTTCTGATTAAATGAAAATTCTGGGAGATTCTGATAAAATAAAAATTTTGTTTCATGAGTTGAGCTTTCAATATTTCTTCGATGTACACTTAGTCATTGAAAACCTGTTTACTAAGCCATATATTTTGCAGGACAGATTTTTCAAGCCATAATTTTGTGATTTCAGTGTAAATGTTTAAATAAAAAAGACATTTTTTCTATCAGAGCACGAAGTTACTCTTGGTGCGCAACTTAATTAGTCCAATCAAAAATTTTATCATTTAAATTGGAAGTTGATCACTTTTAAATGCAATTTCGTGTATAGCAGTTTGAAACAATACTCTTTTTCATACATTTAGAGATGAAATTTATTGCCAAATTTGCAAGCAGCTGCTAAGAAATCAAAACAAGGAAAGTGCAAGAAAAGGATGGATATTGCTGTCTCTTTGCCTTGGCTGCTTTGCTCCGACAGAGAAGGTGATTTATCAGATGTTTCTACTTAAGTAAAGCATTGCCATCTAATCTCGATTAAGTGTAAAAAGGGCCGTGATTGTGAATTTATTAGCATGAAAAATTATCTCTATAAAAGCAGGGTATTTCTCAAAAATGTAGGCTTTATACCTAAATTATAAAAGAAGCTAAAAAAAATTTTCTTACCGATTTGTGTCAATTTCTGTAACTATGATTCTTGTTTTCTCATATGTATCAAAATAGTTCGGGGTTTTATCACAACTAATATGGACAGTTATGATGAAGATATGCTCTTTTTTGAACTTACTAAGTACTTTCCTTTTTTTGACATTTATTGTTTTTTCCAGCTTGCCAGGTACTTGCAGAATTTTATTAAAGAAGAGGCACCCCAGAATACCGTTGCGTATAACCTTGATAGGCTGCGACGAACGCTGAAAAATGGAACTCGTCATCAGCCACCAAGTTGGCTCGAGCTTCAGGTTGGATGGAATTCCTTAATTCAATGCTTAGTATAGATTCAGTAAACTTCAGAAAACTAAAATTTATGCCTGACTTCTATCAGCCATGCATTCGTTGAGAGTACTAGACCTGGATTTTTTTAGGGTGACCCTTTCTTTTTTTATTTCATTTTGGGTGTTATATGTCTTGGACATTTTCTGATTTTCTGTGCTTGATATCAGAGCACTGAATAAGAAGCTGGTTGGTACATAACATTTCACGCGAAATGTATTTTAAAACATGAGACGTTCGCTGCTGCAGTAAGAACTTTCCTTATTTGGGTATAAAGCTCTCTGAATTCTATCTTGATAAGAATAATTGTTGCGTCTAAACCTTGGAGTTGTCATCGATCTCAGCCAGGCTCAGTAATTGCTTTTAAGATAATTTACTTCTTTTAAACCAGAACCTAAATACTTAAATTATAAGTGCAATTAACTTTTTACTTGAAGTCGATGAATCTTAGATCACTGTTAATTCCGATTAGGCCACAAAGTCAAAGAAACCGCTGATGCTTCCCATCACTTTCATGGATGGCAATACGAAGACGCTGTTGGCTGATTCTGCGACGACCTCAAGAGAACTTTGCATACAGCTCGCCGAGAAGACTAACTTGAAGGACCAGTTTGGATTTTCTGTATACATATCTCTTTATGATAAGGTGATCCTTTCTCATATTATATATCTGAATTCTTGCGATATTTTGGGTTTAAGATATTCCAGGAGAAAACCCTTGAACCAAAGAATGCTCTCAATATTCGGTAAAAAGAAATTGTGTCAGGAAATTTGAACAATAGCACTTTATTGAAAGATTCAAAGAGTCCATTTAAGTATTTGTGTCAACATAACTCCCTTCTTTTGGTAGGTTTCCAGTCTTGGTAGTGGCCGTGACCACGTGATGGATGCTGTCTCCCAATGCGAGCAATACGCCAAGGAGCGTGGAGGCCAAGAACGGAATGCACCTTGGAGGTTGTTTTTTAGAAAAGAGATATTCTCACCGTGGCATGACCCAATAATTGATCCGATGGGAACACACTTGATCTACCAGCAAATCATTAGAGGAGTGAAGTTTGGTGAATATCGTTGCAACACGGTAGGTTGGGGGAGAAATGGATTCTTATGCTATCGTGAAAGATAATTCAGTTGAATCTTGATAAGTCAACCACAGCTAATTCGGATTCCCGCCAACTCCAACGTTTTTCCGCCTTCCTTGATTTTGATACGCTTTTTGTACAGAAATTGCACCGGATAAGTCGAACTACGGACAAGTCGAATATTTCGATATTTTATGTTGCCTTTAAAAATTAAATGCCTTAAAATATTTCAACTAATCGGGGTCAAACTCTAATGCCTTTATAAATACATACTGCATGTTTATTCCCTACCAATTCTTTGCAGAGAAGCACTAAGTGTACCATTTTTAAGACTTGCTTGTGAAGTTACATCTATTCTGTTTCATCTTTGCATGGATTTTTCTAAACGAGCCATTTTTCTTAGAGAATTGCATCTCTAAAGTCCTAGGCAGATCGCCAAGCTAGCAATTAACGATATCCAAAAAGCATCAAGTTTTAATTTCTCTGTTTATACTTAAACCCATTTAAATGTCTTATAGAAAGAAGAATTTGCCGATCTAGCCGCGAAGCAGTATTACGTGGAGTACCAGTCAGATATCACCTCGGACCGCTTGTTGAAACTGATACCGACTTACATTCCGGACTCTTATTTACAACCGCCCAAAGCCGTAGAGATGTGGTTTCACCTTATTGTATCAAACCTTCAAAAGGTTCGAGTCTTTCAATTTCATCAATTTATCCTAACGTTTCTGAATTTGTAACTCTTCATTAAAGTCTCATATTTTCAAGGGACCTAATGAAAACAAGAGAAAAATAATACCTTGCCAAAAGGAAATCAAGGAGTTACACGGCTACGACATATTTGATAACATTGAGATCAGCTTAATGCCCTGTAAAACATCTTATGCAAGGAGATTGTTTCAAAATCACAATATTATAAGATCTTCTATTTAAGTAAGTCAATTGTCACGTGAAAAAGTTACTTGGGGCCATTTTGATTCCTGTTAATCTTTGGAGTGTGTAAATTGCAGCTTTTTTGGGTGACGCTTGCAAATGTTGCAGAAATTTGTTTAAAAGGCACTATGGACAGCCACCAGGATAAGATGTAAGGCACACATTTGAAACAACCGAAGATACAAAGCACTCAAGGGTAAAAGAGTTGTAGGGTGTGGAATTGAAACGAATAAACATTGAAATGATCGTTGTTAAAGACGATCCTTGTTATTTTATCATCACATCCCCTTCTTTTGTTTTTCAAAAAACAGGGGTACTATGCCAAGGCTTCCTATGAGTCCTCCAAAGTCAAACAAGATGTTGTCATCTTTGCCAAGTATCGCTGGCCGCTGTTGTTTTCTCGATTCTACGAAGCGCATCGATTCTCAGGTCCCATTCTTCCACGTGATGATGTCATAATTGCCATCAATTGGACCGGAGTTTATATCGTAGATGCAGAGGAAAGGGTCTTAGTGGAATGCGCCTTCCCTGAGGTGCTAGCAGTCGGTGAAGGAAGGTTTGTACTCGGGTTTTGCCTTTATTGGGATCGTCTGATGAATATTGTTTGGATGCTATTTCTAATATTTATCTCAGGCAAGATATGTATCTTTACAGAGAACTTCTGACTCCTCTAGCTTGCAATTCCAAATAGCCTTTGAGTTAACTACCCATTTGCTCTGTCCTCTAGAAACTTTTCCATTATTTTTCAAAATTGTTTATACCTTTTTCTCCAGAAATAATGCACCAAGCCAAAGTTTTACGTTGACAACCGCGGGACACGAATACACGTTCACATCCACGAATGCAGAAGACATCCGGGAACTTATCTCATATTTCTTGGATGGACTAAGAAAAAGATCGAAGTTTGTTATTGCTATGGTTGACTACGACAATAAAGGTAATTCATCATCCACAGTTTTTATTTTCTTTGTTTTATTTTAGTGATAGGTGGAGTAGATCTAGCAGTCATATTTCGCAAGGCCCATCGCCGAGTATCTAGTAAACTCTAAATTGTTAAAGAGCTGGGTGCCCTAGGCAGGGATTTAGTACTGGTGGAGGGGAAAAGGGTTGCTCGGGTTTACCAAATGTGTACTTTCTTCTGCTATATTCAATATGTTTTTATGCAAAACTCCCCTGTTCTTTTCAAGGCACTACGCTTTAACCATAGGTGTTGGTCAGTTATGCTAGGGAGTTTCATTTCCACCTTGTCTAGAAAGTGGAAAAATCCCCAACTGGGTCAGCTTTTTGTTAGCAAACAAAACATTGAATAGATTAACATCTCTTCATGACTAATGTTAAAGTTGTCGCAATAATCTTATGTTACTGACTATATATCTATAAATACATGCAGGCTCAAGAAGAAAGCAAATTTATTTCTTTTAGGAGAGACCAACTTCTTAGCCTTGCAAAAGGGTGACTTAATCGTGCTCGAAAACGAGACTGGAGAAAGTGTGCTGGCCTCTAGCTGGTGCAAAGGAACCTCAGAGCGGACTGGTCAAACAGGTGATTTTCCATGCGAGGCTGTTTACGTGATACCAACACTGGACAAACCCACAACGGAAATAATGGTCAGTTCACTTTCATGTTAGTTTAGCTTCATACAGTGTGTAGTCACTAAAAGCAATGTTTGGAAATTTTCAGAATGCATTGTTTTTGCTTAAATATATTCAAATTTTGTCAGAATTACCCCGTGAAAATTTACCATATCATAAAAAATATTTAAAGTAATCAATCACGAATTTGATATAACAGGACTATTTTAAAATGGATAATAACACAGCCTAGGCCTTATTTCTGAAACCACGATAGAAATCTGACAAATTTTAAAAACTCGAGGTGTTAACTGATGTCTTCTGTGGTGCGATCAGCAATAAATTCCGCATCAGAAAATTGAAATGGTTTTGTTACCCATGTTTTTACTTGTGGGGGCTCTTACGCAATATTTTACAAATGAGAGATATTCCAGAATACCAAGAGCAAATTGTCATGTTTATTTTGACGTTTTGTTTTCAGGAGCTGTTCAGCAACCAGAGCAATCTTTACTCGGACAAGCTTGGGCCTAATTTTGACTTAGCAATTGAAATTGACGATACGCCAGTGCCAGAGGAGCCTCACACTCTTGAAAGCTTCTCCCTACAGCATTTCAACACGTTGCCAAAGAGAACGCTAAGCAAGGCTTTAGCTAATTCTCTAAGAAAAAGAGAGAGGGACTTCCCATGGTCGTACTCGAAGGTAGGCAAGACCATTTGAAAATATTAACTGTTTATAGACTTTCTTTTCCAAGCTGCCTAAGCAAACAAGACAAGCCTTGATCAAGACAAACACTTTGTAGAGATCATCTGCACTGAGAGCATTAAAATATCCCCGTCTTCGCTCTTCCTTAGTTATGTTTACTACCATTCACTATCACACAGAAAAAATCAAAGTTTCCTCTTCCCGATGTTTATGTTTTTCTTCAGCTTGGTTTTTTCTTTTTTAATTTTTATGTAGAGATGCCAGCGACAAGTTTGTTATTTTAATTGCAGGATCCCATAAAGCAGCCATTGATGAAAAGACTGAATGATGTTGAAGACTTGTGTCACAAAGCAAAGCAGACATTCCTTGATATCCTTTTCTGCCTTGTAATCAATGCTGTATTTCTTCCGTTCGCTTTTCGTAGGGAAATTATGAATATAACATAGCTATATGATAGATCGATTTCTTGATCGAAGATAACAAAGTAAGATTGCTAAGCTTGAAAACCCTAGAGAAGAGGAATGCAAAGACGTCAACAGATTAATAGTCTGATTCGTCATCATGGAAATGATGGGAGACATTTGTTATAGTTCAACCAGTTTCCAATATCCCTTTTTTGGGAAAGGTTCCTTTAGGCCAAAATTCCATTCTTTTAGCAGCCTTTTTATTTGTGTTTATGGCTATTCCTTGACTTTTATCACCGATTTTAAAGTACATGGGTGACTACTCGTCAACCAAAAATCAAGGAAGGCGAAATACAGAGCTGACAGATATCATATTTGAAGCGCCGTTGCTCAATGTGAGTATTATAATCAACTTAGTCATCTAGCTTTTGTTTCATAGCTGGAGCTGCTCAAGTTTAGGATGCTTTACACAATTTTCATTTTTTCAAATCTTCCTACCCGCTATTTTCAAAGCTGGTCTCGAATAAGTTTACAGTGGGAATCGGGTGACATGGCCATTTGAGCATATTTACTAAATATGTGGCAAAGTAGATTATAAAATTTTCAACCTGCTTTAAAAATCTAAATAATTTCCCCCTTCCTCTCGTACCAATGTATGAAAGCAGAATTTTACCTGATCTTTCAGCCCAAAGAAAATTTGAGCTTGCTTTTGCTTACTGCTTTGTTGTAAGATCCTCCCAAGTGAATGTATCATAGTCTCAAGTAAGTATTCATTAAAGAACTGAAAAGTGAAAAGGCGTGATGATTTTTTTCGCTTGAAAACGTTTCTCAACCTGTCATTACATTTTCTTGCTCAGGAACCACTCAGAGATGAAGTCTATTGCCAGATTATAAAACAGTTAACAGACAACCCGTGAGTAGCATTTGCAACCTTTTCTAAAAATCCATTCTAAGTGCTTTATAATAATCGTAAAATCTATCCGCATATTTTGTAAGATCTTTCCTGTTTTAGTACCATTCGGATAGTGCCACTAAGACTATAGATACACAACATACACAAGAACGGGAATCGTCACAAATGGTTCCTCCATGCATGACCTCGCAACCACCTTTAGCCTCGCTATAGTTATTGAATTCTTCTCTTGTCAAGAGTAACAAGCATGATATTTATCTATACCTTGTTATTGGCTCTAATATAAATAGCACAGCTTGTGGTAAAGATTATACCATAGGTTCTTGGCCTATTTCATTCACCATATTATATTGTTTGTGTCTCTTGCACCGTCTTTTACAGGCATATTCCTCGCATCCTCAGTTTCAAAGGTTATTTGCAAGTGCAAATTATGTTTTTGGAATCCTAGTATTTGAATACAATTGAAGCAACTGTAATTAATAATCAATTGATAAAGAGTGAAGAAATGGTTCAGCATTGCCAAGTCAACATTGGCAGCAGAAAATATAACCATTCCAATCCTGAAAGTTTCCCTTCTCGACTGGTCATACAACATTTTATATATGCAGTTATTTGTGAAAATTCAAGACATTGTATATGCGTTAGCTACCACGTTGACATGAATTCTTTATTAATTAAAGGCGGAAGAGGAGTGAGGATCGAGGTTGGGAACTGATGTGGCTTTTAACTGGATGTTTTGCCTGCAGGTATGATATTCTTCAATTTTATTTTCGAACTAGGCCTAACTCATATTTCATTAAATCTACTGCCTGTCTTGATGCATGGGCAAAAGTTTATGTCTTAATTCTTTGTCTATATTTATTATCTTTGTTATCCAGTATCTTGATACTTTCTTATTTTAATAAACAGCTCGATTTTGCTGGATGATGTTAAGCTTTTCCTCAAGTTCCGAAGTCGAAAATGGAAGATCGCCCAAGACTGCTATGCAAAACTTCTGAAGACTATAAGACATGGACCTAGGAAATATCCACCTCACCTATTTGAGGTTGAGGCAGCACAGGTATTAACATCAGATTTATGATACGTGGCCGGTCATTGCTTGAATTAATTGCGCTAGGAGATGTCTAAATCACACCCAGACTGGTCAGAAAATGCGAGAAAATTTTTGTACGTATGAAATTCCACCTGCACTGCAGATTATAATTACCTTCAACAACTTTAGAATAATAACTTGAATCGAATAGCTAAACTTTTGATCTGTCAGTGAATGAAAAGTCGAAATGGCGTCTAAATATAAGCTTTTTGAATTAGCGATACTTCCTTATCAAATATTGACGTCTTTTTTTTGATAGAGAGGGTTGAATATAATATTATGACGTCATACCTCGTATATTCTTGCAGGGGAGCATGACAAGAATATTTCATAAAGTTTACTTCCCAGATGACACAACTGAGGTTTGGTTTTACATTTGTTAAATTAGACACCCACTGTAATAATATTACCGAGATCATTTAGTTTTCATGCCTAGATGTAAGTAGCACAAAACAAATTCAGATATTCTTGGGTTGTATTTGTTGGACTGATCGGTACATCATTGTGTGTGAATGATTAAGAGCCATTTTGCTGTGAATATTGTCAGTTTTACTTAATCAGTAAGTCAATCAAGAATCGCTTATCAATCACCTAGTTGATTCTACAATTTTTTAGCTGATATTGAATAAGTAGAGCAAAGTCGTCCAATCTTGAGTTCTATTTGAGCTTTATATGTATATCTTGAGTCGATCCTTATATAATAACATGTTTTTGTTGGCCTATTAAGGAATCATGAATCAATTACCAACATTGATCACTTGATTTTGGTAACATAAATGCTACCTTGATTTCAAACAGGACTTTGAAGTTGAATCATGCACACGAGCCAAGGATATGTGTACTTTGATTGCAAAGAAATTGAAATTGAAATCAGCTGATGGATTCAGTCTGTTTCTAAAAATTGCTGACAAAGGTGAGTGTTGATGCTCTGAAATTGGCTTTGGTGATTCCCATATAAGCAAATCCTTAATCAGAACTACATGGATGTAGTTTTCTAAGTAATAACTTACCATTATTTTTTATATTTTATTTTTTATATTATTCAGATACCAAACAGAGAGCCACGGGGTTAATTGTTTACTTTGAAGTTGTATTATTTGTAGCCCCTAACTGTGTGTTGGAGAGGAATGCAATTCTAGGCAAAAATACAGCAATTTAGAGCTTCTAAAATTTTGAAAAACAATATTTTAAAGGATAGAATGCTCACCTGCTATGCAGTCTTGTTCAATTCAATATCATGGTGATACATACACTTTCACACACTGGATTCCTTTTAGCAATTTTTGCACTTGCATTGTCTGGTGACGATTCAATAAAATATTTTGGTCGCATTTCTTTGTCTCACAGTGATGATCTAGAAAAGTCAGTATAATAAATAGCCTTACAGTTGGCCTAAACTTCGTCTTGCAGTGATCAGTGTTCCCGAAAGCGATTTCTTCTTTGACTTCGTGCGTCACTTGAGTGAATGGCTGAAGAAAGCGAGACCCCTCCATCAACGAGATGGTAAGTTTCGTTTATCTGTTCTCTTGTTTTTTTCGTTTTGAAACATCAATGCTTCTTTCATTTTAATTGAGATAAAAGTTGTCGTTTTGGCTGTTTGAGCTTGTCAGGTCATCGTAATGCTTGGATACTTTTCGTCTTTGTCAAATATTGATTGAAAAGCAAACAGGAAATAATCGTTCCTTTTGCAAGTTTTAATCAGAAAATTATTGATCTAAAAGTACCATACTGTGATTATCTTAATGTGAAGCCACGAAGGAGCAGAGCGTACGTAGTCTGGATAGAGGAGATTTGATATCCGCTGGCAGCGCATATATCCAGTAATTTACCGCTGACATTATGAGCAGCCATGTCAGATCAGAGATTCTCAACTTTGTTATGTATTGCACAGATGAAAAAAGATATTTTTATTAGCATAATACTTTTGTTATTTTTCCTTTCAAAATTGCATCTTAAGGAAGTAGTGAACGTGTATTTTAAGGTCGAAAAGACGAAGCAGTATAACAATTTTTCTACTTTTAGCTCCTTAAGATAAAAAATGGATAAAGGAGAAATATTTGTTCACTGTTGATATTCAATTTCCTTCAAATCCGAAGACAACCTAAATTCCTAGGGGAGCCATAAGATAAGGCTTGGGTCGCATATGAATGTCACAAAGTGACGTGTGAGAAAATTCTCCTTTCATCCCTCAGCTTTTTACAGCCGACACTGTCTCTCCATTGCTGTAGTCATAACTGACACTGCATTTGATTGTGCAAAACCGTGATACACTTGTGATTGAACTAGTGGTATTTGCTCTTCTTGGATAGTATGGATACATTCGCTGCCTGCCTAGGACCTTTATCTCAAAGTGCGAGTCAGTGAAGTCAAAGATTAGGATATTTGTTATCACCAGGGTTATCTCTTTCTTAGATATCAAAATTATATTTGTTATTTTATCATGAAGGGAATACAACACTGCACGTCAATTATCAAGTGTTCTTTATGAAGAAACTTTGGACTACAACTGTCGTTGGCAAAGATCCCAATGCTGATTCAATATTTCATTATCATCAGGTCAGTTTTTTCTACACACGTGCTACATGTCTTCTACTGTTTTGCAGTTTCTGCTGATAATTCAACATTTAGTTTTTTTGGATAAAACACAATTGTTTTTGCTTTCCTCTGGGTGGCTTCAAAACTTCGTTTACATTTCATGTCTTTATCTTTATTTTAATCTATGTTGGGAATGCATTGTTGATATCATTGTAGTATAGAAAAATTGTTCAGTCGTTCAAATTGATACCTGATTCCTTCTATGGAGATTTTACCATCATTCACCACTTGAATTTTGACATTTGTTCCTTTTTGTTCTGATTGAGTTTTACACCACAAAGTTATACAGATGAACCTATACAATATTTTTACTCTAATTTTAGTCACACCTAAGAGAGCTTGAACATTTTTTACTGTAAGTTGGGTGTAACTGTAAGGAGATTAACGGAATAATTTACAGTAACGTTAAGCGGAATAGCTGCAAATGTTGTCTCGATTTATGGAGTTAACGCCCAGACCTCCAGGCAAATCATGCAGAGAATATAATGACTGCTACCTGGAAAATGACATTTAATCGTATTTATTCCTAGGAGCTACCCAAGTTGTTGCGTGGCTATCACAGAGTCAGCCTTGACGAAGCGTTCCAACTGGCTGCGGCTCAGTATCGAATCCGCTACGGGGACGATCGTGCTCCAATGCAGAGTCTGAAGTAGGCTGGCGCTTTCATCATTTCAATTCATTTTAACTTGTTGTATCGTGTATATATATAGGGAGAGGGGGAGGGGATGGGATACCCTTTTTAAGTCCTTACTTATCTATTTTTGTGACAACCTTATATTAAAATTGTGCTTGGTATTTGCTAATTAAAAGTCCTTGAGATTTTACAAAGATGCAAAAAGTGCTATAATCATTGCTCAGATTATTTCATAAATGTTTGTTGTGAAATGCCCTGATTAGAATCATATCATTTCGAATTTGACGCCATGTGCTAGAGAAACCCATTTGCAATACTTAACCATTTCTGTCATTTCAATGACGTCGTTTCATTTGAGTGTTACACTTTTCTGAATGCTGATATTTTAACACTAAAGAGAATCGGGGTGTATTTAGGACTAATTCAAAGCAAAATTGTTTGAAATCGATTGATGTTTCTTCATAGCCACTTAAGTTATATAATATTAAAATGTTTTGGAAGTTGTTAAGATTTTCTTACATTCAAAAACCTTTTAAGGATCTAGTCTTGAATTGATCAACATGTTTCTGACATTGTCATTTCATTTTCAGTCGAATTTTGCATTCTCTGGTTCCAAATGACATAATTGATCACATCACATTTGAAGACTGGTCAAAGGTATTGATATTTTAAATACAGAAAAATTTTCATTTAAGAACACCTTAAATTAACTAATCAACGGCCAAGCAAATGTAAATTTCCCATACGATTGAAGATCTTGTGCAAGCCATCTCTAGACAACGAACACTGTATTTTTTTAAAAAACGATTCTTTTCCTTCTAGTGTATTTATATGCAGTTTTCATTGTCATCCTGTCAGTCTCCGAATAATTTGATACCAGTTTATCTAAGGATATGTGATGGTATCAAGGATATTGTTGCTCAGAATTTGTCAAGATTTGTATGCAGTTTATTTGATTTTTCAAGGCATTCTTTCAAAAATTTCCATGCAATTTTATTATTTACAGAATATATCGAATCAGTACAACAAGCTAGCCGGAAAGACAAAGCTGGAATGCAAAACTGTTTTCTTGAAAATCCTTTCCAAATTGCCAACATTTGGATCAGCATTTTTTGAAGTCACAGTATGTAATAATTTCCTTTACAAGCTTTATCATACCATAATCTTTTTTAAAACTTTTTCAAAGCATTCGCTGTAGATGATCATATGATTCTTTATACATCTTATGGCAATCCAATGTTTAGTTTTGAGGTGCCCCCTCAACTTGAATCTCTGACGTATCATAACCATGTCGTTCTTTTGGTAGAGTTTTCCAGGATCTCCTGGTGAAATTCGTTTCCACGAAGTACAAAACTGGATTTAAAATGTGTCCCTACATTTATAAATCGAGGCAGAAATACCCCACACACAGTTCATTGTCTTGAATTAACAACAGGCTTTCACTTGAGAACGGGCTTTGCTCGAACGTCGTTTTAAAGGGTCGCACTTATTTTCTTTGTTCAATTTAACCTTAGTTTCAAGTTATGTTGACATGATCTAACAACCATTGTCTTGCTTTTTCTGAACTTTTTCTTCATATTTTTATTTTATGACTGATATTTTTCTCTTAACTTCCCAGTTATCCAAGAAAATCGCTTTTACGTGGATTTTTTTCATTTCAGCAAAAGACGGATCCAAATTACCCTGAAAATCTTTTGATTGCAATAAACAAAAATGGTGTCAACTTGATTGACCCTATTTCAAAGGTTTGTTAATCTTTTAGCCCATTTTTCTTTTTCTCGTCTGTTACAATAATTTTACTAAAAACTGATTCAGTTAAGAGAAATATTGTCTCCATATTCTCAGTTTGCCACTGGGTTTATTCAGGAAATTTCTGTTATGTTGGATTATATGATGCTCTTAACAATAGAGTTTCTTGTTACTCGGCTCCTTTTACAGTTTCCTCTTTAGCCAATACTTAGGAACCATTCAATATTAGGTCAGAAAACAAAAATCCTTTTTCATTATTACAATCGATTTCAGGAAAAAAATAATTTTTCGTATAGATAAATTCTTGAAATAGTTATATGACAGTAAAGTTTCTGCAAAATTCAGTAAAGGAACACATTCATTGAAACTTGCTTTTGCAACATGTAAATTTTCATCGCAAGTTTATTATTTAATAGGAAAACTTTACGACATACCCTTTTACAAAAATTTCAAACTGGAGCAGTGGAAACAGCTACTTCCATATGACAATCGGTAATCTCGTGAAAGGAACCAAGCTTCTGTGCGAAACAAACTTGGCAAGTATTTGTAACTTTTTTCATCATCCTTCACTTGGTTTTAATCTTAGTAAGCACTAAGCGAATAAACTTTTGAGACTTTTTAGTCCTCGAAAATTCTTGCAAATTATGGAGAAAAGTTTCATATTATTGAAGGAACCAATCACGCATTTAAACGTTCTTAATCATCCTTATAGTATTGTACACATTTTTTGATGAACGAGTACCCGTCACCATGCATGTTTGATCTATTCTGTATTTTGAATCCCCCCTTCATGTTTGATCTATTCTGTATTAATGTTGCTCTCTTAAAGAAAAAATATGGCGTCGTACATGTTTTGGCAATGGAGATCATATGCTTTCTTGACTTTTTGACAAAATGGTCAGCTGATCTTGTTTTGCTTTTTGCAAATAAGGAAATTGCAGAGATGAAATGGTCTCAGGCTTTGATCTTTTCCGATTTCTATTAAAAGATTAATGAAAACTATAGCGTATCAAAAATGGACATAAAGTCCCTTTTAGCATTGTGTCTAAAGAAAAAATCAGCTGATTTCGTCCTGGTGATCAGTGCGTTGCTCTTCAAGATCTATCCTAAAACTTCTTTCGTGGATTGAAATAAACAAAAAGTGTTCTTAATGAAGCTCCCCTACATTGTGGCATTAAACGAAGTACCGACAGATTAATAATGGTATGATATCAACTTTAAAATCATAGATCTGCCCTTTGCATTTATTCGGTATTTGCTTGGAGCGTCTGGAGCGATAACTAGTTGCTTCTGTTGTTTGATATTTGAATTTCTCATGATTTTCATGGCTTCTTATCATCTTCCCCAACAGGGATACAAGATGGATGATCTACTGACGTCATACATATCGCAGATGCTTTCGAACATGAACAAGCAGAGGAAAACTGCAACAATACGAGGGACAATTTCCCACAGAAAGTAGGATGTTTTTACTCAGTCAACCAAGAGGATGCCAACCAGTTCGGTTCTGATGCAAGCGTATCATCATATTTTGAATCTGTTTAGGAAATACATTTTTGACTTTGAGCGTATTAGTTTAGAGGTATTTTAAGTGTTACTTTAATTCCTGCATTAAATCCAGAAATTGCTTGACGTAGGCAACTTTAAGGGTACTAAAAGAAGGCCTTTATTGGTAGCACGTTTGACAGTGGCGTCGTGGTCAAGGGTAAGGCATAGGCCGTTCCGTAGTACAATCCATCGGATTTTGTAGAAGTTTTTAGAACAATTGGCGTGCACTGGAACTTCACTGTTTTTCGAACCCTTATGCCAAAATTTGTCGAAAAATTTTTCTTCTGCCTGCCCCCTTCAGATTTTGAAACAGTCAGAACAGCACACAGGGAAAACTTGCACTGATTGAGTTTTTAAGTGCTCCCTTGTTGTAGTTTAGTGCGACCCGGAGTATTAAAACGCCATTTGAGAAAGCTAGGAGTGCAGCAGTCTAATCTGGTGACATTTAAAGGCAAATTTTCTGAACTGACTGCTGTTAGTCTTTCCAAGGGACCTGTTTGAATAGGGTTATCGAAAGTCTGAAAATCTGTTAAAACTCATAGACAGGGACTTATCTGACAGTTATGGTACCCGCACTATTTTATGAATTTTTCATCAAAATCTTCTTCAGAAGCTTTACTTTTCAGCCTCTTCTCCCCGATCAGGAAGGTTTAGGCGTCACGGCTGTCACGCTAGGGCTGGTACTTAACGGCTCTATTCACAATTAATAATCAAAAAGCTTCTCTAGGTTCAAAGAAGCTTAGGAGAGCTTCAGATATTTTAGCTCTCTATTTGATCAGCTCAATAAATAATTAGATAAGCCACATAACTTTCTCTGTCTTTTATGATTAAAGCAGTATATTTTGATGATACCTGCAGTTATGAAATACTTTTTAATTTAACCATGGGTTCTGTATTATTTATTGGTGGTATTTTATTGGTATTTATTGCAGCGAACGTTTTGAATGTGTCGTCGCAAATGCCAGATGTATTGGTATAACATAATTATATTTTATCTTAATGCTACATAAATTTTAATTGGATTTAATTTGCGCCGGGATATAAGATATTTGGTAATTACTATATTTCTCGTGAATATTTATGGTTTCCTATTATTTGTTATTTCTCTTTAGATCAGTTAACAAGTGTTGATTTTGGAGACCATAGCTGTGTAAACCTGAGCTGATTTTTCGATTTGTATTTACGTTTGAAAACTGTTATTTTGATTATCATGTAGTTTACCGGCAGCATAAGCTTTCTTTTTAGCCTCTTCTCCCCGATCAGGAAGCATTCACGTAAGCTTTACTTTTCAGCCTCTTCTCCCCGATCAGGAAGCATTCACGTAAGCTTTACTTTTCAGCCTCTTCTCCCCGATCAGGAAGCATTCACGTAAGCTTTACTTTTCAGCCTCTTCTCCCCGATCAGGAAGCATTCACGTAAGCTTTACTTAAGCGAGGTAGGGCATTCACATAAACATAAGAATCAAACAATTTGAACTTCCCAAGAACCTCATACCCAGTAACATATTCCCATTGAATTGATTTGGTATAAGGCCACAGACATTGTAGAATCCAACAAAACTGTAAATAATTTTAATTTAAGTAAATAAAGTAAACCAGCTAATGAAGAATTTTGAAATTCTCGTATACCAAGCAAAGTATACGCCAATCAAAGAAGGTAGAACATTTTTCCTGTAATAGGGATCTAAATCACAGGCCTGTAGCACCTATGGGAGTTGTGGATTGGCCTTTCCACCAATAATTTATATAGACTATAGACTCTTTCATGCCTATTTATTAAGATGATACTGGATAATATTGTGCGCCTCCCCCACATAATTTTCATTTTGCTACGGTCCTGACCATGTAACTACGTACCCAATAGTATTTTAAAAGCATGTTCTGAAAGAAGTGCTTAAACACCTTTGTGCCAAATCTTATCTTATGGTAAAGAACCCCTGTAGTGAACCCCTGTTGTTCTCTGCAACCCCATACAACCGAATCTCTTATTCATTATGACTTTTCGATCGGAAACACTCGTTCGTAGCGAAAGCCTCTCGTCCTGGATACTCCGTCGGTGAACTTTAGTAGTGATAAACTCACTTATGTATTGAAATAGAATGAGTCTTTTATAATATTTTGATCGTCGAATTAGAAGTTTTGCACTCCGTAGACAATCAAAAATTAGTATAATTCTAACGATTTGATATTTTGGTCCTGAATTAATTATTGCTACATGAATAAAATTGTTTTCCAAATTAGAATCCTCTCGATACTAGTTGCGTTTTCTTTTGTGAGAAGTCTCTCTCTGAACATCTTGTGGTGAAAATTTGAAAAGGCGCAGTCTAATGGCTGTCAATATAAAATAAGCACCACCCACATCCCCTTACATCACCCACCACCCTTCCCTCCCCCACTTCCATCATCCCATTTTTTCTCCACTGCGCTGCATTCACACCATTCAACATCCACCAATCCGGCACCACCATCTCACATTTCAAATATGTCTTTTGTTTAAAAGAGCGAATCAGAAGCGAATCAGACAACCTGTGTTCATGGGTAGTGATAGGAGGCTGAGCCCCTTAGTTTATGCGATAGCTCTCATTATATTTTTGATGTTGTTTTCGACAAAATTGCTTTCGATGACCCCCTTTTTTTCCTGGCACTACACCCCTGCCTTTATCTCAGTATTTGAGTGGTTTAGCTTGAAAAACTTAACACTCAATTGCACTGAAATCAGGTATTGGGATTGATGATATTCGTAAATATGTAGATAGGGTAAGTCTTGTCACTGACTTTCATCTCAAAAATTTTTACTTGATTTGATGATATTGTTGGTTGAGGTTAAGAAAGAAGGCATGTTATTGGGAGGGCATGTTTAACAATTTTGACAAAATCCTTTTATTCCAGGTATATAAGTTAGGATTCGAATGCGGGTACCCATTCTTGACATGGGAATAAGGAACTGCCATGTATTTCAACTTGGATTCAGGAACGGTATAATAGCTTTTGGGAAACGCATAAGTGATCAGGAACTGTAAAATGAACTAAGAATAACAGGAGTTTCGAAATTGGGGGACCAATTTAGTACTTTCTACAGGATCTTTGCTATCAAGCATTCTGGAAAGAGTCTGGCCATTCGTTCTTTGTATTTCCTGTTATTTTCAAGATGAAGATTGAGAAACAGATGCAGGGAAACTTATATCTTCAGTTACATAGATCAACATTTTGATTTTCTTTATCCTTACCAAGACATCATTTTCTCACAGTTTGGTTGTCTTGAATTCAGAAAGCCGCTGTGAAGTAGATTTCCAGCGCTGCGCAGTAGTGTATTCACGCTGCTTTTACGATCGCAATGCACTCATGAGAAGTGGACATCAACATGGCTGATGATAAACCGAAGAAGCTACCATGGGGCCTGAAACCCGAGTCGCTGGCACCAAGTTCCATGAAGGTTGGTAAAATTCAGTCACTTGTTTACATGTTGTACAGATTTCCCGCATCTTTTCTGTTTTTTTTTTAAAAAAAATCTTTGTTAGGTCTTCTGGTTGACACTTAAGCACGCGAGAGCACACCTTCACTCAAGAAACATTTCGCTCAGGTTGACCTACATTTCTGTAAGGTCTGTTTAAGGCATCGAAGTAGAAATGAGTGATATTTGTTCCTTACTGTTATGAATGTAAATGTGAAGCAGCGATTTTGAGCTTACTGTCAACCGCTCATAGTAGTTTTCCCTGTTGTCACTTTTGTCTGTTTTTCTACCTTCTAATTTATATACGCCAGTTTTATCTTGGTTTTAAAGCAAATTTTGCATTTGTTTTCAACTGCTCCAGGCTAGCTGGAAAACTTGCACATGCTCGCATCTACGCTTTGGATAGACACTAACATTTCGCAGCCAGGATCTCTCGCACTCCCACCTAACCCAACATGTCAATCATTTCATAAATATACTAAGGTCAATGTTGCCGGAAGCTCAAATGCATTAACTTCAGGTTACAACAGATAGTCTAGCTGATCTGCAACTAAATATCCTCTTAATCATCTCTTTCAGTTTCATTTTTCAGCAAATTGGTTCTGTTTGCTGTTGACAGTTCAAGCTGAAAAGTTGAACTTGGTGTTTGAATTTGTTTATCAGTTCATCAAGTTTTTAGTTTAAAGATGTGGTGTCTTGTGGAAAATGATGTGTGTAGGGATTCCTTTTGCACTTTGATGAAATGCAAACTTGCTTGTTATTTGCTTGTTTTTTGAGTACACAGAAAAATAGTTTTAGCATTATTATCAATTATAAAAGGAATTTATCAAGAAAAAAAGCAAAAAATGTCCTTACCAATGATGTATTAATTACAGGGTCTTCCAGAGTCAAAGCTTAAAGCTTTTCAAATGGGGCGCAACCCATTAAAAGGAAAAGCCCCATCAAAGTTAAAAGAAGAAGAGAAAAAGAAGGTTAGTTGTCCTATTTTATAGCAATCAATACTGATGGGTGTATTTGAAGATGCTGATCAAAGCTATAAATGACAATGTATCTAGAAATAATAAATAAAAGCAAACTATTCATTTTCACTTAAAATAGTATCAACATTTGTATTTTCTTATCTATAATATATGGTCTGGATAAGAAATTAGGGATGTAATACCAGGCCGGATAATCCGGCACCGGATCGCGGATTTTTTGAAAATCCGGTTCCGGCCGGATTTGTTTCCCAAATTTGAAATACAGATTTGAAATGAAAGTGCTCGTCATCACGAAACAGGAAGACTGGATGATATAATTCACAAATTTGGTCCAGGGTTGCCAGATTGGCTTTTTAGGACAAATTTTTCATTTTTTGTTTTTAGATTTAGATTGCCTGGAAAAATTGTTTCTTGCTTACTACTTAAATTTGACCTTGTTGGCCTTTTCAGCAGAGCGTCTAAAATTAATAAGTAATTACTACATTCATGGAATAATTAGTAGTTAACTACAAACTGTTAACCAAATTTCAAATTTTATCACCTAGCCTAAATATTATCTTGATATTAGCAAAGGGTTTAGGAAAAAAGTAAGATTCTTATCTAAGTTAAGAAATTATCTAACAGGCACAAGCATAGAAATATAACCAGTGCCTGCTCGATGGATTCTTGAGAAAGTTTTTGATTTGGCCTTTTTATGAGCATTTTGGTTTGAACTGCTCACCAGTCTAGCCTTCATTTGTGAATTCAATCTGGCAACCCAGGGCAGAAACGAGATATAAAGCAAGATATGATGCAACCAACAGTTAGGTGATTAAGTATCCTAAAAGAAAACAGTAACCTTTTATTTTTGAACAGTTAGCCATTGTTCAACATTTAATGTTCTTTATTTATTGTGTGATAGGCTGAAGAAGCAGCTACAGCAGAGGTATATGCAGAATACATTGAAAGTTTTCAAGAATCTGCATCTGTTGGGAAAACCTTTGTTAGAGCAAACATCATAAATGCAGATGAAGAAAGTATGTTTTCTTGATCATTTTGTTATACTCATGAAAACATTTCTTCAAGTTTTTTTTGCAGTGAATATTTCATGTTTGCCTTTCATTGTGATCAACTGTATGTCAATTTAATTATGTTGATTACCACATGTTTATGAAGCTTCTAAACTTTTTGCAGTAAATGAGAAAACCAACCACAAATATCACAAAAACACTTCAAAATTGGCAGAGCTTGCTGAAGAATTCAAGAAGCACAAGGACCAATCAGTAGCACAAAAAGTGGTATATAGTTTTTAATCAAGTTTTTTGCATTTCATTCAAAAAACCATGTTTTTAAAAGCTACAATTTATACTTGATCTCAGTTGCTACAAATATCTCTTGATGTATGCCCTTTTGATCAGTAGAGAAACAGCCTCTGAATACGCTTTTGTGTATAGCTCTGATTTTTATCTATTGCTTTGTATTTATTACAAACATTCAACTCCAAACTTAAAGTGATAGTAAAAGTAGAATTGTACATCAAGGAAATCAAGTTTTTTGCACCATTCCCAATTGCTGTAGATTTGTTGCCAAGATTAGCACTCAGTTCACTTAATCAAAAATATTAATTGATAGCAATGTCATTTAAGCCAGTGAATTTTCCATAACATTTGCCTCATCCATTATATTGTCTCTAGTCTTAAATTAGTTTTATCTAGTTTTGTAATTATTGAAAATCACAGACTAAGGTCAACTTTAAAAGGCTGCCATTTTATGTTTTAATGTTATATTTTTTTCAATCTAAAATTGGCTGTTTTTGTTGAATCTATTTATCAATAGCTTTACACTTGTGTTTATTAAGACCAGTATTTTTCCTACTTTCTGCTGTACATTTTTTTAGAGCTTAAGGATTTTCTCAAATATGGATTGACTGTTTTAACTATTTATTGTATGTTGCTAAAATAACTGTCTTGATTAAAGAATGATTTTGCTATGATTTTGTCAGGATTTAAAAAAGAAAAAAGAAAAAGAGAAAAAGAAGAGTAATTTAGAGCTATTCAAAGAAGAACTTGAAAGGTGAGATAATCAAAGCTATTATTATGATTTGTATCAATGCAAAGTTTTAATGATATTCTGAATTCTGAGCATTAAAGCTGTAAAGATATTTATCAGGACTTTTTTGCCAGCATTGTTGCTCAGGAAAAGAGTAATTAACCATACCCTTCAGGGTTGAAATGTGCTACACTACCATTTCAAAAGTTGCTTTTTCAAGAACAGAATCTGGTTTAAATATATAATAACTATGCTACAAATGTTTGAATTTGTGCCAGGCAATTATTTTTGTATGCTTGATTTTGGACCTTAAATAATTCTTTAAACTTGAATATGTATGGTTAAGGTACTTTGGAAATCTAGTTATGTATAAGATTCTAAATTCTAAAACTACATGATGTCTTCAAGCTGAAACTACTTAGTTTTGTTTATGATTGTGTGATTAGGAACTCTCCTTCTTGTTTCCATTCTTTCTTTGATTTTGTTGGATCTGTTCATCAATATGGTATGTGGCAAGCTACCAAAAATGATATTTTCCTTACTCTGCAATACGGTATTGGGTCATTGCGCTACTATGGAGCTAAATGCTGGAATTAATTTCCCATACATATAAAAACATCACCATCTAGTAATAATTCTCGACAAAAACTCAAAGCCTTCCTCTTTCAAAACCACTACCAAGTTTGAATGCAAAAATTCTGATATAGTAAGTCACGATCTACCCATAGTTTCTTTTCCTTTATTGAACCAAACTTATGTGAAAAATTTTAAACAGGGGGAGCTCTTTCATTGATTAGTGTATCTACTGAGAGAGCTCCTCCTTTAAGTAATTCCCTCCATACAATTTCTCCCATTCTTTTTGTTTTGTATTTAAATTTTGTATCAATTTTTGATGATAATGTTATGATTTTGTGTAATTTTGAATTGTATATATCAGTTACTATTTATTGTTGATGTGAATAAATTGTATGTAGAGAATTTAAAACATGAAACTGAACTGAACTGATAAGTATTTAATTGTCCATAAAGCAACTTCAGCTATTGAGCAACAAAGGTTAACAATTTTCTTCAGTTTTATTTAGGAAATATATATGAATAATTATTTTCTTGTCATTTATTTGTTGTACTTTTTTTGTTATTTGGTTATTATTTTATCAAAGCAAAATCAATTATGTTTGTAGAAGTTTTTTTAGTTCTAAGGTGATAAGATTTAGAACTGTTAGACATATTTAAAATGCTTATTTTTGTATTTCTTGGCTGTGATTGGGTTTGTGATAGGGGAAAACATGTGTCTTTCTATGGTAGTGTATTTATTTTGAATTTCTTTCTCTTCAAAAGATCTCAGAAAGAAAGAGAAATAAGACACAAAATCAAGAAAGGGGAGTTTTCTGGAATCCCAGATGATGTTCTCAAAAATCTGCCAACAAGTTTTTTCAAGACTGGTTCAACAAGCAGTGGGTGCGGTGGAAGCAGAGGTGACTGGCCCCCACCAAAGTTTGATGATGGTAGATAAGTATTTTGACTTTTTCTGTTTATCATGCACTAGTTTGCAACACATCAATGGTCTCAGACTGGTATTTCTAAATATTTATTGACAAAATTGCTGTGTTAACATTCTCTTGAGAATATTTGACAAAACAAGGCTGAAATTTTGAAACAAGCTCAATTATACTTGGATTTAATAAAACTATGTTCAAGGAAAGCATATTTTCTTCGATGCATGTTCTTGGAGACATTAGTAGCCTTCTTGTTTCTGTTCCTTTCTCTTTGAAGAAATGAAAAGACGTATCTCTCTGTATGTTTTTAATGTTTTTGATTTGAAAAATAATTTTTTAGACAATGATACCCAGTCTGGCTCAATGGACAATGGAGATCCAAACACCACAAATCTTTACATTGGCAATATTAATCCAAAGGTATTTATTTTGATCATAAAGCGCTATGTAAATTTATCAAAAATATTCTCTTCTCCTCACATTTCTTTATCAGTCCTAAAATCTTAATAATTTCATATCTCTGCAACAGTATGTAGTAGAAATCAGGTTATGTTAAACAAAGTCAAGCAAGGACATTACAGATATTCTTGATCTCAAAATCGGGAGCAACTGTATATTAGAATGTTTATCATGCTTTTGGCATCTTTTGACTTCAGAAATGCTCACAATTATGATCTTGTTGGTAAGATATTTTGAAAAAGTGATTCAAGCTTACTTCCCATCTAAAGAAGACAGAGTCCTGTGTTGCAAAGACATTTTATGCTAATAATTTCTCGTATGTGGGTAGGTTCTGGTCATGTTTAGAGATGTTTTTTCTTTATGCAATTAACAAATTCATTTAGAGAGAGTTAGGCTAATGATTTATACTAAGGTCTTGATTGTCTTTATTATGGTATGCCATTGAATGCTATGAAAACATTTACGTGAATTTTTGAAAGCAATACCTGATTCCTTACAATTGTACAGGAAAGCCATCCCATTTTCAAAGTTTAGCTGCTCATGAAAAACCCTGTCAGGATTTGGTTGTTATGTTGATCGGGGTGTGCTTTGCTTCTTCTCATACCTAACTCCTTTCTGCTTTAGATGACTGAAGAACAGTTGTGTAAACTTTTTGGGCAATATGGACCTTTAGCAAGTGTAAAAATTATGTGGCCAAGGACTGATGAAGAGAAAGCAAGGAATCGAAATTGCGGTTTTGTTGCTTACATGAACCGAGGAGATGGGGAAAAAGCACTGAGAGATTTAATGGGTTAGTATACAAAGTAGAATTATTGTTGTTTTAATACCATGTTCAAGATCCTGTACAAAAAATCTTACCTCTGATCATAAAGCAAACATATTGGGACCATCCTCTTTGATATAATACCATAGTTTGACATTCCGTGATTGGCTCTGAATAAACATTGATACCCTTTCCCAACAAAAAGATGTTTTGTTACTACCAGATTATTCCCGTTTTCCATTCTTTAAACGTTTCTTATCCAGTTGCTAGTCTGCAAATGGTATTGTAAAAAGCTCAATTGTATAAGTTCTTAGACTACAAAGTGTAGTTTTCTACATTCGAAATAGCTTCTATTCACGAACCTTTCACAATGTTATTAATAATTGACAAAATCTAACTAAATCTGACGTTTGCACCATGATCGTTTGCATGGTGACCGTTTGACGTTTGCATAGTGCCATTCAAGAGACAGTAAAGAATGATTTGGTTCTCCGCTAAGCTTCACCAATAATTGACAAAATCTAACTAAATCTGACGTTTGCACCATGATCGTTTGCTTAGTGACCGTTTGACGTTGCATAGTGCCATCCAAGAGACAGTAAAGAATGATTTGGTTCTCCGCTAAGCTTCACCTTGTTGCCATTTTAGAAACAGTAAAGGATAATAAATTAGTTTCTAGCTGTTCAGCCGATCTTTGCAAGCTAAGATACACTCTTTATTGGGTATAATCACTGCACTGGATCATCATTAAATACTCAAATCTGATCAGCTGTGGCCTTCTTCACCAGCTTTCTCTAACTAAATCAATACACCTCACATTGCAATTGGTATCTGCACCAAAATTATCAAACACTGCAAAACACTGTCAAATGTTCTAGTTTGTGACTTATTTGTTTTATTTATCTTAGGTAAAGATATAATGGGGTTTGACATGCGGCTGGGATGGGGAAAGAGTGTTCCAATCCCCCCACAGCCAATATATGTACCCCCAGAAATGATCGAGGCGCAAAAGCCCCCACCTCCATCAGGGTTACCTTTCAACGCACAGTTGTCCGCAAAGCTTGGAAGAGACGGAAAGCAATTTGATGGTGTAAGTTCAAACTTTTTGCTATTTGCTTATTTAATTTGCAAAGAAAATTATTTTTTAAAGTTGTGTTTTTCTGGTAGAAATGCAACGTGGCGCGTTAATCAAACATTTTAGATATATCCTTGCGAGGGTCCATTATCAATATTGAACTGTATTTCTTTAAACTACTTCCACCAACCTCCATCCGTTGTACTTGCGTAAATTTAAAATGCTTTGATTTGTTTATGCATATTATCTCGATCTTCATTTGTTTCATAATAATTATAATTCTGTAAAGAAATCAGTTTTGATAAGCTTAATGAAGGCCTGCCTTATCTCCTCATGCTAACGCGGGGGTTGTTTCTTAAAAGCAATCAACAGATACCAAATCATCTTTCCATCAACAATTGGCCATCAGTGAGCGTGGTACCACTCACACGCCTTTTGATTGGCTGATGTTGATTGACAGGTTGCCATATTCACTCTAGTATCTGTCGATTATCTTTATATTCTCAAGTAAAACTTTGATAGGCGTTTACTAAAGAAAGACATTTATCAGAGTGGTGTGTTTTTAAAAATCAATTTTTCACTTTGAAGTTACTTGGCAAATCTACTTGGTATTTTGTCATTCCGTTAAAGGGCACTTTTGTTATTGGTTTAGGCCAATCCCGCGAAAACAAAAGGATTCCATCCCCCCAAAGCAACGAATCTAAGGCGTCTCTTGGAGAATATTTTATAAATAATCCAGCTTTTAAAATAGATGAATCTCGTTGATTGGTGCTAGTGACATCTTTTATAGTCAATTTTTCATAATATTTCACTCTCTGTTACCTTGATATTCAAACATAAAAAAGAGAAAATTGATATTTTTAATCAACTAAGCATCTTCGAAATTTAAAATAACTTTTTTTAGAAAATTCACAATGCAAGCGTCCATTGCGACGCTAGTATTTTAGTATTTTTTGAATAACATTACCAGAAAAAATTCCAGAAGTTTTGTGACTGCGACTCGCGAATCCTCAAAATAAAGTGATATAAGAGGATACTGTTATAGTATATAAAAGGTAAATCTGGAATAATAATCAACGCATAACAACCTTTGAAAGGTTCAATTTATGTTCTAAAGTACGAGTCTACCGTAATATTTCGATTGAGCCCCCCACCCGTCACCAATCTCATAAATACCCCCTCCATAGCATCGAGTATTGAAAAAGAAATGATGCCGCCGATGCCCCTACTCTTTAAAAAAGCGGTTTAATTGGAACTTCTTCATTTTTTTGCATTAGACCCCCTATGTGTGGCTAGTTTCATGTATTTTAGCTGAAAAAACCTTTAATTCACTTTTTGTGCAGCTTTTCGGGCCACGAAGCTTGCTGCTTTTGAATAGGCTTTCTTCTCTAGACCCGAGTTTTGAATCACCCATATTAGGCTTATTCGAATTATTACGGTAATGTACCTGCTGTGAAAAAGTATTCTTAAAAATTAATTAACATAGAAGTTATGTTTATATTTATGCTATAAGTAGCTTTTATTTAATAGTCGAACATGTAAGATGCTTAATGGAATGGATATTTACGATTTTGATGTTCATTCATAGAAATTAGAGAATACCATTGTCAAGGTTGTTATCCCGATGGAAAGGTATTGCATTCAGCCTCGTTTACATTGATAGAGAGCCTCTTTGCAGCGTCAACGAATCCATCATCGCGACATCTGGTGGATTGCATCATTTATTGTATTCAATGCGCTTTCCTTTGCCGTTTTTAACTCATTCTTCTGCAAACTGTATTTCGTCTGCTGTCCGCAGGATCTCTCTCATGGTCTTTTCTTCTAAACAGTCCTCAGTAAACAGTCTTTCTTTCATTCCCCTTGTTTTACAAGCCATACAATTTTTTTGCCATTACTCAGAACTTAAACTACTTCAAGGAATACCATTTTTGTAAATCTAATTGATTTTCAGAAAACAGTTTTTAAGATATTCTTATAAAACTGAAATGTGTATTAAATTTAGCTACACGTGTCCATTAATCTAGTTGTTCAGAACTTTATAGATTAGAGTCTTTTTCTTCGTTTCTTGATTACTGTTATCGTCCATCTTCAATTCATCAATCCATACGAGGTTGGTTTTTTCTCTCCAGACTCTGCGATAATTCTACCCTTCAAAGCTTTCCTTCAAAACTTTGTACTTTCGACACACGTTCTTGAGGATTTCTTCCTTTTTGTTTTCCAATCCGGCGCGATATTTTTCAAAAAGCATTTTGACTTAATTTTTTTAAACCAATCCCGTGAATTATTAAGGAAATTTTTGACACTTTTTCTCGAAATGACCTTTAACCACAAGTGAAATCCTCGTTTTAAAAATGGTTCTGTTGCAAAATCTCTGATCCTAGGAGTCAGCTGGCCGTCATTCACAGAATGGTGGAGTTTGTAGCGCGAGAAGGTCCTATGTTTGAAGCAATGATTATGAACAAGGAACTAAACAATCCAATGTTCAGGTAAGTGTCTTTTATGGAATGAGAACTTGTTATTCTCTTTATAATGATTGCATACAGTTATCAGGGCAACGGTTTTTTACTTCTTGTTAGGGGTTGTGAACTAGATTTTGATGAGCGTTTTCTAAACAGAGCCTGATGACCTTTATATGTTTCAATAGATTTTGCTTAAAACTGATTTTGGTAACATGTTTATGATCTTCGGCTTCCATATTGAACTTCATGTTTTCTTTTTCCTCTCAGCACATAAAAGTGCTGATATTTCAATGGTATATTTTTACAGAGAAATATTTTGACACCATCGTAAAATTTCTTAATATCCTGATAAAATCACTTAAGCAAAGCAAGGGTCATGTTATTGTATTTAATTCTTTTTATAAAATTTTGTCATAGATTTTTGTTTGATAACAAAGGCCACGAGCATATATACTACAGATGGCGGCTGTTTTCTATTCTTCAAGTAAGTTTTTCTTTTCTTGAAACGTTTTGGATTTCGATCAACACTCTTTGCTTAATATATTTCCTGAACAGCTAAAAGTACCCCTTGTTAAGAACGTATGGAAAAACAAGACTAGGTGCAAATGTAATTGCCTGTGTATTCACAAAGCAATTCACCATCACACAAGACAATTTCATCCCAACGCAAGGTTGATTTTGAGCGGTGTGAAACTTCTATATTTTTGTAGTTTTTTTCAGATTAAACAGATTTGAGTTTACTAGGTTGATGCAATGGGAAAACTGCATCAATCTAGTGAACTGAAATCTCAAAGCATGCTGAAATCTTCCCTTTTTAATCATGTTTAAAATCCATTGGCAGGGAGATACACCGCAAAAGTGGTCCCAGGTGGAATTCAGAATGTTCGATGGGGGTTCGATCTGGAGGCCCCCTCCAATGAACCCTTACGCTGTGTCAACAGTGTCACAAACATCCCAGGCATTGGCAGCGGTATCGTCAGCAATTGTGGCTTCCAATATTATTTTACCCAAGCAAGAAAAAACAGAGCCAGCACAAGAGATAACGAAAAAACAATTACTAACTGACAGGTAAGTTAATGGTATTTCTTCGTAGACGATTTAATTGCAATGTAGTTGCTGGGTACTTAGTTCAATGATTGGAAGATCTGAAGTGAGCTTTAACTTTTTTGCCCATGGACATGGAAGGAAAGATGGAGAGGACTCCCCTGTTTCACGAGAGTTTTGTTACGCTCAATATCCTCTGGATATCGAAAAAATCTTGAGAACAACAAAGCAATCCTTTGCAAATAGAAATAGGCCCTTTTAGAATGGTCAAGTGTCTTTGCAAAAAAATGAAAAATTGTTGACTTGGAGGCAACTTTTCAAGGGAACACCTAATCCTTTCTTCTTCACTCTTTTGTTTCCTTTTCACCTCAATCCCCAATTTTCAAACTTAATCAACTTGAAGTACTTTGTGTCCGTTTTTATTGTACTTTTTGCAACTTCATCACTTCTGTCATGCTTTGTTTTAATGTCATTAAAGGGGCAATCGTCCTTTTTTGTTTTAGCCAAAGAGACAAACTCGAAGACCTTTTAAGAACAGTCACATCAGACCGACGAAAAGTTGGAGAACTGATGGTCTGGTCTTTGGATCACGCTGATTTTGCAGATGAAGTAAGTCAAGCAACAATTTTTGAGCAACAATTATTGAAATCGTCTCTGCACCCTTTTTTTGTGATAAATTGTTCTTCTGTGGATAGGCAAATTCGGTCATATTCTGAATGCGGAACACGACTTCGCAACAACATGCAATGTGGTGTATGGTTTTTCCATTGCCAAGCTTTTACAGAGAAACAGAATTCGGGCCAGCGGTTTACTTTTTTTTCATTTTCCTATTGTAGTGAATGTTGGTTTCTTTTATACCCGAGATGGCAGTCAATTGGCGAATAACAGCCCCAATTTTAACTGTTTTGGAGTTTTATGGCACCCGATAATGGACCAACTTTTGTTTCTTAGTATTAAAATCCTTTATTGGATAAGGCTCACCGTTGTATTGTAATGCGTTTTAGATCGTTGAGTGCATCACTGAATCGCTTTCTTTACTCGAGACGCCAATTCCGACCAAGGTAAGATATAATACATGGAATCTCAGTTTATATTGACATGTATAATAATTTTTTTACCATGAACACAAACAGAGACAAACTATGTTTAAAAGGAAAGAAGCTCCAATAAAGCTCTTCCCAGTAGCCAATGAAATTGTATGGTGTGATTTCATAAGTTCTATATTTTTATTGTTTTTAACTTTTCACCACATAACCTAAAAATGCCATAAAGGTGAATGAAGACTTGAAATGCTAGCCAATTATACTTTTATAATAAACAGGCGTATAATATTTTCAAAAAGTCATCTACTGACTAAGTTTGCCCAGTAAAAAATATTATTTTCCTTACAAACATCGGAATTATTACTGTTGATCATTGGATTTTTTAAGACGAAGAATCTCAGATAGATCAACCTTGGTGAATTTCAGTGTAAAGATCTTGATATGAATGCGAATATGTTTTCTGTTGATCATAAACCCTGAGACCCTCGTGCTAACTAACGGCGTCTGAATCTACGTATAAATGTCTTTCCTTAGATTCTTCAAAATTAAATAGATAGAAAATTAAGACAAAATATGCTTAAGTCTAACCCTTCTTCTAGAAATTTCAATGCTTGTTGAAATGGCAATATTTTTTGTTATTCAATCAATCTTTCGGTTTTTAGATTGCGCGGTTGTATGTTGTGAGCGATATTTTGCATAACTCGAGTGCTAAAATTCACCACGCATCACATTTTAGACGGGGGTAAGTACATCTTTACTTTTTTCGTTTAAGACATTTGCATCTGTTTTCTAAATGCAGTGAGTCGAGGAAGATTTACACTGATAAGAAAGATCTGATTATGTGTCCCTTGCTGTGGTCAGTTTCTTAAATTTTAAACTAGCCACCAATTAACCTTGGCAGAGAGCTTGCACAGTCATCCGGCAATTGTAGCATGGCGATTATCTCTAGAAGTATCCCAAAATTTCGGTCAACTATGTGGATATTTTAAATTCCATCTGCATGGGTAGCCCGGTTAGTTTATTGTTCAAGTTTTTTTCAGTTTAAGAGGGTCCTCAGATGAAAGAAAACTTGTCGTGTCATCTGCATGCATTTTCACGTGTTCTTTGCGTAATGCTTATGATTGATCGTTTGTATGTATTAAAACAGTAATGGACCACGGCTTCAGCCTTGAGGAAGTCCCACAATTCATGCTTCTGACATACGAAGTATGCAAACACAATGTAAAAAATCAAGTTCAGCAGAATTGATATCAATCTTTGGAAGTTTGTCGACTAATACTTGGTGGTTCACGATATTAAAGTCCTTTTTTTGATCAATAGATATGAGACCCGCATGTTTACCTTATAGGTTTGAAAATAAACTTTCTGAAGTCATGGAGCATCTCAGATCAGCACTTGTATCAGCATCAAGTAAATCAACTGCGGAAAAGTTTAGAGTGAGTGTTTTTTATTGACTATTTGGAAAGCAATATTTTGTTGCTGGAACGCAATATTTTGTTGCTGGAAAGCAATATATTGTTGCTGTAAACTTATGTGCGAGAATTAGTTGCTATTAAAACAGTAGTTTGGATAATGGAAGATTCATCAGAATGGAACCAAATAGTAGTATATTCTTTAAATCAAGTGTAAACGGGGTTATTGTGTGTTAAATTTCGAATACAACGCTCTAAATGCCTCGAAATCAAATTCGATTGTAATTTGAGCTCGACTTCCCTTCGATTGTTGAGTTTGATTGTCATATTCGACAAGACCCAAGCTGCAAGAAGGGGCTTCATTTTTAACTTCCATGCTGGTCAGTTTCTTTTTTCTAGCGATCTTGTTTAATATCTAATGAAATAATGCAAACTCACTCTGTTGTTCATTTTTAGAAACAAGTTTTGTCTTGCTTGGCTGCTTGGCAGGATTGGTCGTTGTACCCCCCTGGTTTTCTAATCAAACTTCAAAATACATTTGTCGGGCTCTCCGATAAAAAGGTAAACATGATTTTTGTGTGATTGTGATCTTTATGTCATTTCTAAGGGTCCATTTTATTATTATACAGTCTATTACTATGAATTAATGCATGTTTATTATCAAGGTACCGTCTCCGAAAATTCCCATTGAGTCTATTCATGTTCATGGTTGATCAGTCAACGAGGTAAGGGCCCTTTAAAAATGAAGACCCCAGCCAATTTACCCGCAGTTTTAACTGAATGTTGCCGAAACCATGGTTTGTTCAACCCGCTTTTTGAGGGGGTCTTCATATTGATAAGATAGTGTCAGTTTTCTCAGTTTTCACTCCACCATGTTCAATGAACACATTAAAATGGTTGTAATGGGGTATGGTAAAATACTGTAGCATTGTACTTCTTCTATGAATGAATTTTTAATGGAAATGAATAAAAAATAGTACACACAATTATTTTAGGTACACAAGGCACGCTACAAACTATAAACTTTTCTACTCTATTATCTGACCTGTGTGTTATTATCTGTGCCTTGAATCTGTTATCATGAGAAATTATCCAAGACGGCAATGATTACAGCGTTTGCTCGGGTAATTTATGATTATAATTTGTCATTGTCAAAATTTGTGCCTGATATTCAGTTTATGGTAAACTTTCAGATAAGAGGAGATTGTTGAAGAAGACTTTGTAGTTGCGTTGCTTGTGGTGTAGCTTAAGATTTTATATTCAAATCGACCATATTTAATGACAGGATGAAAAAAACTAGTTGTAATAGTTTGCTCTGCCATGATTTTTTTATTTAACTAAAATAATATCAATCCCTAACAGAAAGATGAAATCGATGGTTTTCCGTTGGCAAAAGACCAAGACATAGATGGTCACCCTGTGGGTAAAGATGACGTTGATGGTATCCCTATAGATGATCAAGACAACAACCTAGATGGGTTTCCCCTTTCAAAAGGTGCCGAAGTAGACATCGATGGCATCCCCTTTGGTGGTGACATCGATGGGGCCCCAAGTATGCATGTTTTTGTATTTTTTGTCTTCACATTGCCTATACCACGGTTACTTCTCTCCATTTGTGAATTTAAGATTTAGAAGCTTTCTGTTTCTATTGGATTCATATTTTGTTCAACAGCTGAACTATTTACCCCCCATTTGATGTGTACTATTTTGAAAGGTCTTAATATCATAAAAATCCCTTATTTTTTCCTGTTAAGACAATCTGTCTTTATTATGCAATTTTAATACATATTTAAGGAGGTGCATTGAAAAATAAATTCATAAGAGTCACAGTCCAGAAAACATTACGGCTCCACCACTGTGATGTATTGGCCGGAGGAAGGTTATGAAAAATGTAGTAGCCTTGAGAAAGGCCAATACATAACTTTACAAAAGTATATAAAGTGAGAAGTATTTACCATTGTGCTTGAACATTTCTGTTTTCCGCACAAAGCGTAAAGACCGAACCATGAATGATTTTTACTTGAGCTCCATTTTCGCTATGAAACTTTTATTGAAAAGGTAGAAGTAAACTTCCGAGGAAGGAAAATGGGACGAAATTTCATCGGGAGGAAGGCTGAGGCGTTTTCTGAACTCAAATAGGAGTTATCTTTCTGTTAGGTCGCTTATTTATGCATCATTCCTCTATGCATCATTACACATAAATAAATATGTTTTACTGTTTCGTTCAGTTTTATGTAGCGGATTCATGTTTTGTTCAGTAGCATAACTAGGATTGCTTTCTTGATTTTCGTTCTTTGCATTTATTTGCTAAACTTATTAAACGTGTTTCAACTAGTAAGGATTTATTTTTTATATTCATTCAGTTGAAGACATCAAAAAGCAATCTAGTAAGTAACGGACTTTTTAGAAACTTAATAATTAAATTCTCTTCTTGACCTTTTTTGTATGATCACAAAAACAAATGCAGTGCTGCACTGCTTGAAAATTTTTAACAGTACGTTTCCAATACATATAAATTTATATGAAGTTGGATTATTTGAAATTTATCAAATTTTGTCATATAACATAATATCATAAAACATAAAATAATATCATATAACATGTTATGTTATGTTATGTTTTGTTATGTGTTAACATTATATTATATTATATTATATTATATTATATTATATTATATTATATTATATTATATTATATTATATTATATTATATCATATTTTGTTATATTATTTCATATCATATTATCTTATATTATATATATTATATTATATTATAATCTGATATTATACCTTCTTGAAATGCCTTTGTCTATAGCCGGCAAAATGAAAGCCTCAAGATGGGAACCTGTTGACCCAGATTCTCCATTAAGAAAGTCAAAGTGGGCAAAAGAGGAGAGCGACGATCCAGATATGCCGAAATCGAAATGGGAACGCGAAGATGATGGTGGAAGTAAAAACAAATGGAATGTGGAGGACAGTGCCAATTCAAAATGGCAGAGGGTTACAGGTTCTCCAAAAGAGAGGTAATTTCATCTTTAATTTGGCTTAATGAAACACTGAAATAGCCTCTGGCACTGCAAAAGTTTGGGGAAACATTGAAAATATATTATTAGCTTAAATATTGTCTATATAGCGAAACATTATAAAAAATTTGTTCTTATGAACCGAAATTAATATTGACTGAGATCTTGCCCTGATACTACTACGGATTGATTTAGATATGAAATTTGATGAATGTTTTATCGATTGAAGGATTTACTGCAGTACATTGTGTACCTTACCGACATAAATTTTGTTTCTCCCAGGCATTCTAATGAGGATTCCCGCTCCTCGGCACACGACTCGCCTGCCGTACACGTTGGTGAGGTTGATGAGCCACGGAGGAAACTACTCCGTGAAGTCGAATTAAAAGTTATGAGGTATGCCGACAAACTAGAAGCAAACGGAATGTCAAAGTCGTCTTCCTCATTTCAATATCAGTTAGAAAAATACAGACAAGGTCTTATTGAGGTGAGTATTGTCAACATATTTAGATCTGCTCAGTCGAGATGGAGTTTCTGTTCGATAATAAACATCGACAATAATACTGTCAGTGGATGGATTCAAAAAGGAACAGTTTTCCCAATTTTTTATCAATTCGTGTTACGAAGCTACAAAGTGGTTACAAAGGGATAGTAGCTGGTGACACCACTTACCCTGAATTAAGGTTTTTGGTGCTACTTTCCTTGTTTTACTTTTTTTCCCACACGCCCCCCACCCCTTCCACCCCTGCTTTTGCTATTTGGAAGTTACCATAATTAATGCACTAGGGGTAACCAACTTTATCTGCTGTTTTCATAGTTTTAAACTTCCTCTCACTATTTACAATTTAAAAAGATGTATAACATACTATGAAGCCTGTCTTCTATTTAGCTGTTTCGCATGATTTTCACTGTTGTCTCTAAATCATAGGAACACGAAAAAGAAAGGCGAAAGCGGGGAAAAGATCGAAAACGGGATCGAAGTCTCTCTTCGTCTCCAAATGCAACACCTATTCGAAATGCTCAGAGTCCGAGAAAAAAGCGAAGTCACCGGAGCAGATCAAGATCAAGATCGATAAGTGTGAGTCACTTTATTTTTATTTTATGAGCTTTCACACATATTTTATTACCAGGCAAGCTTTTGCTACATCCACCTACTTCAAAAAACAGATTGAAATTATCCAGAGACCCTTCAGATCTCACTTTGATAAAACAGCATGAGTTTTTTTCATCATACAGATACCCTCCCTTCCAAACATTTAATTTTATAATCCGTAAACGAGTTTGCACCAGTAGGAAAACCCTGTTTCTGGAATTAATTTAAAACCTTTAACAAATATCTTTGGAATGCCCCTTGCCGCTGCTTTTGGAAAATAAACTGCTAAAGACTTTTGGCAGGGATTTTAGAGGAACAAACTGAATATAGGCTTATTTGAATTTTCTCTATAGAATTCATTCTATGAATTGACACAATTTTGCTATTTGGCATATCCAGGGTCTTTATCAGGCTATTACCTTCTCGTTTGTACATTGAATAGGCGAACTTCTCAAAAGACACAAAATGTAAAGGTTTCTTGAATGCACCATGCACTGTTTGGGTGATTTAAAAGCTGGTTTTCATATCTCTTAATTTTATGTAATAGGGGAAGTTTTATCAAAGAGGAAAACGAAGGATTAATATTTCGAAAAACCCAGCTTAAACGTAGGCCAAAGTTTGAGGCTAAATGGAACAAATACACTTTTTGGGGGAATAGGTCAGGGCCTTAAATAAGCGTGGATATTAATCAATTTGTGGAGTTGTAAATGGTAATTATGGATCTGTAATTGTAAAAACTGCAGATCTGTTATTATTAAGGCAATATTTTGAAATGGATTTGCACTTAACAAAATATGTTCAAAATATTGAGCGAACCTACAGAAACTCGATCATTAAACACGATGCAATTTTTAATTTTTTGCCCGTGAAGCCGTCTTTCGGTTATCATTTATCCGTGAAGCATCGCGCACTGACATTGGTTCTTTCATAATCAAGCAGTTACAAGCAAGTGCAATCACTTTTTAATCTTTCATTTTGTATTTACCGAGCTATTTCTTTTTTGTGCGTCGGAAATGAGCCCTTTTTAGTAACATAATTTTCTGACTTAAAAAGGACGAGTCATCCGAAGATGAGCGTGATGTTTCAAGGTCAAGTCGCAAACATAAATCCAAGAGGTCTCGGTCCGGATCTACGTCACCGACAACACCAAAAAGGAGCAGCAGCAGTAAAAAGAAAAGGAAGAAGAGTAAAAAATGAGCGTTGCTGTCAGTTTTTTACACCCTGAAATCGCGCTTCTTCCGGACTTCGTTTGAGGTTGACGGTCGATGATGTAAATATCTGTCCCCTCGAACAATCTCCATGAGGCCTAAGCTTCATCTGCAACGATCGAGTTAATTCCTAGGGAGACCTCGGGCACTGAGCTCAAGAGAATTCATGTATTATTTTCTGTAGTGATTATTGTATGTGAAAACCTAGAACGAACTTGGTGGCATAATTCTATGCAAAACAGAACATATCATACAAATGATATCTTTCCTGAGCATGTACTTTTGTTAAAGATGTTCTGCAAATACTTCTCCTTGATCAGATTTTATTTAAAAACGAAAAAATTGTTATTGATTCTACATAACTTCACTAGCAGTGGACTTTATTAACTTTTGAAGGTTATTGGTTTGATCTCAAGTTCTCTTTAAAAAAATCAAGTATCAAGATGGCCTTATTTTTTCCAGTAACACGAGTTCAATTTCAAGATTTATAATGTTGTATTATTGCTAAATCAGATGGAACTTAAAAGAAAACATATTACTTTGAGTCTGCTTTCTGAAATAACTTACAAGACCAAAAATCTTCATAGCTTCCTCGGTTTAGAGCAATGATAAATTCAATTTCAAAAACTATATACTCTAGCAGCCTATAACCTTGCCGTTTGTAAAAAACATTCCCCTCCAAATAGTAATCATTTTCATAGCCTACAACATTATCTCTTTCATAAAATTATTCCCATCAAAAAGTGGTCATTTCCATAACATATAATCTTGCCTTTTTCATAAATACATTCCCCTTAAAAAAGGTTCATTTTCATGACCTATTGTCTTGCTTTTTTAATAAAAATACTCCCCTCCAAAAATTGGTCAATTTCTTAGGTCAATTTCTTAGCCTAAAGCCTTGCCTTTTTTGATAAAAATACTCCCTTCAAAAAGTGGTCATTTCCATAGCCTATAGCCTCGCTTTTTTTGATAAAAATGCTCCCTTCAAAAAGTGGTCATTTTAATAGCCTATAGCCTTGCCTTTTTCATAAAAATACTGCTTTCGAAAAAGTGGTCATTTTCATAGCCTATTGCCTTGACTTTTTCATAAAAATACTCCCTTCAAAAAAGTGGTCATTTTCATAGCCTAAAGCCTTGCCTTTTTTCATAAAAATACTCCCCTCAAAAAAGTGGTCATTTTGATAGCCTATAGCCTTGCCTTTTTCATAAAAATAGTCCTCTCAAAAAGTGGTCATTTTCATAGCATATTGCCTTGCCTTTTTCATAAAAATACTCCCTTCAAAAAAGTGGTCATTTTCATAGCCTATAGCCTTGCCTTTTTTTATAACAATACTCCCCTCAAAAAAGTGGTCATTTTCATAGCCTAAAGCCTTGCCTTTTTTATAAAAATACTCCTTTCAAAAAAGTGGTCATTTTCATAGCCTATAGTCTTGCCTTTTTCATAAAAATACTCCCCTCAAAAAAGTGGTCATTTTGATAGCCTATAGCCTTGCCTTTTTCATAAAAAATACTCCCTTCAAAAAAGTGGTCATTTTCATAGCCTATTGCCTTGCCTTTTTTATAAAAATACTCCTTTCAAAAAAGTGGTCATTTTCATAGCCTATAGTCTTGCCTTTTTTCATAAAAATACTCCCCTCAAAAAAGTGGTCATTTTCATAGCCTATTGCCTTGCCTTTTTCATAAAAATACTTCCCTCAAAAAAGTGGTCCTTTTAATAGCCTATAGCCTTGCCTTTTTCATAAAAATACTCCTTTCAAAAAAGTGGTCATTTTCATAGCCTATAGCCTTGCCTTTTTTATAAAAATACTCCCTTCAAAAAAGTGGTCATTTTCATAGCCTAAAGCCTTGCCTTTTTTATAGAAATACTCCTTTCAAAAAAGTGGTCATTTTCATAGCCTATAGTCTTGCCTTTTTCATAAAAATACTCCCCTCAAAAAAGTGGTCATTTTCATAGCCTAAAGCCTTGCCTTTTTTATAAAAATACTCCTTTCAAAAAAGTGGTCATTTTCATAGCCTATAGTCTTGCCCTTTTCATAAAAATACTCCCCTCAAAAAAGTGGTCATTTTCATAGCTAATCGCCTTGCCTTTTTTTATAAAAATACTCCCCTCAAAAAATTGGTCATTTTCATAGCCTATAGCCTTGCCTTTTTCACAAAAATAGTCCTCTCAAAAAAGTGGTCATTTTCATAGCCTATAGCCTTGCCTTTTTTATAAAAATACTGCCTTCAAAAAAGTGGTCATTTTCATAGCCTAAAGCCTTGCCTTTTTTATAAAATACTCCTTTCAAAAAAGTGGTCATTTTCATAGCCTATAGTCTTGCCTTTTTCATAAAAATACGCCCCTCAAAAAAGTGGTCATTTTCATAGCCTATAGCCTTGCCTTTTTTTATAAAAATACTCCCCTCAAAAAAGTGGTCATTTTCATAGCCTATAGCCTTGCCTTTTTCACAAAAATAGTCCTCTCAAAAAAGTGGTCATTTTCATAGCCTATAGCCTTGCCTTTTTTATAAAAATACTGCTTCAAAAAAGTGGTCATTTTCATAGCCTATAGCCTTGCCTTTTTCATAAAAATACTCTCTTAAAAAAAGTTGTCATTTAATAGCCTATAGCCTTGCCTTTTTTCATAAAAATAGTCCTCTCAAAAAGTGGTCATTTTCATAGCCTATAGCCTTGCCTTTTTCATAAAATGTACTCCCTTCAAAAAAGTGGTCATTTTCATAGCCTATAGCCTTTCCTTTTTCATAAAAATACTCCCCTCAAAAAAGTGGTCATTTTGATAGCCTATAGCCTTGCCTTTTTCATAAAAAATACTCCCTTAAAAAAAGTGGTCATTTTCATAGCCTATTGCCTTGCCTTTTTCATAAAAATACTTCCCTCAAAAAAGTGGTCCTTTTAATAGCCTATAGCCTTGCCTTTTTCATAAAAATACTCCTTTCAAAAAAGTGGTCATTTTCATACCCTATTGCCTTGCCTTTTTCATAAAAATACTCCCTTCAAAAAAGTGGTCATTTTCATACCCTATTGCCTTGCCTTTTTCATAAAAATACTCCCTTCAAAAAAGTGGTCATTTTCATAGCCTATTGCCTTGCCTTTTTCATAAAAATACTTCCCTCAAAAAAGTGGTCATTTTCATAGCCTATAGCCTTGCCTTTTTCATAAAAATACTCCTTTCAAAAAAGTGGTCATTTTCATACCCTATAGCCTTGCCTTTTTCATAAAAATACTCCCTTCAAAAAAGTGGTCATTTTCATAGCCTATTGCCTTGCCTTTTTCATAAAAATACTCCCTTCAAAAAAGTGGTCATTTTCATACCCTATTGCCTTGCCTTTTTCATAAAAATACTCCCTTCAAAAAAGTGGTCATTTTCATAGCCTATAGCCTTGCCTTTTTTTATAAAAATACTTCCCTCAAAAAAGTGGTCATTTTCATAGCCTAAAGCCTTGCCTTTTTTATAGAAATACTCCTTTCAAAAAAGTGGTCATTTTCATAGCCTATAGTCTTGCCTTTTTCATAAAAATACTCCCCTCAAAAAAGTGGTCATTTTCATAGCCTAAAGCCTTGCCTTTTTTATAAAAATACTCCTTTCAAAAAAGTGGTCATTTTCATAGCCTATAGTCTTGCCCTTTTCATAAAAATACTCCCCTCAAAAAAGTGGTCATTTTCATAGCCTATAGCCTTGCCTTTTTTCATAAAAATAGTCCTCTCAAAAAGTGGTCATTTTCATAGCCTATAGCCTTGCCTTTTTTATAAAAATACTCCTCTCAAAAAAGTGGTCATTTTCATAGCCTATACCCTTGCCTTTTTCATAAAAATACTCCCCTCAAAAAAGTGGTCATTTTCATAGCCTATAGCCTTGCCTTTTTTATAAAAATACTCCCTTCAAAAAAGTGGTCATTTTCATAGCCTAAAGCCTTCCTTTTTTTCATAAAAATACTCCTTTCAAAAAAGTGGTCATTTTAATAGCCTATAGCCTTGCCTTTTTCATAAAAATACTCCCCTCAAAAAAGTGGTCATTTTCATAGCCTATAGCCTTGCCTTTTTTATAAAAATATTCCCTTCAAAAAAGTGGTCATTTTCATAGCCTAAAGCCTTGCCTTTTTTCATAAAAATACTCCCCTCAAAAAAGTGGTCATTTTAATAGCCTATAGCCTTGCCTTTTTCATAAAAATACTCCCTTCAAAAAAAGTGGTCATTTTCATAGCCTATAGCCTTGCCTTTTTTATAAAAATACTCCCTTCAAAAAAGTGGTCATTTTCATAGCCTAAAGCCTTGCCTTTTTTATAAAAATACTCCTTTCAAAAAAGTGGTCATTTTCATAGCCTATAGTCTTGCCTTTTTCATAAAAATACTCCCCTCAAAAAGTGGTCATTTTCATAGCCTATAGCCTTGCCTTTTTCATAAAAATACTCCCCTCAAAAAAGTGGTCATTTTGATAGCCTATAGCCTTGCCTTTTTTCATAAAAATACTCCCCTCAAAAAAGTGGTCATTTTAATAGCCTATAGCCTTGCCTTTTTCATAAAAATACTCCCTTCAAAAAAAGTGGTCATTTTCATAGCCTATAGCCTTGCCTTTTTTATAAAAATACTCCTTTCAAAAAAGTGGTCATTTTCATAGCCTATTGCCTTGCCTTTTTCATAAAAATACTCCTCTCAAAAAAGTGGTCATTTTCATAGTCTATAGCCTTGCCTTTTTCATAAAAATACTTCCCTCAAAAAAGTGGTCATTTTAATAGCCTTTAGCCTTGCCTTTTTCATAAAAGTACTCCTTTCCAAACAGTGGTCATTTTCATAGCCTATAGCCTTGCCTTTTTTATAAAAATACTGCCTTCAAAAAAAGTGGTCATTTTCATAGCCTAAAGCCTTGCTTTTTTTATAAAAATACTCCTTTCAAAAAAGTGGTCATTTTCATAGCCTATAGTCTTGCCTTTTTTATAAAAATACTCTCTTCAAAAAAGTGGTCATTTTCATAGCTTATAGCCTTCCCTTTTTCATAAAAATTGTCCTCTCAAAAAGTGGTCATTTCATAGCCTATAGCCTTGACTTTTTCATAAAAATACTCCCTTCAAAAAAGTGGTCATTTTCATAGCCTAAAGCCTTGCCTTTTTTCATAAAAATACTCCCTTCAAAAAAGTGGTCATTTTCATAGCCTATAGCCTTGCCTTTTTTTATAAAAATACTCCCCTCAAAAAAGTGGTCATTTTCATAGCCTAAAGCCTTGCCTTTTTTATAAAAATACTCCTTTCAAAAAAGTGGTCATTTTCATAGCCTATAGTCTTGCCTTTTTCATAAAAATACTCCCCTCAAAAAAGTGGTCATTTTGATAGCCTATAGCCTTGCCTTTTTCATAAAAAATACTCCCTTCAAAAAAGTGGTCATTTTCATAGCCTATTGCCTTGCCTTTTTTATAAAAATACTCCTTTCAAAAAAGTGGTCATTTTCATAGCCTATAGTCTTGCCTTTTTTCATAAAAATACTCCCCTCAAAAAAGTGGTCATTTTCATAGCCTATTGCCTTGCCTTTTTCATAAAAATACTTCCCTCAAAAAAGTGGTCCTTTTAATAGCCTATAGCCTTGCCTTTTTCATAAAAATACTCCTTTCAAAAAAGTGGTCATTTTCATAGCCTATAGCCTTGCCTTTTTTATAAAAATACTCCCTTCAAAAAAGTGGTCA